AGTTGTACTGTGTAGCACGAGAACGCGGGCCCATGTCCACGGCCACGACCACGAACACGGACGACCACAGGCTTACACAGAGCCAGACACGAGAGACGGGAAGATACATCATGACGGCGCCCATCTAGCAGGCCGGCCGCCAAATTTTGCTGGCGAAAGAGCGACCGACTGCCCACTCACTGAGGAACGTGCCTTTCTTCCTCATCCTCCCCTCGCTGACGCTTCTCAAGTCGGTGGGACGGGAGGGAGGTGACACGAGACGCACATGCGTTGACATTGAGGCTAATGGCAGGACCCTAGCGTCTGCAGCAAACAAACCGGACACTAGGAGCATGAGGACGAGGATGAGTAGGAGCCCACGGGCACGACAGGATCGTACTCTGTACGCAAGGGGAATGTCAAACAGCATAACGCAGTACAGAAGGAGTGAGTGCGGCACACACAGGCATACATACCTCAGTAGGGAACACACAAGGATGCAGGGCGCATTCTATACGGGCAGGTCAGGTCAGTTTTCAAGTGGTTTATTTCGTTATCCAACAACAACTATATGCGTGACAGAGCACAGCACAGCACACCTCCAAGGCGATGACATGCGAAATGGGTGGTAGAATGGTGCCAAATGGCGCAGCAGGTCGTCTCATCTCATGAGATCCAGTTCAGTAGATCCAATTGGAATTGCTCTTTCCCGATACGTAGCTTTCTCGCCCTGGGGCGGTGGCCCTTACGAGAAGGTGGTCTTGAGAGTCGCGCTGGCGCCCATGCCGCCGCATCCACCGCTGGGGCTGCCCTCGAAGGTGCCGTAGTTGGCGCCGGGCTGGCTGCCGTTCTCGCAGTTCAGGAGCAGGTAGTCGAACATGCAGGTGTTCAGGCCGGCGGGGCACTGGAACACGCACGTGTCCATGTCGGTCGTGCAGGACGGGCCGACAATGCTCATGGGGTGGCCGCTCATGTTGACCTCGCGCGACACGTCCACGACACCCCACTGGCCGAAGGTGAACTCGCCCCACGTGTTGGAGGCCTGGCCGTTGATGAGCTGGGTGTCCGGGTAGACGGCAGTCCACGCGCCAGAGGCTCCGTCGGCGAAGGAGACCCAGAGGGACTCGCCGGCAGGGATGGACGCCGTGATGGTCGGCTGGACGGCATTGACCCATGAGCCCGCGACGCCCCAGACGAGCAGGATCAAGTCCTCGCCGGATTCGTTGCAGAATTCGTTCTGGTAGGGGCCGTCTTGACCCAACCAGGCTTGTCCGTTGGCGGCGTACGAGTTGAGGCCCAGGGACATGACACCCAAGGAGGTGAGCTTGCCGGCGTCAGCTTCGGTAATGGCAGCCGCGCGTTTCCTGTGACAGCGTGTCAGTCCACATTGCTATGCTCAGATTACTCAAGCTATCCTTACTCGACGTGATCATGTCTGCGGGCCGCATGACTGTGCAAGTGCGAGTGGGCGTGAGTAACTGAGGCGGCGTAGGCTTGGCCAATTGCCAGGGTGGCCAGCACCAGCGAGTTGAATGTGCAGCGCATCTTGTCTGGTTTGGTTCGACTTCTTGAGGTCCGGTCAAGAAGAGACTTTGTGTTGTTGTTGTTTGGTAAAAGGAGTGGTAATCGCTGGGATTGGGTCGATCTCAGATCGTCCTCGAAGGAGCGTGGGAAAAGGAGAGTGTGTGAAGAAAGGAATGGGCTTTCGCGTGAAGGAGTGAACGCGAGCTGAATGCTGGAACGAGTGTAAGAATGAATGGACGACGCTCGAGGACGTCTTTTAAGCAATATATCCAACCCAACAGGCACTCTGGCAGGAGAGAAAAGGAAAAAGAGCGCGAAGAAGCAGACAAGGAGCTAGACGTGCAGGATGCCACAACAGTGGCTCCAGTGCCAGGGGAGTTTGCGGATCCAACACAGCAACATTGGCATGATGCCGCCAGGGCCACCAAGGGGATGACCCAGAGCCGTGGCGCAACAAGAGCCCCAGAATACCCCTGTCAGAAGCCGGCGGGGCGTGCCTGCTTTAGCCTTTTGGGCTTTGAGTCCGCTGCTGTGAAACGCCCTAGCTTCACATGGCCGCTGCCAATTTCCAGCTGCTGAGCGAATGGTGGCCGCTGTTGCTCTCGCGTACCTGGCGCTAACTGCACCTAAATTCATCGCCTACGTCAACCGGCGCCGCGGATCGGACACGACCCTGAGGCCCTCATTTCGCGCCCTTGACGAGGCCAAGGAGCGTCGGCGCCAGAATCAAAGTCCTGTTGTTCATGCAGAGAGTAAGGACTGTCTTGCAAGCAACGACAAGTCACCTCTGGGACGCGCAAAGAGCAACGACCACCAAACATTGCTTGAAGATGTTCCGGGCGTGAAGCTGGTCGACCTCTAATTCGCGCCGGGGGTTCAGAGTGGCCCACACGACTCGGTGGGATTCCAAGAATGCCATGCAAATCGGACCAAGCAGGTGCAGAAGCTGGAAGTATTTCCACCAAACAGCAGTATGCATCTGTGGTCGACATGCCACGGGGAGTGGGAATCCAAGAGTTCGCCACCATCTGGCTATAGGTCAACCAATCCCTTTACAAAGCGTAGACTTTCCCAACCACTCGGGCACACCTCGACATGCATGGCAGCAAACATGGTAGAAGCAGACGGTCTCAGGACTTCGGCTGGTTGACAACCACGGCTGCCAGAATTGGCTTCGTCCGGAGTCCGCAGAAAGGCTCGGTCGCCAACCTCGAGCGTCTGATGTAAATCGAACCTGTGCTCCTGTCTGAACTACGGAGTAGAAGGGGCCGCACGGGCGCGTCGGGCAGGGGATTAGGTCTGCAGATGACACCCTCTCCGCGATTGACACGCCGTGCTCAGGTCCTGATCAGCGTTGTTTGCAGCATTTTCCCGTAGCCATTGTTTGAACCGACCAAGTCTTCTCAAGCTACGTAGGGTGTGTCTTCCGGCGCAAACACCTCAGAAAGGCAAGGTGCTGTATGCGAGTCGGTGGAATCATTTGCTACCACCCAGCACCAACACCAGCGCTGTGTTGGCATCCACTTCGAGTGCTGTTTGTTGATCAAACCCACATGCCGAGAAACGAGCGGAAGGAGGAGCCATCTGCCGGTATGCAGGAACAGAGCTGGCTGCATCCAAGTTTTTCCGCTTACCTTTCCATGAACCTTGCCCTGGAAAATGTGCAGAACGCTACTGGTTGCGCATTATGGAGTGGATACGAGCCCAAGCGTAATCTATATCATGACGACCAAGACTTCGGTTCCCATGCTGCATGGCCGAGCAGACATAATTGGACGGAGGATCAAAGGACTTGCATACAACCACTCACAGCCTTCGCGCAAAGGAAGAGAATGCCATTGTCTGGTGGATTCTTCGTCACGGCCCTTTTCCAACGTTTGCTGTTTTTTGGTTGCCCAACCACAACCATGTCGATGGGTTCGTATCGTGCTGGTTGTCAGCGGACATGAGTCGAACAGCATTCGCTTCCGCCCTGTTCTTCCTGATTTCGGCTCCCTCTTCCCAAGCCAGGCATTCTGGCAGATGCGGTCCTGTGTCCGAGTTTGACGAAACCAATTGACTTTCATGGGCAGTGAGCCGCTGTCGGTAGCGCTGTTCGCATATCCCATCCACGCGAAGCTTGGCATCGACCCAGCTTGCACAGACGAGCTTCCTTTCGCATAGACCTGTTGAACCCACTGCGCGGTTTGCTCATCCGCATGGATGGCTTTCCATCCACTCATCACTCTCTCTGACTCGGATGCGCAAAACCCTGACTTCGTGCTCGCCACGTTTGTAGTTGTGATCCATGCCACGCGACCACCTTGGCGCAGCTCATTCACTGCCTTACCTACCTCCAAGCGAGGTCTACAAGGCATCCCGGCATTGATCCATGCTTAGAGTATCCAATGCAACCATGCAACCATGCAAGCATGTAGACTGAGTTTTTTGGACACCACAGCTCATGAGTCTCGATTGTACTTTACCACCCGCCATAATCAGTCCCGGCATTTGGGTTGAGGTTCGGCTAGGTAGTGATATTCGTCGTCTCAGCGAGGATAAGATGTTTGTCCGAAATATGGCCGTCCATCCGTCACGAGGACCTCGGCGAGAGGACAAAAGACGGTGCCTTCAAGGCCAAGAGTCGGCCGGCTAATACTGTGTATGCAAGATGAGGCATTTGATTCTCGTAGCGTCCACCTTCTTCACAGTACCTACCTGAGCTGCAAGAGAACGGAGTTGTCACATCTCCAGCAGGAATGAGGTTTACTTTGCTCTTGCTCCCCTCGTTCCCGAAAATTTTTGAAGCCACGCTCCGTGAGCCTAGGCTTTTACATGCGCTTTAGCTCCGTCTTAGAAGAGGTGGACTGCATATGAAGGCCGAGGAGGGAGTCATGGTAGATATGTCTGGTTTGTCAAGCCCTGAGGGAATGGGTGTCTCGAAAAAGGCAAAAGTGGTAACCGTGAGCTATCTGCCTCATATCAGCAACGAGGAAGGGTGGGCTTTGGTGGAAGGTCATGGCGGTCAAGCAAATAGAGGGAGAGTGTGGGAGAGACAGGGAAGTGACCAGCAGAGAGGAGAGCGCAGGCAAAAGACAGGGAACGTCCGCTGGAAAGTTCTTCCGCTCCGAAGCATCTTTCTCAGGGGCATTAAGGGCGGTCTGCGGAGTACTGTAGTAGCACTCACCTCTCCGTGAACTTGAGTCCCATCTCAATATTCTATTTCATTACCATCATCAAATCATCCATCTGGGAACATTGTTGTACTATAGTACGTAGAACAAAAAGCATAGGCCCGCCACATATCTTGGAGGTACAGTCGAGCTTGCTGAGAGCCTCCACTCGCTAAACGTGTCGGTAGAAAGGCCGCGCGTACGGTGTATGTGCAGACACAACCGGCATTAGGTTGCCTCAAACGCGAGCGCGGCGAGACGGACACAGGGGCTTGTGTCGAGATTCCTTCTCTCCACCGCCCTGCCACGATTGCGTGGCCCTCCAGATATCCAATTTCAACCATATCAAGTGGGAGATCTGGACTTTCTTGATGCGTCGCTCGGGCTGCTCTGCGACGCAGAACTTGGTGTCTCACTCGGTCCTCCGCTGATAAGACGTGCTAGCCTTTCCAATCTCGGCCTCTGGATGGCATCGTAATAAAAGTAGTTTGCCTGGAAATTCCTCAGGACATCACCCGTGTCCAGCTCCAGGTGAGTCTCCCGAATTCGTCGGATATGCTCAGCAAAGCCGACCTCGAACAACTGATCGACAAACCACCGTTCTTCTTCACTGCCAATCATCGAGCACATAGCGCCAATGGTAAGGACCCAAGTCTTGGCTTGCACCAGACCTTCCCATTGGAGACGCGGCTCATCGACGGACCACAGGATCTTGCGCAACTTCGGCGCAATCAAGCCTCCTAGGCGCTTTAGGCCAAGGATCACCATTGATGTCAGTATCCACATCAATAATCCAACTCGAATCGCGTCGAGACTTGATCCGGTATAATCCATTGCGAGAAGTCGATATCTTACAGCTGCGTGTCGCCATTGGAGCCATCTGGCTGCGTGTTTCGACGCATCTGGTGCTCCATACGGGGCGTACATTAATACCCACGTGCATTCCGCTGTCTCTTGGATTGCTTCAACCAGTTCTTCCGGCAAATAACCTTCACGGCAGAGTCCCTGGAAGCTTGGTGCAATGCTGCTCAGGTCTTGCTGAGGCGCAAGCTGAAGCTCAGGGGCCGTAACCATCCAATACGGGCCAGGGTCATTTTCACAGGGTAGACTGCAAGGCTCCAAGAGAACAGCAGACATGTGGCCGTCACCAATGATGAATAACTCTTTCAGCGCGGGGTCAGGTACGTAGTCGAGGCCGCCCCATGAGTCGAACAGAGCTTTTGCCGCCTGCATGTGTATCTTGGCCGCCTGATAGTTCTGGCGGTAAGCATCGGCTGCATAGAGATGGAAGACAATCAAAAGCAATTGATGCTTCGGGGCTGAGCTGAACCGTTTCCTCACCGCCACCAAGGCATTGCCCATATATCTGTCCGTTCCCTGGCCAGGCACCAAATCCACGTTTTCAATTCTTGCGGCCATGCAGGCCAACATTGCATTCATCTCCACCTCGCTCTGCATGGCCCGTTGTATGACCTCTATCGCCGATGTCTGATACGTGTAAGAGTGTTCCCGTGACGCCCAGCTCTCTGCATGCCAGACGCTGGGGTGGAAGCTTTCGCAGAAGTAGCGACAGAGTTTGGCGACGTGCGAGTCGAGTTTGACAACCGACTGGCCAAACGGGTCCAGGGACGAGGAAGTGACCTGACTGATATCTCGAGGACTAGTCAGCGTTGGGGGGGAATTCAGGAGCACGATTGATTTCCCGGAGACGGGGAATTGAGGTGATTGCTTCTCTCTCTTTGTAGCAGAGGGTTTCCTTTCAGCACGAACTCTTGGTACAGGACTTTTCGAGACTGTCACTTCCGCAGCTTTGCGGCGTGGGGATGGGCGAGCCGGCAGGTCCGTATGGTGACCGACGCCATCATGGAGGGTCGCCGCCTTGGATGGCAGAACAGATTCTGAGGAAACAAGAGCCTCCGGAGCATCCACTACTGCGTGGTTGACAATGTGCTGAGATGGATACAGTTTCAGATCAGGGTCTAGCAGAACTGGGTCGCTCGCGTCAGTAGTCTTCTCCTTGCCGGGAGTTCTCCTGCCCGTGTTACCAGCGCGGCTGGCACTGGTGGCGGAGCGTCTATGTCGACGGCCACGCTGGACATGAGAGTTGATGGAAGTTTGTTCAGCAGCGTTGCTGCGGGTTAACGAAGGACTGGCAGCATCCTTATTCACGAATAAGAACAACGGCGGCATTTCTGGTAATGGACGCTTCGTGGATCTTCATGGTCGATGGACTCTAGGTGACTCGGGCTGTCCATCGATGGCTCGTGTGTCCCGTCGCTTTCCGATCGCGTCACCCGATGGGTGCACAACGCGGCCAGCAGGAGCAAGCTGTCCAAGACGATGATCCGCCAAGCGGAGTAATGCCTTGAGCCTGCGGACTACTAGCTAGAAATCCGGGGTAGCGATGGACATGCCAAACCTCGTAAAGGAGGGGGCATGGTGAAAGGAGACGGGTTTTAGCCTCGGGGCGTCGCACGGTCTGGATTGTTGGCGAGCGCGCCATTCTCGAACCGCTTGCGCCAAGACGAGGTCGATCTGATGCCCACGTGCTCATCAAATGTGGGAGCCACTTATTACACCGCCAAGGCTCTAGAGTATTTTCACGTGATCGAAATGATAGGTTTCCTGGCACTGGGAAGGTCACCCGAGGGTTAGCCAGACAGTGCTAAGGGCTGTTATAGACTGATAGGCGTAGGTCTGGACCGGTCTATGACGGCAAGGGCAGGTTAGCCGGATTATCCTATATTCTGTCTGCGTCCCTGCAACACCACGGTAGCTCGAAGCACGCTTGCTGGGGCGGCACCGTCATCAAGCATTTTCCTTGCTGCTTGTCAATAGTCCGTGTATGTACGACTTCGAGGAGAGGCAGGTGGGAGGACTAACGGTAGGGCTAGATGCCTGGGTATTCGTTGCCTCGTCAGATAATCCTTTATGCAGACAGACCCGCAAAGTGCGATGTCGACATGGGCCTGTGGGCATGGCAGCCGCGTCTTTCAGCGGAAAAGGTTCCCGGTTCGGGATCCAGGATGCGTCTGAACCCGCGCAACATGAAATTTCATGACTTGCACAGGGTAGAACCACGATTCACTGGGGTTTGGAATGGCAAGCCACTGTAATTTGATTAAAACAATTCATTACGCCCCGACCTTTGAAGACCACGCGAGCAACCAAAAGGAGAGCAGAGCCCTCCTGCTGTGATCCTGCAGTGGCCACTCCAATAGCGAGAAAGTGCGTCGGAACGAGCTTTTCTACTTGAGAACACTTTGATTTCGTGGGGGCGACGGCGAGAGGCTGCTGCTAGCGAGGTGCTTACATCGGAGACCGCGTGAAGCGCATACAAATGATAAATTGGCCATGTCATTTTGAACTCGCATAACTTGGGCAACGGGTGGCTGTCTGCTTCGCTCGGATGAGATTCCCGGGCCGGTTGCTTTTACCGAACGGATGATATCTCTAGGCTAGTCAGTAGTATGATGCAAATCATGACAAATGCGAGATCTGTGACTCTTCCAGTGATAGCTTCGTTTTGCTTCATAGGGACGAGACAGATGGACAACTTCGTGAAGATATGCTTGTCTCTGTCCATTCGATAGCATGTCTGGTTTTAAACCAATCCACCCTGCGCGAGCCCCTCCAACAGCCTCCCCTGTCTATCCCGCGGTAAAAGTTGATACGCCATCGTCAAAACGGAGAAGGAACATCTCGGTAGCCTGTCAAGCTTGTCGGCAGCACCGACGGAAGGTATGTCCTTCCTTGTGCCCAGCTTATTATAGCTCCTCGCCGTGTTTATGAGGAAATATTTCTGAGGCCTCTAGTCGATAGTGTAGCGGTGGCCAACCATGCGTCAATTGTCGAGTGCAAAATCTCGATTGCGTCATTGCCGCCCACCTGGATGGACGCCGAAAGGAACGGCTAAAGCGACGAATTCAGGAGCTTGAAAGTGTCAACGAGGTATTCACCGAATTAGTACGCACCATCCGGCAAAGTAAGGGTGCAAACGTCGTGCATGCCGCCGCTCAGCGCAGCGGCAACGCTTTGACGCAGGAAGTGAAAGAACCTCACTCAAAGGCCGACACTCTTAACATATTGATCGACTTCATTCGAAATTCCAACGATCAATCCCTGGAGGAAGGGATTCGACTAATCCGGGAAAATGGGTCTTTGAAGGATATTACTCAACACGCACGAATCATCCTCACGTGTCATCGGGAGACCAGCAGGTCCTCTGCTGGCATCAGGCATGACATTATGAGCATTTCATCCTTGACCAATACGCCTCCTTTGCAACTTCCCGCACAACCTTGGACCAATGTAACAACCGATGATGTCGCCGTTTCCCATCTCATATCGACATACCTTGCCTGGCAATATCATCAGTATCCTTCTCTGATACCCAACATCTTTCTAAGGGCAATGAAAGCGAAAGATCTGTCAAGTCAACTCTGCTCTCCTCTTCTGGTCAACGCTATTCTGGCAATTGCATGCGTAAGTTGACTGTCCGCGTTCATGCCGAGGGTTACGAACCAGAATAGATGTACACCGACCAACCATACGCTTTTGCCGACCCGAGCGATCCATCCACCAGAGCGCTCCACTACCTGCAGGAGGCAATAAGGCTGTGGAATTGCGAGGAAGGAAGGGTCTCTCTGACTACCCACCAGGCGTTTCCACTACTAATGGGAGCGTAAGTCTACTTGGACAGAAGCCTACTTTGTCAAGCTGACACGCCAGTTTCGTTCTTCTTGGGAAGGATCGCAGCGCCATACTCTACGCGGGTCAATTATCCACTCTAACGACGGAGCTTATTATAAAAGTCCGGAAGAGTAAGAGACAGGGAGGACTCGAGTTCACTTCGGACCAGTTTCGACGTTCGTATTACTCATCCATATGGGCATCTTTTAACATCCTGGCGCAAGTACGCCCAGCAGCCGTGGCGGAGAAAGACTGACATATGCAGGGAGGTCGCTCTGGCTTGGCTAAGAACATGGGAACTTCAGAAACCTCAGGTCATACGTCCATTTGCAGGTGACGAGTTACGGTACCGGACAACATGGCGACCATATCCCGATCCGGGTCATGAAGTTCCGATATATCAATACGCAATCAACGACGCCAGGTTTGATGTTTACGAGATCACAGCCGAGCTGATACCATTATCACTCAGTGGGAATCCTCAAGATAGCCCTCTACCTGGACACATCATCCTAGACAAAACGGAACTAGAGATCCGCCTGGGTGAGGTGGAGAACAAGCTGATGAAGTGGTTCCAGTCCCTACCTCTAGGCACAAGGGCGGAAGACCTGTCTCCTCCGAGTGCTCCTTTAGTTGACCTTCAGTGAGCATGCTGTTCTCGGCCATGGAAGTTGCTAACGTATTCTAGTCTCGCCTACCATACCCGCTGCATCCAGGTCCAGAGCATCCGGCTGCGAAACTTAGGCGCCGACGACGTGGACAAACAAGAAGTTGAACAGAAGCTATTGCAGTCGTGCAAAAGTGTCGCCCAGCTTTGTTTGGCTTGCTTCGCACCCTACTCGGTGCAAGCAGCGACCGTGGCCGCTTATTCTCTGATGGATTTCCTGACCAGACACGAAGTCCGCGATAGCTTCCATGCCACGATTGAATCACTGGGCACCTCATCACGCCGATTCCCCTTATGCCGAGGAATTTTGAAATCCATTTGGCATACGTTGCTGGAGCGGAAGCTTGATGTATGCTTGGGTGAATCAACGTTGACTCTTCTAAAGCTCAACGCGTTGGACGCTTGGGGTCCGGAAGATCACCGCCAGTTCGAAGGTTCAGCATATCCGAATCTAGTGGTCGTGAGAGAAAGAGGGCGAGAATTTGCGGAGATGAGTGATCTTTTATTGCAATATTCGCGGCTCGACATGGACGACCATTGATGAGGTAGCGGTCGTGGGCGACCTGCAGGAGTTTCAAAATGCCGGGCGCCTGCCGCGAAGCGGTTGGTATACCGCACTGGACAGCACCAAACATATCAAGGCCGGCGGGATTTCGTCCGCCTGGGTTGGCGAGACTGAGGCATGCAACCGAACAAACTATACCGGCAATCAACTGAACCAGACTTGCACAAGCCACCTTGAATGTGGGAAAGGGGATCCACGCAGTGCAACAGCGAATCTGAACTTTTCTCTTTTTCCAACCCGCCAACGTCACCAGCTCCCGAACCGGGAAGAGCAAGCTCCTTGACCACCCAGACTCGACTCCAACACGGGCGATGGAGAAATCTCCTCAAACAATGACTGTAGTCGTAGTTCAAAAAAGGCCATCGGCCTGGCTGCCAATTCATACAAGCGCATGGAGCCAGCTGGCTGGGCCAATTCTAGTAGTAGCAGACAGGCTCGGGCTTTCTCTTCCGTGCTTCCCTTCTTTCACCGGCTGATTCATTCCTTCAATGCGGATTCGTCCATGCCCGCAGGGTGACACTGCAATGCTACCTACCAGACGGACACTTGATCACCTCCGGCGGAGCGCCTCTCCAGGTACTAAGTGTTTTGCTTTGTCTGCCCAACCTCGGTAGTGTAACTGATAGTCGGAGGCGTAACCATAAACACCCTTCACGAACCGTGACTGTCCATCATTATAACCGATATTGACACTGGCACGGTATAATTCGACTATAACCGTAGGCCTATAGGTCTTTGCAGAATAGGACGGGTTTACCTATATAGCACTTATTTTCGTGAGGAGATCGAAAAGCGACTCACTCGATTAAGGAGTAAGGGCTCTCTGTAGTGAACCCAACAACTCCATTCCAACAGGTATAGAATTCTCAACAGCCCAAGGAGTCACCGAACGACGTTGGTTGTTTGGAGGTGAGTTTGCGACTGGGTCCATGTTTGACGATGCCAGCCCTGACGGAGGCCGCGATGCCAGCCCCGAGACAGCGTGCGCGCGCGCTTTAGCACGTTGCAGGTAACGTTCGCGATGCGATGCCGCATGCCGCATTCTTTTTGGTGGCCGGAACAGGTGGATGAAGACAGACTTTGGGGCACTGCCAGCAGACATATCACATGTGGCAGGAGTGTAGGCGCGGCGGACGGCGATCCCTCACTGTACACTGTGCGGGTTTGGTTTTGAGATTTGCTGTGACCGACCACATGAGGAAGCGCTCCTTCGGCGGAGTCGTCGAGGTCGAGCGGCGTTCGGCTCCCCTGCTTGGACCATCGTAAATCGAGTCAGTCGGGTACACTAGGGGATACCGCGGTAGAGGTTGAGCGTCCGAGCGTGGCTAGGACTATAACGCGCTCCTTCATGGCTATAACCCCCTACCCGAATACGTAGGGGTGTAATTTTCGCTCTGATCAAGTCGAGACTACTGAGCCGAAGGAAGTGAAGTCAAGGGAAGGAAAGTAGACATGCAGGGATAAAACGAGTCGAAGTGGCCGGTGTCTGTAGTCAGCGCGCCCGAGGGCATTTCGCAAATCATGACGCGGATTGGAATGGGAAGATAGAAAGCCTCTTATGTATTCAGCATTCCCTAGCCTGTAGTCTCTATTCTGTCTCCTTCTCCCTGTGTTCCTGGACCTCTTCGCCAAGGGTTCGCTGCGACGAGCGCGAGCTGTGATCGATACCGTCCTTTTCGATCGGAGTACCTGTATTCGCTTCGAACTGCTGCGCCTGTCCTTCTCCTGCGGGCCCTACAGGATTTTCCTGGCCGAAAGGCGTTGGACGTTCCTGTACCTGGACAGCCTCTTGACCCGTTGGGTTGTTCTTCGGGGCCTCGGGCACTCCTTTGCGCATGTTATACCCGCCATGCCAGCCGATCCAGCCTCGCTCGTGCGGACCCCTGAGGAAGCAAACGACCAGCGCCGCAGCGACGAAACCAACGCTAGCAGAGCCAGCGGCGACCCAGCCGCCATCCGCGTAGATCGCATTGCCCACGGCGGTGCCGATCAATTGCCCACAAAACACACTGACCATGTATGCCGTGTTGACTCGATTGCGGGCCTTTGGCGCGACGGCGTAAATGGCGGTCCGGTTCGCGATCTGACTTGTCTGTATACCGATATCGATGCAAACGGCTTCGATGACTGGACCGGCAACTGTATGTTTGCCAGTGAAGGTGCCGATGATCACGCCTGTGAGGCAGATCAACTCGCCGATGATGACCGAGAAGAGAGGCTGGTGTTTCTCCATGACGGTCCTTGCGAAGATCGGGCCCCAGCTCATCGAGCCTATGCCGATCAGGGCAAACAACCCGATGACCAAGGAGCTGTAGTGGTACGGCGGCCCGGCCAGGAGGAATGTGAGCGTCGTCCAGTAGCTCGTAAAGGACGTAGAAGTGAGCAGGCCAATAAGCATGGCCTGTACCAGTACCGGATATTTGGCCACCAGCTTCAAGATGTCCCACAGGAGCCCTGGATACCTCCTCCAGATTTTCTCACCTGGATTGGTTGCCGGGTAATCTGGCATGAACAAATACAGCAAAACCAGAATGAAGTATTGCAATCCAAACGAGATCCAGTAGATATAGCGCCATCCAATGAATCGGGCAACCACTCCGGACAGAAGACGAGCAATTAGCATGCCAAGTAGCATACCTGAGACGACGATCGAGAGGGAGGTCGATCGACGATGCGGTGGTGCCATGTCGCCAACGAGTGGCAGCATCAACTGGGGCGTGACAGTTGTGACGCTCGTAATGAACGTGATCACACCGAACACAGCGAAGGACTTGGTCACGCAGAGCCCGATCCTGCAGCGAGAGTCAGGCCAGTAGACGGAAAGAAAGTACGGTGGACAATGTACCATAATGTGGCCGTGAACCAGACCAGCCACAGCACAAATGGTCTCCTTTTGAGCAAGTCTCCCAGGGGACAGAGAAACAGCAGCCCGCCTGCGTACCCGGCCTGCGCAAGCGTGGGAATATAGGACGATTGCTCGTCCGTGACGTGGAAGTCGTCCGCAAGGAGGTTGAGAATTGGGTGGGTATAGTAGAGATTTGCCACAGTGAAGCAGCCGGCGAATGCTGGTAGGCGCAAGCTGTCAGTGTCTTGATTCCCCTCCGCGACGAATATGCTCATACCGAATAGCACGTTTAAGCCCATTGAGAACTCAAACGGCTTGTCAGGGTCATAGCGACAACTTGGTGGCACATATGTCAGGCAATGATATATCGTCTGGATGATTGTCCTTTTCGATCTGGGCGTCCCATCTTGAGCGACGCTCTCCGGGGGTGCGTCGACACTCACGGCCGCCTTGGTGGGTGTCTGCGGGTGAGCTGGCTGCGACATGATTGAGCAGCCGCAAGTTCAAAGCTGCAAACAGCGCCAGACGCAGGAAGAGGAGCCATGGTACTCAGGTCACCGACACGGGCTAATAAGGAGAGGGGATGGGAGATATTCGATGTGCGAAGGCTAATGCCCGTTGTACGCAAATGACGCGAAGATGGGACACATGGAGTACTCGTAAAGGACAGAACGGTGAGGATCGAGGTTGGAGAGAGCCATCTTTTCCCCAAGGTCCTGACCAATGCAGCATGCCCCGGCTAAACGATTTGCGGCATCTTGCCGGCGAACAGCCCTGCTCGGCACATACGCCGATGTGTACTTTCGGAGACTTTCGACCTTGAACCAGGCAGGACAGGTTGCAACTGCAATAATGAATAGATAAGTATATGACTGATGGCAGACTGATGCAAACAGAGATGTAATGTGCTGCTGGTATTTGTAACTTTTCGCAAGATCCACGATCGCCATACAGAACTTTTCGCCCGAGCCTACAATGGCGAACCCGACAATAACGAAGCAGAAGTGATTATAGCGTCCTGAATCCTACCGCACGCTGATTCGTGATATAAGAGCCGCAAATTGAGCTGAGAAGACAATTCAAGAAGCAGAAGGAGAGGGTATCCCGACCGACGGAGCCTCCAGAAAACTTTGCGGACAGAGAGGTAACAACAATACCGTCGATGTGCTCGTCATCAGTCATCATTCATCAAGGTCGTTACGTCGTGGTCAGCTGCTGATAGCATCATTTCGTCATTCTGGGCTTTTGAATGTCCTCGCGTAAGTCTCGGAGAGTCTTTACGAAATCTTCCGCGTCTGCGACAAGTCAGCAATAAGCGCCGACAGCAAGGCCCGGGCCACGTCTAGGTACCTGAAAGGGATTCGAAGTCGAGAAAATGCTCTCCATTCGCACGAACGTGTGGCGAGTATTCAGAGGTGAACACATGTCGATGGAGCTCCGCAAGGTACACCGTGGAACTGTTCTTGGGCCAACGACACCAGGTGGGTGAAGTGATTTTGTGTGTAATGAACGCGGTCCAGATCGGCGTGCTACTGGAGAGTTCAGCGCCTAATGTCCAACAGCACCGGCGAAACTTACTCTTTCATCTCCTTGTCAAGGACAGCGGCTTCGAGACGGATAGCGCCGGTACCCTTATCACGGTACAGCCGCAGTGCGTGCTTGTAACCACTATCGCGGATTGCACTGGCAGAATCAGTAATGGGACTCCCAAAAGGCGTAGGTCCAGCTCAAACCCTGCGAATTTTAGAGCCTCGCCATCGAGGTCATGGTGGAGGTTGCCGAAACTCGACGTGGTGTCATGAGCCCGCAATGACAGCACGGTGCAGTGAAAAATAACAAGCCCTAGCAGCCTTAGCCAAAATTGCAACAAAAGCTTTAAACCGGAACTTACACTCGTACGAGGTGAAGTTGAGGCTGGTCCAACAGGTACTAGAGCCACGAACTGTCGGACAGCAGAGGTAAAGCAATGGTCCATCGCGTCGTACGTGCAAGTCGCTGAGCGGAAAGCAGGACTGTCGCGGATTCCTTCGATTGTCATACCATTCGCAGACAATCTTGCTGCGATAATCGCGGCGACGCCAGTAAAACTTGGTTCGAAGACCGCCGGGGAATTTCCTACCACCAGTCAATGCTGTACATTCACTGACGACTCGACATACAACTGAAGGATTCTTTCGTATTCCGCATCTGGTGGTCGATGTCTCTTGCCGTCCACATCTCCAAAACAGCAGGATCTGCCCCATAAGATAAGTCAATACTCTTCGGACAAGAAGGGCGGTCTTCTCACAGGTTGGGATCCTCAGCTAGGGCGGTGCAGGGGAGGTCGTGGAATATCTTAGTTGCCCAGTGTTTTGTCTCTGAGTCAACACTCGAAGAGCGACTCAACGTGGAAAAGGTCGTCACAGGAGAAGTGGGAGTTGCAACGGGGGAAAGAGGTGGCGGACTGGGCGCTGCCTTGTGCTGGAAGGTCTCGTAACTGTCATTGGAGGCAGTGGGTGACATGGGTCGCTGTGGCTCTGGCCTTGGTCGCTCGTGTGATTTGGGCTTTCTGAGGACTGCTTCTCATCAGCAACAGCAGCAGATCAGGAAATTACAGCTCGACCTTGCTGGACTGGAACCAGTTCAAGCCTGCCAAAATCCTCCGTTGCCTTGAGCAGTCTTCTGTCCCCGCGCTGTAGCAACTGCAGTTCGTAGATGTCGTGGCGCAAGTCGTCGAATTGGGCTTGACTGTAGCTTTGCCTATGCCAACTTCCTGAGCGGCTTCGACACCAAATCGGAAGGCGCGCTTGCCTACCTTTGGAGAACTTTACACAGCGAGCATGCAAACAGCTCATACGTCTTTAGTCGCATATCGAGGGTCTGCTTTCCCATGTTCGTGCAATATCGGACAAGTTCTTTCCACGCATCTTGGTAGTCGGCGGCGATCGCAACACGAGGTAGTCTGCCGAGGATGGTCCAGACATCTTGTAACGTGAAAGCGACGCTGTGCTGGAGGAGTTTGAGGTCATTGGCAAAGGTTTTCCTGAGTCTCCCATTGACGGCGTCGATCTGTCTGTTGAGTTCTCGAAGTGCCCAGCTCAATCCGTTTAGGCCGGTGATCGCCAAGGTAATGTCCTGCTCGTGGTCCAAGTCATTGTTGCGTACCGCGTTGAGGATTTCCGAGATGTCTTGGGCCCTGCCGGCCTCCTCTCGTAGAAGTAGATCCATGCATGGTAGATCCAGGTGCGCTCAGGATTAGACTCCAGGGCAATGAAGAGACCAGCTCGCGCCGCACCTGCGACGAGGCTCTTTTTTCCAAGCTGATGCCAGTTCAGGACGAGGGCGGCCGTATCGGGGAATCTCGTAATACAGCGGAGGCAAATGCAGTTGTTGACGTGTCAAGCCGACAGCAGGCGAAGCCGAAGATTGCGGCACTGATGCATAGCTAGAGGAAACGCCGATTTGTCACTTCCGACTTTGCGCATGAACCCTCGCAACACAAGCTCCTAAGCTCTCCACCCGTTTCACTGTCATGGTCTGTACCAGATTTAAACGATCTTAGCCCCTGAAAATGTTCTCTTGCCGTGCTTGTAACTTGTGCCATGTGGAAGGTTGCATTGACCACGCCGGAGCAGTCAGGAAGTGTTTGTTGTTTCTGGAAGTGTACAGTGAAGATGCCGTCATGCTGCAGGCTATTTTGCTGCCTAATAAGCCTGAGCAATTAGCGGCCACCAGAGACTTTTGTTGGAGCAGAAGTCACCAAGCGAGGCCTCTCATGCAGTCGACGTGGTTCTTCTTACATGACCGCCACGGTTGACCTACCTGGAATTGGAAGTAGCTCGCGGTCGTTCAGCAAGGTAGCAACCTCTGCTGTAGCCATTTCAGGGTGAAGAAGTCGCAGATCAAGCTAGGAGAACAGTTGTGACGCGCTGTGGTGGCGTGAAAGGCCAAGTGCCTATGTGAGGAGCGGATGGAGCACGACGCTCAAGAGCACGCCTCAGATTCCCAGTAATGGAATGCTCAACGTCTGGTGTACGGAGAAAATCAGGGAGGGAAAATGCCCTGCAGCTTTTGAGGTTGAGAGCAGGAACGCTGCGCCTTGCTGGTGCCTGAGGCATAGTGGCCAAGCCTACTGCAGCAGCAGCCACCGGACACCGTCGACTTAGGGCGGCTGAGACGGGATGTCGAAACCATAGATTTCAGTTGACGGTGGTGCTAGCGAAGGATCATCAAAGCTTCTGTTGGATGACAAACCGTGGACTCTACCGCTCCTGAAGGCGTTGGTAAAAAGCAAAGATTTGAGAGCTGAAAATGGGGAGGTAGGTGAAGCTGGCTTTGACGCGACAACATCTGTCACCTAGCACGTTTGCAAAAAAAGAGTGAAACCAGATTTCTGTGCCTGATATCATTGCATCAAGAGTTAGTATACAGCAGTATCATGGTAGGCTTATGCTATGTCTGCAGCTGAGCTATCATTCTTGGGCCGGGATGGGCTCCCTCGAAGACATGGCTTAGATACTGAAGCTCGACGACAATGTCCGTAAGCTGCATCTGTGAAGCATACCGATCCTGTCCATAAGCTGACTCCATAACCCCTGCCTCCCAAGCCTATCGTTGCTAATGAAAACATAAGAGGAAGACGAGCAAGTCCGACCAGCATCGACGGTGTCACAACGGAAGAAGACGTTGAGTGGGAATGCACCCGCCCGCGTCCATTTACTCGTCATCGTCATCATCGTCCGCAGCCTGCTCAGTGTTAGAGTGCGTTTGCGTACAAAGGTCTTGACCAGACTCACGTTGTATTTGGCCTTCTCGTCTTCGTAGCGCTTCTTGTCAGTCGCAGCCTTCTTCTCGTATGGCTCACGCTGCTTGTCGCTCAGAGCTTTCCACTTGTCACCGAGCACCTTGCCGACTTGGCCTGTCGATGTGTTAGCGCGCCTGGGGCCCAGACTGTGAAGCTTCAGGAAGTCTTACCAAAGCTGATGCCGGGGTTCTCTTCGCGAACAGTCTCACGCTGCTCATTGGCGAAGAACATGTAGGCCGAGAGACCACGCTTTGGGGCATTGGGGTCTACCAAGGTCAGTCCAGCAAGGCCAAGATGAAGTGTATCGACGCACCCTTCTTCTTCTTCTCTGTGCCACGGCCCTTAGCCTTGGAGCTGGATTTTGCGCTTGCCTTAGGCATGGCTGATTTCGAAGAGGACTTGGTGATTGTTGAGGTCGTTTTAGGTCTGGTGGCGGTCTGCGCAGTGCTTGTCTTAGCCATGAGAGCGAATGAGAGAGGAGAAAAGAAGCAAGAGTTGCGGGTATTTGAGCAGAGCGCAACAAGCGCAACAGCGCAGTCAAGTAGCGAAAGAGTCGTGGAGTGGGTAGCAGTGCGGTTGAGGAGACTGCAAGACAATGGTGGGTGGGACAGGTGAAAGAAATATTGGAGCGCAAAGCAATTGAGATTGTTTTGAGTGAGTGCATTCGCGGTCAAAACGCGTGTTTTGGCAGTAACAATGGGCAGTCGAAATGCGGCTGGACTCACCAACACAGTGAAGACGCGTCCAGCGAGCTGATTCCGCGGTGTTGACTGTGGTGGTGGTTGTCAGCCGTAGTTGACTGTGAGGTGAAGGTGACAGCGACGATGAGGTTGCGCCAGGTAGCAAACAGTGCAGAATGATGAAGAGGCGTGCATTTTGAATGCGAGTTTGGCGCGCAAGCTATCGGAGAGGAGAATGGGTGGTGTGGACAGCGCGGGTGAAAATAGTGAAGAGAGGCAAGTGAGTACTTACAGTATGAGGGCGATTTGCTGGGTGGTAGTGGGCAGTACAGCGCGCTCACAGTATGGGAGAAGCAGTACGTGAGGGAGTAGTAGGAGGAAAATGTATGGGAGGCTGGCAGAGTGAGAGAGGCAGCAGGGCAGGGCAGTGGGAGGGACGGGGGACGGGCGAAACTCCCTCTCCTCTCCTGTGATCTGATCCCGCATCCCGCACCGCACCGCATCACTCACCCATTCATCAGCCATCACCCAGCGAGCCATGACCGTCCACTCCCAGCTCGCCCTTACTCGCCCTTGCTCGCCCTGCTGCTTGTCCTGATCTTCTTGCGAGTTTCCAACCCACGCCCATCCACTCACATGTGTCCAAATGCCCTGCTGGCTCTGAAGCTACGGATTGTGGTCTGCCTCCAGACCGACCCAGCTGAGTTGATTTGTTTGACTGATCTGTGATCTCTGCTCCCTCTCCTTCCTTGCCTCTCTCCCTGAACCTGCGAATTACTCCACCACCCCTACACGGTCACTTCACCCACCCGCCCTCGCAGTCTTCGTTCCTTGCTCCTCAGCAGTACTACTGCACTAAAGGCCGCGCATACCCTGCGCTATATCCAGAATTCCTGCACAAAGATAGTGACCCTTTAGGATCGCCTGGATATGCCTCGTGAAGAAACGTGCATGTTCCGCATGCTTACGATTCCTGTCTGTTTATTTCTCCTACAGTACGGAGTATTTTCTCAGCTTCTCCTGATTCGCCAAGGCACTTGGACGACTGTTGCACCTTTGGGACGCAGTTGGCTCGCATTCCCTTCTCTCTGTCCACCACGCGTTCTCTTGACAGCTGATTTCCTTCCCATTCCATAGTCCGTGTCTACCCCAAAGAATTCGGGGCGTCCTCGCAGCTCTCAGCAGGCGCCCCGACGGGCAGACGGCTCCCATTCCGCTTAGCTTCTGGACTGACAGGTATCCACCTCAGCGTCCCCACCTGCCAGATGCACTTTCACTCATTGCTCTCTCATAACAATAACATCAACTCTGTGCCTATGGCTTTGAGCCTACCTCGCAAGTTCATGCTTGTGGAATGCATCTACTGTGGTAGGAAATTGCACGGTATCTGCACATGACCAAAATTCCTCTCCTGGGAAAATTTGTGAAATGAAGGGACCTTTCCATAACATCCATCTAAGTCCTACCACTGACCAAACGCGAGGCCTCCAGTCGGCAGCTGAAGCAGCGAGATCTCAGTCTCGAGAGGACCAAGGTCGTCCGGAGAACGTTTCCGCGAACTGCAACAACCGTGAACATTTGTACCTACTTAGGTACCCAGTATCAGCATCTCATGATGCTAGAGATGGGAGATCCGGCCATTCTGAGTGGCTCATCATCCTCGCCTGTGGAACGGTGTGTCGTTCAGTCACGTGATGACACACGCGTGATTCGGTCCACCGTTCTTCCGATGCTTGGCTATCTGAGCCGGCTGCTCCATACAGAGTCGAGATAGTACATTCAAATCTGGTTTCCCCATGAAGACGAAGACAGTTTTGGTAATTGCACGCTCCTTTGGAGTCCTCCAAAGGTCATGTTTTAGCAACGCTGTTACTTCTATCGCTCCAGTCGTGACGGTGGCGCAAACTGCTACCTACTCCGTGCCAGATACGTTGTATACTAAATATAGGGTTGACTGATGTGCAGGCACTCTTGAACAGCTCAAACCTGTGCCTTCCTCTAGTCGTAGTGGCGCGCCGCCTCGAAGACCGTACAAGGGTCACGGCGCCGAAGCCAGAAGCCTGACTCTCCAACCCTTTGCCTTTTCTCTTCCAGACGCCGGCTATAAAAGCACCCGAGCAGACTCACGACCGGAACTCCATGCTAAACAACTTGTCCCAAGGCCTCTCTCTGGGCTTTGCAGGCGACGGGGAGGAGGCATTCCCAGCACCACTCGCAACACCGGGAGTCGAGCTCTTAGCTGGACTTGCCGTCGGCGTCGTCGAAGACAACCCCTTCTGCCTCAACGGTGACTGCGAAGGATTTCTATGCGTCGAAGCCGAATAGTTGGGTCTCTTCCCCAGAATCTGCGGTCTAGCTGGCGTATTGTTCCGTGCAGCTTCAAGCGCAGCGTAGGCAGAAGTAGAGGCGTGCAGGTCCATTTCCGCCTCCCTGGGAGGAGGAGCAGACGGTCCAGAGTGACCACTCTATTCTTCGCATCAGCCTGTTTTCTTTCGGCGCACTTAGGGGCCGAGAAGTAGATCTCGCCTCACCACTTCAAAGACCTGGGCTTCTTCCCTGTCGGTCTGGCTCGCCTCGGTTGGACGACGCACAATGCTAGGCACGCTGGCTTGGCCCTGAGCTTGGTTCGGAGCCTGTGCGGTCATCGGGTCCGCCGCATTCTGTCCTTCGGCTTCGTCATTCTCGTTGTCCGCATCCGCATGCGCATCCTCGTCAGGAACAGCCACAGTCGCTCCCCTCGCATCGTGAGGAAGAGCATGCCGCCTCTCCGCATCCGTATCGCTTGTAATGGGCGCCAGCGGCGCAACCTTGCTCGAAGGCAGCATGTCCTTCACACCCCTCTCCTTGCCTTTCGTCTCCAAACTCTTCTTACTGCCCGAACTGGACCGTCTGCTATCCAGACTCTTCGTCAACGTCTTAGTGAACATACTCGCCGTACCTGTTGCGCCGCCGCTTCCCATGCCCAGCGCAGATTTATGTTCCTTCCGTGTGCCCATATGCCCTTTCACCTCCACATTGCTCGCAATAACAGTACTCTTGCCCACGCTCGGCGTGCCGGGAGCACCCAGCTTCTCCTCCACCGCATCGATCATGTACCACCGCAACCCATCCGACAACTCAAACGGATTCTCGTCGTCCATGCTGCGCATACTCCCATCATCGCCGGTGGCAGACATACTCGCATTGCCCCTCATACTCCTCGATAGATCGACGACTCGTTCTTCAACCCGTGTAATCCTCGCGAGCAGCCAATCTCGGCTAGCCAACTTGTGTGTCTCCGTTTCTCGCAGGAAGTAATGTGGCGCGCCAACATTGAACGCCGCCCACGGGCGGGTAGCCTGATTCCGGGTCGGCAGGAAGAGCGCTAAATCACCTTCCTTGAACGACCTATATGCGATCTTATCGTGCGCATCGGCTTGGCTTCTATGTGTGCGTTCACGATACGCCCGTGAGTCCTTCTGATATTTCTTCGCCAGCGACTCGACATCCTTGTAGCGTTTCGTCAATATGTCGATCGTGGAGTCGATGTCCAAGCGCGATAAAGTGGAGACAAAGGAAGTGAATTTGGAGGACTCGCTGGTCAGATCGTTATCACTTGTCCAGTAGAGGGTGTCCAAGTCGGAGGGGTCGGAATAGTGCTGAGGTGGTGCTGAGCCGGATATGGTGCGGCGCATGGCACTTGTATGGGCAGGGGAAGACTCGTTGCCGCTTAGCAAGGTGGATGCGTTCACCTTGGAGGCGCGTTGGATCGTGAGTGTCGGTGTGTCTTCTGCACGAGAGACAGAGTACCCGAACTGTTCCAGCATGCGTATTATCCTGTCGTGGTGATGGAAGAGGCGCTCCGAGAGTTGTTTGGCACGTTCGCCGCGTTTGTCGAAATGGCGGCGCAGCTTTTCTTGTGCCTCTGCGGCGAGGGCTGCTTCGCGTTTGAGGTCTTCGAGTTCATGTTTCAGACGCTGGATTACCCCTTCATCTTCGGCCTTGCGGTCCACCAGCTCGGCTACTTTAAGTTCTTCCGATTTCAGCTGTTGGCGTAAGGCGTCCGATCCAGTCTCCCCAGCGGCGAATTTCTCTCTCAGAGAGTGCATCTCCGTACGGTCACTGGCGAGCTCTGAGCGCAGAGCGGAGATTTGCCGTCGCTCCTGCTCGAGGCTTTCTCTGAACTGCGTGGCACGGGCTTCTGCGCTTGAGAGCTTTCCGGTCAAGACTTTTGTCTGCCCTTCCACGTTTGCCAGCTTTTCCTCAAGGGATTTGTTTTCCGCCGTGGCAAGCTGCAGCGAATCGTCTAGCCCGCGAGCATGAATCGCCGCTCCTTCGGACAAAATCTCTAGTGCATTGATAAGCCTCCTCAGATCATCTGGTGGAGATCCCGCAGGAGAAAGGTTCTCGTGTGCGCCCTGCAATATGGCAAGGTATTCTTGCTGTTGGTCCTCCATTTGCCGAAGCTGGCTTGCTAATGCTACATTGTGCGATTGCGCTGATGCGCGCTCCTCCTTGACTTGATGGAGTTGGCGATCCAGAGTGGCCGCTCTTTCTCGCTGGGTAGCCGTTTCCTTTTGTGCTGCTGCGAGCTTGCGTTCTGACTGTGCCAGGTCGTCCGCCGCAGTTCGCTTGGCCTCCTCGAGTTCGCTGCGTAAGGTGACTAGGGCTTGATCTTGCTCCTTGTGGAAGTGGTCTCGTGAGTCATTGAGTCGGTCGAGCTCCTCTTCGGCTTCTTCGAGTTTGACTTTCAGCCGGTGCACTTCGTCATCAAGCAATTGTCTTTCTTCTTCAAACTCTTGCTTTTGAGCTTCGAAATTAGCCATCAAGTCGCGCTTGACCAGTTCTGCTTCCTCCATTTTGTCGCGGCTTTGTGTGCTTGACCGTCGCTCAGCATGTGCTTCTTCCTGCAACTTTTGAACTTGTGCTTCTAGCGCAACAATCTTTTGCACCAGTGACCGCTCATCCTGATTGTTCGATAGCCGTCGGACAGATACTGATGACCTGCGTGACAGGTCACTCTGTCTCTGCAAAGTGCTAGGTGAAGGAGCCTGTTGCCGCTCGAAGTCTGCGGCACTGCCGGGCTGAAAGACCCCACTGGCAGGCCGGCTCAGCTGGCTTTGACGGTGCAAAAGGTCTTCGAGTTTCCTGACTCGACTGTCTGAAGCTCGCAGCTTCTCCTCGAGTCGAGTCTTCTCGTCTTGTAAGCTCCTGACTTCATCCCCATTCCGTAGAGCGGCACTCTGGCTTAGATCTTGAATGCTTCCATTCTTGAAAGGGGTGGGTTTCTGCTTGCGGACTGGAGCATCGAGATCTTTCATCCGCTGCATGATGGATTGTACGGCGTCATCGATACCCAAGGCACGCAGGTCGTCTACCCAAGCGAAAACCTCATCTCTGCTCACGAACGGCCAAGAATTTCGTGGAGCCGTCGCCTTCAAATCGATAAGTGCATCTTTGGCGTTCATATCCTCGTTCAAGAAATCGCTATGTGAAGCGGTCCACTTCTTCCGTCGCCGTTGTTCCTCTTCCGTTTGCTGCGACAAGTCTTCGTGCAGGGCGTCGACTTCTGTGCGCATCTTCTCAGTCCACTCTGAACGCCGGGTCGCCTCCACAAGTGTAGCACCATACACAAGAGGTAGCTGAAAGACACGGCCAAGTGCGGCAAAGTTGTCATTGTCCTGAAAGTCCAGGTTCGTGATGGCAGACTGTAATTCAGCAAGGCGGGACTGTATACTCGAGATCGTCTGCAATGTCGAGTACCAGTCCAGCGAAGCAGCATTTCTCGCATTTGAAGCACTCAAGGAAGTCTGAATAGTCTCGCCCACCACGCCTTGCAGAGCAGGCAACAGCTCGCGAGTATGGGTGGCAGCCTTCCTCGAAGCCGCCACCACCGACTTTTGATTGTCTTGCATCTGCGACACGTCTTCGTAATCTGATGTTATACGCTTGGCCAGCGTCTCTGTCTCTTCCCGCAAAGCATTTGTGTCGTAGTCGAAAACTTGTGTTGACCGACCCTGGGCTGCGTCCGTATCATGCTTGACTTTCTCCATCCCTGCCTGTAATTCTCGCAGCCTCTTCTCGAAATCCGCCGAATTTTGCTCAACGCTGTCGGCAGCAGCCTGGAGAGCGTCCCGGTCGATCAGGTCGGACAGAGTGCCAACGGGCGAGGACGCAATACCGTGGTCCGGTCCGGACGGTCTCCGCAGTACTCTAGCCACGTCTTCACGAACAGGCAGCTCTGCAAGTGTGTCTGCGCTTGTCTGCCAATCTTTAAGGACATCTCGATACTCTTGTATATAACCTTGCGCCCACTGATTCGTCTCTTCAAATCTCTGCTGGAGGGTGGTGACATGGTTCTGCAGGTTCTCCAAAGCAACCTGCATGGACCGGGCGATGACCGAAGCCTCATCTGCACATGTTTCAATATTCTCCACGCCCGCCTTAGCAATTTCGAGGACCTCTAGGGCCCAGGCCCGTCTCTGCATGAACAGATCTTGCCATGCTTCCAGGCTGGTCTCATCGGCGAGGGAGAGAGGATAATCAGACAGGGGTTGCAGTTCGACGTTATTTCTCGAGGGAGGTTTCGAGTGGGACGACAAGAGTTGCTTGTCATAGACGAAGACTTCTTGCTCATTACTCAGATTTTTGACAATCTTGCCCCGGCCTGTCATCAAGATCTGGCGAGAGGCTGGAACCGCAGCGTTGGCTTCGATCCATGACCGAAACGTGTCGACACGAGCATTTGGGTCGTTGTAGGTGAGGGCATTGCCGCTGTGAGAGATATACACTTGCACGGCCATGAGCTCCCCTTCACCACCACCTCTGCTTCGGCTCGGATTTTGTGCTTCCCAGTCGTGGGAACTGATCGAATGAGAAACACCACTAGACCGAATCATCCATACCGCGTCTGCCTCCAACAAGGGTGTCGTGTGAGTGGTTGAGTTGCCTTAGTCAGCGAGTCCAGAAATCACATGCCTGTGGAGACGGACAATGACGCCTAGGCGGAGGAAGGCGCCCTTCGGCTTTCGGTTTTCTTCGCCCGATGTGGTCCAATACTGCGCATTGCTCTCTCTAGTACTGTATATACAGTTCGTGGGATGTGGAGTAGATAGATACCGGGTATTGGCTGGCACTTCTGCGCCGTTTTGGGCTGTCAAAGGGCGGATAAAGTTGATGGGAACGTTTATGAGCGTCTATATTCCAAGGTGATAAGTGAGTGAGCAAAGGGAATCACGAGGTTCAAGTCCCAGTCACAAGACAGCGAGGGTCATCTGCAGTCCAGCAACTCTCACCCTCTCGCCGATAAGGGGAAGTCCTCGGTGACAGGGTTTCAGAAAACACAGACTGGCAACCATGAGCCGCTTCGATAGCCTCGAAAAGCCGTCCTTCACTTGGCACTGGAGATCACTGGACGACTTCAAGAAGACATCATGGTTTACACTCGGCAATTACTCGAACGTAATACTGCTGATTGTCTTCCTGCTCCTGGCGTTCAATCAGATCCGGCGGAAGCAAAATGAGGCCAAGAAGGCCGGCTTCGAGAAACGATACCTCAAGGCGCCCGAGTTTCCTGAGGTCGAAGAGCTACCAGATTTTGACTGGAGAACCACGGAACCACTCCAACTGCGGCCCTTCAAGCCCAAATACCACCTGACGATGGGTAAGTTATACTCTTTTCCCGGTGTCCCCTAGTAAGAAGGGGCTGACTCTACACGAGCCGAATCTGACGCCTCAGCACTCGAGAATCTGTCCCCCTCGGAACTCCTGCTCATGGACAAGAACTACGCCGACCGCATCGCGTACCGCCGCAAAATCATGGCCGAAGAGGGCGAGCACGTCGTCGCCGTAAACGAGGACTACCGCGTGCGTCCTGCCGTGGTCGAGCTCTACCAATACCTTATGGGGACGTATCTCCCCCTACGCTTTCCCAGCATGTTTAAACTCCACGAGGCCTTCTATGAGGCAGGCCAGACCTTCATGCTTGAAAACCTCGTCACCAAGGCACTGTTCCCGGCGAAAGCCTCACCATCCACTCCGACCGCCATGCTGCTAGAGACCCTCGGCCGCACAATCGACGAGGATTTCCTGTTCCTCCTCCCCGAAGAAGACGAAGACCCGTCCCCGGATAACAAGGACAAAGACTACGTGCCAGACGCGAAATACATTCTCGAAGCGTACGTGTGCTGCTGCCCCTCAGGCTTCGACCCGCGCGAGAAACTCGGCAAGAGACTTGCAAGCATCCACGAGCCCGTGCCGGGCTACCCCGCCAAAATTGAAGCCAGCATGGACCGCTTCTTCTCTCGCCTCGAAGTCGGAAAGTACGTCCGCCGGGCGAACTGGTCGATCACCACAAACAAGAATCTCTACTCGGCGGGCAAGGGCACGAACCATGCCCACGAAGGCGATGACGTGTCGGAGCTGGAGGAGATCGATACCGAGAATACGTTCCTGAGATGTGAGAGGCAGACATTGCACCGGCTGCCAAAGACAAAGGCACTGGTATTTGCGTTCAAGACGTATATGTACCCGATCAAGGATGTCAAGGACGAGGGCAAGGGAAGGGAACTAGCTGAGGCGATTGACGGGTTGAAGGAGGGCAGCGTCCCGCAAATGCATTTCTACAAGAGGGGCGTTGTGTGGGGCGAGGCTGTGAAGAGGTATCTGAGGAGCTGAACGGCTCACATTTGCAGCCCGCCAGGAGGACCTGGTCCTCGTCCAGCATAATGAGACTGACGTTCCGCAATAGTATTCGTGTCGATATTTTGGCACTTTCATGCATGACGATGAAATTTGGGGACATCCCCTGGCTTGCGTGATCGCGAACTTGCCGCCCATCAAGAGCAGCCGGAAAACCGGCACTGTAGCGTCACGCCTTCCAGTTCCTCAGAATGCTTTTGGATATCCAGGCTCGTCGCACGTAAGTTTTGTCTACCCCGGCCTACGTCAACCTCTCCACCACCTTGATAAGATCCGCCGTGACGCCCATGGCCGTGACCTCTCCACCAGCGCCAGCTCCCTGAATCACCAACGGATTCGACCCATACCGCTTGGTATAAAAGCAAATCAGATTATCACTCCCGCGCAGGCTCGCGATGGGCGTCCCCTTGTCCACCATCTCCAACCCGACCTTGACCTTGCCCGCGCCGACATCCACAGACCCTACATACCTTACGACTTTGCCTTCCCGCGCTGCATTATCCTTGTACGATTCCATCTCCGCGTCAAAGTTTGGTAGTTGCGCCATGAACTCGCCGCTCGACTTGGCGCTCTCCAACTCCTGGGGTATCAGGCTTTGCACGGGGAACGCGTCCGGGCCCTGGACTTGAAGGCCTGCCAGCCGCGCCAGGATCGTGAGCTTTCTGGCCACGTCCATCCCGTTCAGGTCATCTCGCGGGTCGGGCTCCGTGTAGCCGGCCTCTTTGGCCTGCGTGACGATCTCCGACCACTTGCCCTTGCCGGACCCGTCGGCCGGCGCGAACGAGTTGAACAGGAAGGACATGGTTCCCGAGAAGACGCCCTCGATGCGCGTCACCTGGTCCCCTGTCGCGACTAGATCCTTGAGCGTCGAGATGACGGGCAGGCCCGCCCCGACGCTGGATTCATGGTATACCAATGCCTTCTCTTGTGAGGAGTCCACCGCGGAGAAAATGTCGTTCCACAACTGTAGTGAGCCCGAGAAGGCCTTCTTGTTGGGCGTTACCACGCTGATGCCCTTGCGCAGGAACGCCGGGTACGCGTTTGCGACGTCTTGGCTGGAGGTGTTGTCGACGAGGATGACTTTGCCGGGCGCAGAGGAGAGGTATCCGACGAGTTCGTCGGGGATGGAGAGGAGTTTCGAGGACGAGGACTGCAGATCTGAGGCGTTGACGGGGGTATAGGATGAGTTGTACAGTTGTTTGGACGAACGGGAGACGAAGATCACGTTGGGCCGCAGGCGTGCTGGTAGGAAGGACAGTTGAGAGAGGAAACAGGTGCCGACACCGCCGACGCCGATGACGGCAAGGTGCAGTTTCGAGGAAGAGGAAGACATTACAGTGCAGCAGGCGTGTATGCGTCAGTTGAATGTCCTACTGAGTGTCTGGACCGAGAGCTTCACAAAAACCCCCAATTGAGAAATTCTGACCACTATTGTGAAAATGCGGGGTGGTGTCCAAAACTGCGGGGTCCTTGCAGCCTCGTCGGTGGTAGAGCCTCGCCGGCAAATGAACTGCCTCATAAGGGCAAATGCATTTGATGGTCTCTCAACACTTCATACCTATCCTCGGACTCCGGGCCTTTGCTTGCTGAGCCAGTCTCCTTGAGCATGGTATATCCACAAAAGCCTCATTCAAGTTTCCATCTTAGACTGATCTAGACTTTAGATCTGCGTGCATGATTGCTCCTTGCTCCAAACCTAGTCTATTGACCGTCGCTCGGAATGGCCCGGTTTCCAGCAGAACGAGAAATAGCACAAAGAATCTTCTCCCCTCTCAGGGAAGCACCTCAAGCATGCCCCGGGCAATAACCTCATCTGCCGGGCCAAGGTTTTTCGGAGATTGCGCATGTGCTTCTCTTGGCAATACAAGCATCCGCCTGGTACTTGACAATTATTAAACCAGCTGTCGTCATCTAGGCCGCCATCTTCATCAATATTACCCAGAAATGGTGCAGAAACTTTACGAAGGGAGACATAGGCGTCCCACCAGGACTCATCGTACCGACAGAGGCTGGCGACATCGATGCCCTCGCGGATGAACCAGGTGTGAATAGTCCCGAACTTTTCCCGGGCGACCTGGCAATTGTCGTCTGTCCCGAAGTCCTGCCCGATTGTCAGGAAAGCCTGCTTGAGTAAATCTTGGGTGTGTTGGATCCGGTTTTTGTCGAGAAGCTCTGCCTGCTAGTAAGCATTGACGGTAATCAGTGCCGCACTTTTTCAGGGTATGTACGCACCGTATAAGGAAAGACCATCATGACCTGACGCAAGCGGCAGCTTGTCAACCAAATATCTATGGCCACATGCCATCATGGTTCGCTTGGAAATCGCAATATAAGCTCTCGTCGCCAGCCAAAATAGATCACAAAGACCGAATGAGGCGGCAATGTGGACAAAATCCTCCACGCGCAGTCCTGGATATCGATCTGGGTAACCTTGAGCGGCGTCGAACTGGTCAGCAGCAAGGCGTTCAAACCAAGCCACATACTCACGCAGGACGTAGAGCAGCCAGGGTTTCAGTGGTTCGTGGCACTGTCGCATGTCCGCGAAGACGATGAGATTACACAGTCGCTCCGTGCCCATGGATTTAACGGATTCGTATTTGTAGTGGATGACATGGCAGAAGTCCAAGACTGTTTGCGGCTCTTCGTCGAGATCGATGACCTTCGTCGTGCCTTCGATGAACCCTGAACTCAGCATTGCCTTGAACGTCTTCGACGCTAGGCCCAGCACGAGCCCAGACGCTCTAATATCCAGAGCATTTTCCCCTGTCCCAACTCTCAATGTCACATCAGCTTCGGGGATGATCTCGACGGTTCGGCCATTTCTCTGCACCCGCTTTGCCTCGCTAGCTGCAACATCCATAGAGTCCGCTTTCCGCTTCTTGTTGTTCCCACCGGCCATGGTGTTAGTCCCCGACGTGTCGTCGGGAATGGTGACCAAACTTAGTGGGACAGGCGTGGCAATGAGCTGTCTGATGAGGCGGCGTCAGGAGAGGAGCTCAGGTCACTCGAGCACCGCCTTCACACGCTGGAGGGGCATTTTATATTGGTAGTGATGGAAGTGCGTCGAAACGGCAGGTTGATGCCCACCTAGAACGGAGTACGGAGTAAGGACATGGTGATAGTTCTTGTTTTGACCCCTGACGCACGGACCACTGATGGCGGCTGCTAACCCAAAAGGTCCCCATACCTCCTACCAGAAGGATATGTTGATACGGAGACCTGGAGCACTGGATACACAGTACAAGGCGTTATGCTGGCAATCTGCGCCATGTGCAAAGTAGTGCCGCCGAAACTCACCAGTATATGGACCCACTCACCTCAGTACTTAGTACCTATCAGTTGATGTGCCAGATGTCAGACCGCTCTGCACGTCACAGAACAAGCCCCAACGGCCATGCAAATACCTATGCAGCCTCATGCCTGCCTTGCTCATGAACCAGCCTTTTAGCATGTGGACGCATTGTCATGTTACGCGATCGCAACCAGCACCATGCCCTCCAACTGCATCGACTTCGTTCCATTGGCAGGATCCTCTCGGAGTCACTCCATACCATTTTCTACACTCATGGAGCCCCCTGTACGTCTTGTAGCAGAGGAACCACGACAATTTGGGGAACAGCAATCCCGTCTGAGCAGCGCGGAACATGGTTGGGTCAGGGTCCCCAGCAACAGGAGACCCCAAATATCATGCCAGGCGGAGCAGGCCTCAACTCTCAACGACCGAGGTAAGGGACGGCGAAAGTCTCTCCTCATCTCGTGTGCGCTACATGGGGAGCCATTTTTGAGCCATTCTGCAACCTTTGTGCTGCTGGCCATTCTCTCATCGAGTGAGATTCGACCCATAACAAACGGGATATTTGCAAGGATTTCAAGGGGAAATGTAGCCTCATAGAGCTCGGAAGCTCCCTGCCCTGTAGAAGCTTGCGGTCTTCGTAGGTCAAGTGCGATTCGGTACATCAAATCCAGGAAGGCCATGTTGTCCGCCGATGTCTTCCCAGAACCTGGCAAAGTCCACGCCCTTCTTCTCGAGCCGCCTCCTCAACTCTCTGATCGCTTCGGCCTGTCGTCCTTCGGTGAAGCCACCCGGCTGCGAGGTCTCGAATTGCACAATTTCGATCCATCGGAAAAAGACATCTTCAGCGCCAAGGCCGGCAAGGTTGCGTCGGAAATTCTCTACGGTGCTGTCCTCCTGTACATCTTGCGCTGTAGAATCGGGTGTTTCGTGAACTTTCCAGACCAGCCATTGCTTCTGGTAATAGACCAGAACCAGACTTTCCACGTCCTTGAGCTGAATGGTACCTTTCTCAACCAATCTGTGCGCATCTAGCATCGCCTTGAAGTCGAGATCCCAGTCCTTGTCTAGTAGCAGATATCCTGTCTTTGCTAGGTACGCCGGCCGCATGGCTGGATCGACCTTGATCTTGATGGTGAGTTCCTCGTCTACCTTCCATGTCTTGACCTGATCCGGGTTCTCTCCAACGAGCAACGGCGTATCCCACTTTCTCCCTCTTCGGACAATAATCTCTGTGTCTCGGAATCCCAGTCTTCTTCTCCACTGCAGTGGACTCGCGAATCTCGACAACTTGCTCCCCAAAACGAACCCCCTCGGCCAACTACCAATCAAGCCGAAGATGGCAAAATCGATCATCAACAGCATTGTCCGGGAGGCCACAGCGTTCACGAGTTCTCCGACGCTGGCAGCCGCCGTATCGACTTTGTATGCCGTGTCATATCCGAAAATTGTGATGATTTGCTCGAGGTACACTGGCGCGGCATAATATACCCGAACGCAGAGCCCAAGGACGATGAGTAGGTTTAGGAGGACAGGTACAACGAAGACTCGCTTCTTCAAGCTCGGTGGGGTATGGTCGAGGTGGACGAGGTAGATGTGATCCGTAGGGAGCGTGGAAAGGAACGGGCGTAGCGTCGCCGGAGCATATTGAAATGGTGAGGGGGGTCCGGATTGAGTACTGGTCAGGGACTTTGGAGCATTGGATGAGCTCGCTGCAGGCTTCGTGCCTCGCTTCCCAGCGGCACGAGCCATCTCACCCACGCTCAATGCAAAGATTGATGTGCCGTCAGTGGCCGGCAAGTGACTGCGTGCAGTCAGTTTTTTGCACGACTCATATATATCACGTGATCAGGCGTCTCCGGAGCAAGCATGACTCATTGTGAGTCAGACCTTTTGCAGCTTGGGCGTGACTTTCGGCCAGCACCAGCACGCTTCCTCATTTCCGCGAGATCGTGTGTTCGGAACGGATTATCACTTTTTACCATTCGGGCACCGTTTGCATGGCGAATGTATCGAGCATAGTCTGCTCCGGACAAGCTCAGCGCGAGGCTTGTTAAAAGCTTAGCCATACTGGGAGGGGCCTGAGGGGCGAACGTCTCGAGCTGAAGGGTTTGGCTGACACTGACCGGGGGCTGAGATCCAGGAATCACCCAATCCGGTGGCCAGCTTTGTCCTGTGCAATCTGGATCTGCTGCTATATCGAGCATGTTCTGCTTACGAGACCTCGTTTGGCCGGGTCGTCGTGTTGGTGGCCCGCGAAGCTTTGGTACAAGTGCTTATGCTCACCTTGTCTCTCCATGTGGCTAGCCATGGACGCTCATCGGTGGGCCTTTGGCCTAAAATACTGATCCTTCTGCAGTTTTCGTGTCAACCTCTGGGTATCTTCGCGAGGCGTTGGCGATGCTGAGCTTCGCTGCAACTTCCTGTTTCTTCTTGACTAGTTACCCTGTGTCGTTCTTTGTTTGATCCAAGCGACTGGTTTTCAATCGACCCGTGCGAACCAACACATCGTTCCATTTCTTCTCAGTGCAGCAGTGAAGATGGACTTCATTCCAGATCGCCTGCTTCGAGGCATTGCGGGGAACAAAAGAGTAGTGCCCAATGCAACGGGTCACCGCGCCCCAACAACCACATTGGTGCTGAACAACGCGAAGATCACGCATGCCTTAGGCAAGTTGGCTCAAGCAGGAGTTGCCGACGACGCCGCCAGTGGGATACTTAACCTGCCAACAACCACGAGCACGGTCCATGCGGAGAAGATCACACATGGAATCGAGAAATTGACAAATGCTGGTCTGGCTTCAGACAGCACTGCTCCGACCACAATATCCAGCAGCCACGGTCTTGCCACAAAGTACATTGTCGTTATCGCTGTCGTCAGCGCAGTCATTCTGCTCGTCCTTCTGGCTAGTGGTTGTTTATGCTGGAGGAGGTACAGGAGAAGAAGAGCGTACGATGTTGTCAGCAAGGGTATCGACAAGAAAGGAAAGACGCCTATGAGAGAGAAGGAGGACATGTTCAACGCCGACATGGGAGAATCGGAGAGCTTCAACGTCGACGGTCAGAGGCTTACAGAGCGCAATTTCGAGAGCGGCTATGACAAGGTAGACACCGAGTATGAGGGAACAGGTTATGGAGGAGTCGACAAGCACGGTGGCGACAAGAGAGCCAGGCTTGAGGCTTGAACCGCTGTATCGCAGTTGAAGCGTGCTGGAATCATTATCTGTGGTGATTGAATATGATAAGGATCGATTGTGAAAGCCCCCAGGATCGTGTTAAGTGGGAAAGACTACTGGGCTACAACGACTATGGCGGAGTCCAAGTTGGGTGTCTTTTCTCCTTATTTAAATATACCCTTCATTCACTTTGGATTCACCTCGTTCTCAACTTCTGCTGACTCCCCGCTCACCTCCCAGCAGATTTATTTCTCATCAGCTATTTTCTTAGCCTCACGTTCCTTTTCTTTGCTATTCACGTCGCCTGTTCTTTACCCGTCCAGTCGCCTGCGATGGCTTCCTCTTCTTTTACCAGCCACAGACTGAAACGCAAAGCCGATGAGATGGAGAGCGAATTTCAAAAGCAACCTCGATTTGTTGACATCTCTCCAGAAGGCAAAGTTTTGTTCAAGATTGGCAAGGGGGACGCTGCTCGCACTATCCGGGTCGCGGCCCCGCTGATTTGTCAAGTTGCACCGGTCTTCACCGAGTTGTTGTCCTCGGCATCTATTGAAGGGAGTGACAAGGTTAGTACAGTGGAGGACGGCAGCCCAGATGCTTATCTGGACTTCTTCAATATCGTCCACTACAAGCATTCGGAGATCGGCCACCTGACAGGACAGAGGCTCAGCCAGCTCGCAGAGCTCGCGAGCAGGCTGTGCTGTAGGGAAGTTTTCAAGGCTTTCATCGTCGATAGGCTCTATCCCGTTATCCAAGAGATCAGGAATGAATCCATTCATCCAACAATAACGAGGACTGTCCTAAACGCACTGGAGCAGTATGAGGTCACATTCGAGGAGCTGTTAGACATTGCTGCGTTCTGCAAGATGGACGAATTGTTCTGGAGGACTAGTAAGGTCGCCGTTGCACAAGCTCCTGGACAGCTCCGCCCACGATCTTCAAGCTTTTACCATTCTCAGTGTGAAAGGGTCTACAGTGAAGTCACAACCTCCTGCCACAAAGGCGTCCAATGAGCAAATTCAGCTAACTCAGACGACGCAGGCTATATCAATGTCGCACGGAAAAATGCCGTTGTAAACTTCCTCTCGGGCGTGTTCGATTACCTTCATGACGGCCACCTTACGACACCAGACAGCGAAGATGCTCATGGGACCCCCACTACTTATGGTATCCTCCATGACCTCTTCCGAAAGGAAGGGATCGTTGCCCACAGGATCTGGGAGTACGAGGGCACACTGGTGCAGGCCATGGCCCTTGTCCGCAGAGTCGCGTATTTAGAGGAATGAAGGCGCACTCCGAAGGATATGTCACCTGGCGGCGATGGTACTATCCTTAGTCTGCAAGAGTTCCGCTGGGAACACCTGACCAGAAATATCATGAGGGCCCTTTTACACCTCATCGAGACTCACTCTCATAAATTGCGCGGTCTTGCCCTGTCTGTTATCATCAACGAAGACTCCGTGTTATTGGGGGCCGATGACGATTTCTGGCGGGACGAGCCCGAGATATTGGATGCCAGATGAATCGTGCAGTGGAAGAACCAGAACACACCCATGGCGGCACGACTTACGTTTTCACCAATCTCTTGCCAATGCCCCTCCTTCAGCCATAAGCGACGACCACTCGCTACATGACTTCACGCAAGAAAATACGACTCGACAAACGAACGCAGACGGGATGGATGAGCTGCATCATCAGCATGAGCTGGACAAACGGGATTTAGAAACGCGGCATGAGCTGGAGGAACTGGACGGGCCACACGATCAGCATGAGCATCTGAGCTTTCAATGAGATTGGATAATACCCAAGAGTTCCTTCAGACCGTTCACCTCATACCAGCATTTGCCAAACGACGTGCTCGGTCATTGCGCCACTTGGAACAGTATGTAAATCGTGATAGGCCGGCAGGAAGTTGATTCACCTCGGTCCTCTCTCTTGCCCCCTTCCTTCCCTGCCTCCCCTTGCTACACATTTGTCACCTGACCTTCACAGCCAGTGTCAACCGAGTCCCCCTCTGTTACATGTTTGTATCTCTCCGACCTGGACTCGGCATGAGATAAATGACGCGTGTGGGCCGGGTTATCCACCATGCTAGTGAAGTTGCCGTAGCTGGGCTTTCGTGATTAACAATTTCTTCCATGCTAAGAAGTCAAGCCAACGCAATAATGATCGATGCGCTACAGGGCAAAAGAAATACGCGTCTCAAGGCCCGGAATCCTAGTACGTGCTCGACGATTCCTCAAACCCTGTACGAGGTGCGTCTCGCAATCCGATCCAAGGAAATGCATACCCCAGCGCCTGCCGACTGAGCGCCGTCAACAAAGCCTCGCGGGGCCATGACCACACCACATACTGTATGGGTAGCTTTGCTCCGGAGATTGATCCGTTGTCTCTTGCTGTGACAATGAAGTGAGGTGAGGGACGGAAAGACATGAGTCCCTTAAGCCCAAGATCTGGATCCGAGTGGGAATGCAGTTGAGCCCGAGGTGGGAGAAACAGCGAAGCGAACATGAGGTAGCCTTGCTTGTCGCTTAGATCACTTCACTGTCAACATACTAGTTAGGAACTGTGAAGTGCACGCTGCGCGTTCGCGTTCGCGACCGGACCTCTAAACCGAAAGACAGATTCACGTTCCTTTATTAAACCTATCGTCACTCTTCACTTGTCATTCATCAACCACTCATCTCCAGATTGGTTGACTGTCGATATGAACTAACATGTTCCGCGGAAATTGTCCTGCTTCTATTGCATGACAACACCATGGCAGCCAGTTGGGATACAACACTCGCGGCCATGCCGGAGAAGCGCAAGGCGGATGAGATCGACATGCCAGAAGCGCAGCCACAGAACAAGATTATTGAGGTGGTCCCCAACGCGGACGTGACGTTCAAAGTCGGCACTGGAAAAGATGCCGTCGAGGTCAAGGTGTCAGGAATGGTCATGGGTCTGGCGTCGCCGGTCCTGTCCAGGATGTTGTTCGGCCAATTCGTGGAGGCGCAGACGAAGACTGTCAGGTGAGTGCACTTTCACATGTAGCCTGCACTACTGTCGTAGTACAGACCCTGGCATTTTGACACTGTACCTCCAAATCCTTGAGCGCTGACGACAAAGCAGCCTGCCAGAAGAAGACCCCGAAGCCTTTCTGCAATTCTGCAACATCGTCCATCATCGACCAGTGAGACTCTACGACCTCACTAGCCGGCAACTGCTAGCATTGGCCGTGTTGAGCGATATGTGGCACAGTCTGGACGTGGTGGGTCCGTGGCTGGACCTGAGGACGCGCGCTGTTCGTGACTCTATGCACGGGCAGAGGGTCGTCAATGCCCAGACAATGATCGAGTATCAGTTGATCGTACCTGACCTAGGTCCCCTTCCACAGACAGAAAGGTTCTGTATCCGGGACCTGATCGAGATCTGCGCAATTCTTTCCCTTGCGAACGACTTTCGGGCCGCTACTAGGCATTACCTGGCTGTCTGTTCCCGCGACTCCACAATGGTCACCAGAAGCGGCATGACGATTCCAAGCGTGGTGAACCCCTATGGGGAAACCGTGTACGGCAAGTGCTTGACCGTTAGTAGTTTGCTTGATGAGGCCGATGGCTGACAATGACAGATGTATGCGCCAAGATGCAGACCCGTTACGTCAATGCTTTCTTGAAAGACGTGTTCAACTGCATCACTGAGGATATCGCGACTGGTTCCGGGTTGCTGTCCTGTCAAATCACGAAGCATGGCATGCTCCACCTCCTTCTGCGCAAGCATGGCATCGCCCCCGCGGACATGATCGAACCGCAGTCACTGAGTATGGTAATGCGCCGCCTTCGTGCCGCTGCCCAGGAGCTCGAAAACAACGACATCGGACAAACAAAGAACAGTTGTATCAAGGAGAAATCTGCTCGGCGGGCAAAAAGAGGCGAGCCATGCGACTACTGCTGGCATGACTTCACCATGGAGTTCACGGCTATCATCGGGAAACACAACTTTGCGTTGCCTGGGTTTTGCTTGCTTTGCTTCAGGGCCGGCAAGCCTCACTTCCTGGTCGAGCCTGGCGACCGTCACGAATGCAACAACGCAAATGCCTGGAACGACAGTACCGGGGCTTAGAGCTGAGTAGTCTCAAGTCAGAGCTGGTGCGGGGAGCAGATGGAAAACCGATGGTGGTACTGGTCGGATTGTTCTCGGCGGTGTCGGGTTGGATAAAGGCTTCCGCTGGCAATCATTGAGCGCAGAGCGGCAGAGGACAGTCAATCCAAGGGATGGGCGGACACTGGTGAAGGGATCTGCTTCGGCAGTGCTTGATGTCTCAACCGGAGTGCTGGGCTTGTAGGTGGCGTTCATGATCGCAGTATGAGCTGAGGTATTGGTCCATACGGTGGAAAAGCTCGAGGAAACGAGGTCAGCTTGTGCTGCTGGTGTCGACCTGGGCTGTATTTCAGAATCACGGTATCGAAGAAATGAGTCACATACCATAACGTCTCTTTGCTCACAACAACAACACAGGGACACCCAGCAATGATTTGGACACCGCGACTGACTTCCGATTATCTAGGTTCTGCCGTGAAGGAGATGATTTTTGGGGCAATTTCAGTTACCACACTGTAATCACTGTTAGTCGCTTGTCCTGCACTTGTCTCGGTCCATACGTAGTGATGACACGGGGAGCGGAATGGTTCCAAGATCGCTGTCGCTGGGAACCTGAGAGCAAGAGGCCGGAGTCTTAAAGCTCCTAGGAGAAGCTCCCACAATCCATCCTCCACTTCTGCCGGATCACCCACGGCCAAGCGACCAGATCAAGGTGAGGAAGGCCCCCAAATCCTATGTCCTATCGTCCCTGTAGATAAGTGTCAACGCCAGAAAGTGGCAGGGCCTTATCTCTGAGAGCTTTTGCAGGGTCATGTCAAGCGGAGCAGTGTGTCAATCGAAGCATTGAGAAAGGTGACACTTTCAACTCCTCGCTCTCATGATTCCAAGCTTTCGCTTCAGTTTTGTTTTCAGGACCGAGCAGACCCAGCAACGATCCTGCTCCACATGATCGACATCTCAGGTTCGGAGCAAGAAGTCATGAAGGGAACTGACTCCGCGGATCGAGATATCGCATTCTTTCCCTTGTGACCTTCATTAATCGGGGAGCCTTCCAGATGAAAGTCGGTGTTTAGCCCACATGGTCGCAATCTGCGCTAGCAATTTGACCCGTCCCTCGCGCTTACACTTACTTCACTTTCAACTTCTGCCATGCTCTGCCTCCTACACTTCGAGTCCACATACTCGTCCGCAGCCTTGGTATTCGGCCTCGGTTTTGAAAGAATCCCTCACCGTCGAGCCCACCTTTTAGTGCCCACCATGGCGGACGCCGACAATACTCGCAATGGTCGACCTGCCAGGGCGGGTAGGAAACGTAAGGCTGACGAAATAGATCGCGAGGACAAGAAGCAGGGAGAGCGCCGAAGGGTCGTGGAAGTTGTACCTAACGCCGACGTGACTTTCAAGGTCGGAACCGGCGAAGAGGCCCGCGACATCAAGGTATCTGGCGTGGTCGTCAGCCTAGCATCTGAAGTTTTCTCCCGGATGTTGTCCTCAAGCTTCATTGAAGGCCGAACAAGAGTCATTAGCTTGCCAGAGGACGACCCGGAGACTGTTTTAACCTTCTGCCAAATCGTCCACCACAGAGCAGAAAATCTCAATCGCCTCGGCCCCGGAGAGCCCAACAAGTTAGCTGTCTTCGCTGACATGCGGCTTTGTACAACAGCCTTGAGACCCTGGGTCGTCATGAGACTCTCACCACTTATTGAGCGGCTGGACCAGGGGAGTCCGAAGTTTTGGCAACACCAGGAGGACGAGGAGCAAGAGGACGAGAGGAACGGTAATGCGCGAGATGATATTGAGCTGTTCCTCCCCACCATGATGCTGTTTCGGCTTGAAGGAATGTTTTGGAAGTCCACCCGGTTCCTGATTTGGTCCACCAAACCCTCTAAGCCACGCCAAGAGCAGAACGAGAAGACGGAATCACCGAGATACGACAATATCCATGGCGAGTACATGCAGAGAATGCTGTGGTCTGAGCTAAGAGCTCCGGTTCTGACATTCGCAGATGCTGTTTTACAGTCTGCGCGCACTTCCATCACGTCACTCCTCGCCTCCGTCTCGGAATGTGTTGATAGAGGATTCGAAGATAGCAGAAAGGTCCTGCCGTGTCACATCAGCAAATACGGCTTCTTGATGTGCGTCTTGAGGTATAAGAAGATCAAAACCGGTATGCAGATCCGCGAGTACCATTCCGTGCATCGTATTTCAGCTACAGTGAGAGACATTGTTCGCCGACTTCGACGAGTCGAACGTGTATGTGTCGCAAATGGAGGCCGAAGGATGCACATTTGGCAAAGACAACCCGTGCGACTTTTGCTCCCGCGATATCGCCGGCGAACTAGAAGAAACCGTGGACAAGTTTCCCGACGCGGTACCGGGAATCTGCCTTGTGTGCTACTTGAGTAGGGGTAAGGACTTCTTGACGCTTGCTGAAGTATGCGACCATGGCATAAGAAATGAGAATCGGAGATGACGGGTAGTTGCGGAAGCGCTCCTACAGTTCTTTGATGGACGGAGACAAAGAGACGCGAAGCAGAACAAAGAAGCCAGAGGAGCGAGTGAAGTTGGGTGAGACAATCGGCTTATCCTCGGTGTTGGTGGTGCCGACGGTCGAAAGCAGTGACTTGTAAACAACCATTGAGGTTATGTCTTCCTTAGAGGCGCGGTACGCATAGCGCTTCGCAAGCACTTTCCCTACTGTGATTTCTGACTATATGCAACATGAGCTCCCCGGCGTCAAGCTCGAAGCGAATGCGGCTGTCCACGTCAAGAACGTCGCTCTCTGGACGCAAGAGCATTTCAGGAGCACAGTCAGCATTGCTTCGACCGACTTCTTCCGCTGGTCATAATCGACAGACCACTACGCAACCTACCTACGATTTCATCTCGGGAGGACCGGTTGATCACTCTCATCAGCCATTGAGACAGTCTAGAGTTCGCCAACCGTCAGTAGCGCGCCCAGACCCGACGCAAGATGAGAATCTGCGCGCGAAGATCAACTCCCTCGAGTACGAGCTAAAGAATTTACAGCAGGAGCGCGGGCTTCTGGCACTGCAGCATGAGAAGGAATTGCGTGACCAACAAGTCAGGGCCGAGAATGACTTCAAGAAGTATCAGACGGCCGAAAGCGCCGCCCAGAAGGCGACACAGAGGCAAGAGGCCATGGCAAAAGAGCTGCGCGAATTGCAGGACCAGCGGACGAACGAGAAGGCTGCGCTGGAACGGCAACTACGAGATCTGCAAGACCAGAATGCTTCTCTCAAGGAGGACGCAGAAGATGCGCAGGCACGTCTGGCTGACCAGGAAAGACATTACAACCACCAACTCAACGATATCGAGGCGAAACGCGCCGCACTCCAAGAGACGGTCGATAGTGTAAGACAGGAATTGGAAGAATTGAGCCGACAATTCGAGTCATCACAAACCCGTCTGTCCGAGCGAGATGCAAGAATCGAAGCACTTGAATCCGAGCTGGGCGCCTCAAGATCGCACTCTGCAGACAGCGAGGCGCTGGGGGTCCTGCAAAACCAGCTATCTGAGCAAGTGACACACATCCGAAAACTCGAGTCGACGAATAGGGAACAACTGGGCGAATTGCGGCGGCTACGAGACGCCCATCGCAGTGTTCAGGTTGTAGAAGAGCAGAAGCATGGCTTGGAGAACGAGCTTCTAGTGCTGAAGGATGTTCAGAGACAACTAGGCGAAGCACAGATCCAGAAAGAGATACTCGAGGACGAGAAGAGAACGTGGACAAGCCTGTTAGAGCGAGAAGGACAAGAGCCCGAATTTGATACCCCTGAAGCTGTGGTGAAGGCTCTAATCCAGCAGCGGATCGAGTGCGCATCAATCACCGACAGACTCGGCACGATCGAGAGTGAAATGGCCGAAAAGGATCAAATCATTAAAGCGTTGGAGGGAGAAAAGGTGGAGCTCAAGACGGAGATGGAGAAAATGAGATCCAATCAAACTGCACAGGAAGCTGGTCAGGGCAACAAAGCCTATAAAAGGCTTGAGCGACAGCGAGTGCTTGCTGTCAAGGAAGTGGAATACCTGCGGGCACAACTGAAGACTTTCGACACGGAAGAGACTGTATTGATGGACAACCAGAACTTCGACGCCCAACGAGCCGAGCAGATCAAGAGCTTGGAAAATCTAGTTGATCAGTACAAGGCTGAGGTGCAGACTCTGCACTCAGACCTGTCGAAGCTGGAAACCGCACCTCCGACGAGCGCTCACATTCAAGAAGAACCCCGTGGAACGAAGCGGCCGGCCAATTCGCAGGATCCTGAAGGTGATGGTAATTCCCAACTTGGAGCACTGTTACGGAAGAACAAGAATCTGCAGATTGCTTTGCAGAAGACAGCTCAACAGTCACAGATGCTGGCGACGGATCTCCAAGCGACCAAAGGACAGCTCAAGGCTTTGAGAGAAAGCTCGAAGACTCGAGTGCTTGAACTACGAGACAACCCCACGGCAAAGGCCGAAGCGATAAAGATGTCGACCTTGCGGACTCTCAAGGAAGAGAACAAGGGGCTCCTGGCGCAGCTGCGTGGAGAAGACCTCCAAGGCGCGAGGACTGTTCCTGCCAGTTCGGTCGATGCGCTCAACCTCGATTTGAAGGACATGGAAATGGTCGTGGCCGAGAAAGAGAAGCGCATGAGACGACAACGGGAGATATGGACCCAAAAAGCCGCCGAGTTTCGTGACGTTATTGCAAGCGTCCTAGGCTACAAGGTCAACTTCCTGCCGAACGGGAAGGCCAAGGTGTCGAGCATGTATTATGGTGGCCCTCACGATGCAGGAGACCCGGATGAGGAGGAGGAAGACGATGATCATTACATTATCTTCGACGGAGACAATGGGACAATGAAGATAAGTGGAGGTTCTGACAGCCCCTTTGCTCAGGAGATCAAGGACCTGATCAACTTCTGGGTCAAGGAGAAGAAGCAGATTCCATGCTTCCTCGCCGCCATGACGCTGGAGTTCTACGAAAAGTTCAGCACAAAGGAAAATGAGGCATGAGAAAGCTGATTCGTACCGAAGCGACGCAACTACGCTCTTGTTGGTGTCCATGAATCTATGCTTTGGGTGGATTTGCGCTAGCTAGAACTTAGAGTCTAGCAGCATGTTCTGGTCAGGATACTTCCAACCCTTTACGACCTTTCTCTTGCTCAAATCAAGCTCCTTCAGGTTGGGACGACAAATCCACCTATATGGCTACCGGTCACCGACTCACTGCGTAGGGGAATGTAGTCAGATCCTTGTTACCTGGGTAAACGTTGCGTCTTGACGAAGGTATTACCCGGTGGAGGCTTCCTTTTCACCTTCTCGACCCTACACAAGATTGAGCCTCGGATCAACACGACTCTGGTCCGCCAGAGCATAACGCATACTCCTCGACAATGTCGAGAAGCCGCGAGTTTTCTAGAATGACAAGATGGACCACCCCCTTGTTTTCCAGCATGTTGTGCCGAAGAGTACCGTGCACATTCCTTACCATTCTCGCGCTGGTATTTGTTCAAAGCCACCCTAAACGCCTGCATGATGGACGTACTTCCTCAGTTTGCGCGTTTCCTTGCTGAGCGGTGATCTGCTTTCTGTTCTCTTGCCAGTCATGGCTGTCCATTCCTTCCGCCGCCGGAGCGTGGCCGTCCGTTTGACTTTCGCTTGTTTCATATATCTTCAATGCGCAGCGGCGATTACTGGCTCTGTCTACCAGTTAGACTCGGAATACTCCGGCGCGAACTTCTTCCAGGGATGGGACTTCTTCACGGTAGGAACTGTCAACCGCGAGTAATTGTATCCGTAAGTGACTGACGGGCGCAGGGTGGCGATCCCACTGGAGGCTTCGTAACGTGGGTATTCGGCCACGCGAGCTATGCGAACAGTCTAACGGAGGAACAGATATTATAGCCAAAGCTCTGCCCAGCTCACAGGCTTGATCAACGCGAGCGACACCTCACCCGTCTACATCGGTTCCGATCACAACACTTTGATTGGCTCGACGCAAGCTGCGGGCAGGCCCAGCGTAAGAATCTCCACGAAGAGGTCATGGACACATGGGTTATTCATTGGAGACTTTGATCATGCACCCGGAGGCATCTGTGGCACTTGGCCAGCCTGTGCGTATTGTCCTCCTTCGAAGCGGCGTCCGCTGACCGTTGCAGTCTGGACATTAGGGCCGAACTGGCCAAACAATGGCGAGATTGACATCATGGAAGGGGTGAACCAGGCCACTTACAATGCGGCGACGTTGCATTCGTATGGCAACCACTTTTCAAAGGGCCACGAAGTTGTGCTTAACGGTTGATTAGGAGCCCAGTCTGCTCAATAGCAGGGGACAGCAGAACCATGACTGGTCAGGTGTCCAACAACGATTGCGCATACTACGTTAGTACATCGCGACATGTTCGGAAGTATACTGACGGTCAATAGCCCGGTTACAATGTCGGGTGCGGCGTACGGGATAATCTGACGACGAGCTTTGGTTCCGGTTTCAATGCGGTGGGGGGCGGTGTGTATGCTATGCATTGGACATCAGACTACATCCGTGTTTGGTCCTTCCCAAGGGATACGATCCCTGCCGACATTACCAACAAGACACCTAATCCTTCTTCCTGGGGTCTGCCAGCTGCAAATCTGCAAGGCTCCTGCATCATCGACCAGCATTTCCAGGGCCACAAGGTCATATTAAACAATGCCTTCTGCGGAGAATATGCGGGCGCCGCGAGCGTGTGGAACTCGACCACGAATTCCTGCGCCGCGTCGACCGGGTATTCTGAGTGCAAAGCATATGTCGCGGGTGTACCTGGGGCCTTCCAGAATGCGTGAGTGAGCTTGTACGTGAGCGAACACACGGACTCTAATGTCTGATAGGTACTGGAGCATTAATTCCATTCGGATTTACCAACTTGTCGACTCTAGCCCGAACGCTACCAACACTAGCGCTCCATACATTGCGAGCAACCAACCGACTCAGTCGACGGCTGCATCGACGACCTCATCTTCAACGCCAGTGCCGACGACCGCCCTGTGCCCAACTTACAATTTCGCCGTCGTCCAGTCCGGCCTCTACAATTATGAAATCGAATGCGGCGTCAACATTGGTGGGTCTGACCTTGGGAAACCGTACCCGAACTATTCGTACACCAACTTCGAAGGTTGTGTGGGCGGATGCAGCTACTGGAACACTTACAATACAACGAACATCTGTGGCGGCGTCACCTACAATGTCGCCAGCAATACATGTTACTGGAAACGAAATGTCGGCAGCAGCCCGGCTCAAGCAGGCTTCAACAGTGCTCGCCTGATCTACTACGCCTATCCACAAGTAACTGATGACCCGAGGATGCAGACCACGAGCAGCAGCAGTACGCCCTACGTCTCGACTTCTGTCACGCCTGTATACTACTCTACGCCAGGTGTCACGACCACCACGTCTTTCTCCTTGATCACAGAGACACCCACGGCCAACATTACTAATGGTGGTGCCTTGGGAGGTGGCGTTTCGTCGACGGATGATACAACTTCGACAAGCACAGATGCTGGGACCACGAGTACACAATCACCCTCGTATACCGGCTACTCCTCTCGTGGGAGTAGCACAACATCAACCTCGTCGTCTTTCCTCACCTCTTCGACGTCGCACCCAATATCGACTTCAGCGACCACCGTACTTGCTACGAGCTCCCTTGTGCTCTCATCGACTTCGCCAGCAGCTACGACGACACTTTCTTCAACTTCAGCCACGTCAAATGTACAGCTCTCTTTGTGGAGCTCAACGTCTTCGAGTACACCCTTATCCTCCACACATTCTCCAACCACGCCCACTGGTACATCGAACCATGGGTCGACTTCAGCTCAGGCCACGTCGGCACAATCACCAATACTTTCGTCATCTTCGGCAGCCGTGTCCGTTTCCTCTGCCCACGCCACAACCTCTGTCACCAGCCAGATACAGCCTCAATCCTCGTACTCTACGACAACCGCTCCCGTAGCCACCACTCAGATCTATATGTCATCGAGCATGAGTCTAGTTCCCAGCAGCGGCAGCAGCCCTGTCGGCTCATCCTCTGGAATAAGCCTACCGTCTTCTATGCTTACATCGTCCGTCCCTGCGTCGTTGTCGCCCTCAACAACCCTTGCAGGACCGACAACATCTTCGATCACAACGGCACAGCGATCTTCGCAAAGGTCTAGCAGCTCCACATCCCTTTCGCAGACGACCTCAACCTCCCAGCAACCACCAACCTCAGATTCGCCATCAGGAATCCCGACGACGCCGGTCCCACAGGTCGGTAGCAGCTCCGCTCCCATTCCTCCATCTGTCTCCACAACAACAGTCGCGTCAACCTCTGAACCCTCGGCGACTACAACTACAAGCGAGACTCTGCCTGGGCCCACGGAAGTCAGCGCCGAAAATGGTGCCTCTTTCTCCTTTGCAGGATGCGTAGGACCGCGACCCAACTCTGCCTTTGCCAACAGTTTTACCCTCGTCGAAGATTCACCATCCATGTCTATAGAGCGATGTGTTAGTGATTGCTCGTTGGATGTGTTCGCTGGGTTATATGATACGTAAGTTTTCTCGCCGCATGAACGGTCAGCTCTGTCGATTTGTTTCCTTCAACGAAATCTTTTCATCACAAAATATCCTTGCTAATACTCTCTTCTTGCAGGCAATGCTACTGTTCATCTTACTCCCTCCCCACTGACATCTCCGAAGACTTTATCGAGTACCCGGTTTCAGCATGCAACACCACCTGCCCTGGTGATCCAACTCAGAAGTGCGGTGGCAGGGTCTCGTCATCTTCCTCCCCATCTCGAGTCGTGAGAAGGCAGATCACCAATGCCGAAGGTGATCTTATCCTCCTAACGCTCTATAACAACACCGGTACGGATGGTGATGTTGGCAGTGCCTCAACAAGCACAACGATGACTACCATGTCTCTTCTGGTGACGAATGGACCTGGAGTTGTGAGCACGATGAGTATTAGCATGAGCATGAGCACGAGTACCACATTCCCAACGCCAACTCCGCCGCTCTTTACAAGCGTTACGCTGCCAGTCTCTACGTCCGGGTCTCGAACCGACAATCCCATTCTGAACACCCCGACAACCACTACGGGCATGTCATCCCCTCTGACCACAGGCCCATCTACCTCGATAACCCCAACTCTACCGCTCTCTCCCACGGTGATCTCAACGGTCTACACAACTATCTGCCCCTATCACCCCGTCATTTGTCCCACAAGGACAGAAACCAGCCTGACCACCACCATTACGCTCCTCCACTGTGGCTGCACAGATATGCCCACCCCAACAGTCCCCATGACTACAACGGTCGTCGAAGGTTGTGCCATAACGCCTCCACCGGATGCAAACATGGGTCCTGACAGGAATGGTGTAGGTATGGGTGATCAACAAAGCACCCCGGAAGGTATCCCTCCCGACGCCGGCAATGCAGGCACTACGCAGATGACGACCCTCACGATCCCCTGCGCGGCATCAATCTCCTCGCTCGAAGCATCAGTCACGGCATGGTCCGCGGCATCTGCTGCGTCTGCGGCTGCCGCTGGAGGTGCCAATGCCAACGTCGACACCCACGCCCCAATCCCCTATAGCTTCCCCATCTCCTTCCCCATGACATCTTCGGTCCCGGCATCGGGAGGCACAGTGACGCTGAACCTCGTGGTCGTGACCGCGCCGTTCAACTTCTCGGTGCCGCCTGTCCCTGCGCCCTCGGCCCTCAATGCTACAAACGGGACATCGTGGCAAGGGGAGATCAAGAATATGACGGTCATGCCCGTTGCTTTGACCGCTATGAATACGCGAGCAGGAGCAGGTGTCAGCGCGACAGCAGGGGCTGGCGCGGGTGTGCCTCCCATGCAGGGGGTCAAGTCGGGTGCTTCGTCGCGGCGCATCGCGAGACGGAATGGGATTGGTACTAGTATTGGTGTTGCCATTCTGTCGAGTTGTGCGCTTGTCGCTTCTTGGGCTGGTATGCCGTTGTTGGGTTCATTACTTTTGATATCATTGTGAGTGGGGAGCGGCTCAGGGGAACTCAAGCTGGGAGCGGATCCTGCCTTAGCTGTTGGGTTCAGGCCGGGGGATGAAGGTGTCGTTGAAAAATATAGTGCCAGTGTACTCTAAACTTGAGCAGACATGAAAGGGCCGACGGTGCATGTGAATCTACTCTTCTGCATAGGTTTGTCACGGGTGAGAATGTCGCTTGCTCTCTTGGTTGGAGTCTGGCTGTCTGTGACGAAATATGTGGCGTGCACGGTGCTACCTGCCTCCACTGAACCACTTCGCGTTACGTAGGGCCGGGATATCACCCACATGCACCACTCGCGAGCCAACTACTGTAGGAACTAGTGCAGTGTGAAGACTAGAAGCTCTCGCAGTTTATTGTTGGTTATTCTTCGCTCTAGGCCAGTTTACCCGCCGTCGGGTCATTGAGCCTTGGACACATCTCGTCTCAGTTCCTTGGTAGTCATATGCCGGTCCGATGGCTATCCAACTGCGTCGATACGCGGAGGTGGACGACGCGGCCTTTGTTCCTCGAAAATGTTCGTGTCGTACGGGTGTTGAGTTTTGTCTGGTGGAAGGAGCCTGGTGGCCAAGCCCCACGGTGCAGCGCTGCGCCGCTGCCACGGTGTGTGATATCACAGGCGCACCATGACCCCAAATCCGCACTATTCACTCGGTCTTCGAGAAGGCAGAGCCGCGGAGACGACGGACCCCGCTACCTGCTGGTGAACCTCCTCTTGTGCTCTCCCTGGCAGCAAACAATCTCGATCTCACACACACCCGGCTTGTCATCCCTCTGATGTGGCCAAGCACGACAACACACCCTAACATCTCGCTGTACTCGTAGTCGCGGCAGGACGGGGGTATTTAGGCGCTCCCACTCGCCGGATTTGATAGTTAGCTGCCTTGCGCCCTGCGTCTGCGAGCCAAACACCGTTTTCCATGTCGCGATGAGGAAACTGCACATCTGCTCGTTCGACGACGGAGGATATGCCACGAGTTCGTTGTTGGTATTTTCAGACGTCCTGGGCCGAACGCGGACAGGAGAGGAGAACCAAAATTGGTTGTCGCCAGGGCAGTAAGCGAAGTCGCCGTCAACGACATCCGGCATTCTTCTGTCATCAACGGGTTTTGCATCGTGGTTGTAATGTCCGCCAGTCTCCGCCAGCCAGGGCACGCCACAGTCCAAGTAAATTTGCAACTTGTCCAGATTGAACTTGCGAAGCTCTTCCATCATGTCTCGGTACTCTTCGAAGCGCAGGTGCTGGGAGGTTCGATTGATATCAAAGGTGAGCTCTTTCAGCTGCGGACACGAGTGTCGAATGGATCTGAGCTCCTCTAGAGACAGAGTATCTCTCAGCGTATACCAAGAATCCTCGCGCTCATGGAGGTGCAATGCGGTGAGAGTGGGCCCGTGTCGACTTAAGACGGTAGACAGCGATACTCCACCTCTCCAAGACCACAGACTGAGACTCGACAATGCGGAACATGTGGCAATGTACTGCTCTATCGCTGCAGATGTCTCCTCGTTGCGTTCTTGAGGGTTGAGGTTCAGGCTGATGTGCTTGAGACTGGTCAATAGCTGTGGAGCGCGGTCGAAAAATGAAGCGTAGACGGATCCTCGGCTGCATTTGAAGCTCTCCAAGCATGTCAGGTTGACATACCGTGACCAGTAGTCAAGTGTCTCGGCGGACAAGCACCAGCCGTCCAAAGTAAGATGACGCAGAGCGGAATTTGGCTTTCTGTCGGCATATTCCTTGGGAAACCACAGTTCGGGCTTGGCTCGCCAGCGGCTGGCCAACTCTGGGTCACCAGGCCGCATCAAGGGCAGTGAGACCAGGGATGCGAACTTCAGGTTCGGTGCCAGAGCTAGCACCACCTGGAAGGTCATGTGGTCTTCGATGCAGGTTCCATGCGAGGCCGTCATGGAAAACGTGGTGAGACTGGGCAGTGTAGCCAGGGCCGCCTCTGCGGCTAACAGCCCTACGGGACTGGCAAGCCTCTCAGCCTTGAAGAGGTTCAACTTCGCCTTTGGCTGATAATCGTACAAGGCCTTGGTAATCCCGTATGGTGGGAAATAGCCGACCTTCCAGACCAGTGTTTTGAGGTTGCTGGCGTCACGAAGGAGGCTTTTTAATTGACCGAAAGGATTACCCACCGAGGCAAGGGGGTCGTTTTCATCCTCGTTGGACTTGCTATTGTCGTCCAACTCGTCCTCGTCCTGGTCCTCGCCCTCATCGATGACTGCAGGTAGGTCGCCCCTGCAAACAGTGAGATGTCGAAGGCCGCGGAGCAAATCAGGGTTCTGCCAATCGTGCTCGATTCGACTTTTCGAATCCACCCAGGAGCGTTTCGTTCCATGCCATTGTACGGTGACGCGGCGATAGCGTATGGATTCGACGGCGCTGTTGAACTGTTGGCAGACCTGTGCAATGGCTGCAGTGCTTCGGGGTGACTGATCATCAACGAATTCGAATATGCTGGCAAGGACTTCCACTTCAAGATCGAGGATTGTCGTTCGAGCCATGGCCATGTGTTCGAACGGCAAGAATGAAATGATCAAGTCAAGCCGCGGAGACTTAATGGAATGGCTCAGACTCTCGAGAGTTAGTTAAGAGGCGGCTGAGAGACGGGAGACGTGAGGGTGAGGCCAAGGTGAGTCTCAAATGAGAATGAGGTAAACAGGATACCGGTTCCTGATTCGTGGTTGGGCGCTGAAATAGGCACCAATGCAGGCACCAAACGGGCTTTAACCCAGTGTAGAAGGTCAAGCATATCAACGTGTTTCAACAGAGCCAACGCGCATGATCTTGCTTCACAAGATCGAGGTGACCATCCATTGGTGAGATTTCCGGCAGACGCATCAAACAAGTGCCTGTTGTTTAAAGAAATGTCAAAACTATTTGGTGTCCTCCTGACTTGGGAACAAGTCGCAAACCGCCATGCTCTAGTCTTTGTCGACCGCCCGCAACCCTGACGCCGCGCTGTTGTCAAGACCACCGTATGCTTGTCCTTCCCCGGGCTACCCAACTCTCCTACGAAGGATCATATGCTCCAATGTCTATGCTCTAACCCGGTGTCGTAAGCATCTAAATGTCTTCATCAATGATAGCCTCATCCACTTCCGAGAGCATGGACTCCTCGAGCAGGCTATTGCTGGCAACATAGCTGAACCCACCAAAAGGATCAGACTTGCTCAGCGTCCGGCTATGCCTTCGTGCGATCGTGTCAATCGCTCGGTCCGTAAATTCTCGTGCGAAATTTTCTGCCAATTCAGGATTGGTGACCAGTGGTTTGATTGGTGGCTCGAGCTCCTTTGCTTCCAGCTTCTTCCAGTCGATCTTCCTGAAGAAACGGTGCTTCTTGATGATATTGATGTCGCTGGGACCAACGCCCAGTCGCTTCTTAGGCTCCTTGCGCAGTAGCCGGGTCAAAAGATCCTTGGCATCTGGTGACAAAAAGTACGGCAGACTCAACTTTTGAAACAGAATGTTCTGTTGGATCTTCGTCCAATTGCCTCCTCCGAACGGCGGTTTGCCCGTCATGAGGTCGCATGCCATCGCACCCAAAGACCACCAGTCGCATGCCTTGCCATAACCCGGGCCCCAGTCAGACTCATCAGAGCCCCGGATGATTTCAGGTGCCATGTATTCGATTGTCCCGACACCAAGACTGTTGCATCGACTCCCACCGGGTGTACTAGCATCCTGAACCGCCACTTTGCTTAGACCGAAATCTGTCAGGAGCAGATGTCCTTCGGAGTTTAGCAGGCAGTTTTCGGGCTTGAGATCGCGATAGATGACACCCATGGTATTGTGAAGATAGTCGAGAGCCAGAACGATCTCGGCAATATAGAAGGCCGCAACCTCTTCAGAGAAGAACTTCTCCAACTCCAGATGGCGAAAGAGTTCACCACCAGAAGCATACTCGAGAATCAGGTAGAGCTTCTCGTGGTCCTGGAAGGCATAATACAGGTTGACAATAAAAGGATGACGGTTGACCAGTTCGAGAATTGAGCGTTCAGACATGGTTGACTCGATTCGCTTCTTGTGGACCTTTAGAAACGCCTTGGTGAGCTGCTTCTGCGCGAACAGGCGGCCCGTCGCGTTCTGTCGCACAAGAAGCACCGTGCCAAACGCGCCATCCCCAAGACAACGAACCGGGGTGAAATCTGCTGCGGTCATCTTGCGGGCTATCATCGAGGTTGCGCGCTGGTCTGCATCTAGAGTCGAAAGAGTAGCAGTGCTCGACCCGGTTTCAGCCAGCGATTGACTGACGAAGTCTTGGTCGATCTGAACATTGTAGCTGACCATATCTTCTTGTGGCTCCTCTTCCTGGTTGTCGGACGCGGCGCTGGCTGCACTACTGTTGGCTTCCGAGTTCAAGGCATCTCGCACTCGAGAGGTTGATCGACTTTGGCTGCGCGAGTTCAAGGCATCGAGCTGGGCCTTTAAGCTGCTGATGCCAGGTGACTGCGGTCTCAAACCAGGACTTGCACCAGCCAACGCAGGCAAGCGGGGAATAGGTGACAGGACTCGCGGACTGTTCGCGCGGGAGAAATCTGAGTCTTCGGCGCCTGAATCGACCGGAGTGAAGCCTCTGACAGTATTCAACGCTTGCACAGGCTGAGCGGCTTTTGTCTTGTTTTTCTTCTTCCGCCTCTTTGCTGCGGTAGTGGAAAGAATAGCACTTCCCTTGACTTCTTGTCGTCCCCTCTCAGCAGGCAACTCAGCAACAGCCTCGTCCGCTTGACCGTTGACGGGCATAGACTTTCGAGGTGTAATAGGAGGGCTCTTGGCCCGGAAAGGGATGATCTCTGGCTCTGCAGCCTCTGGTGGAGCATTCTGTTCGAGAGCCATCACATTGATCGCCTCATGCAGGCTCGTTGGTGTCGCGACTGCTGTGCGCGTCTCGCTGGATGTATCTAAGACCTGGTCCATGACGGTCTGTACTGCCGAAATACTCATACTCGTACACTTTCTGATGATGCCTCAATACAAAAAGGGGCGGAGTAAAGCGATAGTTGCGGCCCCAAAGGTTGTGTTTATTACCGTCCGCCCTTGTTCAGGACGGACCTTGTGCCAGTAGCCAAACGACTCTATGGCTAGAATTGTAAAGCGCGACTGTAGATGGCGATGCGATCACATGGGAAGGTGCAATGAAGCGACCGCAAGCGGCAGGCGGGAATTTGGACGTCGCGTTTGGAAGAGTGACGGCGCTTCGACCCATTGAAAGTGACAAATGACGCTCAACAGTGAGTGAGGATCAGAGATCAATCAACAATGATAAGAGATGCAATGCAATAAGGAAGATTTCGACTTCGTGGTCAAGGTCAGCAAAGAATCTGGGAATCTGGGAAAATCAAAAGGGCGACTTTGAATCGGCCAACGAAGTGACGGAGCCATTTGGACCAATCAGGACTGGTCGAATTTCCACCACAGATTTGCCCCAGATCTGGCCCGTGCCTTCCCTGGAGAAGCTGGGCAGATGAATCGCGGGGCATGGATTATCCTTGTTCCGTTCCCGCTCTGCCACAAATATCACACCACATTTACGCCTAGCTTGCTCCGTACTTTGACCATCCAAGTCCTGGCTGTCCAAACCCAGCAGAGCCTCAATCCACCTGCTTTCTCATGTCAACTGCAGCCATGGACAAGGTCATTTTGAAAAACATGCGGTTCGACTTTCCCATCGGCCTTGATGCTTGGCGTCGTTTCCGCAAACCACAGCCTGTCCAGATCACCATAGAGGCTCAGCCAACGTCAACACTCGAGCCTGCTGCCGCCAAAGATGACGTGAACCTATCGATGGACTACGGCAGCTTGTACAAAAATATGTCTGCTGCTTTGAAGGAGCCCCATCCGGACGCGTTTCCCACAATTCGTTCCTTGATCGCTCTGCTTGTCGGACTGGTTCCAGATTGCGGGTTGCTTAACATTGAGATTCTACTCCCAAAAGCTCTTCCTCATAGCACCGGCGGCGTCCTGTATCGTTTTCAGATCGACAAATCCGAGCTCGAGATCGACACATCCAGCTTGACTGTGACAGTCAGACAAATAGCCTGTACTTGCATTGTCGGCGTCAACCCCCATGAGCGCATCTACAAGCAGACGGTGTTCATCGATATCAGCGTGCCAATGGTCGACCCTGCCGTCGGAGTTGGTGCGCTGGAAGAACACTATACTGCGGCACTACACGATATGGTGCAAACCATCCGGGAACGTGTCGAAGGCTCTTCATACCACACGATCGAAGCACTTGCCACCGCGGTCGCCCAGATCGTGACACTGGGCTACGGCCATACGGTTGCAAAGGTCCGGATTGATAAGCCCAGCGCCATCGCAACGATCGAAGCAGCCGCTGTTGAGATTACTCGCAGTAAAACGTTCTTCGAGAACAAGGACTTTTGGAAAGTCAAACTGCCGTGAGATGAACAGCCTCTGCTTCAGCCGGCTGTCAAGTCAATTATGCTCACCCGAGGCACGCGAGAAGCGCCGGGGAGTACCGTCTGCGAACTCGGCACCGACTCACATCCAGCTTCTCTCCATGTTCCTGGTAAGCTTGATCGGGGAATGGCATGCGTATGCGTAGCCTCAGAGAATATCGACAAATCGACCGCCGGCTCCGAAGGGAATGCAGCCAGCTTTGCCCTGTCTTTAGCCCAAGCCTCACCCGGGGGTGCTTCCTCTTTCTTCCTGGGCTTCAGATATGGGTCAAAGAAGCTGTCAATGCCCCCTCTCGGACCGACTGTCGTTGGACTTGATGTTTGGAAGTCAAAACGAGCTTGATCTTTCTTCGCTCGCCGTCTAGGGGTACGCCGAGTGACATTACTGAGGGCGTCTTCAAGATTGGACTTCTTCGGGGTTGGCGCTTTGTCTCTCGCCTGCTGGCCCAGCACTGCGTCCGAGGCTGTTCCTTCCCGTTGATGTGCATATGGTGACGTGGGTTCAACCGGGACGACAGGCAAAGCGTTCTTAACTCGTGGCTTCGAGGATTTCTTCCCGATCCGCATGACGAGGTCTGTGGAGCTTGAGGTTGAAGGTCGTGAGTGCTTTTCGCTGTGCGATCTGAACAGGTCTTCCTCCTTCCTGAGGCCGACTCTGTTCAGCCTCGTCAACGGACTGGATTGCGACGCTTGTGGCTCTTGTGAGGCTTTTTTCACTTGGCTCCTCTTTGTGGACTTGAAATAGTCCTGCATAGAAGGCGAGGTGCTTTGATCCTGTCGAATCGACTTTGTCCTGGTAGGAGTGCCGATAGCATGCCGCGGCTTGATGTTCGCATTGACTCGAGGAGCTGGCGGCGAAGGAGAAAGAGATATCTCCTCGACTGCAAACAGATCGGTGGTTGTCGACTTGGCCTGAGGAGGTGAGGGCAGCAGAGACGCATCAACTACTGCGAGGGGCCCGGCGATCGTCTTCGCTTCTGGGGCGGAAGCCGGCTGGCCTGGATCACTAGGTTTACTGGTCGGCTTGGTGGCGGTAATATAGCTGTGGATTGCTCCAACCTTCATTCCTCCCGCCTTCTTCGGTTTCTGTGGCCCTTCCTTCTTCTTTGAACATTTTCGAGTGGCAAATTTCTTGGGGTCATTCTGGATCTCCCACTGAATTTGGTTCCATCGTTCAACGTGCTCGCGCGCTCCAACATCCACAATCGCCTCGGCCAGCCATATCTTCTCAGGATTCCAAGGTAGCCAAGGTGGTGTCCTCCGCTTCTCCGCGGGAATCTGACTCGATGGTGGAGATCCGGTTTCTCTTGATTCCGTTTCTTCTCTCGCAGCTTCGTCGTCCCTCTCGGCGGCAAGCCTGCTGAGATACTCTGGGCTGTCTTCTTCTGTGTCAAGATCCAAACCAACGACCTCGGCAGGAATCACTGTCACCCTCAGCTCTGGAATACCATCGCTAACAAAGTGTTGCCTCCGCTCCGTGATCTGGTCGACTGACGTGACTATCGATGCTGCAGCGCCCCTTCGCATTCGGTTGGCAAGCAGAGCTGGTGCCATGACGCGGACAAACTTCCATGCACCCGGTTTGTACTGCCAGTCAAGAGTGTCCCTGGCATAGTCGCGGAGAGCTTGCACCTCAATCTCTGCCTCCCACGCCCTTTCCCACTTCTTCTCCAAGTTCTTCAGCTCGCGCTCTTCTGTTATTGCCGGGTTCATGTAATAGTCCAGAACACGCCGGTTGGGAAAATCCTCTGGGATTTTGACCGATTTCCGCTTCTTGTTGAAGTACCCGCTTTCATTTGATTCCAGTTCGTACTGCAGTCGTTCTCTCCACTCTGCAATACCATCTTCGTCCCTATTCCTCACCAGTTCCAATATGTCGGACCCGAATCCTGCCCTTGCGATGTCGCACGCCAGGGAGACACCGATCCCCGCGACTCCTTCCTCATCGTAGTCACCACCGCTCAAGAGCGCGACCAGAATCATCCCATCTGGGTCCAACCCTCTGCTGACCTCTTTTAGCCTTTCCAATTCGAAGACACTGACGTGCGTGGGCGTTTGATTGCCTTTCGTTTTGCCCTCCTTCGACCAGTCTCGCAACGTCAGTCCAGACCCGAACATGATGGCGTCGACATCTTGCGTCATCACCGCATCCACTATCCCGTGCTTCTGAAGCATTGCGCATTCCGCCTCGGCCTCTCCCGGCGCGACATGGCAAGGAAAGCTAAGCAGGGAGATCAACCTCTTAGAGGCTCGCTCTGAGACATGGCCGCCCTGCCAGCGGGATACCTGCAAATCACGCAGGCCATTAGCATAAAAAACCACCGAGCGAGTCGAGATGGTGTACCATGGGTACTACGTAAAGTGAAGAGCAAAGCTTACAATCCTTCCCCGCTTACAAAGCGGCTTCTTGTTCCCATCGTACACAAAGACAGGGTCAATAGGCAAAGCCAGCAACTTCAAAAGCCGATAGAATAACGTGCGGAGAGCGGGATTCTTGCCGCCCACGCCGCCGTGTTGTGTTTGGAAACTCCAGATCGCGGCGTCAATGGCAATGCGTAGCGGCCGGTTGTGTTTTTCCAGATGTGTGATGCACAAGCGCGAGAGAGCAATACGTTCGCCTTTGCCGATCTCTTTGAAGAGACTGACGAGAGGAACACGGGTTAGCAGGGGGGGTTGAGAGGCTGGTTGATCGTGATCTGCATTGGCGAGAATGGCTGATCTCGGTCTGTTACTCAGTAATGTTCGGAGCACACTTACCCAGGGATACCCATATTGGTGCGCCAAAGTCTTTATCTGATGGCCCGCATGGCGCTACAGCTGAAGGCTTGTACTGATCACCGATAGCCTGATTATGCTCTAAACTCTTCTAGAAATTGGAGATAGCTGATGGCGATGATGTTCTGACCTGGCGATTCAGAGTCTTTGTTGACAAGGTTGACTTGGAGACCCTGGCGTGCCGTGCTCGGAGGATCCTCCGTATTACTCGAGAACTCCACGAGATCACGTGACTCTCTCGGTCGACCTCTACGGATGAGACGAAGTCCTCGTAGGATGGCAGTGGGGGGTTTTCGGTCAAGACCTCCATTGGCAGTGTCATATGAGTACAAAGAGGCCTCAATGCACCTCATGGTGCAGAACGTACTGAGTACTGCGTACTCTGTTGGTGAAACGGGACCATAAGTAGAAAGCTGACTAAGCAAGGTTGCTTATGTCATTGGGTGCGACGCGACCGCGTTTCCATTCGCAGGTTCTCCCTCACTTGCGCCAACATTGAACAAAACCCTGGCACTCTCAAAGGAGGTGGAGGCGGCGACTGAAAGACAAGACAAGCATGGCATCGACCGTCGCCTCCGCCATCCGGCCAGGTCTACGCGAAGGAACCTCACGCCAACAATCCGGCTCTCCTCACACCCCCACCGGCCGCTTTGTCTCCTCCGCCCAGTCCTCACCGGGGTCGTACTCGTTCCGCGCCGAAGAAGACCCCATCATCATTGAGCTCGATCCGCGCGGCCTGAGCGCCGGATTTCAGGGTGAAAGCGGTCCGCAATGCTACATTCCCTTCTCGCCTCAGAACTCCCAACGAGTAGGCGATTATCGCATTTTCTTGCCTGGATTTCGAAGACGCAGGGAAGATATAGCGCTCAAGAGTAGCGAGTATGAGCTATGGCGGAATGACCTGACAGATGTTGATCTGGGGCTGCTGGAGGATAAGCTGGAGCGAGCAGTACGGGAGGCATACAACAAGCATCTCCTGGTGGATGCCGGTGCTGCGAGATTAGTGCTGGTGTTACCTTCGCTGGTGCCACATCCGGTACTCTCTACCATCCTTACGCTGTTCTTCGAGCGATGGAAGTGCGCGAGTATTACTCTTCTTCCAGCACCTACCATGGTCATCGCCGGGGCAGGATTGCGCTCCGGTCTTGTGGTGGACGTAGGATGGGAGGAAACCGTCATCACCGCTATCTACGAGTATCGCGAGGTGCATGTGCGCCGCAGTGTCCGAGCCATGAAGGCTTTGACTGTGAAAGTTGGCGCTCTGCTGGATGCGATCAGAAAGGATCAGGATGGGGCAATCCGAGACACGCTCGTGCTGGATTTCGATTTTGTGGAGGAATTCGTGGACCGTGCTGGATTATGTCACGCTCTGCTTCCAGTGAGGGGAGAGGATTTGGCGGCAAAGACGGAGGCCATGACTCTTGAAGACAGATCATCCATTGAACCGGCTGACGACTTGACAGCGAGCCTCATGATTGACTGGCCTACCGACACTTCCTCACATTCCATCACTATTCCCCTGCAACCAATGCATCAGGCGTGCCTCGACACGCTGATAAAGCCGAGAAGCGAAGAATACCCAGACGACCACGAACAATCCGTCAGTCAGCTTCTGTATCGATCCCTCCTCGCTTTATCCGCGGACGTTCGCAGTATCTGCATGTCGAGAATCATCTTTACAGGCAGGGGCACGAATGTGGCGGGCTTGGCACAGCATATCCTCGATACGACTAATTCCATCATCCAAGAGCATGGGTGGACACCTGTCAGAGGTGAACATTTCAAGTCCAAGCGGAGCGGCCTTGCGGAGCTCGCTCAAGGCAGAGCTGCCCCTGCGGATGTCAGACACGATATTACCCCTCCAGGGGCGGATGACTTTGTGGAAGAGAGGCTCTTCAAGCAGAGATCGAAAAGTGCCTATCCACCCGTACCGGCTGTTTTGCGACAGGTCGGTTCTGTTGGGCCGTGGGCTGGAGCCAGCCTGATAGCCAGTCTGAAGGCGAAATCTTTTGTTGAGATTGAGCGGGAAAGGTTCCTTTCTCACGGACTGGCTGGAGCACACCGTGATTTTGATCCTAGTAGTCTACATCAACAGCGTGCTACTGCAGCGAAAGGACATGAGAGAACTAGTTGGACGTTAGCAGGATGGGGCTGAAACTTGTGTACAGCACGGCCAATACCGGCGGGTCCAACATTGGCAATTCCGGGACAAGCACATGATTCTATGCCGGACACGGTTTACAAAATGATCTTGGATGATACCACCCATTCCTTGACGTCGCCTTAATCCATGTTTGTGACCCGGAGCACATACACATCAAGGGCTGATGAGAGTTGATCCAATTTCAAAGATGAGGCGGAGCAGCAGATGTCGTTAGCGATTCAAATCAACTTGGTACGTCAACCTCTGGTTCTGTGAAGGCATAGAACTTGTCACTTGAGGCAGGGTATTCTTGGTTGAAGCTAGAATGTCCTCCTAGACAATGAGCGGCATTGTGGTGCAGGGGACGTCGCTGCCAACGGTGTCTATCGTCTGGAGGACGCTGTCCACATATTCCACTAACATTGCAATCCAACTCCTTCATTAACAACGAGAGTGAGAGTGAGCGTGACATCCTCCAGGCACCCAATCTCAGATACTACTTTCACGCTCCAGCACCCGTCACCGTCATCTCACGGAACAATGCCAGACCTAACCAGCGGGCACCAGGGGCGTAAACCTCAACGACGTCCAACGTTCTTGAAGAGACAACGTCTAACTCACCTCACCCACCGCTTTTCGAACGTCATCACCATCGCCTCCGCCATCGCCATCCTCATCGTGGCCGCTTCAATCTCTTTCCTCTCGATCTCCTCTCTTCCTCTGAAAAAAAATCATGAACAACCTCAATCACCACAATTACTCACTCTTCCACTACGCCCTCCTTCGCTCTGCTGCCAAAATGTCCGACCCGACCAAAGACCGCCACCACTCCCCAACCAGCACCGGCAGCTTCAAATCCGCGCTCTCGACCCTCAAACGCGCCGCCACAAACACCAGCAACAAGAGCAACCTCTCCTATACGCCCGGCGACGACTCGATCTTCAACATCCCCCAAGACCCACTCCCGGACAACCCACGCGACCTCGAAGGCTTCCTGAACCGCCACCTCTCGGCCCTGGACCAGCTGCAACGCACCGTCGACGCCCGCAACCAGGAGATCAAAGACTACTGCACCCGCGCCGCGTACTACTACAACCTGAAGCCACGCGTGTCGGGCCAATTTCTCAAGCAGCTCGACGCGGAGATCTACGTGCTGAGACAGCAGCGGAACGGGTTGCAGCCGCTCGTGCAGATGAGACATGACGAGATTGTGCGCATCGCGGACCATCGCAAGATGTTGGACGAGGAGAGGGGCCTCGAGTGCACTGTGTATGAGATGTACCTTGGGTTCCGCAAGTTGGGGGACTGGGAGGAGAGGTTCTCGATCTAGGGATCACAGGTCGCGAGATGGCAGGAATGAAGTGGCTTGACACGGCCAGTAAGAGTGGAAGGGGCTGCATGAGCTGGAAACAAAGGAGGGACTGCGGTGAGAACACAGTCTGTCTCGATCGCAGGCAGGTTTGGATCGTAGATTGGCGACTGCTAGGAGACAGAGACAGAGACAGAGACAGAAACAAAGGCTAGATCAGCGTCATTGCGCGCGTCTTAGGGAGCTAGTTCAGCAAGATCGGAGACCAGGCACTCAAGCGATCAGTCAAGTAGCCGGGTCAGTCGGTTGACTGCGAGCTATGAATGGAGGAGCTGGATATCGCTCAGCAGGGCTACCTGCACTGATGGGAGACGCGTTGGTAGAGCAAAAGCTTGGGCTTTCATCGACAGAACAACAAGGTCCTGGGAACAAGCATATGTTCCACAAATCACACCCCAGACAGAGATTCAGATACAGTCAGTAGACTTCCATGCAGACAGCATGCATGATAATGAGTTTCAGAATCACAAGTCGAACTCGAGTGATATCGAAGGCGAGCCAGTGCGCAAAACTGCAAGATGCTAGACATGAGATGCGGATCATCAGCTTTTGTGGCTTCCAGATACTTACGTACATGTACACTTCCCTGCCAGACTACACGTCAATGCCCAACGCCCTACAGCGCGCCCTGAAATCATCCATCCCCACATACGCACCACATATCCTCCTCTGCCCTTTGAAGGCGAGCCGGCCATGCAAGACGCGCCAGTTGTCGAAGATGACAGGCTCGCCAGGCTTCAGCTGCAAGGTGATGAGAAACTCGGGACTTTCGAGGATGCGGCTCCACTCCCTCGCGGCGCTGTACCACGCCTTCAAGGCCGTGTGGTTGGGGAAACTCGGCGTCCCGGGAGCCGCGCGGTCGAGGTTATTCCAGCGGACCTGCACGAGCGTGGCAGGGGAAGGGGTGGTCACGCCGGGCAAGGGCGCCGAGTGCACGAGCACGGGATACCCCCTGCGGGCGACATTCGTGTTGTAGAACGCGCCCGCTGGGGAGCCCAGCGCGGCCGACACGATCGGGTAGGTGGCTAGCGCGTGGTAGTGGTGCGGGGAGGTGGCGTAGAGGTGCTGCGCGGCCGCGAAGCCGTCGACAAAGGTCGATTCGCCGCCACCCTGCGTCGCGGGCTGGAGGCAGTGGAAGAGCTGCAGGCCTGCGGGGTCGGTGAAGTACGTCGTGTCCGTGTGTGGAGGGAGGTAGTCGTCCGTGTAGGCCGTGTCGATCGGGTTCGGGGCCGAGGTGAAGTCCCAGAAGCCGCCGTAGTGGGTGGGCCGGATGTGGGCGATGCGTTCGACGAGTGATTGTGTCGATGCTGGGTCTGGGGCCGTGCGTGGGACGAGGCAGAAGCCTAGGGTGTGGATTGTTTGGAGGAAAGTTTTCAAGCCGGAGGCGGAAGGAGAGGTCGTGGAGATTATCGAGTCGTATGGCACGCTGGGGAGGGAGGAGGTGGCAGAAGGGGGAGGAACGTGCGTCCATGTTCGACGTGGCGTGGTTGATGAGGTGGTCTTGCCGCTGGCCTGGATGAATGGGGGGTGCGTTTGGAGCCATTCCCATGAGTAGATGCTTCTGTGGTGCTGGGTCTTGGTCTGGGTGTCGGTGCTCGTGGCCTCGCTTGATACTGGCCAGACGACTTCCAATCCTGCCGAGGTGGCCTGTATGCTAGAGACTTTGATTTCGGGATCGATGGTAAACGTGTCGACCTGTCTCTGTTGCGTGCTGGGGTGTTGGCATGCCGAGCAAGGACAGTGGTCTCTGAGCCAGAACGAGGGGTACCGCAGTGCTGTTCCACTGTTGAAGTCCACGATAAGCTCCTGGTTGGTCATGTCGTTGACCAATACCCGCGGCAGAGCAGGGGCGGTGGAGGGTGAAGCTTCGGTCGTCGTGCTGCTGTACTGTCTTGTCGAGGCCATGACTGGCGCGCGTGAGGCTGCGGCAATGTTCCTTCGTAAAGGCTGATGTGATATTAATACGTTTCCAGGCGAGGAGTTATGTGCCTTTCTTGGCGTCCTTTTGCTTGGAGCAGAGCCATTGAGGCCTTGTCCGGTGCACCGGCAGCAGTGAGGAGCATGCCCTCTCGAAACCAAGGTAGCCGGGATGCGTGGCTTCATCGTTGCTCAAAACTTTGTGTCCTTCCAAGCAATTGTTAGTCTCAGTCCGAATATGTCGGGGCAGTATCTCGAAGGCGGCTGAAGACACTGAGTGGGCTGTCCGACGTGTTGTCCCAAGGTGGAGGTTGCTCTGGTCTGTCGTGGTGAGGAGCACGAGGAGTCATTGTGTCTTCTCGCTTCAAGTGCCGCATTGGGAAGGTGGAGGGAATGCGGCAAAGGTGCCTTGTTGAGATAGAAATCGAGATTAAGTAAGCCGTCCTCAGCCATCCTCACGCGTCTGATTCTCACTCCCTCCATCACTCTCTTCGCGATGCTTTTGTCCTCGCGCTCAAGGTCAACGACAAGCGCATGAACATCGCGCTGAATTGCGCTCTCGGAGGGTTTCATGCGAACAGGACACGATGAGAAGCACCGGCTCGCCAAAGAATTGTCTTCATGGATGGCATCGTGCTGACGCGGTCCCCTTCCTGTCACCAGCCCCTTCTGTTGCATCACCATTCAAAGAAGCTCTACTACGAGCTTGGCAGATGAATTCCCCAAGACTCTCTCGAGGATGAGATCAAGTATTGAGACCAAGCTACAGCATGAAGAAGGGAAAGCTCGCGCCGGACGTTCTCGCTCCGATGTGTCCGGCCCGAGCTCACGTCCTGTGGTGAAGCTCTATCTACCGTGCAAAGTCTGCTGGCATTCTACTCGAGCAAATCTACCGTAATCTTCCACTGAGCCGCTCCAAGCCCGTCCTGGGACGTTTCTGGATGGCAACCTCGACCGGGTCAAGCGAACACTATCTGATATCTTTTCACGACGGCTTTAATTGTCATCTCCTGCTTTCCATGAGTATTGTTGCCCGGGTTTAGGAAAGGATATACTGATCCTTACACAGCTTGCCATGCCTGTGGCTCCTAAAATGATGAGTGAGTATTTTGCCCCTGATTGAGGTTCTGACTGACCATCGACTCGCTATCGAAATCCAATCGCATGCCGATGCTCATGGTTTCGCGCCTCCTGGGTCAAGCCAGGGATTCTCTTTGTTTGCAACGTGGCAGACAAGGCATCCTGCACAGCCTCGTCAATTATACCACTGCCTCGCAATGGCTCCATTGTTTGGATGTAAGATTTCTTTGTCGACCCAAAGATATCCAATCATTGTTACTATATTTACCGACATGGTTGTTGCAATAAAACTGCTTTGCGCCCTGGAAGACAGACCGGACAGATCGTACACAAGTCGGCCACCAGCATCATTTGAACTTCCAGGCATTTGTCTATTCTCTTATTTCCTCCTTTTCCCTTACAATCATGAGTGCGCCTAGAATGTCATCGCCCCTTGCGGCTGGACTTGAGGTGCCATGTCCCATTCTGCAGTCTTTAACAGATACATCGGTCACCCACACCAATTCAGCTGCATCCACCAAAATGTCGAAGACGATGCCAATTCAAGAAGAACCCCACGAGCCCGAGGATGACCCTTGCCAGCCATGCTCACAGGCACAGCGGCTGGACATTGTGGAACAGTCACATTACCCTAATTCTGGAGAGTCAGAGGCTATCTCAAGGTACGTCTTCGCCATGCGCACAGCCATAAAGAAGCAAGGGGAAAGATTGCAGCAGGAGGAAGCCCGGGAGGCAGGACAGGAAGGCTCTCCAGCAGAAAAGGAGAGTGAGAAGCCCGACTTCCACATCAAGGCTTCCCAAAAGACGAAACCGCCACCACTTCTTCTCACCACCGAAGTGCACGGCAAGGACATACTCGCCGGCCTTAGGTCCAAGGCACGACGGGTGACATTTATTCTGCCAAAGAAATCAGCGGAAAAGGGCTCAAAGTCCGAAGTGCAGCTTCAGGAACCAAAGCGTGTCTCTTCTTTGTCCCTCTTGGCAAGACATGCGAAGGCACGATTCGCCGCGATCGGATCCACTGGTAAACCCGTGTCAGTGCTGTTTCCACCGGTGCGATCGAAGCTGCGCAAGCAAAGCGAACGCAGGCCGAAGATTAAGAGCAACCATGGCGCAGCATCTGCGCCTTCCCTGGCCGAGAAGTGCACGAACGGGGAGGAGGGACTTGCGTCTCCGGATGAGGCATACGCGGACGACGAAGAGGTTGACGAACACGAGGAAGTCGCTCTCCTCTCACTGCGATCCTCAAGTTCGTCTTCAAGAAACAGCTTCGAAGCATTCCATTTCTACACGCCCATGTTTACGTCTCGGTCGCGATGCGATTATGAATACCGGCTGGAGGAGTCGCGGTTCAGGAAGTCCATCGGTTTCTCGAGAGACTCAGTGTCAAGGGGTGTTAGTAGCTTGAAACACCACACGAAGAACGTTCTGTGGACGCGACGAAGGGGAGGTGGCTGGTCGAGACTCAAGTAAGCTGGACAAATCCAGCAGGCTTTTGTCGATAATAACTGTAACATAGGTGAAGGTACTCTCAGAATTGACAAATTGCACCAGCATCCCGGCCCTCCCACGGGATGATTGGGAAGGTGCTACTACTGCACGGCGCTGTATCCATGTGGAAGTCATTAGCGAACGTGACGACCTTTGAGCATGGCCGTCGAATGACCGGCAGCCGCTTCGACTATCCATCGCTAATTCGCAGCATCTCGCAGGCTGTCCGTGGACGAAGCCTATCGCTTGGTTGAAGTACACATCCTTTTCCGACCTAGAACCAACACGAAAAAGGCGCTGCATTCAACTTCAGCCACAGGCGCACAACGAACCCCACGTACGTATTCAGATTTGATTATGCGCCCTCTGTACTCTGCACAGCTGAAAGTGCATTCTGCAAAACAGGCTAGCTGAACTTCGTCGCCAGATCTTGCACCCTTGGTGCTCCCGATTGACACGTCCAGGGCTCCTGGCCCAGCCCAATGGTTGTGGGTCTCGCGGGTCTCGACAGTGCTTGCCCTCTCCGACGGCCACTGGTGATTATGTAGCACTGGTGGACCTGCGCCCACACTCTCCGGGTACTCGTGAGCCTTTGTATTTTTCTCTGAGGAATTCAGAAGGTTGCCTCAATAGGCCTTCGCACCATAGCAAGGTCTAAATAGCCGGATATCAACTAGTGCCTACGTAGGAATCAGCGACGACTGAACGATTCGCGAGTGTCGACCACGAAGCCGTGGCGAGCTTGTGGAAAGAAATCGTTCAACCGCTGGACTTGGCGGGGCTTGTGCAAAAACCTTTTCCTGTCGTTCTTTATCTCTGCAACCCCCGAAGCTGCCGCAGTGACAAAGTCCCTCTTCAGCCCGACCTAGCTGACAATCAGCGTCTTTGTGCGCTCCTCGCTGTGTGTAGGGCATTTCACAATGTCGTCGAACTTAATCATGTCCAGACGTATCGGGGTCTTGTCGACCAGTGACGCTCTGTGACAACGACATGAACAGGTCCAGGTGCTACAAACCGTTCAACGCGAGAAACCGCGGCGATGGCCAATGACAATGGCAATGAGACGCAGGGCCGCAACCAATCCTTCCTCTTCATCAACAAGACCTCTACGACCCTGGCGAAGAACCCGGAGGAGAGCTTCACCATCTCCTCTCACGTCTCCAAGACCCACCGGAGATGGTTGAAGGAGGAACGGCTGCGGAAGCTCAATGCATCAAGTGGCAAGGCTGTGGTTCAACGATCCATCCTCCCAGCAAAGGCTCAGACCCAAGCCGTCGGTCCTGCGAGTCTAGCGCCACCCGAGTTCTACACATCTGCAAGAACTGTCGTCAGCTCCGACCAGCCGCAAGGTAGCAGGAGTGCCTCAGGGGCGTTGGAATCCGGTCCAGTAACCGCGCGACCAAGCGCCTGGACCAGCCGCTATTCCGAGCACAGCCGGCCTGTTTACCAATTCGAGGACAGCCAAGCCACTGATGACCAAGGGCAAGGGCATCCAGTAAAGGAAAGGAGGAGGCACGGCCGGGCAGGCAATAGGCCTTCCCTGGCTCCCTTTAGAGGCAATTCCGATCCGTTCTCAGCTGCTGCTCTGCCCCTGGCGGCCAAAGACCACGAGATCCTTCGTCAAGCACAGCGGTTTTTCGTATTCGTAGCTTCCCCAGACAACCGAAGCGCCGTCTGGAGGGCCCCAATCGCCGATTTCTCCAGCTCGCATATCCGGCTCCGACAGACCATTGGCGACGAAGCCGAAGTGCATGCCGTGCTGGCCGCTGGCTACGCGGTGACTGCAAAAGGTTCCAAGCATGACTACACGAGATCTCTTGCCCGGGGCTTGTATCATAAAACCAAAGCCGTGGAGCTGCTTCGCGACCGGCTCATGAAGCATGGCTTTTCACAAAGTGTCACCACCTTGATTCGTCTCCTCATCTCTCTCGACTTCGAAGCATCCGACAATGAAGCCGCCCTCATCCACCTGCGCGGGCTCTGGGCCATGGCAGCCACCACGCCGGGCATTCTGATAGACGCGCAGGAGCTGCTCCGCGTCAGCGACGCGTGGATCTCGATATCGCTGCTGAAGAAGCCCGAGATCTCTCCCACCCGCTACGACCCCGAAGGCCGCCTGTCGCAGCCCTTTGGGGAACTGCTCGATGCTCTGGAGCGCGAGCACGGCATCGTTGCACACAAGCCGAGTATGGTCAGCAGGCACGCCAAGTCCGCCTTTGATGACCAAATGTGGTCCCGGCTGGACGCTGCGCAAGAGATCGTCAGCACCAAAGCTGTCATGGACAAGATCGATGACTCCGACCTCCTGCACGAGGTCATCATGTGGATGAACAAACGAAGCAGCGCAGTCACAGGGTATTGCACGTCCGGATATGTCGACAACACCGAGGAAGCCGCCTGTACTCAAGGAGCCGAAAGTGTGGCAAGGACGCTGATGGCGGCGGCGTCCCTGTGCGCGATGATGTTTATGAACTTCCAATTCCTCGACCTGGCCACCAACTACAACTTCAGCAAGACGTGCCAGAAGATCGAGGAAGTCCTGCGAGGCGTGTCGAAGCGTGTCGAGCACGCAAGGTGCACCGAGCAATACACCGACTATTTATGGCTGCTGTTCCTCACGGCCATGGGCAACGACGTCTTCAGCGCAAGAGGCGACATCCCGTACTCACCTTGGCCGGTGACGGAGTTTCACCGGATCCGTGACCGTCTGAAGTTTGCTGACCGAAACGACGTGGTTGCAGCGCTCCACGCGTATCCACACCACGCGAAGACGGATGTCTTCCTCCTTGAGCTACTTGGCAATGGGCATGCCAAGTCGCCCACCACGCACATCGTCCCGTGGTCGAGGTGGCGTGGTATCCTCAACCATGCCTGAAGGAGACGACGGCGTAGGGCGGGACCGACCCGGGATACAGCAACCTGGTGAGGCCGTCCGTCACGGTAATGGGATATGTTGGGCATCTTGTCCACAGGATTCGGCTACGAACAGATATTCAGCAAGGCCAAAGGTTGTACCAAATGGTACTTACTGTCCATGGGCCTGCAAACAACCGATATACACCCGGTGAAGGAAAGGAAAGGGATGGGATGTACGGAGTCCTGTACTGGATGATTCTGTCACAGGCTCCCACTACCAATAGACATCCACCGGACAACAAAATAGACATTTACCCTGTATGAATCAGTACGTCACAGGCTGAAGGCGTCCGGTATAGTATAGTACACCGAGATGAATCCTGTGGCATCTGCAGGCACGTTAGCAGGAGGCCAGGGTCTAGTTTCCCACACGCATCGATTGCACAATCTCGACAAGATGGGTTCTTATGGTCTCATAGACGACGGCCTCCTACAAAATTCCCACACGCATCGATTGCACAAACCTCGGTCGTGCTTACGGTCTCAAAGAAGGCCTCTAAATTCCCACACGCATCATCTGGACAATAAAGCTCAATTCTTCCAATCTCGCAAAAACTCGCTCCAACACCACCACGCACGTTATCACTTGCTGGTAGCCGTGCTGCTCCTAAACTTGGTGTTGTCCTGCAAGTAGAACGTCGACGCGCGGTACTTGCTCTCGCCATCATACTGGGCCAACTCGGCGAGCGCCTGTTTCCCCTCGCGCTCGATCGTCTCCTTGATCTCCGCCGACCGGGGCGTGATCCGGCACTCGAACTCCTTGGGCCGCATGTTTAATCCGTCCCTGCAAACACGCGTGTCAACGTCAGTACGGAGTAGGGGCGTACGGAGTGCGGAGGTAGATGGGGACAAAAGATCCCGACGCGCCAACTAGCACAGAGACACTCACGTATACGCAAAGATGTCGACGGGGATCTCCTTGCCGGTCCGGTCCAGCGCCTTTTGGATGTTGAACCCCCACAGCAGGCGCGCGACCGTGAGGAAGGTGCCCTGCTCGGCGAGGCCCTGGCCGCTGCAGACGCGGCGGCCCCAGCCGAAGGTCATGTAGCCTTTCTCGTTGGGGAAGGGGCGGTGCAGCGGGTGGCCTTCGATGAAGCGTTCGGGAGCGAAGCGGTCGGGGTCGGGGAAATCTTTCGGGTTGCGGTGGATGGCCCACACGTTGCCCTGCACCCACGTGTTCTTGGGGATGTACCAGCCCTGGAGGACACGGGAGTTAGCAAATGACATCTCACCCAGAGAGTTCTGCATATGCAAACGCAAACGCAAACGCAAGGCGAATAACTTCCCCCCTCTTTTCTGACTAGGCAAATCCACTCACATTGTACCAGTCGTCTTGGATATTCGCGTGCGGCTGGCCCCCGATGATGGCCACGGACCGCCATCGGAAGACCTCCTTGACGAACGCGCGAATGTAAGGCAGATCGTCGTCCAGGCCGGGGCTGCGGTACGATCCGACGACTCGGTCTAACTCTTCCCACGCCTTGGGCAGGACTTCGGGGAACGCGCAGCACGCCAGCACGAACGTGATGAGCGTGGAACTCGAGGTGTCGCTCCCCGCGCCGAACAGGTTGCCGTTCAGCGACGCAATCTCCATGTCCGACAAGCCGTATTTGGGCGCCTCCTCCATCAGCTTCTTGGCGTAGCAGTTGCCGTGGTTCTCCTTGTTGGCGGCCTCCTCGGCGAGCGCGTAGTAGAAGTTCTTGCCGCGGCCCCGGCCCCGGCCGAGCCCGTGCTTCCAGGGGGCCATCCAGTTGGGGAATTTCGACAGCACTGCAGTACCGTAAGTAAGTGATCGCCTTTCCTCAGCTGCTGGGGCCACGCTTGTCGCTTGGTGCAAGCACTGATTACTCACCAGGAAACGTCTCCATCAACATGGGGAACTTCTTGCCCGGCACGTTCAGCTCGGCGGCGCGCTGCATGATGGCAATCACGTCCGTGATGATGGGGTCGTTCTTGTCCTTGATGCGGCGATTGAAGCCAATGATGCTGACCACCGACGCCGCGTACCGTTCGAAATGCATGACATAGTCGGCCGGGTCGCGCACCAGGTCCAACGCCACGACTTTGCTCTCGTTGTTCTGGAACCCGCTGTAGCTGCGCACGTGCTGGAGTCCGACACCCATGTGCGTGAGCTTGCGGTGTAGCCGCCACCTGTCACCATAAAACATGGACACAATGTTCGACTGGCCAAAGGATAACTCGCCAAAGACCACCATGCGCGGGCGCGACGAGTAGATGGCCGCGCGCTTGTCGAGCATCTCGCTCGCGGCTTGGGCTTCGCAGATCCACACCGTCGGGCTGCGGCCGATCCAGTACGTGATCACGGGGGTGTTGTACTGTCGCGCGAGCGTCTCGAACATGATCCATGGTTTGACGTCTGGAAGTTGGAACGTATTGCCGACAATGGGCCAGGGGAGGGGCCCGGGTGGCTAGTAAACAGTGAGCGAGGATTGACAAAAGCGCGTGCTGGGCACGGAGACTCAGCATTCCCAATTCCTGACGTACCATTTTCTGCCGTAGCATGAGCATTCGCGCGTAGTCGACGGCCACGGCAATGATGCCCACCAAGACCAGACCGATGGCGATCTGGCTGGCCGAGGGGGCCGTGCTTTGGAGATGGACCATGACACCCATGGTTGGGTACTCTTCGTGGATACCTCTAGTTGGTGGTCGGTTGCTCTTCGATGGTTGTAAGCCAAATGAGTGGATGTAACCAATGCTGTATCCGATTCCCGCACAGGAGAATAGGTCGCTTCTTGACCTGGGTCAGGTCAGCCAAGTATTGAAAAATCAATACCAGCTGTGTTCAAACGCCAGGTAGAGATTCAGGCAGTGGCGTGGTGGATCGGTAGGAAGCCGTGACGACGAGAGGATAGGATGTTGGTTTATTCGAATTTATTCAAGCACCAGGCCCAGGCGCGGCCGCTTCCCTCATGCAGAAATACAACAGACACACCTCGTCCAGGCCGTGTTTGAGAGGCCCAACCCCGGCATTTGTGCGACCTCCTCATCTCTGGTGCGCGCGACTGGTCGACGATCGTGGTCATCGCAGAATGCTAGTGTCGATTTGGGTGAATGGACGGGCTGCTGGACGTGGGGCCCGGGGTTTGGAGACCTCGATACGGAGCACACGTGCGAGCCCCATCTCTTCAGCGGTGGCACAGACAGCCCCCAGTGGTACAGTACAGAGTGCGGAGGGAGGCACCAGGGGGAAGCACGGGAGCGCGAGAGCTCTCCATGTCGACATTAATAAGCGCGGAGAGGGTAAGGGCCAGGTGAGAGAGAGACTTGAAAGTGAGGGGAAAGTGAGGGGACTGTGAGGGTGAGTGAGTGTTCAGCCTGAAACCCCCACATCCACAATGCGCGGTTCTGGACATCCCACCTTGAAGCCTCGGCGTGCATAGATATGAGGATAAGATCGGATTTAGCATGCTGAGTAGTCCACACTCCGTACATACGAAGTATGTTTTTGGTCTTTGACCTCTTTAGCTGTGTGTGAGCCGTGAAGAAGATACAAACTTAGGCTAATGGTCAGTACTCCGTACTCAATGAGTATTGTAGAGACCACACATGCGCGCCCTCGTTGTCCGTCCAGGTTTCCACACTCCACTATCTTCAAGCGAGATCTAAGCGCGGTCTGGATGGCTGGCCACCGGACAACGGCCGCTGTTCAACGACCAACATTGGGTTCAGGACGGTACAACACCGCAGGGTGCTGGGTGGTGCCCCACCATCAATGATTTATTCCAAAGGAATACTCGCCAAGGGGTTACTCTGTATATTTGTACTGTGCAAGGTGTGTTGTGGTACCACAATACACAGTGGCGTAGTATGGAATGCATAAACAGCATCGCAGTAGAGCATCAGATCAATTCAGATCAGATCTTCTTCCACCTCGGTCATTGGTCCAGTCATTCCAACTCAATTGCTTACGAGCATAAGTGTCCACCTTATGTAGCCCCCGTTTCATCTTATCCTGCCCCATCTCATGTCCCGATCTTCAGGATCTTGTATACGTGCAGCGTGGCTGCATATGAGGCTTAAGGCTGGGCTATGTGGGCGTCATCTCCGCTCACCTGCTACAGGTGAGCGGGCAAATATACCAAGCCGGGTAGTGAGAAACGGAGAGACGAGGCGAGATCCACGGATGCATAGTTATGCCCAGTAGTGCCTTGTTTGCCATGGAGGTGATCAATGATAGACTTGGAACAAGGGGTATTTCTTGGTATTATATCCATCAGCATCAACATTGGGCTAACAATGCATGCTCAAACATGTGCTCCACAAGGTCGGCGCAGGCTAGCTAGTGCCTCTTCATCCACGATGCTGAACCTTTTCAAGACTGCATACATATGTATGCTCGTTAGCAAGTCCTTGAAAGGCTGAAGGCGTTTGTAACACAACTTACAGGGAGACTTTGCGCTGAGGTTCCGTGGTTGGGACCCCGTCCTTGGCTTCCCGCTCCTCTTTTGCGGATAGCGTTCTCTGCGACGATGGTTTGGAGTGGTCCGGCTCGTCTGGGTGGACAGAGTACCTCAGATTGGGGTGGTCCTCTTGGTTCATCCTACGTAGTATGGAAAACGAAGAACGTCAGCCTCAGATTCTGGACTGTCTAGGACGCAGCTCCAGCGAGATAGGATTCATCTGAAGACAGATGAAGAGCTACTCACACGGCTGGTGACACCTACCGGACGTGGTTGCTCATGCGTTCCTGAGCGATTTCTTTTGCAACGTCCATCGCAGCGGCTTCGTGGTCCGTGGTGTTGTGGTCGAGTGACATACTTGTGATTCTTCGCCTGTGTTGGTTTGCAGTATCCTAGATCTTCTCTCGCGGTCGATCACACAACTTTATAATGAGGGTCGAGGCCGCCCCGGTTCATGATGACGACTCGAAGGGACCTCACGGTGGCTCAAGCTGGATGCTGAAACGTTCGGACAACCAATAGACTGTTGACCGAGCTTTGGCTGATTGTACAGGCAGCCGACATCCAGGTGCTGGCATGACATCAGCTCTGAAGGACTGGGAGCCTGAGCAACCGAAATCTGGCGACACTGTCAGGTCCATATCTCAAGCATGTCGACGGTTCTGGTCGAATAGTCTTTTACACGTGGCAGAAGACAGAGAGAATGTGGCTTGAGCTGCGCTGATATGTTGAAGACTTTGCCGGATCACTCCTCCCTCCGACGTCGTCCCTGTGTATCGAGTTCGTACGCGATAGGGTGTAGAATCCGAGGCTGACCACACGGCTAGAATTTCCGACAGGAAAAGGCGGCGATCTGCACGAGTGATGACGTGCAATCGCCGCATCAGCCCTTGACAGAGGTCTCAACAATCAAAGAGATATGGAGAACGTTTCTGTGGATTGCGTGGCAATGACCGGAAAGCTCGAGCTTTGACTGCCGTTCATGCAGTGACTATCTCCTTCGTAGATGCTGCTATCGCGCGATTAGCAGCCGTGTCTATCAAAGCTTGGTAAGCTTGGCCCTATGATGTTCGTAGTGGTTTCACGTGCTCACATGTGCGAGGAATCGTACAGGGCTTGTTCTGAGTGCTCAAGGGACGGACATAACACTGCTTGCTACGGACAATACCGTAAAGACCTCTTGAGGCATGCTGTTGACATCAGATTGTGGTGACGATGAATTCCTGGGGAGCTGGATCGAAACCCCTCGAGTTGACAATGATTTCAGTTGACTATGAGTTGGAATGGAGAGAAATAGGTGAGAGAAATGGTGGTTAGGCGCTTAGGTGCGCCAAGTGACTTGTGGGGGCTGCTATTGTAAGGTAATTAGGGTCACTTGGGCTCGCCCGATAGGTTGACACTGGTTTTCCATATCAATGTCGGTCGGCTGTTCTTTTCTCTACGCGAAGTCAATCCAAACCCACCACTTCATCCACCGAAATCCCTCTTCTATGCTGCCTATTTGTCTCTGATCCGTGTTGCTGCCCTCCGCGGTTTTCCCACCATCCCGTGGATGGGAGGCCTCCAAATCTTGCCTGAATCGATCCATGTTCCGCTCCTCCATAACAGAATGCACTTCGAGGGCTTTGATGTTATGACCTTCCCGATCCATATGCACAACATCCTCCCACATTCTTTTCCAGCTCTCCTCGTTGTGCCGGAATCGTGTTCCTTCCTGCCTCCGTCGCGCAAACTCCCCTGCACCGACGTTGCCTACTTGGCCGCCACATAATAGGGCTCTCCCGCACTTCGAAGTCAATAGCTGGAGACACCGTCTCGCCATGGCCACCTGTTCATCCCAATTGAACAGGTGGAACACTGCGGTTGAGTGCAGTATTCGGACCCTGCCGTCACATTTCTTGCTCAGCTCGCTGTCCGTCGAGAAGTCGAAGGCGTCGGCTGGGGCGATGAAATGTGCGATCCTCGGAAATGTGGCCTCGTCCTTGAAGAGCTCGTAGCCCATGTCAATGAATTCGGGCCGCAGGTCGGCACCATGGATCCTTGCCGGGTCTGCCCCATCGAAGAGTAATTTCCTGACATCTTGGCCGAGACAGCATCCTAGGTCGAGAAAGATCCAATCGGGCTTGTCGACGCCAGGGACTTCGGCCGTCGCTTCCTCCTTAAGCATTGGAAGGATATCGCTTTGGTAGAGTGGATGACTGGCTAGATCGAGATCCAGGAACCGCCACCGTCCCAGGCAAGGATATGGGTATGATTTGTAGGCACGATTCCGGATGGAGGTGATGTGTTCTTTCTGCTGTTCGGGTGGGATGCCGGAATAGGATGAGAGGAGCGATGAGATTGATGAGGGAAGGTGTTTTAGCTCGGGACGAAAGAGTTGGATTTGATGGGCGCCATTGCTTGCGGGCTGGTTGTCAGACATTGTTAAGTGGTTTGGTCTCGTGCAAAGCCTTCTGAATGCCGTGTATCTGTGGTCGACTTGTCGGGGTGTCCGAGAGAAGCCGACTATTACCGAAGTATTAGGTCAAATTCGAGGGTGATAGCTATGTATCGACAACGCGAAATGAGGCTGTAATCTTGAACGTAAAATATTTTATTCATATGCTTGAAGGACTCGCGGTTCCGGAAATTTTGAAGTACACAGCACGTGAGCGATTGCGTCCTCTGCATGCGGTTGTGGAGGGGAGGCGGTGCAGCGCCGGTACCTTGGTTGTGGGATTATGAGGTGACAGGTCGTCGTCACTACTGCTGCCCCGATCCGCCGTATCCGCAACAGGCAATGTTCGCGAGTCCGTGCTTCCCAGCTTCGTGCTTCATGCCGGTACCGCTCCGGTTTTGGAGTTCCCCAACAATCGCGTGACAGATGAAGTGTCTGTTCGTTGCTTGAAAGAGATGCATGTCAGGAGAGAACAAATTCTCGATTTTATCGTAAAATTTTTGTCGTCTGATCAATCGACGACCCACATCTGCTTCTTTACTTGGTCCTTCGCGCCATCTGACTTTGCCCAGGAGATTTCGATGTCAATGGATCGCTCCTGACCTTGCTTCTTCAAGTATTTCACCTCTCCTGCGACTTTATCACCAGCGCCGAACTCGTCCGCGGGATCCTTGATCAAGAATATCCCCTGCTGCCAATGCGTGGCTTCCGAATGTGGACCCGTCGAAAACGAGATGAGACCCGCCTTCTTCGCTTCTGCGGCCGTCAGCCCGGCAGTGACGTTTTGTGTCCGTGATGTGCCGAAGATGATGTCGAACCAGATAACAAAGCCTTCAAGAAGTTTGAACCCCTCCCTCCATGTCGCTTTGAAGGGTTTCGTGAAAGTCAGATCGTCCACCTTTGTCCGATGCAAATCGAGTTCGAGGAATGGAAAGCTTTCCGAAGCTAACTCTTGCTCATCCGCTACCCGCACCAGCACTTCCTCGTGCGCTCGTTCCAGCATAGCGGTCATGTCGAATCCGTACACGTCCCGCCAGAAATCGATGTGCGAGGCCTTCAGATCCGAGTCTGCAAGAGGAGCGATCCGCAAACTGGCATGCGAGGGGACCATAAGACCATCCGGAGCCAGATATGTGTCTCGTGCGTAGATTACTGAGTCCAGCATAGACTCGTAGAGGAGGCAGTAACCCATCCATTCGGACACGACAACATCAACCTTTGGAACCGGAAGGGTGATTTCTTCGATTTTGCCCCTGAGACATTTGACGACGTCCTGAAGACCGTTCTTGAAGACGTTCTCACGTGCTTTGTCGATGATATCTGAGTTGTCTACCGCGAGAACAAGCTTTGCGCCGGCTCTTGCGCAGAACATTGACAGGATGGCGGTACCGCAGCCAACATCTAGAACCACCTTATCTTTGAACAGGTGTTTGTGGTCGTAGATGAAATCGCGATAGGCGTCCGTTCTGACACGGTCTTTGATCATGGACTCGTGAATTGCATTGTACGAGTAAGACTGGAAGTAACCAGTGTCAAGATCCTCGGCCCGGGTCGGCGGCTGTCTCGGCGCACTTGGGCTCGCTGTTTCGCCTTTGCTGGACGGCGACTGTTCGAGTTGAGCGAGCATGGCATCCTGCACCTGCTCTCGGTAAGCCGAAAACTGAGCTTGCAGAGATGCCAGCTGTTCCCGAAGTTGTTCGACTTCAGCAATCGGAGCCGGGTTGGCGCTCTCCTCAAAGACATCATCTAAGCTGTACAACAGCGCATCATCCTCTAGGGCTGGTTTGAGATAGGTTTCGTCTTCAAAGCACGATTTGGAGGAGACATCAGGATGCAAATTGCCAGCCTTGACCTGTGAGCGAATGTAGTTGACCAGTCGGACTAGGCCCAGGTAGTCAAGAGCTGTTGCAGCGCAGGTTAGCAAAATTCTGTTTGTCCATTCATTCAATATTCACCGAACTCTTGCCTTAGTTTCCAAATGTCGAAGCCGTGGCTGTCCCGGCAGTACGCAAGCATGGCCTGCGCGCTTGGGAATGCCTGTTCGTCAAAGAGCGAAGTGACTGCAACGGTCTCCTCGTCGTTCTCGACATCCTCCCACCCTTCATCGTTTCTCGTGTCCAGCGGATCCGAGGTGGAAGAGACCTCGCTTGCGCTGTCTGGTTGGGGATCCCTCCTGGAAGTCATGGTGGCAATGGCAGCGGGTGCACAGGCACCGAAATCTCCGTCTTGACCACAAGGTCACCGTACGAATTGGGCAGCAATATAATTAATTATTCAGAACGAAATTTCGGATAATCGTGGTTGGTGCCTTGGGCGTCGAAAGTTAGTGGGCAGCTTCAAATGACGCCAAGGCCTCTTTCAGTTGCTCCTAATGTTTCTGTCATTTGAAGAGGCGACTTTGCAGCACTGCATCTCCCTTCCATCAATGCTTCATGGGCCTACTCCCCTTTCGTGCCCCGGACCCATTCCTCAACCTCCGCTCTAAAGTCAGGCTCGTACAGCCACTGCAGATCGAACTCCTTCTGCTCAACTGGAGCACTCGTCTGACCAACAGGTTGTTTGTCCTTGGGCAGCCTCCTCAGGTCAATCTGCTTGTTCAACTCCATAATCTTGTTAATCCGACCTTGGCGGTACGTCTGCCAGAAATTTAGAGCATCCGCGAAGTTGACGCCCTTTGTTTTGCTCGCCGCAAGCAGAAGCGAGAACATATAGACATCCTCAAAAGCCTGGTTGATCCCCTGCCCAGCACTGGGTGGAATAGCGTGAGCAGCATCTCCTAAAATCACGACCCGGTGCTTTGCAGAGGCCCACCTCTCCAACGGCGGGATGACATAGAACGGCCAGACGTTGATCTTGTCGGGGATGATGTTTGCCGTGGCCGTAAATGCGACTTCTCCGAATGCTTCGGCATCTTCCTGCAAGAACTTGACCAGCTCGGCCTTGTTGGACATGAACTCCTCCCAACCCGCTCGGTCCTTCTCGTCGACTCTCTTCTGTTTGCCAAAGAACATCTCGGACGCGTCGGGTCGTTGGGGAGCGATGACGAATGCGCCTTTGTCCTCGGACATGACCGTCAGCGGCTTGTCGATCTTACCATGTGGATAGGTGACTTTGTTAGCCGGCGCGACAGCCGTGATCCCAGCCATGCCGACGAACTTCGGCTCGAGGTCCGGATGCAGGTACCTCCGCACCGACGAATGAATGCCGTCGGCCCCAACGAGGAAGGACGCCGTGTTCCTTGCTCCATCGTGGGATTCCCAGATGACTTGCTGGTCCGTCTCCTCCACGACGCGGACGTATTTCTGACCAAACTCCACAGGTATGCCTAGCTGTTTGATTTTCGACAGGAGCACGTCGATGAGCTCGTATCGGTAGCACCGGTTGGCACGGTACCCGTACTTCTCGACTCCTCCGAACTCGTACCGCTCGATGACTTCACCCGTCACCTTGACCCACTCGAGAAGATCGAAATTGTAGCCCCGACCACGCACGTCCTGGTACAAGTCCAGAGCATCCAGGATCTTCAGCGCGTTGGGAGATAGCATGACCGCGCCACCAATGTTCAGAGGGCCCGGTCTTGATTCGTAGATCGTAGCCTTGATGCCTTGTTGATGCAACGCCAGGGCCAAGCCGAGACCAGCAAGGCCGGCGCCAATGATTGCCACTTCGGCGGCTGCCATTTCCAATGTTGCTGAGGTCTGGGTGTCGGACTGCTTTGACTACTCGCTACAGGGAGCGGCTTTGTGATGTCGAAGTCGTACGGATTCGAATGAATAGAGTATTGCGATGAGGGAGTCAATGAGATCCGCAGACGTCTGGCTTACTAGAATGGATATGCTGTTGGGATGGAATCAATGTCATCACTGATGTCTCCTCGCTTTATATATATATATTCTACTCCACAACATCGAGATTACAGTAACTTACATGTCAGCTGTTAATTGCAGCTCGCCTCTCCCGTCTCAGGCATCCCGCCGAGACTAAGGTTCTCGAAGCGCTCGATCGACAACATTGCTAGGGTGCGAGGTCACACCGGACTGGCTGGCGTACGTATTCACGCAGCACACTATACAGGTACAGCCGCGATAGTGTCCACCCCCATGCGTCGGACCTGCTTTGCTCTGCTCGCTCCTGCCCGCTCATACTCGCCCGTCCCGGCTAATTCCGCTCATAAGCCGAGCAGTAAGCACCGAGCCGCGTCTAGAATAATGGAATTACCTGCTACATACGGAGCATGTACCTGAGAAACTCGAGCCTAAGCCTAAGCCTAGTGCAATCAAAAAACTCATGGGCCTTGGCGACTACAGCAATCAGCGTGTGCCAATGACCTCCACCGAACAAGCACGGAGATGCCACAGCACCAAACACTCGTCGCGCTGGCTGCGTGCCAGGTGTGCGCGTCTAGGTATGGCTTAGGGATGTGCTCTTGGACCCGGCATAATTCCACATGCACCACAATGCAGCGTGCAACGCCCATCACATTTTCTACAGACTTGCGGGAACGGCGCAAAGAGCGGGCGGAAAAAGGGCACAGGTTGGATCAGTGGGCGCATAGGGGCAAGAATCCCCAAGCGAGCCAGGTATGTACGCCGTACTGTTCGCTCAATTCTCGCTTACTGTGTAATTGAAAAGCGTGCCAATCGGGAAAGGTTGTGGCGGCCTCGCTTTGGGATGGGAGGCCTGATCGGCCAAGGGCTCGGCCGAGACACGCTACGGAGTAGACGGTCTGAGGTCTGAGGTCAGATGTTTGATATCTGACGTTGTCATACGCTGCTCCGTACTGAGAACTCGGTTGGCATAGCACAAGGATATTGACAAAAGCGCAAGGAGATGGACGTGGCAAGGGCACATAGGAGCGCGACAACGTGAGTATGTGGACTTCTCACTACCACGTACGCGGTTGACTCGGCGCTTTTGACGAGGTTTATGGTTTCAAGGACAAGGTCGCATGTAGTTTGACGGGGGTATCAATTCCTGGGAGTCCAACTGAAGGACAGTAATGTTACTGAATGGTAAGGCGCAGGCAGTCTTCAGCCCCCACCGCGCTGCCGTTGTGGTTGCTCCTTTATCGAATTGTCACAGACATATACACCCCAGGGAAGACCTGAGATAACGAGACTTTCAACTCAACCCATCTCGCTCGTAGGGCCGTGGGTCTCCATCTTCAAGGTCCTGAACAGGTCGTGCCTTGCCCACCAGCTTCGCAGGCGCTTGCCGTAGATGTACACCGGGATGCCGAGCAGGGAGAAGAAAACCGAAGTCCCACCAAAGACGTACATGATCTGCTCAGGTCCGCTTTCTGCAACCCAGGGGTTGGCGAAATTGGAGAGGCCATAAAACATAAAGTTCTAACCAAGATCACGCACGTCAGTCAACATGTCCTCTCCAGAGATGCGGGACGTTGTGTGAAAACTAACCTTGAAAAGCATATTCATGATGAAGATTTCGTTGCTCTGACTCCGGAAAGAGTCGAGGCCATACGAAAGGGTTGAGAAGATCCCGATCAACACACCGACCATCATGACTCCTTGAAGGAACGCGCAGAGCTCGGCGGGGGATCCCTTCTCCAGCGTGTATCCGAAGAAGAACATGCCGAAGGCACAGGTGACGCAGGCGGGGGCCATCCACACAAGTCTGAACTCGGGCTCACTAGAGTTGCTCTGTTAGTAAAGTCCGTCCCACGATCGGGCCACGTAAGGGCAGTACGTACTAAACACCCTTGTTCCGTCGCGTGAGGTACTTGATGACCCAATCGGCCGTGAATCCAGTGATGATAGATCCGATCATCCCTCCGATAAAAGGTCCGAAGCCGACGTAGCCGATCTGCGAGGCGTTGAAATTCCAGGGCGGGCCGGAGAAGATGCCGGCCAAAATGATGGCCGAGCCGACATACCAGCTGTTGAGAACACCGGAAGCAATGACTGCATAGCAGGCTGCCGGGTTGAGCAGGGTCAAGAAAGGTCCGATCAGGAATTTGACCACGCTGTCCGGCGAGTACACTCCAGTGAAGACGGCCAATTCCTGCACGAAGGTCTTCTTTTGGGGTATATTGGTTCTTTCACCTTGGCCAGGCTCACCGACCATCTCCTTGTGGCTCGCCTCGATCGCCGCTAAATCCTCGAGCTTCTCGTCCACAACAAGATCCGTGTCGTAGCGGGTATCGCGGATGTACGTGGTCTCCGGGCAGAATAGGAACATGAGGACAAACTGTGCTACTAGGAAGATCTGGAACATGTGGAAGAGCCACAGCCAGCCTAGCTTCTGGAATACCTGTCCGCAGATGACCGACGAAAGGCTGGATGCCGAGTTGAGGATGAAGTTGATGAAGGAGATGCGTGGACCTCGCTGGTGCACAAAATAAATATCGCCGACCGTTGCAACAATCAGGGATTCGAATGCCGAGGTCGAAAATCCTTGAATGATGCGTGACGCCAGGAGATACTTGTAGTCGACCTTGGCCTCGCCGATAGCTGTGCCGACGATGTCGAAGAGGGTGGAGACAAGGAAGACTGGCCTTTTGCCATATTTCCGACTGAAAGCAGCGACTAACGAGCAGTCAGTAACTACAGCCTTCTTCATGACAGGAATAGGAGGAAGCAATACCGAACGGCCCGATACATCCCGCAGCGAGCAGGTTGTAGCCGGAAACTAGTACCACAGTGTTGATAGGCTTGTTTATCTGCTGAGACATCTCGAAGTAGGAGGCGTTGAGGAGGGGTCCCTGTATGGTGAGCAAGAGCACGGCTAAACATACAAAGCACGTCACTTACATTAGTGCCAGCGTTGAGCATCGCGCCCAGGCAGAGAATGGCGATGATGACTTCTTTCTTGAACAACGACCAGTTGAGCGGATCATTGGGATCCTCGCTGGGTTGCGGAGACAGCAGGATGTGCGCATCGCGACCCTTGCCATGCTTGAGCCCGCCAGTTACAGCCTCGGAGTGGGCAGCTTCGTCGTTCAGCAGGACCGTTCCTGGGACGTGGTCCAGCTTGGTGTCTGCGAAATATGAGTCCTGGCTCGACAACTCAAAAGAAGCGAGTCCATACCTTCTTGGACACCGAGACCCATCTTTGCTTCTGTGGTTCTGCAAGACGGTAGGAGCTTGGGTAAATCTGAACCAGCACGGCTGGGGTTTGCTGTCCAAACAGTGGCGCGTGGTAGAGAGAAGTGGTGACACAAGGCGGTCGTGACGCGGTTTTATCTGCACGCCTCCAGGCCCCTCATGAGCTGTCCACGACGATTCGTGCGAGTTCGTGCATGAGATGGATGCAAGAGAGCTCCATCGCCCAATGTTGAAGAGGCAAGCTTCTCCAATGAAGGTTTCCCACGGGGTACGGAATTGCCCCAGATGCTAGCTCACCCATCCGTTGGTGGGCCAATTGCGGCACATACATGGGGCGAACAACTGCCGGCTTGCTTCAGAAGAGATTAGGCTCTCTGGGCATGACTGGGGTGCAACTCTTCTCAGGCATCGTTCATTTCGTCTTTGATTTGCCGAGGCTGCTCAAGCAAGCCTCTTACATGGCACAGAGGCAGGTGAAGCTGATTACTCAGGCAACCGGGCGACAACCGACGCTTATGCCTCATTGAGATGTGTCTGGACATACTGTGTACCCGTCCGAGAAATCGTAATAGCGATTCCTTTGGGGATACATAGGCGACCAGCCCCGGTTCCACGTGTCTTGCAGGCCAGGCCGCATAACTCAGAGCGCGGAGTCCCCATTGGGGGCTCAGTTCAGTAGTGCCTAGCTCCCCCACAATCGGCTCCGCAATAGTACTGTCTCGGAAGTCTCTTTCTCCAGAGCTGTCGGACGTACCCCAGCGAGGGCCAACGCGATGCCCACTACTGTGTACGATGATCATGCGTGCATCCGAGCTTGTAGCAGCACAGCATAGCCTCGCATATTCTCAACACGTGGAGAGGACCCGTCAGTCTGGCCTGGTGGGCAATTTCCCCGAGGCCGAGACCCTGGACCAAGAATTGGCAAGCGAAGAATTGGGTAAATCAGCGTCCAAGACCTGGCTCGACTACCAGTATTGGCTGCAGCTGACGAATAAAGCGACAGATAGATCTTGATTTCTCTAGTTGTCTTGGTATGTGGCCTTGTCGGGTATCGACCAGCAGACACGAGGTCTTTATCCGAAATCCTTGACCTTAGAGCAGCGCGGCAGTTCCATTGTTGGTCTGAAAAGTTCTGTCCGGAAGATCCGGATTCGAGGCGATTCGGGGAACCGAGCTGCGGATTTTCCCCGGATTGAGAAGGCCTGACACCTATCTCCAAGTCCACGCAAGCAGGCCAGCTGATCGCAGTTAGGATGATAATCACAGGAAGGAATAGTGCGATATCTTATTCTGGTGGGGCAGCGAATAAACTTTATCGGACCTACCCCCATTGATGTTCGCATCTCTACCAGTTTGTACAGTATATTTCTGTTTTCTTCTCTTCACCATCGGATGGTTGAAATTCACTGACATCCGCTGGAGGAATAGTAGGGTCTCCAAGTACTGGGCGTAGCGAATGATAAAGTAACAACGCCGATGACGTCTCCATGGCGACGTTGAACATGCTCATGCTTGTGGAGCCTACCGCAGCAGACGGATCAGGAGACTGGGGTTCGCCCGAGACTAGTGGTGAGCGATTCAAGAGGCACAGCCGACGAAGGCCTCGCCCGATCCGGACGGGCTGATGGCTCGCCAGGGTCTATAGGGGATCACGACCAGCTTGTGCGAGTATATTTAATGGCATGCGGATGGCAGAAAGCTGTTGATCGAGGGATTCGTGGATGACTGGCGAACGGAGGGGTCAATAGCCCGACCGAAGGCCGCCTCGCACTGCAACATCGCCCAGAGTCAATCATTCCGAACGTCCATCTCGCCAAAGCTGCAATACTCACAGCTTGGACCCTCACCCTCGACACTCATGGTATGTCCAATTTGATCTTTGTCCCGTTGCGATTGTGGACTGGCCGGAGGTAGGTGTTTTGTGGACTGTCATCGATAGAAACTGCAATATGGGCATATCGAGCAAGTTGGACGTCTTCCCGGGGCTGAGTCAACGCTCACACCGATCAGTGAGTAACAGCAGAAGCGTTGTTCCTCTTTGTCGGAGTCCTAGAGTGGTGGAAGCTTTCCCGGGCGTGGCTGCTGCGCTGAACCCGGCGAAAAACTCATGGACTCCCAACAATGGCAAGTGCAAGGGACGCTTGAGGGAAACCTGCGCAAGCAACATCGTGTCATTTGGTCAGTACGAGCAAGTTCTGAAGTTCTGTTGAGGTCCCCGCGTTCAGCTGGACCTTTTAAGACCATGTCAGCCACACCAAAAGACGGTGTTGATGGTAATTACCACACGGTTGGGGCGGCACAGGACACTTGGCGAAGTGCAAATCACGGTGGTGTTGGTGGTGATGTAAGGCGGAGATAAGTTGAGTCTGACGAGCAATTGGCGGTGATGGCCCCCCCGGAAGTAGCCCTGCAGTGCCTCAACTGGCCTGGGCCGCGATCTGTCGCCTACACGCCTCTGCCAGTGTCATTTGGCCGTCACTTTAGGCGTCTTGGCAGCCTAGGAGCTCCAACTGTTTACCGGGCACCACTACCAACCTTACAGCTTTACCTGTAGTTTCCCTGTTCTGCTTGGACTACCATAAATACTGCTCCTGGCAATCATGATGGCATTTTGTTGGTCCGGCTGTGGCATCGTACGGAAAGTGACTTGCAGTAATATCCTCGTTTGAACATTATTTTGCTGCAAGCGGATTCCCGTCATGGCGATCGAAGATGCAACTCTTTCATTCAGTGAAATTGGAGAGCGCGACTCTGTCCTATCTCCTATGCCGACCCCCTCTTTCGCCTGTACCAAAGGAAATCTATCTCTATCGAACACAACGCCTCTTTGGATCGCTTTGCAGCCATACCCATTCAACACTCAAGTTGCGTGGAGGCCATGGCAGACTCCCAGTACCCTTTAGTCCAGAATGACTGGTAAATTCTCCCTCAGATATTCCACCACACCGTCGGGACCTTTCTGGACCTGTAGACCTTCCGGGATGGCATGCGTCTTGATGTCAGGCACTATACTTCTGGCGATCTGCTGAATCCTTGCACTTTCTTCGGGCGTCCACATCGAGGCACAGAACTGCGCGGAATGCAGGTCGTCAGCAAAGATTGGTTGAAGCAATATCTCGTGTGTCGAGAACTGGAAAACCAAGAAACCAACGTACGAGTAAGTTCGGGCGAAGTTCTTTCACTGTTCCCTCTACTTCATCAATGCCTGCTCCAACGTATATCAGCCCTTGCCTAGACAGCTCCAGCTTTGAGGTTAGCATATGTGTAGACCTACTTTTACAGTTCGCCAGATGCTGGATAGTGTATTGCTCTTTAAGATCTTCGGCCACTCGACCGATCAATGTCTTCGCGCGATCGGGTGCAGTGTTCACGGTCACAAGTCTGTAGGGGCCTCTGGGAGACATGACTTTTCAGGTCTTTACAAGATGGGGAGCTGGTGCTGATGCTGGATCCAGAATGAGTCCTCGTTGATACGGTTTGGTCTCAGCGCCCGCTTTATGAAGCTACAATCCACGCCTACGGTGTAATGCGTGCGTTTCTGTCCCGATTCCCTACATACTAGGCTTCCCTCCCGATTGCAGTACCTTCGAGGCTTACGAAATCGACGGCAACAACCGACGGCTTCCACGCCGGCCATTCTCAGATCGGTGGTTGCGTTCGGTAATTCGAACGGCATTGGGATCCCCACATCTCCGCCGTTTCTTGCCCCTCGCTTTTATCCGTCAATTGGGCAATCCTCTTCGTCTTCGAATGAAACACTCTGACAAAAGGCCAGTGGTGACTACTGAGAATCGTGATTGATGGCCTCAGAGCTCCACAAACCCAATCCGAAGTGAGTGGCATATTGACAAGCGGACTTACTCTTTGCCGCCAAGCAACCTACATAATAAGAACAAGCTCGCCTGCACGCGGAACGCGTTCCCGACAGACACCCAGAAATTAGATATAGGTAAAGGACGATCTCATACGCAGGTGGCAGAGGGTCGATCCATCTACACAGTGAACACGATGCATTCCGGCGTCGAGTCTCTCAAAATATGCATCCTTGGGGCCGGCATGGGAGGGTTGACGTGTGCGCTCGCCCTCGCCCGTGCTGGCTTCAGGGACGTCACAGTCTTTGAGATGGCGTCCAAGCTTGGCTTCGTTGGAGCGGGTATACAAATGGCGCCGAACATGGCTCGCGTGCTTGATCGCCTGGGAGTGTGGGACGAGATCGCCAAGGAAGCTGTCATCCTCAACGAGACAAGTATTCGACAAGGCGCCACCGACGACGAGCTCGGCCATGTCGACCTGCACTACGTCAAAGAGGCTTACGGCTATGCACATTTTGTCGGTCACCGCTCAACACTCGCTGGCGAGCTGTATAACGGGTGCTTGAAGGAGTCTGACAGGATCAAATTCAACTTCTCGACGACATGCGAGAATATAAGCTTCAAGGGCAGACCCAGCTTCACGGCTGTTCCACGCAGCGGCATGGACCCGTATCAGGTGCAGTGCGACATCTTGCTCGGTGCCGACGGAGTCAAGTCCAACACGCGCGTCGCCATGCTGAGAGAACTGGGCGTGGAAGCGGAAGTCGTGGACACCGGCCAGGCGGCGTATCGCATCATGCTGAGTCGCGAGCAGATGTCCTCCGATCCGGAGTTGCTAGCCCTCATCGATGCAGACAAAGTGATAAGGTGGATCGGCGAGAAGCGGCACATCATCGCCTATCCGGTCTCCAAGAAGCAGATATACAACATCTCGACAACACAGCCCGACGTGAATTTTGCTGCTGCCCCTTCCGCGACCTACACCACCAAGGGCTCGAAGGTTGCAATGCTGCAAGTTTTCGGCGACTTTTGCCCGATGATCCACCGCATGCTCGACCTGGTACCTGAGGGCGAAGTGTGTGAATGGAAGCTGAGAGTGCATGCGCCACTCCCGACGTGGGTGCACGGGTCAGCCGCTCTCGTGGGAGACGCCTGCCACCCTACTCTGCCCCATATGGCCCAGGGGGCGGCACAAGCGATCGAGGATGCCGCTGTCCTCGGTGTAGTCTTGGGCCACCTACCATCGGGCGCGGGGCCAGCAGAGATCAACAAGGCGCTGAAGCAGTATGAGAAGGTGAGGAAAGAGCGTGCCGAAACACTCGTTGAGCTAGCTGCTGCAAGTGGTCGAGCACTACATCTCGGCGAGGGCGCCGCAAAAGAGGAGCGAGACAGGCAGTTTGCAGCTCTCAAGGACAAGAAGGGTCCGGTGCCAGACAAATGGGCCGATGCGGACGTGCAAAAGAAGGTATACGGCTTCGACTGTATGCAAGTAGCTGAGGACTTGGCGCGGGCGGAACTGAACGGGCACTGAGAAGCGGGAACCTGACAGTGGCTTTTTGTTCGTGGTGAGTTCATTGTATAAATTACCCTTGAGGGATTAGGCAGACTCTGCTCTGAACTCAACTGCGAATGTCACATAATTATGTTCGATCAAAGCTTCACTGCATGTCGAACCAAGAGCCCTCGCCTGATTAGTCCTCCCTGTACTCCGTACTCGTACTGTACATGATCTATGCTCGTTGCCCGGATACCAAGGCGGTGACGGTGACAGTGATGGTGACGGGCACGACTGGGATCTGGCGGAGAAACTGCTGCCCGTCCCCCTCATTTCGCCAACCCATTGACTTCAGCCGAAGGCGACAAGCACTCTTCGTCTGCCCACAAATCCCAGTGAATCTCGCTTCTCACTCCAGCGAAGGGTCGCAAGGCTGTCGAGGCCGTCAAGGCTGAGAGATGGTGGCGGTGGAGTGCGGAACATGCCACAAAGTCTTTACCAGGACCGAACACCTCATGAGACACGAGCGAGGCCATACGGGAGGCCGACCTTACCAATGCACACTATGCAATCGATCCTTCCCACGGCAGGACTCACTTGTACGGCGTGGGAAGCTACATTCTCGCCGTAGAGACTCCAATGCTGGCTCTTCATGGAGGGTCTCGAATGACTGGACAATAAGGAGCGACTTTGGTGCTGTGGTGCCCTAGACACCAGATTTGGGCCCTGGTGTCTCCGAAGCATCGAGCTTCTCCCCTGTGGTGTCCGAGGGATCGATCCTGGCATCTCCTGTGGTGTCTGGGGAACAGCAGCTCCCTCTTTCTGTTACCCCCGAGCCATCGCACCGCGGTCCTCCAATGGTGCCGCAACGAGCGTACCGCACGTCTGTAGCGCCAGGGAGACCGAACCTCTCTTCTGTGGCGCCCGAGCGATCACGTCTCCATTCCGTCTCACAGTTGATGGGCCAAACCAACAGTATGGACCTCGATTTTGACCTGATCTGGCCCGACTCGGAAGACCTCTTGCAGACCCTCATGTCGACAGATGGCAGCAACCCGTGGCAGAAGTCTTTGGACACTCCGTCGTCAAGCTACATGACGCTTGATACTCCGCGTTCTTTCGAGGAATGACCACGGTCAGTGAATCATCAAGCGGTCCAAGATATCAGTAAGGTGGGCTCAAATGTGGCACTCGCGGCCACGGCACCGTTGAACGCCACCACGTCCGTCTTCCTCGACGAGTGTTTGCATATATTTTTCACCAAATTCATCCCAACCTATCCCGTGCTCCATCCACCAACATTTGTATTCGGAGACTCCACACAGCTTCTGCTTCTAAACGCCATCACCATCGGCTCTCTCTACATCGGACCCAAAGATGCGCTCGAACATGGCGAGGCACTATGGCATCTGGCTCAGACCGCCATCGCAACGTCGTGGCAAACGCTTATTAGCCTGGGGGGACCCTACGACGCCTGCGACGGCGTGCAGCTTGTCCTCACGGGCGGCTGAATCAGCTCTACGGCGTGCTCTCGCGGAACCGTAAGATTCGGTCGACGAGCCAGCCCTTCCACTCGCTCGCCTTTTACCGAGCTCAGCGCTGCAGCATGCTCAACACCAACCCCTACCCGGTCCGTTCAGTCCCGCCGGCCGACGCACCCGACTCGGCGAAAGACTACCAGTGGCGGCTCTGGGCGGCGCGCGAAATCCAACAGCGATTGCTTCTCGCACTGTACATGCTCGACGGCCTCACTTCGCACATGTCCGGAGAGCCCACGTCGGTGCGCCACACCGCGAATCAAATGCACGTGCCGAGCAACGAAGCCGTGTTCGAAGCCTCGACCGCCAATGAATGGACCGCGCAGATGCGGTCGGCAGCGACCAGCCAAAGCACGTCCACCTCCTTTCGCCTCATCCTGCTTCATCTGTTCAATACAGGCGGTCCAGGGGAGGCAGCATGGCTCGACACCACCCTATCAGCCTTCTCGTACAAGGTCATCCTCGAGGGCCTACAGTCTCTCCTTTCCTCCGCCGAATCGGACGGCTGCCGCGCGCGTTAAACCAGATCTACGAGAGCAACAGTCTGGACGCGTCCCTCTCGTCCGCCGACCGTCTCGAGACTCTCCTCCGCTGGCACGCCCTCTGCCTGGACACAAGACTCGCTTCGTCCCTCCTGTGCCGCAACCTCTCCGCAAAGTACGACATCAGGCAACATATCTGGCGGGACACGCACGGGCTGCACGCCAACGCAAATATGGACCTAGCCACCTGGCCGACGACGCCCGCCGCACGCCTGGCCTTGTTGCATGCAACGGCGATCCAGGAAATCATCGAGCAGCTCCCCCATGACCGCGCCCACGCCATCCACATGCCGGGTTCGCTCTTCGCGGCGTCAACGGTGTACAGCGTGTTCGACCTCGGGAGCGAGTCCACGGTCAAGATCCCCAGCACCGTGACGTGGCAGGACGCCTTTGTCGACGATCGACCCAACGCCAACGATTCGGTTTATTCACATTCACCGCCGGTCTGCAGACTTCCTTCCATGCAGGTCGCCGAGTCCGACACGGCGCGGTATATCCGTGGGGATCGCCTCCAGGGGGCCGGAGTCACGTCGCGGAACCTGCTGTATGAGCTGAGCTCGATGCAGAAGCTGTTTGGATGTCTGACAGCGCAGTGGGGGGCGGCGGTTGACATGGAGGCCGTGGTCGACAAGTGGATTGAGCGGTGTCGGTGAGGCGCACATGTTGCGGAGGCGGGAGCGGGAAGCGAGATTCCATGTAATTTTGGGATGTCTTCGGTTTTGCGGAAGCGAGGTTTCACGCGACGTTTGTGGCTTAGAAGCGAATGATACCCAGCCAGGGCGTTTGTTGATCATACATACATGGACAAGTACCAGCACCTTACTTCCCCGTCGATGTTAGTCCCAGGGTGCCGAAGAACCCAGGATAAAGAACGCAGACCCGTTCTGTTCTGTTCCGTCATCTTGTTTCACGCTACAGTACCCTCGTCTAAATAAAGGCCATTACTGCTTCTCGGCCAGCGAAATCTTGCCATCCGCATCATACACAATCTCCCTCATCTTGACGCTCCGCAGGTGATCCACCCCCTTGCTCAACTCGCAGTCGTGATAAAACAGATACCACTTCCCCTGGAACTCGACGATACTGTGATGCGTCGTCCACCCGAGCACGGGCTCCAAAATGCGTCCCCCATACGTGAACGGGCCCAACGGACTCTCCCCGACAGCATACGCAAGGTAATGCGTATCCCCCGTGGAGTAACTGAAATAGTATTTCCCGTCATACTTGTGCATCCACGCGGCCTCGAAGAACCGCCTGTCGTGATCGTCCGCCTTGATCAACTCCCCTTGCTCATCCAGGATCTGCAACTCCTTGACCTCGGACGCGAACGAGCGCATATCCTCGCTGAGAACGGCGACCCTCGGCAACAGGGCCGGCACACCCTCGCCGGAGGGTTCCTTGGGCCCGCCCATGCTGGCGTCAAACTTGTCGGTGGTCCAGCATTGCAACTGTCCGCCCCACAGGCCGCCGAAGTACAGGTACGCCTGCCCGTCGTCGTCGACAAAACTGGCCGGGTCAATGCTGTAGCTGCCCTTGATGGGTTCCGGGTCAGGCGTGAAGGGCCCCTCCGGGCGATCACCGACCGCGACGCCGATACGAAAGATGCCCTCGCTGTCGCGCGCAGGGAAGTACAGGTAGTATTTGCCGTTCTTGGTCGCGGCGTCGGGCGCCCACAGCTGCTTGGACACCCAGGGGACGTCCTCCGCGCGGAGGGCCACGCCGTGATCCGTCACGGGGCCGCCGGGCTCCCCGAGCGAGAGGACGTGGTAGTCGGCCATGTCATATTGGTCGCCGTTGTCGTTGAATTGGATGTCGGTTTCGCGGTCCTACGAACGCCACAGTGTCAGTCACGCCACCCAGCGCAGCGCCAACACTGTCATGGAGTACTTACGTGGGAAGGATACACGTAGATCTTGCCCTCAAAGACGTGCGCCGACGGGTCGGCCGTGTAGATGTGGGTGACTAGGGGGTCGGGCATCTTGACGTCTTTGGTAACTCGTATGTGTTAATTATGGATATGTGCTGAAGAGACTCCGCACGCACGATCCGGTCAATTGATAACTTTTGGACTTGACTTGTACTATAGAAGAAAAGTTCCCGGCTGGTTCTACTTTATACGTCTGTCGTGCCTCCCTTTTAAGCGGGCCATTATCCTGTTGATCGCTGGCGATGATGGCTCGACTAGTCGGCCAAGGATTGGCGTTGTGGTATTTAGCCAGATTTATCCGCGAGAACTGGAGGGGCTGAAGACTCTCGGTAACGCCGCCGAAGAGCTGCCGGCGAACCCACCATCCGAGTTTCTTGTCATTGGCATCGTCAAGCTTCCGGGGTGACGATGGTTTTTTCGTACGAGATCAGGTAGTTAGCACGATTCTATCTCAGCTGGCTCAGATCCCTTTTTGCGATACCTCTGGCAAAAGAGTCTGAGACCAGTACCTGTATTGCCCACCGCCTAGATTCAATCTCTCCTGTGAATTTATCAGGTAGAAATTGAAGCAACAGAATGTAATCCTGTCGATCCGGTCATTTCATCACCACGAATGTAAAGCTGCTCAAAGCGTCTTGGAGATTCGATTTTGCAAAATCCCGCTCGAATTTTTCTGATTGGCCCGCACAGTTCATCTTCGGCCAATCACGAAGCCGAGCTAATGAACGTTAGGACAAATCATGATTAGGGATTGTTAGCATCCGGCCAACTTGCCCCCTGTGGCCCTGAGCCTCGTCTTCGCTATTCTCGCGGCCTCGGCTACTTATTCACACGACTGAGGTACGAGGTACACGAGCCCTTGAAGCGCGAAAGGACTGCCCTGGGCATTTGCACGCTTCCTTGCAACACTGTCGCTGGCTGTGTGCATACTCGGCCCGTATTCATGACGCCTTCTATCCGTGCGATGCCCTCTACAGGCACGTGTCTTTGCCCGGATATCCGGAGTCGATGCCTGTTCTGCTGGTATCCCGCGCTGAATGGCTATCCTCGTAAGTCAGCGTCTGCGTGGTATGAGGTGTCCGGTGATTTGACGTCTTGAAGTTCGGAGTCGAGCGATTACCTCGACAGTTTGCTTGCTGTGCTTGCGAAAACAGAAAAAGGGATGCTTCAAGTTTCACCAGGCCTGCGTAACTGCGGTGATGCTGTCCGTTCAGCAAGATGGTGGCGGCCACAGCCTGAAGGCTGTCTTTGGAGCTACATATCCTCCAGGCCCATAGTCCGGCCACCTCGGAATGCAGCGCATCGTATGTTTCAGTATTTCTCTCCAGACCGCACGTCCGCCTTCATAGGTTCACGGTGCGATCTCGAAAGATTGAGGGCGCTACCAGCCCATGTGCTCCTCAGCATCTGTGCCTATCTGGATCCGTTCCCGGAGCTCATCTCCATCATTCAGACACTGCCGCTGCTCACGCAATACACGAAGCGTGACGCGCCTTCTTGGTCTTGGATCAGCGGGCTGAGGCCGGGAATGACGCTTTTCATGACCTTTGATCGTGCGCAGGGGATCGAATACGTGAGCAGGTTAGACACCATCGAAAATGATCCCGGTCGGAGTCGGCCACTCCTGTTGGGACATGAACTCCTCGTGTGTCAGGATCACTTCGGAATCCGGAATCTATACAGTCCAGCAGATCAGCTCACGCCTCCGCCGAAGAATCCCGATACCCTTTTCTACCAACGTATACCACTGAGAGAACCACCTGCTAGTTCTTCATCTCTGGATCTCTTTTCCGATGTGAGTTTCCCGTAATCTCCGTGTGCCTGCTCTGACACTTCTGAGGGTGTCTTTGTTCGGTCACTCGCTGCCCAACGTCGCACGCTCCACGAACATCGTATAGTTGAGTGGAACATACCATTTCCCCTGGTGAACGCCGTTTGGTTCCCCAGATGCAGACGCACGATGCGCCCTATTGCTCTCGCCCACTTTGGATATCATGACGTGCTCAACACTAGAGGAGTCTCTGCTGTTGTCCGCAACGGCCGGACGATCGATCTTTTCTGCCACAAAGAGAAATCTCGAATTGGGTTCGCAAGGTTCGCCGCCCAGCACGAGGAAGAATTCCCCAGGAGCAAACTGGTGTTTCTGTTTTTCCCGATACACCAGCAGGAGGAGTTCCGGACTGCTTGTCTCCGCCGACGAAAAAAGTCGCGATTCCCCATGGATTTGCCAGTACTTCAAGTGAGTCCTTCCATACCGAAGACAAATCGAAGCTAAATCTCCAAGGTCGAAACAGACAGAGGCAGGAGGTATACTTTTGGCCCTCAACCGCAGCAAGAGCATGCCTTCACGTATGATGTTCTCGACCCACAAGGTCGTGGGCCCATCGAAGGGGTTTTCCATCGGTCTGCGAGTGAGCTCGTACCTGCGCTTTGCGAGCTGGGAATAGTAGCCTCAGGTCAGTACAATCTGGTGCGCATGCCCAGCTTTGGCCCGAGCCCCAGTTTACCATGTCCCACCATCGGAAGCCCTGATCGGGACTGGTGTTGTAGCGTGGCCAGTGTGAGCTCTTTCACCACGGTGCGGGTGTGCAGAAGCAGTGCCGACGACGCGACATGCTTAGGTGTCCTTTTTACATTTTGACGACAATGTAGAGTGCTTGGGTCAGGATGCGCTTCGACAAACACCTTTCACGGCAGATCCCCATCCAGGACTGTGTATCGCAACCTTGTTATCGGCAGGGAGCCCCATGTTTACATTCAAGAAGAGTCATCGCTCCCCGAAGAAGAGTTATGCAGCGGATGGCAGAGGTTTCCTGAGGAAGGTGAGATAGCATGGTGGTGTGGGCCCAAAGGAAATCAAATACAATTGTGCAGCGAAAGAACGAATAGGAATGGCTAGAGCCTGTTCAATTGACCCGAACTTTCGGGTGCACTTGCCGCTCCCTGCCGCCACCGCACCTGATTGACAGGGCGTGTGAGATGACTGCGAATTATTGATTGTTGTGCTGCCGACTATGAAGATACCTGGGAAAGTCGAGAGCGTTAGAGTGCGTGCCAAACAGCACCTGCAGTTCTTAGTGTCGCGCCATTACCACCTTCCCGACGAGAATAAGTGGGTCATTGCCCGTGGGAAGGTCACCCGAGGGCTGTCTTGACACAAGGCCACCTAAGGGCCAACGGGCGTTATGAGCCGACCCTCTGATGTAAGATGCGGTATTGTTTTACGGATCATTCTGTAACTACCGAGGCTGGGCTGAAGCGCAACTTACTGCTCCTTGACATCTAGGTAGGTACCTGACTTCCTCCAGCCTTGCTACCGCCAGTTCATTGCACCAGAATTAGCGCCTTGCTGGACAAACCCGTGATGCGGACGGTCTTCAGGAATGGCCGGGTCTTCACCGGCTTGCAGACCGAGTCAGCTTATGGACGGCATTCGTGCATGATCGTCAACGACGACAAGATCGAATATGTGGGCAAAGACACCGATCGCGAGGTCGAGGCGGCTGCTAACGAGGGTGCTACGATCCTTGACCTCGGCCAAAAGACACTGGCACCAGGGTTCATAGACAGTCACATGCACCTTCTGATGTTTGGGTTCTCCTTGCAAAAAATCAGCCTCGAGCACTGTAAGTCCCTGTCAGACATCCAGGCGACGATCAGGCAGGCCGCGAAGGAGTATCCCTCCAGGCCTCGGCTCCTCTGTCGAGGCTGGATGCATTTCATGACGGAGGGACAAGCGTTAGCGAGTGACCTGGAAGCACTGGATGAGCGGAACCGCCCGATCTTCATTGACTCAAAAGACTTGCATTCGACGTGGTGTAACAGGGCAGCACTGGAAGAGATGGCCGTCCAAGACATGCCGGATCCGCCAGGTGGGGAGGTCAAGCGAGACGAGAAGGGCAACCCAAGTGGCTTGATGAGCGAGGCAGCCGGCATCATGTTCGTGTGGCCTCACCTTGCCAGGGTCGCGTCGATGGAGGACAAGCTGACGGCCGTGCGTGAAGCAATTAGGACGTACAATGCCGCGGGGTATACCGGCATGATAGAGATGGCCATGGACGAAAATGGCTGGGAAGCCCTGCTGCAACTGAGGTCCAAGGAGGAATTGTCCATCCGCATCGCAGTGTATTGGCTGATAGCTCCGTCGAAAACCGATGAGGAGAACTTCCGCCAGGTCGATCGTGCCGTCGAACTGTGGAAGCAGTATAACCTGACGTCGTCTCCCGATCTGCGAATCGCCGGTATCAAGATCATCGGTGACGGGGTAATCGACGCCTGCACCGCGGCCTTGCTGGAGCCTTACTCTTCGACCGGGATCAGCATCGACCCGCTATGGAATGCTGACATGCTCAAGAAGGTCGTCCAACGAGCAGACGCCGCGGGGCTGCAATGCGCGCTGCATGCGATTGGCGATGCCACGATCAAGATCTCAATCGACGCCCTCGAGACTGTCGCTTCAAGCGGAAGACGACACCGCATAGAGCATTTGGAATTGACGTCCCCAGGGGATGCTAAGCGACTGGTGGATGCTGGCATCACTGCGTCGATCCAGGCCGTGCACGCCGACCCTGCGATATTGAGGCAATGGAACAACTTGCTCGGGGCGGAGCGACGGGGTCGCGCATTCGCATACCGGGAATTTCTGGACGAAGGGGTCAGGCTGGCCTTGGGCACCGATGCTCCCACAGCTCCTAACCTGCCTCTGCCCAACCTCTACACTGCTACGACGAGGAGATCAGCGAGGGAACCGGACTCTGAGGAGGTGGTGAACAAGCACTTCGCGCTCCCATTGCTGAACGCCTTCTCTGCATCCACGCAAGGAGCAGCGCACAGTGTCTTCCTCGACAAGATCACAGGGTCATTAGAGGCAGGCATGAAAGCGGACTTTGTGGTGCTGGACATGGAGTGGTCGCCCGATAGATTGTTGCAGGCAAAGGTCACTCAGACATGGTTCAATGGGAAACAAGTTTATGCCACGGCGTAGCCGCGAGTATGCTGGTACTTGGGAAATGAGAGCATGGGCATTGTTTTACAGGGACGTAGTCTTCACGAAGAAGACGATGCAACTCCTGCTACCTTCTCCTGGGTGTTTTCTGCCACTCCACCGGTAGCCTCTTTGCCTCCTTCGGTACTCTCCTTGGTTGAGCCGATCGCACTCTTGCTGTGTTCCTGCACCGAATCCTCCAATTCACCACTGATCTCCTTTGTTTTGTCTGTGGCTTCCTCGAGTCGCTGTTTCTGAATCTCCTTCGGATCTGCACCAGACGGGGTGATCAGTAACTTCACACTTCTTTCCACGATCTGTTGAAAAGGGCGTGTACTCACCCTCGCCGCCCTGCTTTTGGCTGCCTGAGAACATGCTGCCGACTTGGCCCGCACCGGCACCTACTGCTCCTCCTGCAAATTGTACAGTGCTGCCTAGACCGTCGCCAACACCTTGCACGGTGCCAACCACGCCTTCGCCAAGTGTTCCGACGGTGTTTCCGACTGCGTCGACGACTCCTTTAACGCCTCCTCCTACAGTGCCCCCAAGAGCAGTGACAGCGTTTTGTGTATTCGAGGAGATGCCTTGAGCTTCGTCCTGAGGAACTCTGCCTGCGATGGCAGCTCTGGTGGAAGGAGGACCGTTAGGTTCAGTAAAGTGATGTTCAGAGAAGGTCGCAACTCACTTTGTTTGTTCAGCGAGTTTATCGCCTCTTTTATCGCCTGGAAGGAGATCGAGATCGATCACACGGTTCTCTGCGACTTTGACCATCGTGAGTTTGGGGCCCTTATCACTTGTATACCTTTTAGAGTCTCTCGCTTCGCTAGAGCGGAGAGCGTGTCATAAGCGAGCGCATCATGCCCATTACAGAGGGCATCCGGTGCTTGGGGTGACGTAACAATGGCTTCACTCCTCAGCCGGATCTTGTCCTACGGCGCTGAGACCGCATGACGATATAATGTGCAACTTGCCGTTCGACTTTCTGCAAGATGTCATCGCCGGCCTCTCAGGAAGAAGTAACCAGGATCTCAGCTTGGAATGAAGGAAGAAGAGGGGAATTGCTTCCCCGCACTAAAGCAACTCGCTAATTTGGCACGGGGTTTAATTATGTCAGCAAGGTCAGCAAGGATTGACAAGAGGTTGAAGCTTCACCATCGCGTGACTTTCATCGTCGTCTACAACGTTCAACCGCCTTTTATCATTCAAAATCTTGTGGCCGAAATGCACTGTCTCGACTTGACTGTGGCGCTTCGCCTGAATGACTTCCGCAGCAGCTCCCTGTGTACCACGAGTCTGAGCTCGTCCTCCGTCTCCGTCTCATCACTCAATGAACAGGCTGTATCCTTGCGGTATTCTGCTCAACCTGCTTCTCCGACATGAAAGGAGCAGCAAACCCATAAGTCTTGTACCCTTGGGAATAGTCCTTACCCTCAACCCGCTCTATAACAGTTCAAATCAGCGTGGTCTTTTCAAGCAGGTCTCAATCAAACGCAGCACCAACTCACCGTTATCAGGCGGGAAGTTCTCCCTCCGATGTTTGTAATACCTCTGCCTCAGATCCTCTCCATCACTTTTCCCGTGGTATGTTGCATATATCATACTTCTTCTAGTACTGGTACGATTTGGCCCACTGCGATGCGCGAGATGACTCCCAAACAGCAGCACGTCACAAGGTCGAAGCGGGACTGGTGTCCACTCATGATTATTTTCCCAAGCTTTGGAAATGGCGCCCCCATGAGCAAGCTCGACGTCCATCTTGTGGGAGCCTGGCACAACCTCAATGCACCCATTGTCAAGCGTGGCCTCATCCACGGCAAAGTTCGCCGTCAAGTGCTCGATCTTGCCGATGTGGTCGTACGCGGGTGCGTCCAGATGTGCTGCAAAGCCATTGCCTCCTGGCAGTTTGTAGTTGATCTTGTCTTTGAAGAGCAGCATGGCCTACATTGACAAAGAACCCCCTGTCAGCGAACGCACCAGCCGAATGATGAGTCGACTTACATCTCCAGAAAGGCTCGTCAAGATCTGCGCTATAGCCTCGCCGCACAACAGCGCATGAAAGTCAGGGTGGTAGTCCACAAAATTCTCGGTCCGCATCAGCTGCCGCGTGCCATCTGTGTTGACCTCATGGTAGGGCATCCATTTGCCTTTCTCAGACGGCCATTCGCGGACTTGTTCTGTCCACATCTGAAGGTCCTCCGGTTTCACCAAGCCGTGCTCTTCTGCGCGAAGGAGTAAGTACCCATCGCGCTTGAACTGCTCCACGAGTTCAGGACTCGGCAAAAAAGATGCCATGCTTTGCCCAACTACCTGAGATGTTAAAGTCGATTTGGGCAAGCCTGAAGTATTTTGTACCGACCCAAGCTCAAGAATGCACCTTGCACGGCTCTTAACCGCTGACTGCATCCAGAAATACCCCGCTGATTTAATACTGCAGATCCGTATACAGATTTTCGCTCTGTCGCCCCGAGCTGCGGTCTTCATGCCGGAGCCGCCCGCGCGGCTGGTCTCCGCTCTTGACCTCTGAACCAAAGGTCTGAGCAATGCCATGCTGTCAGTGGAACTTTTCATCCACCTGGCCCATCAAAGCCGGTAGCCATATAGCCTCAATACGCCCTTTGTCATCTGGAAAGTCGAGTCACACCAGCTGAAGAGCCCGATCTCCAGTCCCAAGCAGGAAACAGCTTCGGCGGTCCACCGAGCAAGTTTGTGCTCGACCGAAACGAGGCAGCCAGTTTAGGAAGAACAAATACATTGACGTCGACGAGATATTTGGCTATCCCTTCTTCTTCGCTGTCACAACTCCTATCGCAATCCTGGTACAAACTCGACGCACTAACCACGAGACGTTCAAAATCAGCCAATCCTGCAAACGAACGAGTTCAGCACAATGCTACAGTCCGTTGAACGCCACGCCCTGGCCTGCGTCAAAGAAATATTCCATTTCATCAAGGTCCAAGGCCAAGGTGACTACCTTGGCGAGAACGTCTCCCAGCTCGAGCACTCGCTGCAAGCTGCACAACTAGCAGTTGAAGCCGATGCGGACGACGACACCATCCTCGGCGCTTTGCTGCATGATGTCGGCCGTTTCATTCCTGCAGCAGGGGATATGCCCGCTATGGTTGCTCCCGACGGTGTATTCGTCGGTCGCGCCAGTCATGAAGTCCTTGGCGAGAAGTATCTTCGCGCTCTGGGGTTCAGCGAGACGATTTGTCAATTGGTGGGCGCACATGTTATGGCCAAGCGATACTTGACCGCCGTTGATAAGGAGTATTATGACGGACTAAGTGAGTCAAGCAAGACGACATTGAAATTCCAGGTACGATTTACCGGGATACACGCCAGGGAACAAGCTGACGCTTAGCAGGGTGGCACCTTCACAGAAGACCAAGTCCGCGACGCCCAAAAGGACCCTCTTCTGGAGGCCAAACTGGCTGTTCGCAGATGGGACGATATGGCAAAAGTGCCAAACATGAACACTCTGCCACTTGAGTATTACGAGCGAATGGCAACCATGAACCTACTTAGTAAGTGAATTGCTTGCTCGTCCAGCTCGGATACCGATGAATCTAACAATTGTCTCAGAATCCCGCTCGAGCTTCGAACTGCACGGAAGGACATACAAGCTTCCCGAACGGCCAACGGTGGTGATCTGCATCGATGGGTTTGATCCCGAATACCTCGACCGAGGTATATCCGACGGTGTTCTTCCCAACATGGCCAAATTCGTGCAGTCAGGCTTTGCGGTCACGGCGAAATGCGCCATGCCTTCATTCACGAACCCGAACAACGTCTCCATCATCACTGGCGCCCCCACGGCCGTGCATGGTATCTCGGGGAATTTCTTCCTCGACCGGGCAACTGGAAAGGAAGAGATGGTGCTTGATGACTCGCTGCTTCGCGGCTCGACTATTTTAGAGCAGATGTCGAAGCGCGGCGTGCGTGTTGCTGCCATCACGGCGAAGGACAAGCTACGGGCGATCGTCAACCACGGCCTGGACTTCTCCAGAGACATCTCCTTCTCCGCACAGTATGCCGATAAATGCAGACCTGCAGACAACGGGATTTCTGATGTTGAGAACTGGCTCGACTTGCCAACACCGAGCCAATATAGCGGAGACCTGTCTCTGTTTGTTTTGAAAGCGGGCATCAAAATTCTCGAGGAAGACAAAGCTGATCTGTTCTACCTGACGCTATCAGATTTCGTTCAGCACAAGCACGCCCCTGGAAGTAACGAAGCCAACTCTTTCATGTCGGCTGTCGACGAATGCATTGGACGCCTCGTCGAGCTGGGAGCCACAGTTACTGTCACTGGTGATCACGGAATGAGCGACAAGTGCAACGACGACGGTACTCCGAATGTGCTTTTTGTCGAAGAGGAGTTGAACCGCAAATTCGGCAACGGCTCTTCCAGGGTCATCTGTCCGATCACGGATCCATTTGTCCAACACCACGGCGCTTTAGGCTCCTTTGTCCGGGTGTACTTGAATCATCCAGACCTTAGCGTCAAAGCGGCCCTGGACCATCTTCGCTCTTTTCCTGAAGTCCTTTTGGCTATCGATGGAGCTACCGCGGCTGAGATGTTCGAGATGCCCTTAAATCGCGAGGGAGACATCGTTCTGATTTCTCAGAAGAATGCAGTGCTTGGAAGCCGACGCGAAGAGCATGCCCTTGACCAGCTCAGCGATCATCGCCTTCGATCACACGGCGGCCTCTCTGAGCAACGAACTCCGCTGCTGAAATCACTACCTGTTGCCAACCAACCTAGTGATCGGGACTGGAGAAACTTCGATGCGTTTGAGATTGCGCTAAATTGGTGAAGGGGGAAATCGCGAATTGGACACAGCTCTTGCACATTCATTACTGGTGGTGAGATACACCCAGGTCGAGGTCGAAGTTCAAGTCCGCGCCTGGCGAATACAGAAAGTCGTAGCTCTCGAGGAACATCGCGTCTGAGGGACTGAGCCACTGGTTGTCAGGGTCGAAAGGCGGTTGCGGTCCAGGCACGGCCTGAGATTGAGCTGGAGCAGCCTCTTGGCCCGCACCCGCACCGTGCAGGAACCGGTCAAGCAGCTTCCTCATACTGCTAGCAATACTTGTCAGCAGATGTCGTGGGTGCATGTTTGTCGTCACGTTTTCCAGCACCACAGCCAGGGCGTCCAGTGTCTCCGAGATACCGGCCTTGTCGATCCTGAGGTTTGCAGGGTTCTTGATCCGGATTTTGAGCAAGAAGACAAAGGCAAATGCTATCATTGTGTCAAAGTACGTGGGGAGCCCATGCAGATATGATTGGATCTCCCGGTCTGCAGCAATGACCTGAAGAATCGAGGTCGCCGAGTGTACCGCGTTCGTGGCGAACTCCTGCAGGTCAGGATCCAGTTGCAGATGCTCGCCTTCCGCGGCAGGAGCCCGTCTGAAGACGTGGGAGCACAGGAACAGCTTTGCAAAGTGGAAATGAAGGCCGACTCCTTTGCGTGGATAGTTCCCAACGCACTCGTTGACGTGAAATCTCTCGTTCCAGTCGGCGCGCCAGGTGTCTAGCGCGATACTCAGCCGCCGCAACTGCGGGATCAATTGGTCCGAGAGATGCGCCTCAGGGTCGAGACTAAACTGGTCGAAGACACGGGTGCTGGTCGTCCAGATCTCGACCTGGCTGACGAGCCGGGCGTCGTCTTCGGTCGTGAACTCGGACTGCAGAAATTGAGTTGGAGGCGTTATGGCGCCGAAGTCTCTCGTCAGAGGCGGCCTTCCATAGCAGATGGAGAAGTGGTGATCACACACAAAGACCAGATAGTATAGCCGGGTGCGCAAATAGCATGCTTTCTTCGTGTGTGGCGCCTTTGGGATACAGCGATGTAGGTTGAGCTCGCCCGCGATCCGCGCAGCTACCATAGAGTACCGTGTCAGTCCAGTCAGCAGGTCCCAGTGAACGGATGTTACTTGCCTGCGCCGACCAGCGTCCACGAAATATCGCTCAGCCAAAACGCACCGATGCAGAACGCGCGCACATCATCGTGATTGTTCCGCTTCGAGAACATCCTCGAGGACGCGAGGCTGACAAAGTGCTGATAGCACGCGTAGTACAGGTTGGACGGCGTGTGGAGGGCTCCCACGGCACAGATCGCGGCAGTAAGGAGCGGCGAGCTCTTCCTCACGCTTGCCAGCGAGTCATGCTCCGCCAGGATCGTGTACAGGAAGTGGTCGAGCCGTCGGGCGTACAGGCGGAAGAAGGATTCGGCGTCGTCCAGACTGATGATGCCACGGTCGATCAGGTCGAAGTCGTCGACCAGGGTTTGGCGCGTCGCTGTTGGCGAGGCATCTGATACTTCCGACACGCAGGAGGCAGGGATGACGGCGGGGCCCCTGTCCATGTCCATCACGACTTCCCAGCCTTGCTCCCTTTGCTGGGGCTGCTCGGTCGTCGTCGCGGTCGTCATGGTGGCATCGGGTTGGCTAGGAAGCTGTGGTGCGCTTGGCTGCGGCAGGGCATCTGGAGGGGCGTTTGATCCAGAACCAGATCTCTGGTTGAGGAGATTGACGGAATCTTCGAGCTGTCGTAGTTTCTCCTCGATGTTTGCCTTCCACCTGGTTTGGTCAGTGTCGTGCGCACCAAGTCATAGCACACCACGGGCCAGCTCTGGAGGAAGGTGCGCCTAGGTTTCACCCGATAGATCGCTGGGACACTCCTCTGCACGAGCTTTCCATTGCCTCTCACCCATAGGGCCTTCCGTGGGTCCCAGGCTCTACCACCGTCTCACTGAGGAGTAGACTTACGCCACGTCGCTCTCTAGGAGCATCTGTAGACTCCGGTTGACCACGCACGATAGCCCTCTCTTCCTGCACCTCGTGCACGGCGGGACACCATCTCCCATGTGGCATTTGATTTTCTGCTTTCGGCACGCAACGCATGCTGTGATCTTCCGGCTGATGTCGATGGGCTTGCGGTCGCCGAATGACTCTCGCAGCGCCTGGACGGCTGATGAGCCCAGATCTACCTCCGCCGACATGTCTGACAGAGGACAAGTTTTCTACGACTCATCGCAAGCAGAAAAGCAAGGCATCACAGAGCTTGCCGCTCAATGATTGTCGTGCTCGTCCAACCAATCAACCACGGGTCATTTGCTTACGTGCTCGACTTTGCTCCTCGGACGGTGCGTGGAAACAGGCCGGTACCGTCCGCACTTTACCACAGTACATGGCCTTTTCTGGTCAATGTCCTAAAGACTTTCGCCTTCATTACAAATCCTTTCCGTTGCGCTCTAGCATGGCCACGTGGGGGGATTGCTACCCCTCGCTGGCTGGCCATTCTTCATTTCTCCCTCCCTTTCATATCGGCCCAGCAGCGAGAGATTGCCTCGCTCTCGCACCATGTGCCATTTTCAAGGGATATGGGAGCTGAAGGATCGGGGTTACCGGTCAGTTCTGTTCGATCGCCCTGCGGACTTCGTGCCAGTCGCCGGGACGAAGTCAAGGTCCGTTTTCCCGTCTCGTCGATCACGGACCAATGTCCCTTTCGAGGCCGACATGCACGTGCTAAAGGTTGGTTCGTCCACTTGTCATCCACAGTGAAAGCCACTGGCGATATGTGTGTCTATTCAACGGCTTTTGAAACTCTCCTGTCCAGTGCGGCCTTCGCCCGAGATCTCGCATCAGCCTCGTGGAGGAACAGGTGCGGATGAATATGTATATCCTCAGCACGGGCAGTGATGGCGACAAGACTCGTTCGAAAACGCCAGGAGCCAGCGATCCAGACCAACCGCACCTACTTCGATAATCTCACTCACCATGGTCGAGACATCGTCTCGGTTCGGGCCGTTCGAGTTCTTGGTCGTAGCGGGTGTTCGACTGTTCGGTGATGGATACCTAAACCTGAGCATCGGACTAGGTACCACGCTCCCCTTACCTTCCGTGTGCCCTTTGCTCAAGGGCTTCCCTGCCAGTCGTAGTCGTTCCCATGCTCGGACACCTCTACTTCGAGGCTGAGCAGAACAAGATTCCAACTCTGCCGGCAGATACGATCAAGGCGTCGCTCTCGATTGGCATGATCATCGGCCAGCTTGGCTGTGAGTGGCCTTAGCACCTTGAAACACCCACTCTTCTCGACCCTGCATACTTCCATCTCTCGCATCATCCGAGCAGTTCGAGATGCTAATGCTATGTAGTCGGCATCCTGGGCGACGCTCTAGGCCGTCATCGCATCTACGGAAAAGAACTAATCATCACCATCTTCGGCACATCATTGTGCGTTCTAATGCCCTGGCAAGGCTTTGGCCACCATGATGTGGTTGCGTGGATGTCTGTCTTCACGACCTCACTGGCATTGGAATCGGCGGAGGTACGTCGTCCGGCCATGAAGTGTCGTGACACAAAGCGCAGATGGCTTATCTCACATTATTCATGAGCAGACTACCCCATGACCTCAGCACTATCCGCCGAACACAACCCGCTGCATTCGCGAACAAAGCTCGTGCTCACCGTCTTTGCGTCGATCGGCCTCGGCAGCTTCACTGCTGGGATCACGTACCTCGTTCTGCTTGTCGCATTTAAGTCCTCGGTCGACCATAACATCTACCATCTCCAATGGGTCTGGCGGTTGTTGTTCGCCCTCGGCCTGGTCCCGGTGATCATCACGCTCTACTTCCGATTGACCATGCCTGAGAGCAAGCCCTGCCGAAAATGTAAGCTCTCCTAAGAAGGTCAGCTAGCTGACGCCCTTCGGAGGCGAGGCAAGTGATTCGAGTCAAGTCCGCTAACACAACGACCCAATCCAGATGTCGCCGACGAGACGTATCTGAAGAAAGACGGCAGACGTGGCCTTCACGAGCAGTGGCAAGACTTCAAGACGTATTTCTCCAAGTGGAAGCACGTCAAGGTCCTCTTCGCCTTCAGTATGTGCTGATTTCTCTTGTAAGCTACTGGCCTGGTCCCTGCCACCTTCCCTGCCTCCGAAGCCTGGGAGCTATTTTCGGGTCGTTGACCACTAATGCTCATTCTGATTCACGCTCCAGTGATGTCGCATTCTACGGCGTCAACCTGAACCAGAGGGTCATCCTCTCGTGAATCGGCTACGGCAAAGCTGCAACACCGTGGAGAACGCTCTGGAATACGGCCGTCGGAAACATCATCATAGCAGCTGCGGTATGTAAGACCTCATGTTCTCGCCCTCACCTCTTTCGGCTCGCCTTTCATATTGCACCGTGTACCTTGCATCTCTCAGCCCAGGGCACTCCACCCGAATTTTGCGGTTGATATCAATACCATTACTCACATTTGCGCTCACGTCGATAGAGCTACCTCCCCGGCTACTACATCGGCATCTTCCTGCCCGACTGTACCGGCCGCGTGAGGCAACATTTCTACTGCAGCGCCGTTGTGGCCGGCCTGTACGCCATCTGGGCGGGCGTGCTGACCGCCAGCTCCACCAGCACAGGCGGGCTGATCACTATCTTCACGCTGGCGCAGCTATTTCTGAACATGGGTCCGAATTGCACCACGTTGTGAGTCGAGTGTTATTTCCGCCAGGAGGCCTCTAATCCCCACTTTCCCCTGTCCGTCTGTGTGCGCGTGCGCGCTTCCGTTCTTCGCATACCTCTTTCCCCGTGCTAACCCATTTAGCCTCCTGCCCGTCGAAGTCTTCCCCACGCGCGTCCGCGGCACGGCGCACGGCAAAGCCGGCGCCATCGTTACGGTATTCTCCTTTGCGCAGCTGACGGATGCGATCCGATTGTCTGCAGTGCCGCGCATTCTTGCGGGGATTATGGCCCTCTGCGCCGTCTGCACGCTACTTATCCCGGAGATCAAGGGCCGGACGCTGGACAACATCGAGCACGGGATACTGTACGGGGAAAAGCGCAGTCCTGACCTGGATGTGGAGAGTTGCGAGGGTAAGCTTGGTCTGGCTTCCGGCGCTGGCGACGGCTTGAGGAGTGGCAGTGGTGGTGATGGTGATGCTGCACCGGTGAAAGGTAGCACGAGTGTGCAGCCGAAGTTGGATGTGGACGCGGACAAGGGAGGGGGAGGGGTTGTAAAAGGTGGTCCTCTGTGCACAAAAGGGAATTGAGGGCTGGATGAACATGGACAGGATGTGTATGGGGTTCAACGATGCCGTGGTACGCCGTTCTGATCTGATCTGCTCTGCCTGGCTATTCATCTTAGCCACTCGGTCGCCCAGGGATATGCTGAGACGCGGGGCAAGAGAGTTATTGGCGGGACATATATCAATTTAATATCTCTCCACGGGAATCCCTCGATCACCGACCTGGACAGTCCAGTAAGCTGGAAGGACAACGATGCAAGTAAAAATCCGACCAATCTTTTCAGTGACTGTAAGTCAACTGCAGTAGTCTAAAGCGATAAACCCATTTCCCTAACCATAGTCGGCACTCGAACTCGACTCGCAAAATACAGTACGTCGACCGATGCTTCCAAGAAACGATCTTGCATGGCTTCGGAGAGATGATTTTCCGCCCCACCTCGCACCGGCCTCACCCAAGTCTCAAGTCTACATTGACCATTCAGTGAACAAGTTGATTATCCACCATTCGACCTCCCTCGACCCTCTCGCAAGGTGCACGCCAACCATGATCCTCGGTCCTGGAATGCAATACTTCTCTATCTACCTCCCCAGCCCGACGACCGTGTCCTTTACGGTCTCGACACGCCCACTCCACAACCCCGTCCCGGTCGTCTCAACCTCAACCAACTCTTCCCGCGTATCTATTCCCAGAATAAAAGCCCGCATCTTCACAGTTCTCAAGCACGTCCTCCGCGCGCTCTTTGTCTTTGTGACTGCGCTGGTCAACGTCGTTAAAGCCCAGGGGTCAGTCCAGTCCGCTGGCCCCAGACTCGACGCGTACGCAGACTTGTTGCTCCACCTCAGCCCGTTCAACTCGTTTATCAGATTCCTCGCAGACAAGGCGGAATGGTGGGTTCTTGCGTCACTCAGCCTGGTGGTCATGTACGCTTGTCTACGGAGGGATCATGTCGGTATGGAGGTTCCCATTTCGTCATCGAATCTAAACGGGAACCTGAACATTCGCTAACGTCCCGCAGAAGAATCTCTCTTGGTATTGCAGGGCTTGGGGATCCAGACGTCGACTTCATCGCGGTACTTCTTCACAGGTGCCACGACGACGTTCATCCCAACTACCCAGATCCAGGATATCGTCATCCATGAGGCGTTCAAGGGGCTGGAGGTGCGGTTCTACTTGGCCGTGATTGTCGAGGGGGCGACCGAGGTAGTTGTTGTCTTTCCGGTACGTCCAGCGCGTGTGCATACGCATGCGTTGCTACACTAATCTACGGTAAATATTGACCTTTCGCCCACAGACTCTGCTCCCACGGCGGGACATCCTCGAGGAAGTCTGGCGAGGGTCGCGAAAGTGCTTGTACTCTGGCATTCGATGATCTGTGCGGAGTATGCTACCAGTACTATTTAGCTACTCTCCTAACCCACTCGTCTCCGCGTCCGCCTCTTCGCGCGCACGTCTCCCCTGCCGACCTTTCAACCACTTCGCATTCAACACCTCGAGATTTTCCATGCGGGGTTTCTTCATGATGGAGACATAACGCCCCTGCATCCTGGCGCGAGCACTCCCGTCGAAGACCTTCTGACTTTTCGGACCACGAGCATCTGGTACAACCCGTCGGAAAGGACTCTGGTCGCCCTGAGAAATGGCCAGATCGAGCAAACTCCCTGCGAGGATCTCCTGCATCTTGGCCTCGCGCCACTGCGTCCAAAGTTCATCGACGACGGCACCAACGCCGAATTTGCCATCATTCTTGGCAGGACTGGTCAGAAGGGCAGGGACGGTGCGTTCATCCCCCGCATACAGCCAATCTAACGAATCCACCATTTCCCCGTCGCTAGGCCCATTGGGATCCTTGTCCTTGTCAGGGAAAATACAATCCCAGAGCACAAGCGGCGCGTCGTCTGCCATCTCGTACATCGGACGGCCCGGGTGTTTGGCCACATCGAGCAACTCGTCCACGATGCTGGGTTCCTCCAACCCCTGGCCCACCAAGAACAGCACGGCGACCATGCACCGGACTTGATGCCACAGGAATGCTGTCCCGTGGACACAGAAAGCGTACACTTTGGGCCCCGCGTGCGTCTGGATACGGTCAACATTCCCGTTCCCGTTCCCGTTCCCATACCCAGACACAATCCCAGGATCCACATCAAATTCGCGCTGGTCGCGCTCATTCAAGCCCTCATGCTCCACCACGGCCCGTCCACTCCCATCCCACTCGACCACATCGCAGAACGTGATCCTCCTCACACAACTGCTCATCTGTTTACTCGCGTCGATTTTGCAAAAGTTGCGAAAATCATGCACGCCTTCCAGTTTCTTGGCCGCGATCTTCATCCGCTCCACGTCCAGCCACCCTTCCCTGCCTTGTGCCCCGCGAAGTAACCCCAAGGCGCCCGGCGTGGGACAAAACGCAGGATTTGTGAAAAAGTACTTATACCGGCGTTCGCGGCAGGAGAAGCGGGCGTCGAAGTCTGCCGGCGGGGACGGACACCACGCGAGGACGCGGATGTCGGGCGGGAGCAGCGCATTCAGGAGCGAAATGTACGGCAGCTCGTCGCCCACGGGGTCGAATTCTTTCTCGTACGTCTCCGTGGCGAGATCCTCGCTGTCTATAGCGGGCATGTCATCGTCTTCTGGCAAGGGGTCTGCGGCCACTTCGGTATCCCTATCGCCATTGCCAAGCTGTTGAGCCACCTCCTCTTGCCCCGGCTTCTCAACGGCGCGAGGGCGATTACTCCGCACGCGTATGCCCACGACCTGCCCAAACGCACTGACCCCCCTATCTGTCCTCCCGCACTTGCTATACTGGCATCCCTCCCAATTGAGGTCGAGTCGGAGCCTCGGTTTTGCGTGAGCCGACTTTTTATACCTGTCCCCAACCTCCGCGCACGCATACGCCCGCCTCCTCTCCTCCGGGCCCCAAAGCACATTGACGCTCTCGTCCGCGCCGGGCGGCACCTCAGGGCTGATCAGCCTCCCCTTGCGCAGGGCCTTCCACAGCACTTCCTCGACAGTCGGCTGCGGCGTCACGTTGCCGTTCGCGTGCTCGAACCCGCCGTACCGAGAGCCCAGGTACGCGAACTTCAGCGCGATGTGCCGTGTGGTGTAGGCTGCGGGATTGAAGGCGCGGGCGCGTCGAGGGGACCGGGAGCGAGACCGGGAGGGAGGAGCGCTTCGCGGTGCTGCAGTATCATCGGAGGTCGGGGTCGAGGTCACGGCCAAGTTCGACGTTGGGACACATGCACTCGAGGCCACCGGGGTGGTGCGAGTGAGGCGCGCGAGAAGGGCCGTCTGCTCGCGCAATTGGCGTTCCAGGCCGGTTATGCGGGAGAGGAGGTGGAGTTCCGAGGCCGTGTGGGACGAGGAGTCGGGGGTAGGGTTGGGGATAGCGGCAGCCGTCGTGACTGTAGCGGGACTTTTGGTCGTATCTGAACTCGTTGTCGTTTTCGTTGTAGATGGTGGTTCGTTTGCGTCTTGGTTCGTCATTGCGGAGTTGGAGTGGTAACAACGCGGAAAGGTGCGGAAAAGGCGCTGCGCTGAAAGGACGGAGACGAGCCTGCTCGTCGAGGATATGGGCGCCGTGCAATGACAGAGACGCAGAGGCATGAAAGAGAAAGGCGCAGGTGGGAGTATCCCAGTTTGTTTTGCGCGTTGTTGATTGATGGTCACGATGGACAAAAATTGAGAGGGCACATGTACCTCGGGGTATCGTGCCCCGAGACCATCTTCGAGGCTGCGAGGCTACGCGCGGGCCAGGCTACGTACGCGAGGCTGATGCACGAGGCTACGTGCTAACTGCAGAATTTCTACTCTGAAATGCATACGTTGCTCAATGACATGTTTTCATGTCCGTCAGCTTGTGTCTACCTCGTTGCCGCATTTCTAGTACTTCATGTGTTGTTACATTGATGTTGATTGATGACCACAATGCCATTGGTCGCCACCTAGTCTTCGGCATCATGGAACTCCGCCTCAGGGCTGTCTTTGTCCTCCGGTTGTTCTTCAGGCACATGTTCCTGCGAGTCCTGGATTTCAATTGCTGTCTCTGCGTCCTGCATGACGTCGTCTTCATCGTCGCCTTCGCCGTAGCCGTCGCCTTCTTTACCAGCATTCTCTCTGTCCTCGTCCGAGTCCTCACCTTCCCGATCAGCATTGTGCGCATTCTCAAACTCGGCCAACATCTGTTTCTCGTCCTCATTCAAGTCCTCGAGCTCACTAAGCTCGCTTCCGGAGTCCTCTGCATCAGCGTCTCCGTCCGCGCTATCTTGAATACTGCCTCTTCTAGAGGTTGCTTGGCTCTCATCCATGTCTCTGGCGTCCGTCACTCGCTTGTTGACTGGCGACTCTGTCTCCGCGTCAGCGTTTGAAGGGATTTCCACCGCGAATCGCTTTGACAGAATAGGTGTTTTGATAGGTGGTGGCTTGACAATGGCCGATTCGGCTTTGCGCTGAATTTCGCGTCGGGTCACAGTCTTGGTACGTCCGGGCTTGGCTCGGTCGCGGTGGACTTCGGGAACTGGTTGACCGGCGACACCGGCAAGCGGAGCGGGTGCGTTCTGCAATCCGAGGCCAACAGGAGCGGAGATTGACAGCGATAGGGGCCCATCGGTAGCGCCATCGCCTTGAGCTTGGAGCATGTCGCTGAGGCGAGCTCGTTGGGCCTCTTCGCTCTCACCGTCGCCCAAATCAGTCGTCATATTGATGAACGTGCCTTGGGGAAGCGGAGCAGGCTGGGGTTTCGGCTGCTCTTCGGGGGGCAGCTGCTTTACGAACTCTTCGTAGAGACATGCATAGGCATCACCGATGAGATCATCGATCACAGGACCCTTCATCAAGCTGTTGTTGAGACGTTTCAGGTCCACGCCCTCTCGGATGACATCCAGGTATACCGAGCTGGTATCAGGATCGTGTGACCACTGTTCCATTGCCTCTGATTTCTTGGTAAACTCCTCGTGGTTCATTCCATCAAATAGCGCTCTTTCTCGTCCTTCGGGGATTTGGCCGTGACGTCTCAGTAGCCGGACATAAGTTGTGGCAGCCTCTTCCCAAATCTTGGTATGATCGAGAAAATCTACGGATCTTCTTCTAATGCGGCGAACAAGGGCGTCTAGGCTTCCTCGATCGTTCAGTTGCTCCAGGACATGGACGAAGAATGAGACGTATCGTCCCGTATACACGTAGTGGCGTCCCGGGCGCTCGTGTTCGGGCTTCCAAACCTGCATCGTCATAGTCTTAGTGAAGATTTGCTGTGTGAACTCATGTTTCGCCCCAAGGGCACCTGCCAGGTTCGGCGACTCATCGTACAGCACATGAGCCGCACGGTTCGTGATTCTGTGGTGCCAGTTGGCCTTGTCAGCGTGGCTTAATTTCTTCAAGACATCAATCATGTATCGCTCCCAGTCAACACCGTCTTCATCTTGAGACAGATTCACTCCATGGGCATAGCGTGTCGCCTGCATGTACTGATACGCCTGCTGATAGTCAATCTTGCCACCTCTGAGCATCTTGTGAACAATAGAGACAAGTTTGAGATGCGGCTCGAGGATTGGCTCATTGGTCTTCTCCTTCTTAGGGAGAGCTTCAATGGCCGCAACCACTGCCTTGATGACTTGCTCTGTCCGGACACGACCATGATTCTCCGGGCTTTGAAAAATCTTCCATAAGCATTTAGCTCGTGTATAATGTGACATCCATGGCTTTGAGCGGTCCGTCAATTTGGTCTTGAGGAGTTTAGCTGCAAAGCACCACAGCGCGAATTGTCGTGCTGGCTGGTGATAGGGTTGCTTGGACATCGTCTGATCTGCGGTGCTGCTTAGGTGGCGCATGTGCTTGTCGGTCCTGAATGCCTCCATATCCAAAGGAGGCCGAGAAGAGGCGTATAGACGCGTGCCAAACTCTCCGAGCATGTCTTCGATCTTCGCGGCCGTCTCCGGCTGGTCATCCCCGGTGCGGAAACCAATCGCAGTGGCCATCATGTAGCTGTGGATGGCTTGACGTTCCAGCAAAGAGATATCGCTTCTGGAGTCGTTAAGCTTAGCCGAGTTCCAAATCAAATCGTCTTCGATTTTGGCCTCGAAGCATTGTGCCAAACGATACCAAGTCTCCCACTTTTCGGTGTCGTGATGCAGGTCCTGGCGGAATAGATTCATTGCGGAGTCCAGATCTTCAGTCGAGGTGGGACTGACACGCTTGACAGACTTGTACTTGGACAGGGTAAGGTGACCAAGCATGAAATACCATCCAGTACTTGCGGCAATTTCTGTGTCCGCTTTCGCTGGTCCTGTTGGGAGAGCCAGAACACCTCGGGTACAATCGAAGAGATCAGCTGCCTTGATAACGCCCTTAAGGTAATCGCGAATGATCAGCTTGTTCTGCTGTAGTGCTGGAGAGCTCTTAACGACTCCAAGCGCTTGTTGCATCTTGTCGATCGTGCCCTTGAGTTCGCTCTTGTTGAGATCCTTCACATTGAATCGTTCAGCATGCTTCATTATCGTCGGTATTAGTGTCCAAGCTGTTTTCCTATCCAAATTCTCAGGAGGGCAGCCGTGGTCAACATCCCCAATGCCTCTAGCAAAGCGAAGTTGATAAAGGTCGTAGAAGACCTGTGCCACTTCTGCAGCATAATCTTGCTCAGCTGGTAAAGTACTCAACTCCTTCTTCACCAATTTGACCAAGGCCTTATTGGCATATTTGCAATATTGTCGGTTGCCGAGAGCACTATGGATTGTACATAAGTACTCTGCCAGGCGATCCGCCGCATGTGGGTAAGACGAAGGATCTTGCACGGTTGCTTCCTTCAGCAGGAGGTATTGCAGGTTGGAAGCCCGGACAAGCATCTCCCTCATCCGATCTTTGGCCTTCTCATACTGCTTTGTTGAAAGGGCACCTTTGAATTGAGGCCCCGATATCTGGCCGACCCGGAACGAGTCATCGTACATGACAAAGCCATAGAGAAGCTTCATGACCAGAGTAATGGCACTCAGTGAAGAACGAAGGTGGGAGTCGTCGACACATTCGAAGGGAGCAAGCTCATCGGGGATCTTACTGAGCAATTTGATCATCACCTCGTCGACATCATGCAGCCATTTGAGCATCTCAACTTCGCGAGAAGTCGCATCGAGATCGAGATGCCGGGCGGTATGCAGCTCACCGACAATTGTTTCGATAATGCGAAATAGACACGACACCACTTTCGGTGGATATGAAATCGAGGTGTAGGCATTCTGCAGGCGTCTCCAAAGTGCCAATGTCAGTGTCGCATTGTTAGACCCAAGAAACTTTACCAACTCCTCTGCTTGTGTTGTTCGCGCCAGTGGCGTGCCCACGCCCGGTGTGGGACTGGCCTGAGACTGTGTTATTGTGTCGAGCATTGGTTCCAGCATTTCAATAACTGCCACTGGATCGCTGTTATCATCATCAAAAACTCTGGCAAAGAAGTCGCTTGTGCTGAGCACCGATAGTTGATGTTCGATTGCCGGTACAGATATCTCGGGCATTGCGGTATTGTTGGGAAGGTAGATTGGGTTTACTTCACTCTTCTCCATGAAGGCTTTCAGTTCCTCGAGCAGTAGAACAAGGTGTGCCTTTTCGACATCATTGTCTAATCTCACGTGAGCAACTGATGTCCACATGAAGCGCAGAACAAGCGGATCACTCAAACCCCGAGTTGAAGAGCTGAGGTAAAGCTGCATGAAGTCGCTAGCTAGACTTGCCCATCTGTTCACGCGCTCAATATTGACGCCTCGGCTGACAGGGTCGAACGGTCCGTTCGGGTCTGAGACTGTGGCGGCCACATCGAGAAATAATTCAAACAGCCCTTCTACCAGCTCGAAGGCGGACTGCACCTGCTGGAAACTGCCGCTCTGCTGGTTACAAGTCGCTTCTCCCAGGTGTGAAAGGCGTTCACGGCGCTGTTGCATGGATTGCCACAGATAGTTTTCGGTCTCGCAGGCCAAATGCGCTGCCGTATACTTCGTTTCCGTGGGCCATGTTGTGAGCAAGTAAGGGGACGCATACGGTCGGCCTTTCACTCTACAACCAGTAAGGAGTGAGGAAAGCCACCAAGTGGCCGCATCGTAGATGTTCGTGGGTTCCTCGTTAATAAGAGATACCAGTGAACTCCATGCAGCCGTGCCAGCCCCCTCGAATGGCTGAGTCTTCTTTGGCGTAGCAAGCTTGGAACGTTGTAGGAATTGTGAAACGCCGGTTGCCTTCTCTGGAAAGTCTTGACTGCTGTGGCCATGAACAATTGCTTGACCCTTCTCATCCGTCCAATTTGTTAAAGCATGCCGTAGGTCGACGAGAAGGCGCAGATCTCTCTCAGAAGCATTGGAGTGGCGTCCCGATTCACTGCCGTCCATTTCCGCCCAAAATGACTGCTTGGCTTCTTCCGTGGACAGGTACATCTTAAAAAAAAACCTTGCAAGAAGAGTGTTGACCACGTCAAACCATGCCTGATCAGCCTGCTCGTAGATTGCCAGTTGTTCAAGAAAGTACTGCGGTTGCTCATGAGCCGTATCTTCTTCCTGTGCTGTAAGATCAGCCATTGATTCTCTTGCTCGCAGTCTTTTGCTTTTGGTCCGGCCTTCAGCCTCGTCGTTCCAGCCAGCGACAGTTGAGGAACGTTTTCGTGATGGGAGAGCCGCAGAATCGGGCTGTGGGGGCGCAGCACTTAGAACCTCGCTCGTATCTCTAGCGGCAGCCAAGTCCACCGTACCGCTGTCTGGTTGTCCGGAGCCGTCCATTGCCAGCGCAGTCTCGTGAACAATGATGCCTGCTACGGTGGAAGATTCGTCTTGCATCGAAATCTTGGCAAGGCTCTCTTGTCGTAGGACTTCGTGGTGGCCAGCGCCATCGGGGCGAACTTCGCTTCCTGCATCTTCTGGTGCCAAAGCCATCTCAGCAGCGTCGCTCATCAAGTTTGAGTCTGGTAGCACCACTTTAACAATGGTGGTGCAGCTGAGAGAATTTTCACCATTATGAATTTTGTCGACAAGCTCAGCAATCTTCTCCCCGAGCGCGAACAAGTCTGTTGACGTTGGCTTTAGGTCTGCGTGAGGTACTGTAAAGCTCGCGGGTCGATATCGGTCGTCAAGATATTCGAGGGTCTGTGCACGCTTTGGGAGCTCGGGGTATGGGTCATTTGATTCCCTCAGTGCGGTCAACAGCTTGTCTTTGGGTCGGATATTGGAGCTTTGGAGACGGCTGAGGTCGTCATGAACGAGATCAATCACCTGGCTCAGTTCGCCGGCGGCGTATGCCTCGTCAAGACCAGATATATCGACAGTCTGTTGACCATCCTCATCCTCACCGGCTAGCACACTTTCCAAGCAGAAACGGGAGATTCGGTGAGATGACAAGACATCGGCAACGCGGGCTGATTTCTTCCACAGGTCAAGGTCGGTGTCGTCCCGCTCGAGCGCTTGTGCAAATTGACGGAGGCTTTCTTTGGAGGATTTGGCATGAGACCGGCAGAGCTCGGCACGAGAAACTTGCTGTTCTGACAACTGGTGGTACGCGAGATCAAGAATAAATTGGCCTCTGTTCTTGAAAGCGAGATAAATGAGTTGAGGAATTGAGCTGGCAGATGATTCGGCGGCATTGCTGGGCAGCAGAGGCAGGGCGGTGTTATCGATCTGAGCGGCTGCTACCGCACCCTCGTCATCTAGCTCATCATGCGCAAACTCGGAGACGACCTCTGGGTATTTGAAGACCTCGGACCTGAGTAATTCGTCATAGGCCTCTTGAGCCTCCTTGAAATATCGAGGGCCTTGAGCGTGGAGTTTGAGGGCATTTTGATAGAGCTTGAAGGCTTCCTCGAGTTGGATCTCCCGGGTGTCGTCGACTTCCTCTTCGAACTTGTCCTCGGGCTCAACATTCAACGCCGTGAACCCGGACATGGTGGTTGCCTCAGCGGTTGTCTTTCTCAGGGAGAACCGGTTTGCGACATCTCATTCTGTGACGGGTGATCATCATAATTTCCTGTCGCATCGGCGTTTCCAAGACAAGGTTACGGACTTATTTCTTTCTTTCTTTCTTTCTTTTTGTGATATTGATTCACGTCACGGGCACAAGAGAGAGTTGAGACTGAAGTGACAGTCGAGGAGCGCGTCTCAGGAATTCCGGAACAGGCAATATTGCCGGTTGGCTTTACGGTGAACCATTCAGCGCCCGGTGCATCCAAGTTCCTGGAGCGACACTTGTCGGACAATCTACGAGACACGGTAACAACCTACTCGGTCGCAATTGTCTGAAAAGGGCTTCTGAAGGACAAGAAACGCGCCGTCCACGACATTGTTGGCTTTGTTCCACAGACAGTACGGCATCAAGTGGTCAGGAATTGTCGCGTCAAGCACATCCCTAGCATAACCGCCCGGAAGCCCTCGAGTCCACCCATTGAGGGGACGCGACCATGGTCACGCCGGCGGTGCCTGAGTCAGTCCTCTTCCTTACAAGTTGCCGCCATGTTTCTGACTATCTTTTGACAGGATTATTGAGGACGAGGATATCGGTCTCGCGGTAGATGCTCGGACAGAATCTTTGCCAGGGCTGCGTGAACTAGGACCGCCCGACCTCGTCCACCTCGTCAAGCAGAGTACCAAAGCCGGCGCAAAGCAGACGGGCGTATACCACCATGTCACCGGCATTGATGCTTCCTCCTCCGCGAGCTTGGCTGCATACGTAAACACCTTGACTTTCAATCCCGCCGACAAGACGCACAAGGTGGTCTCGGGGCTATATTGCTGCTACAACGCCTTCTCGCACCTGGACATGCGAGTTGAAGTCAAAATACCCGGGAGTGTCGAGAGCTACTGTGTCGATGAAAGAGGAGACAGAAGAGTTGCAACAGAGAGTCTATGGCTGGAAACGTTCCTCTGCGCGGTCCTGCGAGCATATTCATACTCAGACAACGGGAGTGGTGACACAATAAAGAAGATCATTGGCGTCAGGAGATTCAATCCAATCATTAACACTGAGCTGGAGCACAGATTCTTCGAGGCGGCCGAAAGGTTGTTCTTCAGCGGCCGGCAGCTGGGCTCGGATCCGGAAATACAAATTCCCAATGTCGTGTCGAATCATCTCACTGCGGGACTGCTGAAATACATTCAAACTACCGGAAGATACACGTCAGGAATCAATTTGTTCGAAAAGCTGCGCACAAAGGACGTCGAGGTATCCTCACTACTGGCTCGAGTGCTCCTAGACGGCGATGAGGAGATTCAGGCCGTCCGGCTGCTGCATGACTCCTTGGAGGATGTGCCAATGGACTATGCTCTTCTTGACTGCCAGGCTTCTTTCTGTGAGAGCAAGGGAGAAGGTGAAATGGCTCTGGAATTGGCCAAACAAGGGGTCACTGCTGCACCTAGTGAGTTCAGCACTTGGGCTCGGCTAGCGGAGGTGTACGTCGATCTGGAGCAGTGGGATCTCGCTCTGTTGACTCTGAACTCGTGCCCCATGTTCTCATACCAAGACAAGGACTCGCCGAGGATGCCTGAGCCGAGTCGCGTCCTTTTGCCAATCCTGCCGGAAAGCGCACTGGATGAAATCGATGAGGGACAGCCTCGACAAGGAGAGCCATTCGATCAAGTACATGTCTCGTTACGGAAACTCCAGGCTGCCACTTATCAAGGGACTTTCTTGAAAGCATACAGCTTGCTTACCCGGATTGCGGCGGCTATCGGGTGGGATACGCTCCTGAAAACCCGGAGTCAGGTCTTTGTCATGGAAGAGGAATATCGTTCCGAAAGGCAACATTCCTTCACACCCAAAACGCCAGCTAGCAAAAACGCCAGCACAATTGCCTTATCCGGCACTCCGAATGGGGATCCCAAGGCAAATGGAAATGGAGCAGATGAGGACGATGAATCAGATGGCGGCTCTGGGACGGAAGAGCCCAGAAGACACGAAGATGGTCTCGATGGAGCTTCCTCTACAGCGCCGACGCTGAATGGTGGCTTGAGCACGAATGAGAACGCCGAAGTAAAGGCTGACCAGTCGATGGAGAAACCTGTGCCAACTATCGCAGCTGAAGAAGTCAAATCGGGAAACGACGAACCAGACCAGGATCACGCACAGTATCCACAGTTCCAGAACAAGCGCCTCTGTGAACGATGGCTGGATAACCTCTTCATGGTGCTTTATGAGGACCTGCGGATCTACACCATCTGGCGAACAGAAATGGGTCAGTACCGACAACAGCAAATGCAGTACAAAAAGTCGGCTGCTGAGTGGGAGATTCTCGGTGATCTTGCTGAACGACTACACCACACGAACGAGGCATTAGAAGCGTATCAGCAGTGTCTCAACATTCGATTTTCACCAAAAGCAATGAAGGGCCTTTTGAAAATGTATGAAAAGAAGGGTGATACGAGAAATATCCTTGCCTGCTTGATCCGCCTGATCACATGGCAGTACCGATGGTATTCAGAGGTAAGCTGCTTTTAGTGATGTTAAAGATTCTACTGACGGCATTCCAGTTCTCGCCCGAACTCTTCTATTCAATACGCAAACTTATTGAAGAAGAAGGCGCCGTCAAGATTCGCTCGATCGTTCAGAGCACGAACCTACCACAGCACGTCCTAGATCTAACGCATGAATATTGCCGGCTGTGTGTCACCTTTAGAAGCAGCGGAACGGACGGTTGATGGTCATATCATGATTGATGAAGTCGGATAGACAAGGTGGCTTCTGTACATGAGGGTGGTTCACAACTCTGGGCTTTGTTATTGCTGAGCAGGCTTTCAGGGAGTGGCCACGTCAGTCGAGGTGGTCTCAGGTAGACAAGGACGCAGACACCGTCCTAGCCTGTTTGCAGGAAAATTGATATCAACTTCGAGTCACGCAATCGCGACTTGCTTTGTTGTTCCTGATGATAATTGCTTCACCGAACCAATGCAGGTACAATAGCACGGCGGATCAGATGCCTGCTGCCGGGACAGACAACCACGACTTCCATAACAATCAATTGTGTCTTCCAACAATCTTCAGCCGCCATAAAATTGAATTCACAACTTCTTTGGGTGCAGTGAATCTCTCGGACGTCTCGCATTCCACCCTCCGCTGCGCCACCATCCTTTCTCAGAACGGTTCATTGGCTGGCCCCCACCTTTTCATTAAGGCGGACAGGCAAGGCTTCAGGCAGTGAGAGGGTCTGTCAAGGAACAATTCATCCCAACTCTCACCAGTCAACCACAAGACTCTGCAGTCATGGCAGCCCAGAAGCGTATTGCGAAGGTAGGACTCGAGATGTCCGAAAAATTTCAGAAAGCCCAGGACTGATTGATCCCATAACAGGAACTTGGTGATCTTGCGAAATCTCCGCCCGCTGGCATGACGGTTAATCTTGCGGATGAGTCGAACATCTTTGAGTGGAGAGTCACGATTGAAGGCCCGGCTGGATCCCCATATGCTGTATGTGTCCCTTTGCCCAGAACGTTACATGAGCACCTTCTCTCCTGGCAGGGCAATCGACGGCGAGAGCCTCGATGGTCGCCCCAGCCGGAAGCCTCAACCCTAACACGTCCCTCACCAATGCCTCAATTCCGCTATATCGCATGCCACCCTGCGCACTTACTCTGACACAGGATACCAGGGTTACCTCTTCGCCATGAACCTCACGCTCCCCTCAAACTATCCCTTCAAGCCGCCCACCGTCACATTCGCAACCAAGATCTACCATCCCAACATCTCCAACGACTCGCCTCCCAATAGCGGCATCATGTGTCTTGGCATGCTGCGCGAGACGGAGTGGAAACCAAGCACCAAGATCTTCGCCGTGCTGGAATTTGCGAGACAGTTACTGAAAGGTACGTTGCTATCCTTGACACTGCAGTCAGCGGCAAGGACCCGGCTTGCCAAGTACAGTAGCTGATTATGTGGCACTGCTTGCAGAGCCGAATCCAGACGACGCCGTGGAAGCGAAGATCGCCGACCAGTACCGCACAGACAAGGCCGGGTTCGAGAAGGAGGCGAGGGATTGGTGCAAGCGCTATGCCAAGCCGATGAAGTGAGCGACCCGGCATGACTCTATCTTGGATTTCAGAACAGAAAGGTGCTATGCTGCGCTGCGCTTGGCTGGTTCCTCGCCAGCAACAGGACGTATGGGAACACTAATCATGGCATGGACATCGTGGCAACGTTCTCGAGCAGGATAGCGGAGGAGCACACGATACGAGCATAGGTGGCATGACCGCATCAGAAACCACGAAGAGCTTGAACCAGATGAGACATAAAGTGTCTTGGAAAAGGCAATGCAATGCCTTCAGTTACGCGTCAACGAGAACAGGAATTACTACTCCTCCATTTCATCCTGCTCCCCATCTTCTCCACCACCCTCGTCCGCCGTATCATCATCCTCATCCCAAGCGTCTAATTCATCGCTGTCCCATTCCTCGTCTTCGCTCTGTTCGCCCTCACCATCCCCATCCTTGCCACTATTCAACTTGGCGTTCTTCTTCGCCAACCTCTTCCTCTCCACATTTTCGCGCTGCTCCTTCTTCCGCGCCTCCTTTTCTTGCCGCTTTTTCGTCCATTTCGCCTCGAGGTCCTTTTCTCCGGCCTTGGACTTCGTCACGAATTCATTCCACATGACGCGTCCCTCACAGATGCCCTCCTCGACTTTCACCATCCGAAGTCGCATGCGGGGCCCCAGTTCAACGAGCTTCACCGCCCGCTTCTCCACATTCGAGGCCGTCCGCGCACTCGAGTCGGGCACGTCGTCTTTTTCTCCATTCTGTTTCCGTGCCTCTTGCTGCCTCTGCAGTTCCTTGCGGCTCAACACCTTCTGCGTCGTCGTCTCCAGGACTTCAACCTCAGCGTCCGTGTCCAACTCCGTCTCGCTGGCGGATGTATAGCCCCCCGCCGCGGGATCGAGCAAGTACTCAGCCACATCCTCTAGTTTGCCCAGGTTGGGCAACGCGGCGCCCGATTTCTTCTCCCGCAATCGCTGTTCGCGAGCGTCGAAGCGGCGGATCCGCTTGGACACGCCCGTGCGGCGGGTGGTGATGGCGTAGTGGCGCAGCGAGATCACATACGTCCCGTCAGCCTGCGCCTCCCTGTTTAGCAGCAATATTCTCCGTATGGAACTGAGGGGCGTGCTCTGCGGCGAAATTGGCGGGAACATGGACTGGAAGACCGTCGTCGTGAGGGATTCAAGCTGTTTCTTGATCGGATCTTTTTCGCCCCCCGCCTCCGCAGATGTGAAGTTATTCATGACGAGCAGCGGCGCGTGGAGGTACTCTGTGCCCCCACCGCGGGGGTGTTTCTGGGCGCGGGCAATGTCCTTGCACAGTGCGTAGTGATCGACGCGGAATGTGAGTGTCGGGCCACGCGGATGCAGAGCCACGCGGAGGTGTACGTTGCCCGAGTTTGAGCGCGAGAAGAGGAAGAGGTGCGTAACGCCCAGCGGCCCGGCCATCGAGGTGTAGTCTTTTAGCTTGTTCGCGCGGCGTTCCTATACCTCCACCGGGAAAGTTAGCGGTGGGTTTTCACTTTTGGGACGGAGGAGGGCCTGCTTGCTTTTAATCTGCTCGCTGTGTCGGGTTCCATCATTGCTCGAAAGTCTCTTGATAGCTGTGTGACGCTGGATCCGACGTCGCCTGCGCCCATGCGGATGACCATGCTCTTTGGCCGGCGGGCGCCTTGACTCGTCTTTGCGGAGGTGTCATTGTGGGGGATGTGCGTTCTCTTCTTCTTCCTGACCTTGGCCATGCTTGGATAGTACAGGAAGAGAGAATGTGACAGAGGGCAGGTGTACAGAGAGTATTGGAAGGTTGACGCATTAAGCCCATGTCAAAACTCCGATGCGGTGCCAAAACTTTTTTACGGTGGGCCATTGCTTATCCTGTGTAGACTCTGGCGGAGCATTACTTATCTTGCGACGTGTATGTGGCGATTCATTGTTCGACCTGGTGCTTCCTCCAGGCTACGAAGTACCTACTCCGTACAGGTAATATTGGTGCCTCTGGCACCACTGGCAACCTCCATTCGCGATGTCAATGGCCCAGTTCTACTGCACCGTGTGGGATTGGTAGGTTTACTCCCCCATGACCCCCCAATGGCACTGTGGACTGCAATGTGCTATGTCTAACGCTTTCAACGGTCAACGCACGAAAGCGCGCACCATTTTCCCTCGGCCTTGCTACGCAATGCTTTCTTCACCTCGGACCATTCCTTGAGCCACTGAGCTACTCCTTCCAGGTTTATGAGCTCTGAAATCTCGTTTAATTCCACCACTTCCATCCTCTCCGTGGCTGTTATGTGGCTTCCAACACCCCACAGGTCCAGTGTTTGTCTTTTCTGCTTGCCAATCTGGTTGAGGAGTTCTTGATCCGCGTATGGCTCTGGGGCAAAGCTGTTGACCGTGGTGTGACTCGAATTGGTACGGCCTAGCGAAGGGCTAGTGCAGCTAGGACTCGATGGCGATAATTCGCTCGTTCTTGTCTCGACAGATGGTGACGGATGACGGCAGTCGAATGGTGACAGTACAGGAGGCAGCATGGTACTCGGTACAGTTTTGATGCGCTCCTGCGCTCAGATCTGCTCTGATGCCCTGCGGCCGGCTTCTGGGTCAGGCTTCAATGGCTTTGGTACAACGAATGCAAGCCAAGAGCTGGGATTTTGCGTTTTTTCAGGTGTGGTTGATCAATCCGACGGGAACCAGCTACATCGTATCGAGCTCACCTGCATCATTTATACATCTGCTATGCAGGTTGCACCGTGTTAACCACCAGCCAGCATTCAGTTAATCTTCAGCCAGCGCCGTGTCAACCGTGAGCCAGCACCTGTTGACCATCAGCCGGCGTCCTGTTAACCACCGGGCACCGCCGTGTTAACCATCAGCCAGCACCCTGTCGATCACCAACCTGCACCCTGTTAACCACCAGACAGCGCCGTGTTAATCACAATAGTTCCCAATAGGGTTACTGGAGTTGAGACATTCAAGGTGCGGCCATATTTGGGATTTGATTGGTGGGCTTCTGAGCGCACCTTGAATGTCACAGTCTCAGCGCTCGAACCAACATCCTCTCCCTCCATCTCGCCCTCATTGGATGTCGTTAGTCACAATGAGCCCCAGAAACTTGGAACACTGCCGCAGATACAAGATCACAAATATTTGTGCTGCAAAAAGCTCAATAACGGACCAATGGCAGACTTAGCCTACCATTACGGCAACCGGCACTTTCCGCTCTGTTGATCGCCATATCATGAAGATTGAGCATGGGTAACAGAACCGGCGACCTGGCAGATTGACAGCAAGCTCGCAGGCTTTTTGGCATTGCGCTATATCTGGCAAGCTGGTCCTGAGGGCAATATCTCTTCCGCTACTTGACCTTCCAGGTCTCCAGGAGCTCACCGCAGCCTTCAAGACTCCTCAACTTCTTGCATAATGCGACAACCTCAACTGCCGCATCTTTGGGAATATCTTGCGCCTGTTCCGAAACTGAACGAGCTTCGACATCGCTTTCGGTCAACCAAGGCACGTCCTCAGCACTTTCTCGGAGCACTGTCCCATCAACCAGGGTGACTTCCACCGTTGCGGGCTGAAGGCCACGCGCATACAGCTTGTCAAACTCAGCGCTTGACTGCAACCGGCACTTCGACATGAGCTGGTTCACACGCGGCTCATCAGCCTTTTTGAAGATTTCCTCGCCCAGTCCGCCAAACACCAATGCTGCGGATACCCCAAACTGTATCGACATCTTGGTATTTTGTATGGTGCTCAGAGGACCTGCGTTGTTGCATCCTGGGTATTTGACAGCCTGCGAAGTGGCGGTGATGTTGATTTCCTTGATGTCACTCGGCTTGTGTTTCTGATATATCCGGACGGCAACTGCGGAAGTGGTCTGGGCGTAGTTGCAACCGGCCACCGGTTTGAAACGCACATCCAGGATGCCTTGGCCTATGGCGGAGGTGTTGAGCCAATCTTTGAAGACCTCAGCGCCAGCAGGTCCGACACTGAGCGCATTGAAGAAGCCATCTTTGCCCTCCAAGGCCGTGTCACTGCACTCGAAACCAGCGGTTGCCAGATCAAAAGCGGCAATTCCTGCACGACTTGCAACACCCATCTGGACGAATATCTCCATTCCCCCAGACCATGCCCACTCATTGAAGCCAGCACTCATATTGACCGCGTACCCTAGGGTATTTACGGCGACTGCCTCCTCGACCTTCTCGGCTGCTATCGCCGCCGCCGCAGCGCCAAATGCACCGATCAGACCACTGGGACGGAAGTGGGCGTTGAATGACCCCCGACTTCGGATGGCCGTGCCAAGCAGTGCTGCCATTTCATATCCAGCGACAATAGCCCGGAGCAACGTCTCGCCAGACCATTGGTGCCGCTGGGCTAGTGCAAGAGCTGATGATATGACGATCGAGCCAATATGTGAACAGGCCGCAAGGTGCATGTCATCGCGAATGGCACTTGGCTCGATCAGCGATCAACTCCAGTAACGGAACGCTTTCACAAGTAAATGCTGATCATCATAGGCTTGACTGACTCACCTGTGTGCTAAGGTCGCGTTGACAAAGGCTGCCGTCTCGGTTGAGATCTCTTGGTTGACACCCCACGCAAATGCCTCCGGCGTGCCACGATTCAGTTTTGCGTATTTCATCAAAGCATCTTTCCATGGCAACGAAAGGCCGGAGTGGACAGCTCCAAGCCAATCGATGATACAGTAGATGGCCTTGTCATAAAGCTCCGGCTGTAACTCTTCAGTCGCAATCTGATGAAGACGTCTTGCCGCCAGACGGGTGAGGGTGGGAGGATGTTTGAGATCGCCGTTGCTTGCCATGGTCAAGTATTTTGGCTTCACCACACCTGCCTCTAACCAGCACTACCGAAGCAGCCACGACCGGTCTTCTGTCTGAGAGTATTTTCTACCACTCCACCCACTCCTACTCCAACACGAAGGAGGCTTCGGTCCACAGTCCATGGCAGCGCTCCTCCAAATCCCCAACAGTGCGGGGCAGTAAGCGGTTGGCACCCGCCGAGGTGCCTGCAGGTCGTCAAGGAGTGACAATGGGATCCAGAGCTGATGTATCCCTTCTAAAATGTTCGGAAAGTCGAGGAACTTTACTCATGCTCGGTATGCACTCAAGATCATCTGCGATCGCCTTGCGCAGTGTAGAGAATCGGAGGATCTTCTCTCCTCCAGTAATAAATCTCCTGCCGCGGACGTATTCGTTCTTGCAGCCGGACGTTGACACTCCGCCAGCCCAGGACATAGAGGTCAACATTTTTGGACTCGATAGCCGTGAGACAGTACCGCGTTGCTCATCGACTTTGACCAATACTGATGGCTAGACATAACCGTCCAACGCTGTCGAGCAGCGGCCTTACAAGTATTGAGCATCGCAGTCTGATCGGGGTTGCACAAGTTTGATGTGTGGCCGACAACGCTACTGTGGACTCATACTGCCTAACCAACGAGTCAGCCTTAGCTTGGCTTATGCTTTGCCTAGTTGAGGAATCGATGGGCGCCCTCCCGCAAGTGCTGGTGTGGCCGCGAGACCCCGCATTGCTGGAGGGCTGAGCCTGGGGCTTCCGCCAATAGCCAACCATGTGGCTCATGGCTATTACAATATGTGCAAGGCTGAGCTCAAGCCCCCTGCTGTGTTACCACAACAGCCCCAGTGACTCACCCGGCAAGACATTCAGAAACCTCAGATTTATAAGTATGTGCACCGCTCAGACGGCTCGACTCTTCTGGTGGCATGCGGTGCGCTTGAAAACCGGGTGGTGAGGGAATGAGGGGGTCAACATCCTGTCCAAACCCAAAGAAGAGCTCTAGGCAGACATACTATGTCCTCGTGCACTTCCTAGGCAGAGTCTGTACCTTGCCTGTCCCAAGAACGACGCCTATTGTACACCCAATGGCGCCACGCCCTCCAGCAGACATAGTCTCCCGCTCCGATGCGGACGCTTGTGTCTACCGGGATTTGCGCTCCCACCGCCGTCCCGATAACCGCCACGCCAAACAATCGGCAAAGTACTACGGCTACCGAGGCGTCCACCCCAGCTGGATTGGCCAGCCGTACTTCGACATTACTACAGGGTCACAAGACCCTGACCGCGAGTCCGAGTGGGCATACCAATACCCCAACCTCCACGCAAGCATGGATCCACTACTCCTCGCGGAAGCCAACGGTACAGCAGTGCCCAAAATAGCGACCTGGACGAAGCGAGATATGTGGCAGGATCGCGAAAATGGCATATGGCCACTTGATCGACGACATCACGTGGGCAAGCGAATCCGCGAAAAGAGGTGTCGGAAGTGGAATGAGCTGGCTATGGGGCGGCGGATGAGGCAGAGGAGCAGGGAATGGGGGTTTGTGGTTGAGGATGCGCGCGATATGGCTAGGCTGCGGTACGATGATGTGGATACCGTTTACTGGGAACTTGACGACGTGGACGTCGAGGAGGTGTACAATGAAAGAGGAGAGCCGCCGCCCGAGTGGATCTATCTTGACGGGGAGAGGTTTTTCGACGCATGGTTCGAGAACGGGGTTGGTGGCTATTGGGAAGAGAGCGACGGGGTAGTTGAAGTTGAGGACTGTTCACTTGCGGTTCAAGAGCAGGACGACTTGAACTTCATCTGGCTTCGAAGTGTCGAGCGTGCTGGGAAAGACAGCGAGGAAGATGACTACTGCTTCGTATACAGGCACGAGGGCCGCGATGACATGTCGAACTACGCCGGAGAGGATTGCGACTTTGAGATGATTGAGCTGTGGACGGGTGTTAGGTAACTTCACCGCCTCTTCTCTCTACTAAGATATTATGGCTCTTAGTACACTTCCCGTTATCTCATGAAAATTAGAAAAGATTCTTGTAAAAGGGCAAAAACTTGCCATGAAACACCGGACGCTGGTGGTTCATGGTAGCGAAACTCACACCTCTTGCGAGGATGCTGGTTTTTCCGGTCTACTGCCTACTTCTACCGTCCTGCTGATATTTCTAGCCTAGTCGGAAGTGGGAATCGAACTCGTGGCTTCGAGGTCTTGATGCCTGCTAAGCCGGCGTTAGTTTGTCCTGTCAAGACCTGGATTGAGGGTGATACTTCTGGAGGAAATCTGAAATCTCAATCGAGGTCTTGTCGCCTGCTGCCCGATGGTAGTTTGCCCTGGATCAAGACCTGGATGTGAGATTGATCGGTCGGCTCGCTACGATATCGCCCAATTCATTGATGCCTCTTCCAATGTCCTACCCCGGCTCGGGCGGCAAGGTCTACACAATGGGTATGGGGGTCTTTGCGTATTTGAGGTGTTTTTTGGCTGGAGAAACATATTAACACTGATTTTGTTTTTTCTCGTGACTGGCTGGCTGGATTGGGAATGGGTGGGAAGTGAAGGGAGGTGAGGTGAAGTGAAGTGAAGTGAGGTGGAGAGTGGCGCGCAAGGCATTCCGGCTCGTCAAGACTCCTTCATTCCTCATATCTTATTTCCAAGGTTCGTCCGCTCCGTTCCGCGTCTGCTTTTTGGGGTAGCTTCTCAAGCTGAATTCCGAGTCCGACTTCGTCCAGATGGCAACGTCTGTTACTTGGACAGACCAGAAGTGATCGATGTGGTAGCAGGCTGCCAGGTACTCGTCTACACGTCTCGCTGGGAGCAAGTCCAGGTGGGACTCGGGCCACGAGGATACCTGCGACGGTGGTTGAAAACCGATTGTTCGACGACTGCGGATGGTCCTGGCCAGGGACGGGCAGTCACTTACACAATAATACCGGTGGCAAATCCAGGAGACCGAGACCACGCCTCAGTATGATGTTTCCGCGATGGCACCTTTTCCCTATCGATCGACGTCCGCATGTGGCCAATATGCTTGGTTATCTTCTCCCAGGAAACGCGCTGGTTAGAGCCTTGTCGGAAGCGAATCTCACAATGGCGAGGGGAGAAAACGAAACTGAGCATCGATGGAAATGACCCAAATGACGGTTTCACTTCCCGCACGAGATCCGTTCGTGTTGTTATAGATGGGAATTCTTGAGGGACTCTTGTTCTTCTGCCAATTATCCGAATCGGCTGGTGGCTCGCCTTTCCCGAGGTAAGCACTCAGCATTATCTCTGCGTGGGCAAGAATACCAGAACTCTCAGCCTGGCTGTCAAGACAACGAAAGGGTTTCACAACAGACATTATGAGTAGGCGAAGGGAGCAAATGGGTGGAGTGAGGCTGTCTCAGGGGCCTGTAGCCTTGTGCGGAGAATGGCGGATCCCACAACTCCGAGTCGGCAAGGATCCAGTGTATCCATGGCCCTAGATCCTCGTGCATAGCATCCGAAGAGACCGAATCGGCTTGCCATCAAATGCGGCATCGGTGACCTCGCCGACAAGGACAAGATCAGGAGCAATACGTGAGGCAATGGGGGCAAGAGTAAGGGTGTGTCTTCTGGGGCGAATTTGACGAAGTTGAAGTTGGGGTAAATTACCTTCGACCATGTACATTAGTGGAATTATACCGTCAGCATCCCCGAACTCAAGCATGTCTTGATGGCTTGATCGTGGCTGGTAGGATGAGGTTTTTGGGAGTATCCGATCGTCTGCGTGAGTGGCGTTCAAAGCCGACCGTATGTCCGAGAACATGTGTTCAGGCAGTTTGTGGTACACCAAGCCATATGGAATGAATCGACGAAGTGTCTCGAACGAATTCATTCCAATGTGCCAGACGAGGCATGGGCCTCCGACAATGTGGAGTGGTAAATCAGAGACTGTTCCTTTCTAGCCAGAGCAAGGCCTCAACGAGAGGGGAAAGGACAATCGAGCAGAAAAGCCATTCCGCACAGTGAGCATGGTTAGAGGGCATCAAAAGTTCTGGAGATCGTGGAGGAGAAGAAGGCTAAGATTCGGCCCAACTCCGCTCTGGCCCAGGTCATCCAGCAGACGACATGACTTTCCTATTGCTGACAGGAGAAAAGTCGAGCATTTCGCCGAATTTATTGATCTCTCGCCCGGCACTCTGTCGAAGGACGAGCTGTACGAGATTTGGACGGCATATGAAGGTGACTCTGGTTTCGCGCGTACATTGATACACGGCACCCTTCTCAGACGCGATGTCCCATATCGGGATAGAAAGTGTCGCACAAAGGAATGCGTTCACCTCTACTGCCACTGCAACCTAGGTGATAAGGATGGCAGTAGCCTCAAGCACAGAATTCCTTCTACTTCTGTCACTTCGTGAACACAGCGTGAAGTTTGAAATGCGCAGGGTCCGCAAAGGAAAGTGAGCAACAGCTTCGTTTTCGACCTGCAGCTCGAGATTCTAAAACCTAACACTAGCGTGGAGTTCGGAAAGGTTTATCCGAGTTTATCCGGGATCAATCAGCGAACTCGCGGGCCTTGAACATTCCACGGAGTTAACGCTCAACAAGTATTTTCACCTGATTGACCAACTTGGCGGGAAAACCACCAGAAAGTGGCAACCATGGCTGACGACGAGCGTGAGGCAGCACCATCCCCATTGTACAGCGCCAATACTGACAGGAAAGAGCGAGGATCGTCTCGAGGCGAGGACCGCAGACGCAGCAGATCCCCTCGACGAGACCGGGATAGGCGGGAAGATCGGCCGCGACGCAAAGACGGAGGCTTCAAATGGAAGGAGAAGCGCAGAGATGATGATGACCCCTCCCGTCGGGCCCGAGATTCAGGGCTGCAACGAGGTTATAGGGATCATTACCGGCCTCGTTCAAGATCCAGGACCCCGCCTCCACGAAGACATCCTCCCACAAGAGATGACAATGACCGGGAGAGAAGGCGAGACCGTGAGGAGCGCGAGCCGCGTGAGGAAAGAGAAGAGAAGAGACCAAAGAAGGAAAAGAAGCCAGCACCACCACCGGCTGCACCTACGCAGCCCATGATTATAGTCTACGTCAACGACCGGCTAGGCACGAAGAAAGCTATTCCATGCTTTCCCACAGATCCAATCAGTAAGCCTCAAAATCCCGTGCTCCCAATGCACGAATATTGACAAAATGGCAGAGGACTTCAAGGTCATTGTTGCCTCGATGATCGGGAGACAACCCCATGAAATCCTCCTCAAGCGCCAGGGCGAAAGACCCTTCAAGGATCAACTGACGCTACAAGATTATGGCGTCAGCAACAACGTTCAACTGGATCTTGAGGTTGACACTGGCGATTGATCCAGCGTCATCGTCCTTGCCCAAGCCCAAGGCCGTCGGGCCCGGCGTGCAGGTTGCATGAACCGTGGTCGCAGCGCATTGCGAAACCGTTTGAGAAGGTGTATTGGCCGCTAATCAGAGAGCGCACCAACACATTATCTGTCTTTGACGCGCTCGCTATGTCATGGCCATGTTGTAGGCGTCCTCATCAGGGCTCTTAGTTTTCGAGTCGATGATATGACGCCATCGGCACCGTTGGTGGTCGGAAGACGTCCGACTCGAAACAGAAGGTGGGGCGAAACAAAAAGTCTCCTGCGTGAGGCTTCCGGTGACTGCACTAGCCGTCTTTCATACAACGGATCTCTTCTGTTTTACTTGCATTTCACATCATGTCAAAGCCTCAGTGGACTCTACTGGCTTCACGGCCTCACAGGGTGCGTCTTCTAAAGTGACCTTCGGCATTTTTGCTCTGGAAGAGCTATATTCTCTTATCCTGCCTGCCCTTGAACCTGGTGCGGAGTCGACACAAATCTACCTCACACGTACCTCTACTGTCTTGCCCGTCGCTTACGACAAGATGGTTAGAAACATTGTCGTCTTTGGTGGCTCGTCCCACCCAGCCTTGACCGAAACCATTTGCGAAATTCTAGGCATCGCGCCCGGGCAAGCACTCTTCTCCAAATTTGCAGTCGGTGAAACTAGGGTGGAGATAGGCGAATCGGTTCGCGGAAAAGATATCTACATCATACAGTCGGGCGGTGGGAAAGTGAATGACCACTTCGTTGAGCTTCTTATTGCGATATCAGCTTGCAAGACTGCTTCCGCGAAAAAAGTTACGGCTGTGCTACCTCTTTTCCCATACTCTCGACAGTCCGACATCCCTTACAACAAAAGCGGTGCCCCTTTGATCAAAGCCGGCAACATCAGCAGCAAGCTTGTCTCAGAAACAAATGGCTACACATTCGATAGCATTCCACCTACCCCACATCCAGACAAGCACGAGAGTCACGGTCTGGCGAATGGACACCCACTGCACAAAGCGGCTTCAAAATCAGATCTTGATCAAGTCGAGAACAGTCCCACCCACCAGGCCCGCTTTAGCCACTATCGAGAGTCAAGCTCTCACTCGACGACCAAACAGGAATACTTCCCAAATGGGAGAAAGCGCGGAGACTCGGCGGCTTCCACTAATGGGGTTGCGAACCACGACTTCGCCGTGCCACTTTCGGCGCAGAAGATGGACCCGCAAGAGACGTTCAAGCCTCGCCCTGGTTATCGGCAATGGGTCGCACAAGCAGGTACCTTGGTAGCAGACCTTCTCACGTGCGCGGGGGCTGACCACATCATCACCATGGACCTACATGATCCTCAGTATCAAGGATTCTTTGATATCCCTGTTGACAATCTCTACGGCAGACCAATCCTCAAAAAGTACATCCAGCAGAACATTCCAGACTACAAAAACGGTGTTGTCGTCAGTCCTGATGCCGGAGGCGCCAAACGAGCGACCGCCATAGCGGATGCGTTGGGCATTGAATTTGCATTGATTCACAAGGAGCGAAGGCCTACCAAGATCACCGATCGCCAAAATGCCACGATGATGCTGGTCGGCGACATCACTGGAAAGGTCGCTTTCATCATCGACGATCTAGCGGACACGAGCAACACCATCACCAGGGCAGCCAAGCTATTGAAGAAGGAAGGCGCAAGCAAAGTCTATGCTTTGGTCACCCACGGTGTTTTGAGCGGTGATGCGATTGAGCGTATCAATGCAAGTGCATTGGATAAGGTGATCGTTACGAACACAGTCGACCAGTCCGAACATGCAAAGCGATGCCCTAAGCTTGAAGTGCTCGAGGTTGGGCATGTATTTGCTGAGGTAAGTGGCACCCACGCTCATCCAATTTTCCACAATTCAAGTGATATTGACAAGCTCTGGGGCACAGGCCATCCGAAGAGTACACTATGGGGAGAGTATTAGCGTGCTATTCCAGTATGATTAGTGAACCATACCGGTCGTGATGGGCTATCGCCAACCTTGTCGCCCATGGCAGGACTTCCTGCTTGGAATGGGGAAACCTGAGGGCTGGCTGGGTCACCCGAAAGCCTCCCTTTCATTTCGCATTGCGTGGCGTTTATCACCTAAGATCTTGGTCTCCACGGGATCCGGGCTCATTTTTCGAGTTTCGCTCATACGACGACAGCCGGACCTCTGATCATACACCAACCAAATCACGTCTAAACTCACCAAGATGCCTTGAACCAAGTGCTGGAAAGGTCTTCGTTGAGGGATGCATACTTTCATGGACAAGGGAGGTCGTTCTCGAAGCGTCAAGAGTCTCAAAACGCGTAGTATGTGAGACAGCCGGCTTTGGAGCTGTTGATTACGTCTTGCTGGATTCTATCTGAGATCGCTCCATGCTGAGCTGAGGGGGTGGAAGTGCTCCCACAATCTCAAAAAGTTCCACCACAAAGTGCGTTGTGCCGCGCGACGGGTAAGTCGCTTCAAACGTCGTGCTCTCGTCGAACTCCGATTCTCACCATTAGAGCGGATGAAGTGGATCACCCATCTCAGGAGCACGTAGATGTAGGCGTTTATCCAGAGAGGGACGAGCAGAACCAGTAGTAGCTGAGCTGTGTGGATATATGCCGCTGTAGCTGTCTGTCCTTGCACCACGCCTGGCGACAGCGGCGATATGCCTCCTGGTTCCAATGGCTTGACCTTCAAATTCAGTGGACATGAAAGTGCCTTCTCTTCATGCGTTTCTGTGGGTTCACCAATATAGAAGTGGGAAGATCTTAAAAGCGATACTTAGCAGCCTGCGGAAGCGACGTTGGTAAACGACAACAGCACGATTCCGAGTTGTGCAGTGATTAAATTTTGCTGTACTTGCAGCCTCGTTCAACAGGCATGGAAGTGCGTGCACGATACTACGGTTCCGTTCTGTCTTCCAAAACGCCGCGCAACATCACATGATAGTGTACACCCAGGAAGCCGTGTTAGAAAACGCTGATGTAGTTGCCTATCCTCTCTTTCTGGTTCTGGGCAATGCATTCGGCGATCCACGTGATGTTCCTGATTTCCTGCGAGGGAATTAGCGGCGAATTCTTCATACGGATCATAGAGAAGTTGGACTTACCTGTTCTCTCAACTTGACCCAAGCATAGATGACGGCATGGGTAAACTGCCGGGTGAAAACCATCTTTGAAAGTTCCATTTCCTTCTGGTAGAACATGTCCTCGAGTGATTTCGAATCACTGCCCATGCCTCCGGCCATGTTGCCGCCACCACCGCCACCACTGCTCTGGTTGAAGCCGACTTCGTCGAAGAATCGCTTGTAATCACCAACGCCGCTCACGGCAAGCCCGACGCCCTCGAGATCATCGGCGCGTGATAGCATCAGCATGCCCTCTGGGTACAGTTTGCCGAATTCCGGATAGAGCTTCCTCCGCTGATCTTTGGTGAGCTCTGTGCCGAAAGAGTTGATGGTGATATTGATGGCTCGTCGATCCGCCTCGAATTCTAGAATCTCCGACATAATCTCCCCCGTGGGCGTCATGGCCATTTCGGGATCTGTGTTGACGAAATTGTGGAAATCTTCCAAATAGTTCTTGTACAATGTGTTCCGGACGATCTCGATATTCAACTCGTCCAAGTCTTGGTGGCTCAAGCTGCCCTTGAAATATGGCGCCAGCGGCGTCTCGATGAGCACCGAGTTGTACAGTTCTTCAATGTTGGTGGCGACGCACAGTACCGGCATCGTCTCAAACCAACCCAGTGGGTGACATCTCTCCAGTAACTCTTTGGTATCTCGTTCGTGTAGAGTCCCGGTAATGAGCAGCGCCACATTGTCAATCATGTATGAATAGGTGAGGTATTCCATAAACTTTGCCAAAGATCCCGTCGCTTGACCTTGGAGATATCGGAAGTCTGCCACAAGCTTTTCTGTCGTCTTATTCGCGAGAGCCGATGTCGAGGGATTGGGAGGGAGGCTCGCTAGCGATTCGCCGTACGCAGGACCCAGCTGGGTCTTGACATCTTCGATGGTTTCGCATTGTGTGAGCTAAGCTGTTAGCCCAATCGTTTGGGTTATGTTGGTTGTGGCGCACGTACATTGCCATAGTTTGTGCCCGTCAGTAAGGTATTGCGGTAACCACGGACTATGCCTTCTAGGTAGCCGCCATTCACGTTGAATAATAGGCCTGAGACGATGTTTAGTCACAAGATAGATCCTTGTTATGGCACTGAAACCTACCTTCCATCGTTGGATTCGCACAAGTAGGCAGAACAGGGAGAGGAGCACGGCTGCGGCTGTGTCCTAGAACTCTTGACGTCGCAGCTTGCTAGAGCGCAAAGAGATGCTGCGAGAGGACAGGACTAGGCGAATAGATCAACCGGCTTGACGTTCTTGTCTGGTTCGAGCTGCGCAGCGCCAATGGTCCGCCGTAACGTTTCCCTTGTCAAGCACTCCGCCGTATTCCCGGCTGCCACGTGACTCTGCTCGAAAAGCATACTCCGTACTCCGTAGCTGGGTGGTGGGCGCTTCCTGATGATTTGTTGTTCTTCCGCCCTTGTCGCTAACAGCAGTGCACACAGACGTGCAGCTGCTCCCGCCAGAGCCGTTCTATCACCTCCCAGTGTCCTCCGTAATTACTCCAAATAGTCGATCTGACCTTCTGTCCCGAAGTTGACGCTCCGTCTGTTCGATTTTATGATCTGTCTTCCTTTGTGCTCCTATTCTTCGTCTACTGGCCGCATCGCCCGCCAGCGTGTACCTCACCCTTGCCAAACCTTCCTCTACCTGCCCTACAGCTAGCCACCGTCCCAGGGTCCCCGCTGGGCTTGCATAATCAACAGCTATCATCACGCATCATGCTCCGAGGGAGACTGAGCACCCAATGGACATGCTCATAGGTCATGCTTTCTCGCTCCGCTGGGATCACCTTGCAACCCATAGGCACGGCGATGGTTAGGTGAGCCCCAATCAGAACTGGCCCCAAGAGCACCAGCAGAGCCAGGGATAATGTGGTTTCGCCCAATCATACCCAGGGCCAAATTTACGGTCTGTGGAGCAGGGAAGGCGCTGGACAATACATGGATCTATGCCCCATTGGTGAAAGCGGCCTTCCAAATGAGCCATGCCAGCCTCATGCATCAACGCCTTGCATAAACCACTACCGGGTCGCGCACAATCTGGTTTGAGCCAATAGGGTCTGATACACTATACTGTTTGCGTTGGAAAGCCTTGCACCTGCTTTTGGGTTATGAAGTGCCTGCTTTTCGACTTGTTTTACTCCTAGCCTCATTACTACTGAACACCCAGGAGATATTGTTATTTCGACAAGGTCTAGGCTATGGCCATCTGGCTTTCAATCATATGAGTTTGATACGCCGGCACCGCTCGTTGATATCTTTCCGTATCAATGGCGCGACCTGGACCCAGCGCTGATGGAGAATGGACTCAGTACAAGAGCGAGATGGAGTCATTGTACTTGACACAAGGCTTGACGAAAGAGCAAGTGCTGGTCTTCATGAAAGAAAGATATGGCTTCGAGAAGACGTTTGTTCTGCACCCCTCCCTCTCCTTCTGGAATGCTGATGTGGGTGATTTAGGCTGTCTCAGTACACACGGAAATTCAGCAAATGGGGTTTCTCAAAGTACACCAGGGATGACAGCTGGAAGTTTATCAGTCATCGCATACAGAAGCGGCAGCTACTTGGAAAAGAGAGCGTGGTGTTCATTCATGGCAAGAAGCAGGCTGCTGAGAAGGTGCGGAAGGAGATCGCTCGCCATGTACCTCTGCTTGAGACCTACCGGCGAGCTTCTGCAGGCGGTAAGTTGCACACGAGCTCAGGCTCGCCCATGAGGTGCCGGCTAACTGCACAGGCCCTGCAACCCCCAAAGATGTATCTGTCTGCACTCCAGCCGCGTTCACAGAGTCCCAGCTGCACCAGCCTCGAGGTTTGCCTTCTTTTGAGCTCGAAGATTTACTCGAGGGACAGCGTGAGTTGAGGATTGACTTCTTTCCGGATTCATGTCCTCCCAAATCTAACGGCTTTCAGTACGTGCACACTTTCAACCTACTCCATTTGGGCAAGTTTCCAATGAAGAGTACTCGCCGTTCGCGCCTATATACTTCACCGACGATGCATTCGACTGGTCGGATATGACTTTTCAATTTTCACCCGATCCAAACACTTTGAGTGCTGATAACACTTGGCTCCATGCCACTTTCGACTACCAGTCACCAGCCAATCACCGCCCTTCAGCATTGCTTCCGGGAGATCCAAGTCTGCAACAAGCATTTGCCGCATTCTCAGATGCTGCAACTGCAGAATCCGTACGCGAAGTACGACTACTATTGGCAAGATGCCTCGAGGAAGGTAAACCTCTTTCAACTGCCGCCGAGATTGATCACATATATTTGCGCTTAGAGCCCTTCATGGTCGACAGAGACAACGGCGGACTTGTGGCCGGCGTGAAGAACCTCTACAACTCCCAACGTCAAGTCGTGCTGTCTCGACTGTTTGTCTTTTGTGCATACCTCTCTTCCAACAATCTGATGTCAAATACCGAGACAGCCAAGCTCGTGAAATGGATATCGAAGAACGGACAAGCATGGGTGATCAAGGAGATTCTCAAGTCGTCTTCATTGACAGCAAATATATTTGCGTCGAACATACTTGTCAACGCCACAGAGCTGGGAGACATTTCGATGGTGAAGTACCTTATTGATGTTGGAGTTGATGTCAATGCTCCAGGAAGCGGAATAGAGCGGAAAACAGCTCTTTCGGTGGCCGCAACGACAAGGAATATGCAGCTGGTGGAGATATTACTCGCCGCAGGGGCAGATCCGAACATCGTGGTTGCAGGCATGTTTGCATGGACACCCATCGAAGCTGCAGTCAGGGCAGGCTCCGTTGCGATGGTCAAGATGCTACTGGGAGCGGGTGCAGATCCCAATCAGCTATCTCAGCCCGGTAAACGTCTCCCTTTGATGCTGGCTGCGAAAGATTGGTCGACAGAGATAATGGACATATTATTAAAGGCCAATGCCAATCCCAACGCAGTCAGCGAAGACAATGACGATAATCCGACTGTTCTGCAAGTAACAGCTGCCAACGGGTCATCAGAGATGGTTCATCTTCTAGTCGGCGCTGGCGCAGATCTTGTTGCACGATTTGGGGAGGCTTACGAGGAGATGCTGACTTGGAGCGAGTATCGCGACCCTGGCTGGGCTAAAACACCATTGCAGCTCGCCGCCGAGGCAGACGACCTTGCCTCCGTCCAGATCCTACTTGCGGCGGGCGCTGAAGTTGACTCGTCTCCAGCAAATTCGTGCGAAGATTTCATAAGCGACTTACTGGGAAGCGACCTTGATGTCGGACTCGTATCACCATTACAAGGAGCTATTTGGGCACAAAACACACTGATGGTCCGAGTGCTCCTTGGTGCTGGTGCCAATCCGGAATTCAGGGGAATGGAAGGATACGGTCATACAGCCCTCCAGGTGGCAGTGGCTACTCAAAACGAGGCAATGGTGCGGCTTCTACTACAGAAAGGCGCAAATGTGAATGCTGTGGCCGCAAGATATCATGGGAGGACAGCGCTGCAGTTTGCTGCTAAAAGAGGCAACTTTGAGCTAGCTAAGATGTTGATAAACGAGGGCGCGAATGTCAACGCCCTCCCCGCCATTGAAGAAGGAAGAACGGCACTGCAAGCCGCAGCAGAGATGGGAAGCTTAGAGATGGTACAAGCTCTTGTCAAAGCTGGTGCACTGGTGAACGCGCCCCCCTCTTCGATTGGAGGGTTGACAGCGCTGCAAGCTGCCGCGTCTGCGAAAAGGAACCGCGGGGAAATTGTCGAGTTATTGCTAAAGACTGGAGCAGATCCTAATGCGCCTGCAGCACCTCAGGATGGATACACAGCAATCCAGGGAGCCATCCAGAGTGACGATATCGGAGTTGTCAAGCTCCTCTTGGATGCTGGCGCAGATGGCAACGACGAAGCAAGTGAAGGACATCGGTGGACTGCTTTGCAGATGGCCGCCATGAAAGGGAACGCTGAGTTAACACAGCTGCTCATTCACGCCGATGCCAATGTCAATGCCCCCGCCTACTTCGATGGGGGCCAGACAGCTTTGCAAGCAGCAACCAGGAGGTGTTCATCTACGCTCGTGCAGCTTCTCCTAGATTCTGGGGCGGATGTGAACGCTCCGGCCGCCCATTTTGAAGGCAGGACTGCTCTACAGGTGGCTGTCGAAGAGTCCGATCTACATCTGGTAGAGCAGCTCATCAGTCATGGTGCAGAACCCAATGCTCCATCTGCTCCTGTGGACGGGAAGAGAGCCCTCGAAATAGCCATGGGAGCTTTCCCCCTTGAAGCCCAGATTGTACAAACCTTGCTGAACGCAGGCGCCGACCCAAATACCCCGTTCGCGAATGGATGGACCGCTCTTCAGGTGGCATGCATGAAAGGCAGCCTTCAGCTCGTGCGGATGCTATTAGCTGCAAATGCCAATGTCAACGCTCCAGCGAATGTGGAGATTGAGGGAACAAGCAGCGCGATTCAAGCAGCGGCGATGTCTCGAAACATCGACATAATCGAGACATTGATAGCAGCTGGTGCGTGTGTGAACAGCCCGGCCAATCCGAAAGATGGGATGACAGCCCTTCAAATTGCAGCATCGACCAAGTGTACGAATGTCGTTCAAGCACTCATACGTGAAGGTGCAGATCCAAACGCACCTGCGAGCGCCGACCAGGGAAGGACAGCACTTCAACAAGCAGCGAAGGTCGGCGACATCAAACTCGTGCGACAGCTTCTCAACCTCGGCGCCGATGTCAATGCGCCCGCTGCCGAAATCGCTGGAGTCACCGCACTCCAGGCCGCGGCGATCCAGGGCTATGCTCGGATTGTTCTCATCCTCCTTCAAGCAGGGGCGAATGTTGGTGCCCCGGCGGCTATGAGCGACGGAAGGTCGGCCATCGAAGGAGCAGCCGAACATGGCCGCCTGGACACACTAGTATTGCTCCTCGATGCGCACGAAGACGACGAGCGCTTGGATTACCAAAGGAAGAGAGCTGCCAAGTTAGCTGACGACAACGGGCATTTTGCAATTGCGCGATTCCTCCATGCGTACAAGAAGACTTGAGCAGTGGATGGCAATGGTTCTTGTCTGAACAGAAATCTGGTTGGTACAGTCTTGCCCCTGAGGTTCAGAGACACGGAAGAGATATGGCTGCAAAGTGTTTAGGTGAGATAAACACGATACTGATGGCGTGATTCACAGGTCGGCCTGGCGTTTTACTGCAGGTTCCTGGATTTGGAATGGACTCGAAATGAATATAGACAGGATTCGATGATCGATAACACACTTTTTAGACGGCTCAGCGCGCCATAACGCCCATCCACGTACTTCTACGCGGTTTGCCATACGCTGTCTCCAATGTTTGATAGACCCGCGATCGCTGCACTTGACGTCTCGTTCGCATTGGAGCATGTCATGTGCTTCATTCACCTCGCGTAGTCCTCCAGCCTCAATGGTCCACGAACTGCAGGCCACGTCTCGCACTCTTGATCACGCCCATGCTCGTATGAGCTTGATTGTGATTTGGTCGCATCTATCACCTCTCCGTCTGTCCAGACCCTGTTCATGAAAACCCTCTTACTTTCAATCCCTTCGACGCGACACCATGAGCTCAGCAGTGATCGGTCGCGCTTTCCGCTTCTACCCGGGGCCAATTCATGAGGACCCTCTTACTTTCAATCCCTTCGACGCGACCATGAGCTAAGCAGTGATCGGTCACGCTTTCCGCCTCTACCTAAGGACAAGTAATCAGAGGACCCTCTTGCTTCCAATCCCTTCGACGAGGTCTCCCGAAAATGTTCCTTTGACGTTCGACTCGGAATTGACATTTAGTCACAGTGCATGTCCGTCCAGAAACAAAATCGCCTCTCTCATCGAATGAAGAATACCTTCCACGACCCCGGATGAGTACAGTCTCCACGATCAAAATTATCCAGCCACGTCACCGTCTCGTTCCACTTGACGATACACTCGCGCGGCCCTGCATCGTCCATGCCGTACGCAAGTTGATCGACCTTCAAATCGTACGGAAGTTGATCGACCTTCAAATCGTATACCGCCCAGTCGGAGTCATATTCCATGGCCGCCTCCTCACTCCTGTCGGCGTATGCTGCTCGGCTGAGTGCCTCAGAGCGACTATACTCATGCACCCAGCGGACGGTTTCATACCACAGGTTTATCCGCTTGACATTAGGAAACACCCCAAAAAACGGTACCTCTTTCCAGAACGCAGCCTTGAGGGACCTCCGGATCGAGCGGGACCCCAGGCCAACGAGCCTCAGGCGCGTGATCTCGGCCCGTAAACTGGCCCACTCGGCGCCACGGCAGATCGTTTTCAATGCCATGGATGTTGCGTAGGGGTCAAACGCCACGGTCAAGGTGCCGTCGAAGGCGTTTTGGCGAGGGAGCTGTGATTCTCTGCGCAGCTTCTTGCTGACGAAGGCGAGGTTGCATTCGGTCTTGTCCTCCAACGGGTATGCGGTGGGTCATTTGCGTCGGGGTGAGAGGAAGTGTGACATCTGGGGCTGGAACGAGGTCGCTTCACACCCGACCTCACAATCACCCCTACCTTTACAAATACACTTAGTGGCGCAATCTTCTGCGGACAGGCGGCCGTTAGACCTAGTGGTGATGTCCACCATGCGCACGGAGATGCGGTACCCGTCGGCGTAAGCATGGGTGTAGATCATGTATTGGATTTCTTGGGAAGATCGAGGAAGCGGAATGCTGGAGGGGGAGGTGATGGGATTCGTCCAGGCTGTGCGAACAAGGCAGTGGTAGCGTCGAACTTGTTTGGGTGAAGCCGGAGTACCGGTCAGGACGTCGGCCTGGATGTTGACAACGGAAACAGGTACGGCGACGGATGCCGTCTTTGGGCCGTAGTTCGGGGTGCGCGAGCCAGCATTGCGACGTGAAGTGTCCGTACTTGCGGCAAGGGGGTTAGGTACACTTTATGCGCCGCCAACGGCGAGGATGGCCTCCTCCGCTCTTATCGGGGCGCATTGGAGACTGGAAGCCCACGCGGATGTCGATGAATGGCGAGGAGCTGCCCGTTGGAGGTTGCGGACATGTCTGCTAGGATGGACGGGTAATCATCATTTGAAATTGTGATCGGTCATTTGGAGAATACTATGGTATAGTGTGGGAGCCCGATCTACTAGGTAGATGCAATAAGAGCTGCGGCGACACCAGGCGTTGGGCACCGAATGAGTCAGCTGGGGAAGAGCATCGAGAGCGCGCGGGGTTGACGCGCACTCACGTGAGAGCACCATCCGTCACCATCACACCAAAGAGCAGACAGCCTCGCTGACATAATGAGTGAGCTCCGCTCGCCGCACTTTCCTTTACTAAAGCTTGGCGGTTGTAAGTGGATTCGCTCCGCAAAGAAATTTTGGAGAGCTTTTCCAGCCGCGACAATTATTCCTCACAGGACTGTATCTAATATCGCAGCATCTCTCCAACTGTTGGCCCAGCGTCTGCCCGGCGCATATTACCAATATGACGCTCCTTATCCTTACCGAGACCTCGGCGGGTTACGCCCTCCTCAAAGCCAAAGATAAAAAGCTCCTCAAACGGGACGACCTTGCGTCCGAGCTGACCAGCGTCGAAAGTGTGACGGCGCAACTGAAGCTGAAGGAGTTTCAAAAGTTCGACAGCGCTGCGGCGGCACTGGAAGAGGCGGCCGCCATTGTGGAAGGAAAAGTCACACCAGCGCTGTCCTCACTGCTGAACAGTTTGAAGGATGAGAAAAAGATCTCACTTGCGGTTGCGGATCCGAAGCTAGGGAATGCGATCGGCAAGATTCCAGGGTTGGATATCAAAGCCGTGGCGGACTCGACCACCGCAGACCTCTATCGATCCATCCGAGAACATCTCCCTTCGCTCATCCCGGGACTCTTACCCGACGACGTGAAGACCATGTCCCTGGGTCTCTCACACTCTCTCGCCAGACACAAACTGAAATTCTCGCCAGACAAGATCGATGTCATGATCGTACAGGCAATAGGCCTCCTGGATGATCTGGACAAGGAGCTGAACACATACGCAATGCGAGTCAAGGAGTGGTACGGATGGCATTTCCCGGAAATGGCCAAGATCTTGAACGATAACCTGGCCTACGCGAAAGTAGTCCTCAAGATGGGCATGCGTACAAATTGGGAGACTTGCGACCTTGCGGAAATCCTGCCGGAGGAAATCGAGGCCGCCGTCAAGGCCGCAGCAGACCGGTCAATGGGCACTGAAATCACAGATGAAGATCTGGAGAACATACAAAGTCTGGCTGAGCAGGTCGTGCAGTTCACAGAATACAGAACGCAACTGGCAAGCTACCTATCAGCACGAATGACCGCCATTGCACCCAATCTCACAGCACTTGTGGGTGAACTCGTGGGTGCGCGGCTAATCGCCCACGCCGGAAGCTTGATGAATCTCTCTAAAAGCCCGGCCAGTACTATCCAAATCCTCGGCGCCGAAAAAGCCCTCTTCCGCGCTCTGAAGACGAAGCACGACACCCCCAAATATGGCCTCATCTACCACGCTTCCCTCATCGGCCAAGCTTCGGGCAAGAACAAGGGCAAAATGGCCCGAGTGCTCGCCGCAAAAGCTGCCTTGGGTCTGAGAGTCGACGCCCTACAGGAATGGGGCGACGATGAAGCCAACATCCCCGAAGACGAGAAAGCCGCCCTAGGCTTGTCTTCACGGGCATATCTCGAGCGCAAACTGGCCGGCATGGAAGGTAAGCCTCTCAAGCCTCGAGGAGTTGCCATCGCACCGAACGGTGTATCAGCCACCCCACAGCCAAAGAAATGGGAAATCAAGGAGGCACGGAAGTACAATCCCGACGCTGATGGTCTTGCTGGTGACGAAGCTCCGGCCAAAGAAGACAAGAAATCGAAAAAGGCCAAGAAGAGCAACGAAGAACCGAAGAAACTCATCGAGGAGATCGCCGAGCCCGAAGACCTTGGTTCAGGTGTGAGACAAGAAGAGGATGAGGATGAGGACGAGGACATGGAGGACGAGTCCGAACCTGATGAACCTATAACTCAAGCCGAGGTCGATGCTATCGTCCCATCCTCGGTCAACGGCGTAAATGGCACATCGTCCACCCCGTCAACGCACCATGCGCGCAAGTCCGAGAAGGAACGCAAAGCGGCCGAAAAAGCCGCGCGCAAAGCTGCTAAGAAGGAAAAGAAGGCACAGGCAGAAGACGCAGCGACGGAGGATCAATCCGAGGCTGATATTGCGAAGTTTGCCAAGCAGTGTGGCCTGAGTGTGGAGAGGTATAAGAGAAAGCTCGTCAGGGGCGAGATTCTGTTTGATGAGGACGGGACCGCGACTGCGATCAGCAAGAAGGATATCAAGAAGCTGAAGAGGGCGGCAGAGAAGGCCAACTCGGCCAAGACGAATGGGGAGGTTGATGGGTCGAAGAAGAGGAAGAGGACAGATGAGGATGCAGAGACGCCGAAAGCGGACAAGAAGAAGAAGCGGAAGGAGAAGGCATGAGCGTTCCTTCTCGTGCTCTTCGTCTTGTTTGCATTCTCGGGTGTTTCTGCTTGCTGCATGGCGTCGGGGTATGGAGTTTGGCAGGCGGTGGCCGGAACGAGTAAAATGTACAATCTACGGACGGGAGGCTCAGCACTGATTGTGTTGGCCTCCCATTTATCATGGGTCAATGAACAGCTTGTTGCCCGCATGGACGAATCAATGCGCAATACAACAGTTGCCTCCGAACACAAATCTGTCCTTATGTTGACTTTGCTGTTGGTGGTCAAACGAAATGCTGAGCGCTCATGCGCAGCAAACACCATCAATATACGATCGCATCCAGGTTGCATCATACCTAGGTCCATTAGTTCAAGGCAGCGCTCGTCATGCGACAGTGATGGTCGCTGTAACCCAATGCCCTGCTTCGAGCCGTGGCTGAACTGCACGCGCTCCAGGAAGAGCTGCTCGATACTTGCAAGCAGGAGATCCTCAAGGATGGTTCTGATATTCCGAGGTACCCATGTGACGACTAGGACTCGACTTGTGCTGGCACAGTGTGACCAAAATAAACGGGACAGAGCCCAATCCCCACCAAATGCACTCTTTTCCTCGCTGCAACTATCCATCCACAACTCAGACAAATAATAAAGAATTACACTATTGCTAAGGCACTCTGTACTAGTCCTTATATCTTTAACTTTACGCTTTCATTCTGCGTACTTTGAGTGTGGTGCTGTTGTAAAGCGATTGAAGCACAGTCTCTCACCAAAATCACTAGGTTACTGAGAACTTCTTAACACAACTGCCTAAGGAGAAGGAGTTAGGGTTCTAGATTTTAATATAGATAAGAGCAAGTAGTTACTTATATATTGCCTTATAATCGATTATCTATCTGCTTTGTGGATGTATAGGTGCAGCTATGAAAACAACGCATTTTGGTGAGGATTGTGCTGTGTCCCGTTTATTTTGGTCAGACTGTGGCTGGCTGACCAACACGGATGAATATCGGAACCAAATTACCCCGCAGGAGGTGCGATTCCATGAGTTTTTCTCCGCACCGACTGAGATGTTCGTTCAGTTTGTTCTTGCTCGTGCTCGTAGATATGTGAAAACCACTCTATCTGTCCCCGCCTTTCTGCAGCTGGCAGACACATGCTGCATGCTCGAGAAAGAGGCATTCTCGGTAACAATCCCGCAGTTGACGCAGTGATCATCAGCAGCTCCAGCAGGATGAAGGTACCATTTCAGCGGCCCGCTCTCATGGCAATTGTTCTGACTGCCACGCGCAAACCAGGTCCTCGATCCTCAAGCCGCCCTTCTAACGACGTCCGAAGTCTACAATTTCCTCCTTGAGAATCCACCCCGCCCACCTCCCAAGAAAATCGGCTCCTATGCGCCCGTCAATCTGAAGGGCTATCAGCGTGTGCGAGAGGACTGCTTGGATTATATCACCAACACAATCCCTCACATCGCCGGTTACCCATCACCAGAGACATTCATACACACAGTGGTGCCTAAGTTGCGCACATTCGGGTTGACGAAGACGGAGGCATTCATGATGATCAACCTGGGAGTTGGTTTGCGAACGGGTTACGAACAGCAGCCATCAACGAACGGGGATCGAGATGGCAACAACGGTGCTATAAGCGGTACAGCAGAGTCGGCTTCTGGGAACGAAAACGCCGGTACTTCTGGTGACGAAGAACAACATGATCCCGCAGGAGGGGGGAACGAAGCGGCATATCAACCGTCTGACGTGGAGCTCCTCTCTTGCGTGATCGAAGAGTTCGAGGACCGGTTTCCTGGTGAAGAGGGACAAGGACAGATCCAGAAGATAGTGCAACTGATCAGAGACGAGTACGAGCGCGCACATTCGAAACATGCTGCAACAAACGGTGATGCACTTGGGAAGGAAGACGTTATGGACGTATCATGACCTTGGTCACCACCTGATCGTCAACCCCACGAACGAGGCTCAGCGATGCCCTCAAGGACCTGCACTGATAGCAGAAAAGTGGAAGGGACGACCGCTTTCCTCTACGGCCTCTCGCTGTTGCTTACGGACGCTCAGCCTCGACTACCGTCACTCGAAGCACAGCTATTGCTTGCTTGGCGCCGGCCCAAGGTTTAAGGGCACTGATCTGTGTCCTCTGCTGTTGCTACAATGCAATCTTGAAACAAGAGAGGATGGGATCACCCTCGGTTACGCCTGAAGGCCCCAGCAACGCACGTTGTGAGCTCACGGCAGCCTCAGGGGTCCTCGACAATATTCCTGTGGCTTGTCGAAAGAGTCTCAGGCACTATGGACCAGGAGCAGGGAGCCACTGTACTGACGTCGATGTCGAAGGAAACGCGCGACGGGAAGTCCGTTCAGACTAACTACGAGGTAGCGGGGAAGGAATTAGAGGAAGCGCATGGAAATGCCGTTGAGCATCAACATCCTCTGTGGATCGGGCGAAAACGAGCTTCCCACCTGGCGATATACTGTGTACCTCGTATGGTCCAGAGCGGGTCAACAGTTGCGTCTCGACTCTAAAAAAAAGCCATTTCCGCACGGCTCAGCACCGCCAATGCGTATCTTGATCTCCACCTCCTTCCTATGTATTCTGGGATGTAGGAGGGTTTGAGCCCCGAAACGTGGGGGGTTCGCGAAAGCCTGAGACCCTTTCGACTTCAAAGCTGCAACACCTCGTAATCCCTTGACCTTGATCTCAATTTCGACTCACGACGCAGGGCATGAGTCATCATGGCGTCGGCCACCTTTGTGATAGTACCCTGGTCGCGTGAGGGTCGGATGCGGCTGCCTTTGCGGGCGTGGCACATTCTTCCAGGGGCTGAGGGCCCGCAAGCATGCAAGGCGAATTCACCATTGATCCTTTTCCAGAAATTGAGCACATTTGCTTGGACCTAAGCCGTTAACACGAGGGCCCAAGTCAGAAACACAACTGTCTACGCGTCGCCAGTTGGTACTCGTATCAGCTAGAGCCAACGCCGGGAAACTCCAGTGCAGTAACAATCACAGGACACGTTCCCCCTCCAATTCCACCCCCCGTGTTTAGGGGACCTATCGATTCTCGCAATATTGCCTGTTCTGGCCTGACTATCAACCATGAGCTGTGCCTAGTTCTTTCGGGTTATAGGTGGGGTCCGTTCTGTCGTTGTGTTTTAGGTAATCCCACGCAGGTCTAGTCCGTGGTCTTCCAAACTCTGGTGCGTTTGCCAGCCCGTTCCGATCCTCCCAAGATCCCATCCGAGTCTACCAAACGAGCAGCCCTTCATCAGCGAATTACGTTTACCGAACTCGATGGCTTTGCGGAGCTTCAGGGCGCGATCGCCGACAACCATGCAGAGTCCTAGATGACGAACATGGCAACTACTGTGACAACCACGGGTTGTCACTCGGGCGGAAACATGGCTTTCAGCTGAAGCCTAAGCCTCTGTCGCGAAGGACAACGCTAGGAATCGCAAACTCCTGACACGACTGAGCAGCCGTTCGATAGTCGAAATTGGCCTCCTCAGCTTGTGATATATCCAGCCGGCTCGCACCTGTGCTCGTGTGGCATTCATTCCTTTTCGATCTCGTGCGCTGCTGTCTACCACTGTCGTTGTTGTTTTCTTCCCTCGACCTATTTTTGGCGTCTCCATCCTTGCACTTTCTACAAAGCTCCCGTCTCGATTCACAATGTCGCAGTACCCCGGGGCCCAAAAGCCAGCGCAAGGACCAGTTGGAGCCTACCCTCCTGATGCTGGTGCTCGAGGAAAGTGGACTTTTGGTCTCTTTGACTGCTTCTCACCATTTGGCACCTGTAAGTCGGCAGCCGGAGCTCAAGCTGAGAAACATCACATTTTGCTGACTTAATCTCACGGACAAGGCTGTCTGGGATGTTGGTGTCCATGTATACTCTATGGCAAGACCCGAGACCGATACAAGGGCGACCAGGAATCTAGCGGTTGCAACGCATCGGTAGGTCACCCTTGTACATTCGTCGCTTTGCTGTGGCTGCGGGACCAAACGGCACGTGGCAAATGGTCATAAATTACCTCGCTCCTACAACGGTCAAGAGGCACATTGCGGTGTCCATTGTCGATCTCAGAGACAAGGGCCCGTCAGAATCGATGCTATGCCGCCGAAAGCCGCTTTTCATTTGCTGTTCCGAATACTCCACTTGGACCTTACTGACCTTGTGTGCCATAGTGCTGCGCTCATTTCGCCCTCATGTGTGCCGGTGTACCCTGCATTCTACAGTGCATCAACCGGAGCGGGACACGAGACAAGTTCAACATTGAGGGCAGCAGCTGCGGCGATTTCTGCACGACTTGTTGGTGTGGATGCTGTGCCTTGATCCAGGAGGACAAGGAAGCAATTGTGAGGACCACGGGAACGAATCCGAAGACGCAGCAACCATATAACAGTCCGGGCCAGATGGCTTATCCCCCGGGGCAGATGACTTATGCATGAGTTGAAGCTCGAAAGAGCGAGGGGTATGACACGGGGGTGAGGTTTCTGGGCCATGCTTGGTCCTGGTTGGTATATCACTTGGGTTTCAAAAGGTTTTCACTTTTGTCTTGTGTATTCATCTCAAGGAAAGGAAGGCTCCTGTTTCTTCGGTTAGCGTCTAATCCCACATTTTGCCTACGGTCGCTTTTCATCCAACTCGTCCAGACCTCAACGATGTCGTCCACAAAACCTGCAGCTGTTTGCCCGAAATCTGACAAGTTTGACACTATCCCTACTGACTCTGAGCGGCTTCTCCGTTTTGCGCCTCTTGTGGGACGACGACTGCCGCCTGTCTCTCCCGCCGAGAAACCTCCCAATCCCACCCCTTCCCCACGGAACATGCTGGTCGGCAGAGTCGCTCCGATCCAACCCCCACACGTCAAGCACGGTAACGAAGTCGTCAGTATCGTCGTCGGAAACCAGCAGCAAGAATTCACCATCCACAAGAACCCGATCTGCGCGGCCTCGGCATTCTTCCAAACCGCGCTCACCAGCAACTTCATCGAAGGTGCCGCGCAAAAGGTCACCCTCCCAGAAGAAGACCCTCAGTTTTCCCAGTTAGTGTACAATTGGTTGTACTCGGGTCGAGTCGCCGACGGGGTCACAACCTACCTGAGGAAAGAAGATGTCTGTTCGGGAGATATCTTCTGGTGGAAAGTCTACCAGATGGGTGACCGGCTTATGATGGATCGGCTACGCGTCCTTGCCATCGCCAAGATCCAAAACTTCTTTACCGAAAGGAAGGCATTCGTTCCTAGCAAGCAATTCATCGAGGAGCTCTTCGATTTCGCCAAGTTGCCTTTGCTGGAGACCTACATGGTCCAACATGTGGTGTTTTGGCTGCATAAGTCCGCGGATGCTACGGTGTGGGGTGAACTTGCCGACGCGCATATGAGGTTCGGCCAGGCTCTAGCGAAACAGTCAATCATGGCTCTGAATTCTGAGGACGTCCATCCGCACGAAGGCAATGCAGCCCACGGCTTGTTTTGCTCTCTGTCGCCGTGGGAGACGGTGGGGATCAGTGTGCCGCCAGAGGAGCACAACCGTGGTGGCAATGAAGTCCGAGCCAAACACATGCGTGAGTACACCCTGGCATGCAACACCAGATGGGCTAGCACTCACACGAACGCAGAACGAGCTGAAGTGATCGATCCGGAAGACGACGGTGTGTCGGAAGATGTGGACGAAAAGCAGGTCACGGTAGGGCAAGCCCCAGAATACCGGATGCTTTCCTAACTGAGATCGCAGCCGCAGTATCCTCACTGGTCCGACTTCGCCCTGAAGGCTCCTACAACTGCGCAAGCGTGGTAGCTCGCAACCGAACGATGGTCCGAAATCCTCCTGCGAGCTGCATACCGAGGAGCCTAGCCAAGAAGTATGAGAGAGATGGGTGAGCAAGACGGCAGCACTAATCCCAGCACTTGGTTCTCGATGACTAGTGGAGAAGCCAGAAGGGCCGGGCAGTGGTATGAACATAACTTCTAGTCCCGTCTGTTGGGCCACCACCCTGACGTGACTTTGCCAAATACATGTACTGGGTCGCAGGATCAACAAGTGGGTTGGAGGCGGCGGTGGCTGGGTTCCATGTAAGGGAGACGACAATGTGCGGAATCCGGACGTTACTACCCTTGGGGTGAGACAATGGGTCCGATACTGGTGGCACTGGCGTGCAGGCACCTCGCAGCCTTGGTGCGCAGAGCCTGAGAGACCCAAGTTAAAAGTCGGCCTCGTGCCCGCTGTGAGGATAGGGAGGAATGAAGAGACGCTTGTCATCGCGCGTGCGCTAATATCATCGAATGACACTGACTCGCGGGTTTCAAATGACAGGTCAATATCTGACACCTTCATGTCACTTTTATCTTCGACATCCAGACACGTCTGCATTTGCCTCGTGGAGTTGTTCTGCTTCTACTAGGCAATCTTGGACCGGCTACACATTCAGTATGCTCATCCGTCTGGTCTGCTCTCGTGGGCCCAACATCTGCATTGTGTCGTCGCAAGAGGAACTCAGCAGAATGCATAGGTACGATGGATTCGTCCCCTGACAATTTTACCGCCGAGCGTTCACCCACCATGGTCTCTGGAGCCAAAGCAGAGATACCTTTGCCTTTCAGCCCCATGTGCTGGGAACCACACCGTCGCGGAGATCCATGGAGCTCCTCCGCGACGACGCCCTCGGTTTTCGGCACACTAAACATGGGGGCTCGGCGCCCCGTAGTCACTGCTATGAAGGCCTGGGCGACGCTGTCCTCACGTCTTAAGACTGGACAGGATCCCTAGGTAGGAGAAGCTGTAGTACCAGCCGTGTCGTCGGATCTAACGGGCCTCTGCCATGTATCGACCAAATCAAACAAAGCAGTCATGAACCTCGTTCCAGACGACGTCCATGCAACCAGTTGCACAGATATCGACTCGAGACTGAAGATGGCACTGCGTCTCGTCGATGATAACGATATCCCTAGTGTCCAAACAATGGTACTCTATGACAAGCATCGCCTGACCAGGTTTGGTGCGTGGCGGTAGAACTTCACAGAGCTGATTTTACTTACACCGGATGCAGAAGGCCAGGTGCGGCTCTAAGAATTGCTGAAGGACGACGAACCTGAATAGGTCACCGAGGTACGACTGAAAAAGCTTCTGGCGGGACGGACACCCGGCAAACATGGTTCAGAACGATGCAGAGACCCGTCTTGCACACGAGATGCTTCGTCACAGAGAAGCAAGGGCCTTTTCGGTTGGCTCCATCCAATAATTATGTAACCCGGTGACCTGGTCTGTGTCCTTGATCGGGGTACGGTCCCTTTCTTGCTCCGCGAGGCCAGCGAGACCAAGCACTTGAGGTCCGTGAAAGAAGCGTACGTTCACGGATTCATGGGCGGCAAAGCGATCGCCGGAGCGGAACATAGCGACACCACAGCCGACCGTGCTCCGACCAGGACTTCCACTTCGAGGCGCGGATTCTGTATGTGCTGAAAGTGGCAACTCTGAAGAGGTGGCAGTCCACCGTCACAGGCTTACCGGACAACAAAAAGCAACGTGGACAGGCTGTACTGAGCCTTGACCAAGGACGGTGACGGGAATGGTTCGCGAGACAGACAACCGCAGGCCGCTCACGGGTGGGTCGCCATCAAGCAAGCAATGAATCCTACAGCACGAAAACGCTCTTTTGTCTATGGTAAACACCGAAGTGTCCAACACCACAATTATTAGCACGCTACAGGCTGGAGATGGTGGCGCAAGGCCCAACACTTTCTAGGAATTTCCCCAAGAAACCTATTCTTTCCGAAGACGTCGAGTCACGCTGGAGAGACCACTTGGGAGGTACAGAGTAAGCTGTAAGAATTCCGTACACCACGGTATGTTGAAAGATGCTCCTTATTTTGAATAACTACCCTATCCGATCGTAAAGCGCAGTGAATTTTAACAGCCTATAATATCAGCTCGCGGTTATACAACGCCGTCGCTATGCCGGCAAGCAAGCAACAGCATGCTCGGTGCAACTGGAACGTCCCTTCACTTGCCCTGCCCGTTTGCCTAACTGCCCATCTGGTAGGCATTCTCGTCACTTGCAATCATTCCACCCTTTCGATTCTTTGCACGATCATGGCTGTCGCAGCGCCGCCGCCATTGCAGATAGCCGCGCAGCCGTACTCGCCTGGCTTCAGTTGGTGGAGGAGCGTGGTGAGGATGCGGGAGCCGGAGCTGCCAAGGGCGTGGCCGAGGGAGATGGCGCCGCCGAGAAGATTCACGTTTGCGTTTTCGAGGCCGAGGATCTAGTAGGGTGTCAGCACGGTAAACTTTCTAAAGTAAGGAGAAAGGGCTCTTACCTGCTCGTTTGCCTTGATGACGGCGGCAAAGGCCTCGTTGAACTCCCAGATCGCAATGTCCTCCTGTTTCAATCCCGCTCTCTCCAACGCGATGGGCACGGCCTTGGAGGGGGCGATGGTGAAATCAATAGGGTCTGTCGCCGCGTCTGCGGAGCTGATGATCCGCGCGAGCACACGACTTTGCTGGCCGTATTCTTGCGCGACGGCCTTGGATCCGAGCACCAATGCGCTTGCGCCGTCGTTGAAGGTGGATGAATTCGCGGCCGTGACGCTCCCGTCCGAGCCTTTCACAAACGCAGGTTTTAACGACGCGACTTTGTCTTTCCTGAGGTTTTGGTATCCTTCATCCTCGGATATGATGGTGTCGCCTTTCTTGCCCTTGACCGTGACGGGCACGATCTCGTCCTTGAATTTTCCTTCGGCCCAGGCCTTCTGGGCGCGCTCGAAGCTGCGGATCGCGTACTCGTCTTGCGCTTCTCTGGAGATTTTGAACTTCTTGGCCGTGTTCTCGGCACAATTGCCCATGTGGAACTGGTTGTACACGTCCCAGAGCCCGTCTTCGATCAGGCCGTCCTTGAATTGCATGTGGCCGAAGGCCGGGTTCTGCGCTGCTCGGGGCAGATAATAAGGAACACGGGACATGCTCTCCATGCCGCCTGCAACCTGCGCTTCCGCGAGTCCTAGTTGGATATTTTGAGCCGCGATGGCCACTGCCTTCAGACCGGACGCGCAGACCTTGTTGATCGTCACGGCTTCCACGCTCGGTGGGAGGCCCGCGAATATGCTGGCTTGTCGGGCCGGTGCTTGGCCCACCCCTGCTGCGAGGACGTTACCCATGTATACATCGGTGATCTTTGCGATAGGCACCTTGGACTTCTCGATCGCGGATTTGATCGCCACGGCACCCAGCTGCGGCGCGGAGAGGCTCATGAAGCTGCCGTTGAACTTGGCGGTGGGGGTTCGCGCGGCCGAGATGATGTATGCTTCGCCGACTTCTTTATTCCGTGCCATGGGAGAAGTGGCGTTGGTGCTGAGGTGGGACCGCATTTGGGAGAGGCGGGCTGAAGAGGAAGAGGAAGTGGCTCGCATGGCCGTACGGGCCGCGGAGGTGGTAAGGGAGGGCATCTCTACGGTTGCGCTGGACTGAGAATCCAGGGTGGAGGCCAAATGGCTCCAAGGGTATGTTGACAGGTTTATGTGTTTTGGTTAACCGCAGCACATGTCAAGACTCGGCTAGGAGCGGGGAAGAGGAGCTGCAGCAATCAGTGGCTGGCGAAGTATGGAGAACCGGTGGGAGGAATATTGAGGATTTAGGAGTCAGTTTAACTGAGGTAGAGATGCCCTACTAAGCAGGCAAGATCAGTAGGAGGCTCCTGTCCACAAGATATAGATATAGCCGGCGACGAGCGTCTCTCGGCCACCAAAACTCTGAGGGCGCGGAATCTCGACCTTGGGGAGCGGAAAGACACGGTACGGTAGAAAGCTGCCGAGGCAGCTTGGGACAAATTTCGGATCCGGATCGCAGTCACGTGAGACCATGTCAAGACTAGCTTTATCAGGTAATGATCGGCCGTCGTCTTTTCGAGAAACAGTGACGAATGATAACTCACTGCGGGCAAACTGCCATTGCCTCTGCCTCACCTTTCACGTCGCGTGAGCTTGTTGCTGGATTCTTCCCTCTTCAACACAACCATTGCCTTACTTCTCTGCGACTTTGCAATAATCTCCGATACCCAGCCCAGCCCTGTGCCGCGTCAAATCCAACCTCGACCGCCATGTCCACCTCCGCCAGACGCCGCTTGATGCGGGACTTCAAGGTACGTTCCTCCACCCTAGGAGCCTTGCGTAGCCTAGCCAATTCATATATCCCGTGAATGAACACCATACTGACTCTGCCTGTAGCGCATGCAAACTGATCCTCCTGCCGGTGTCTCCGCCTCTCCCATCGCGGACAACGTCATGACATGGTATGGCTGCCCCTCTCTATCCCTCTGAGCCGATGCAGAAGCCGACTAACACAACCCCCAGGAACGCCGTGATAATTGGTCCCGCAGATACACCGTTCGAAGACGGCACCTTCCGCCTCGTCATGCAATTCGAAGAAGCCTACCCGAATAAACCGCCTGGAGTGAAATTCGTGTCGGAAATGTTCCACCCAAACGTCTACGGTACCGGCGAGCTGTGCTTGGACATCCTGCAAAACCGATGGTCTCCGACATACGACGTGGCCGCGATCTTGACGAGCATCCAGTCCTTGCTGAACGATCCCAACACGAGCTCGCCGGCGAATGTCGAAGCGAGTAATCTGTACAAGGATAATCGGAAGGAGTATACCAAGAGAGTGAGGGAGACGGTGGAAAAGAGCTGGGAGGATTGAGCTTGAGGCCTGAGAAGGAGAATGAAGTTGGAGAATGTCATTCCCAAGCGATCTCGTGGAAGTACTGCTCCAGGGCTTTTTATATCAGCTATCGCATCAGCAAGCGGACGAACCGGTGTTGGCGCAATAGGGCGTTCTTGACTCTACATTTCTGGCTTGGAAAGTCATATGGTTGCCAAGGAGGAGCTGGAGTCGATTTCTCGTCAGGCAGCGGTACGAGAGCGCAATGTCAATGAGCTTTCAGTGCCATCCTCATACGAGCCAGGAGGTGAGACTCGTATCGACTTTGCTACCATCTCAGATCCAAGAAGGATCAAACTGTGACGAGATCAGGATGTTTAGATTCGAAGAAGCCGGTACTGTGAACACCTGTCATGAACATGGAGTTGTTTCCTTCGTTTCTGCCTCGCACTGCTTGTGCATACTCCATACGAGGGCACTTGATGGTGGACCGCTCGTAATTGCCGCATGTGGACTAGGGCTCCTCTGTGGAGAGGCGTGTGATCTTATCGCGTTATCGGCAGCCTGCATGGAATCTCCAACCCCTCCGCGCCTCTCACGTTGCGCTCTCTCTCTCTCTCGTCTCACATCAGTTGTGTACGGCGTATAATTGCAGCCCAGTCCTCGTTCCTTTGGCGAGCTTCATCCTTTTCTGGTTTCAACACCGTCATGGGCAATTCACAAAGCTCACCGAAGCTCAATGAGCCCGCCGTGGAGAAGCTCTTGGTACAACAACTCCAAGCCCTCCGGACTCGGGATGTCCTGCACCAACACGAAGTCGAACATGAGTACATCCAAGTCGAAAGCGAGAAGGGTATTCCTCGATCCTTCTCGACCGATCCATCGCTCGACATCAAAACGGCCTCGGAATGGGAGAAGGAACTCCTCGCCGACCCAAAGAATCGGCTGGCATTGAACGCCCTGCTCTCCAATAACATCCGCGATATCGTCTCGAACAAGGTCTCGACCCTTTCCGACACTCAGACCTTCAATGTCAAGATCCCGTTTGAGGGCTCGCCTGTGACCAACCAGCGCAGCTCAGGCAGGTGCTGGCTCTTCGCGACGACAAACGTCCTGCGCGTGCCCATCATGAAGAGATACAACCTCAAGGAATTCGAGCTGTCCCAGGCGTACTTGTTCTTCTGGGACAAGATGGAGAAGGCGAACTGGTTTCTCGAGCAAATGATCGACACGGCGGGTAAAGACCTGGACGAACGCATTGTGCAGGAACTGTTAGGCGCACCAGTGAACGATGGCGGCCAATGGGACATGGCGAGCAATTTGGTGGAGAAGTACGGGCTGGTAAGAATATACCTTCGCCACTCCGATAATCGAGGTCTCGTCACTCACACCAGTGCAGGTCCCTCAAAAACTTTACCCGGACAGCTACAACGCCATGAACTCCTCGGCCATGGGCAGCATCATCACCACCAAACTCCGGGAAGACGGCCTGGCCCTCCGTGCCCTCGTCAACAATAGTAGCACCGCCAAAAAGTCTTCCTCGATAGTGTTGGCAAAGGCGAAAATGATGCGCGAAATCCACTGCATTCTCACCCTCATGCTCGGTCCACCCCCCAAACCAGACCAGAAGTTCACCTGGGAATACTACGACAGCAGCGACAAGTACCATAAATCAACCCTCACGCCGCTGGAATTTGCCAAGTCCATGTCTTCACCAGCTGTCATCCGAAGCCTCGGAGGCACAGACGTGTCGCAGATGTTTTCGCTGGTGAATGATCCGCGAAACAAGTATATGTCCTTGCTTACCGTTTCGCGACTGGGCAACGTCGTCGGTGGACGACCCATCACGTACGTGAATGTCGACATGACGACCATGAAAAAGGCGGCAATCAACATGCTTAGAGCCGGCGTGCCCGTCTTCTTCGGCAGCGACGTGGGGAAATTCTCAAACTCGCAGTCCGGCATCATGGATCCGGATCTCTACGATTACGGCCTTGCATTCAACATTTCTCTGAATTTGTCCAAGTCTCAGCGGCTCCGAGTCCGAGAAAGCGCAATGACGCACGCGATGGTCCTGACAGCCGTGCAGGTCGAGAGGGATGAAAAAACGGGTGAAGACAAGAGCGTCCGGTGGCGTGTTATGAATTCTTGGGGCGAGAACGCTGGTGATAAGGGGTACTTCGTCATGACGGATAAGTGGATGGACGAGTTTGTGTATCAGGTTGTCGTGGAACCCGGGTTTGTGGGCAAGGATGTCAAGGAGATCTTGAAGACCGAGCCGACGGTATTACCTCTGTGGGATCCAATGGGTGCGTTGGCTTGATCCTGCGGAGCGGAGCGTAGCAGTTATACCATGAAAGAGGGAATTTATGGGCGTGGGGCACGGAATGATATACAGGCAGGAGGAGAGGGTATATTGGAAGAAGAACTTTATGAGACCGCAGTTATCGAAGACCGATAATTGACACGATACGCTACCGAATTCGGCAACCCCTTGTATCGAGTAATATCGCCTCCGCATGGAGTCTACAGTAGAATACTCCGTACGTGTACCTATGCTGCTTAGGCATGGCTAAGAGAGAGAGAAAGAGACCTTGGGCATGGATAGATAGCCTTGATGGCCTTGATGGCCTTGATGGCACTTTGGTCAGAATGCCACTCCAGCGGCCCGATAGTCCTGCCTCCTGATTGGCGGAATGGTTTTCGGAATGGCTGGTCCGGACAGCACCAAGCTCGCCGTTCCACGGTACTTGTAATTAGTTGTACGCACTGTGTAAGAGCAGCCAGGACGAAGTACCTGATAGAGCGGGAAGTGATGCTGATACGGTAATTCATTACTGCGTGTTGATGGATTTCACTTGATCTACGGCATGCAGGTCATATTATTAGGATGGTCTTCACAACGTGGGAACTTTCATCACCACGGTCTTGTATTGATAGAGCTATGAATTCGACCTGCAGAATGCAGAATGCCGCCCTGGCTCGTTTCAGGGGTGTATGGACCGCATGTCGACGGGGGGTAAGTACAAAAGAAGCCAGCCGTCAGGCACCAGATGTGTCCGTCATAAGAAAGTGGTTGATCATCCATCTAGAGAATATATGCAAATTGGAATGGTATGTCTCAGACCACAGATTCCAGCCCCGCCATCTGAGACAAAATGTCCCAATGTTCAACAAGTCGGGTATCAAGGAGAATGATTCGGCGAAAATGTCATCTCCGCCGTGAGATGCTGATGCTCAAGCCAGTCTGGCCCAGCCCTGCGCGAGCTTTGAGTATTCGTGAACAGGATCGTCGCCGCTAAAAGAAAAGGAAAAGGAAAAATGTACAGACAGATTACCGCCCGGCCCAATTTCTTCCGAGAAGCCCTGCTAGGCAGCCAGTGCACTGACGACCTGCACTCGCTTCAACGACTTCTTCCTCAGGACTCGTGAGTTGTGCTTTCCTGGCACCGTCATAATGCCGATTCTATTCTCCTGCACATCTTCTCCCGGTCCGTCACGTGAATAGCGTGATTGGCGCTGCTGGTCTGTACTTGGCTTCCGGGAATGTCCCAAACGTGGCGTACCACTGCTGCTCTTCCTTTGGGCGGAGTAGGGAACGTCATCCAAGCCGACGCGTGCTGACCAGTAATCCGCTCCGTCACGGGTACGTGGAACCTGCGTCTCATAGTAAATGCCACTGGGTCCAATGCTGGAGGATGATTTTCTCGGCGAGTGCGTTGTGGAGACTGAAAGAGAAGTCAGATTGCTGTTCGCGCGGGAATGAGATACGTCTAGGCGTGATGGATTTGGCTGTCGGTAGAAAGAAGTCGAGATGGGAGAGCTGAACTCAGGAAGGTTCAGCCGGTACGCCGTTGGCGTTATAGGGTGCGCAACGGCTTTAGGAAGAGAAGGACCAGATACCTGATCTGTTAGGGCGTCGTGTCGTTTGGGCTGCCTGCTCGAGGTCGGCCTCGAACGTGGTGGTATTGAAGAATGATGTGGCGGAGTGGGCAACTGGGTTGCAGGACGATTTCTCGGCAAGGGCATCGCAAGCGTTGTGGTCTTGCGCGGAGTAGTCGGACTGGGTTGAGACATTCGCTCCGTATTGTCCCGGGGGTTAATGGCTAAGTGATATGATGACCCGTGATGAGATGAGAAGATTGGTCCATTCGCTGCGCTGATAATCGAAGCATGTGGTGATCGCTCCGATATTCTCGATAGAGTAGCTTGAGACCTTTGAGTAGTCGGCGACGAATGGCCACGGTTGCTGAAAGAGCGAGAAAAGTTGGTTGTTCTGTTGGGCCCCAATGGCGAGGGCGACGGGGACGGCGAAGGTAGGGTCAGCTCCCACGTTCTCGTGACCGACTCCGTGTCCTTCTCAGGTGTTTGTGTGGGATTGCCATGAAGATCCTTGCGCGCAGCAATGGTAGTACCTCTGGATGCTGGCCGGCTGATTATCGAGCCAGTCTCTACCTGTGACATCTGATCTTGTCGGGATTGTGATCTCTCCATGATAGTAGCCCACCATTCAAAGGGACTTCTCCTACCCCCCATCATCGATTCATTGTCGGCGACTATCCCGAATTGCCTCGTGCCAAACTTGGAACCCGTAAGAGAGAGATGTTGAGAACTCGGGACTAGGCGCCCTCTCCTCAACGTCATCCGCCGCATGGGACCTCCTGTGAGACCAGCGTACTCGCGGCGCTGCCTCGCCTTGCGACGTAAAAGCCAACATCGCAAGCCAATCGCGGCTGTTGCCAATAGTAGTATCGAACCAAGTGCGATAATGACAATGTAAGCCCAGAGCGGTAGACCGGTGTTGTCGAAGAGAGTCATGAAGAATGTTGCGACGTGCGAGCTCTCGAGAGCGGCATCGAGCCAGACTGTCGAGGTTGAGTGCCTTGGACGCAATAATAAGACCACAAATAATGGACAAACCGGCCGGGGCAGTCAGCGCCAGCTGTGGTGTGAAGTGTAGTGGTTGCAGTGCCCCCTACACAGTAGTGGCAATCGACTCCGAATGGAGGGTGGAAAGTTTGTTTGACAGGTTGTGACAGCGGTTCATGCAAGCTCTTCCGTGGTTTGCGAGACAATTGGACCTTTATGCTGAGTATGCCGGCAACGATGGAAAGGTCCCAGGTCGATGGATCTATATCGTCTTTTCGACCAACGCAATATCGGCGGAGGTGAAATGGAATAGAAACTGGCCAAGGTCAATATGGACTTTGAATCTGTCGTAGATGAAACAAATGGTGGTGAGGAAAGCAGAGGCAGACTCGTCTGAAATTGAGGATGAGACGTTGAGCGAAGAGAAGGCGGCCACCACGAACAGTGTTGCGAAACCGCAAGGTGTGGTGCAAGGAAGAGAAAAGGTGCAAGAAGAGCACCGCCAACAAGCCCCAGGCCGTGGTGGACGAGTTTTTCTTGTAAGCCCGTCAAGAGGAACAAAAGGCAGCTGGACGAGGATTTCGAAAGGTCAAAAGTTTACTTTTGCCTGCCAGGGATCCCACCATGTCAGCAGGCTGGCAGATTCCCGAGTCCGGACGGGATCGTGGGAATGGGTGGGAGGTCGGTAAAAGTGTGCTACGAGTCCACGGGGTATGGCTGGGATGACCAGCATGGATGGGGCCAGGTTTTCATGCAAATAAAAGGATCACAGCGTCATTGTTGATGGCGAATTGCCAATTTGTGAAGAGTGAGCCACATGATCCAGGAGCATGAAGCGAGATGCGGGACGAATCTCGATTATCGCGTACACGGTAGCATAGGACTTCGCAGGCACTCGGCGTTGCAAGAATGAAAGCGTGACGGTGCAGATAACCGGAGCCAAGTATTGTTCACGGCGGATCCCAGAGCAACAAAGCACGCCGGCCGAGGTGTGGACGGGATAGTGGAAAGGTGCAGCGAATTGAGCACCTTGAAACACAATGAAGAGCAGAGGAGTCGTCCTTACGCAAGGGATAGGAGCCACTAGAGAACGGCTGGCGCAAGGAACGAGGCAGACTGCAGCGCGATGCAAGGGGCACGAGGCAGTACGCCATCACATTGGAGGAAGCGACGAACACCTGGCCACGCCACCACTGGATCGTCAGGAACAAGGCCGCACTAAAGAAGGTCCGCTGCGGAGATCGAGTGGACCACAACCAGGGACGCACCAGCTTTCGAAACGCCAACCCGGAGGGATTGACAGCACCAAAGGTCCAGCAGCATTGCCATGACCAGGGTGGTCAAACGCTGGAAGCGGGGGAGAGACCAGGTATGGCCCGTGTCTTTCGTCGAGATGGCGATGCATGGGCACAGAAGGTGGTCGTGTTTGACGTGAGAGAGCGTTACCTCTGTGAAGAGGAACCCTGAGCTGCGAGGAGAAATGAGCAAAAGTCCAAGGTGATTGGGTGGTCCGCCAGTCGACGGCTGTCGTGCAGCTCGCCTGACTGCTCTCTGCTCGAATGCGCTTGCGGCGTCGGGCCATCAGCAAGGGCTCGGCAGATCCCTCCTCGCTAAGAATTGCCGGGGCTTTGGAGGGCCTGATCCATTCACTTGCTGCAAAGCAGGCCGCAGATCGACCTCCACCCACTTGAAACAACTCTAGAGCACATGGAGGGCACCCGGATGGGCTGGTCTGTGGCTAGGCCTCACTAGCCACAGATGATGACCCTGCGAGCCACGACGGCACACTACCTAGTACTAATTCGAAAGGCTCATGGCAGCAACCCCCGCCGGCATTTCATTTTGCTGTGCATGCTGCTTCATTCAGGCACACTCTACCGTGGTACTCGTAGGCTTGAAAGCCATTCACCTCTTTCCACTCGCAGGCTCTTAGGTGTTAGATCTCATATTATAGCAGGTCATGCGCTAGACGACTACGACGCATTACTAACTACTGCACAAGTTCTAGCTTGCGGCCTCACGAGTCAAGCGAGATGAGCCGGATCTAGCCATGGTCTAGCGAGGATTAGCTCAACTTCGTTTACCGTCACCGTAGAGCTCATCTCGGAGAATAGAAGAGGACGCTACGGAGTTCTCATGTTCTGCGTTGCTGCCTTGAAACTGAGGCAGGTGAGTTTCAATGTTGAAACGAGGTTTATCGAACAGTTAAGGTTCACCGAAACGAAGCTGTGGGCGCAAGACGGTACCTCGTAGAGCTTCACCGACGTGGTCACGGGATGCCAAGGCTTACGATCTGGGGCTTGTTTGAGATTGGAGTTTGAAGGGATGCGGGAGGGGAATCTCTAGAGGTCCTTGTTAAGCCTCTGCTCACTGTCTCTATCGACGTCAATCAGGAGCTAGGTGGCAAGCTTGAATATGAACGACTTCCTTCTTTGAGTACCGGGGCATGTGCAAGAGGAGCGTGGCCTTCATGTCCGCGCAGCAAATACTCCGTAGAAAGCCTTCACAATTGTCGAGGCCAGTGTTGAGAGCCTCGGATGAGCCAAAGCAGCAGACGGACCGACCTTTGGATGGGGAGTTGCTACGGAGTATTTGTGGCGGACCAGCTACCGCGCCCAAAGTCGCACCTTAGGGCCTTCACCGATCCTTCAATTGCCCGCTGTAAAAATGAAGATTCCAGGTTGACATGATGCGTCAATCGCAAGTTCGACCTGAGTACCTGTCATCTGGTACGTCGAACACTTGCAAAATGTTATGCCAACGGTGATACCACCTATTCATTTGTGTTTATTTTTTGGTCGTTTTGGGACTCGGGAATCGAATCCTTGGTCTGGCCTCCCCGCAGCTGCATTCTACGTCAGTACAGTATCGCAGGATTAACGCACTCTTGAGAATCAGCCAAAGTGTTGTGCGGACACGCTTTACGAGATGGGTAAACAACCAGCTGTGATATTCATTGCCAGGTATCATATAACGTCCTTCTTAATATCGGCCTTTTGCTAACCCTGTGTCCGCAGGCACGGTGCACGTCTTGATCAAGCAGACAGGAAATGGACTGCCACCGCCGAAGCGCCTTATGACCCTCCCCTATCGTACGGTGGTTGGATACAGTGTCAATCGCTAGGCGTGAGGATCAGCAATGAGCTGTACAACCTCGACAAGCAGGCGAAGGCCTCGGGTGAGAATAAAGATGATGCTGGTCAAGAGCATCCCCGGAAGAAGCGAAAGATTATCATCCACAGCTCTCCGTATCTGCGATGCGTCCAAACCTCGATCGCGATCGCAGCCGGCATACAACACCCCCAGAACCATAACAGACCACAGCCACAGCGCCTGCGATCACGTCAACTTTCTAACCTCTCCCCGACAGACGAAGAGCCGGACAATAAGTCGGATGCCAAAGATGTCAGTCGATCCTCCCTGGAGCGCGTCACGAGCAAGGACAAGGAACACACAAATCGCATTGGATACAATACTTGCATCCTGCGCATTGATGCTTTTCTCGGCGAGTGGCAATCTGCCAACTATTACCACGAGGCTTCATATCCGCCGCCTTCTGCTGTTCTCGTCTCCCAGGCAAAGATGGCACTCAAGATACCACAAGAAGAAATCAAAGGTGCCGATCTGTCGACGTCTGTCAACTTCAATCTGCCCGACATTGATGTTATGGAAGAGAAAGAAAATGAATCAACAACAATGGCAGCACATGAGAAGACGGGTTTGCGGGCAATGGCGGCCGCCGGTCATTCTTTCCCCAAGCGGCCGAGGAACATCTCCTTTGGGACCGAGCTTGCGAATGGTGCCAGAATTTTGAACAAGGCTTTGCAGCGACCATTGGGCTACAGTCCGCCAGTGCCAAATTATGCAATTGGCTCTTCCGACAACATCCCGCCAGGCTTTGCCGCACACGCCCGGGATGCATGCATCGAATTTGATGCTAGCTGGGATAGTCAGGGTGAACCTCTTGATTGGGGCGATGGTGGTCCGAACGATGAGGAATGGGGCAAGATGCATCGAAGATTCCGCAATGGATTGCAGAAACTGATCGCATACTACGAAAATCAAGCGGATACATCGAATGGGGATGCCGAGGGATTGGTAATAATCTTGGTTTCCCATCAAGCTGGCTGCAATGCCCTCATCAGACTCCTGACTGGAGCACCCGCTCTGATTGATGTTGGCCTGTCGTCGTTATCCATGGCTGTTAGAAAGAAAAATGAACGCCCAGATCTAGAGCCGCCATCTCCAACTCGTCGAAGAGGCTCTATTGACACGAGCATCTCCGAGGACTATGACATGAGGATTATAGCCTCCACAGAACATCTCCGTGCCGGATCGAACCCTCTGGGTCTCAACTCACCCCGACTTGGAAAGTCACCTGCTTTCGCAAGTCGTCGAGCTGTGGGTGCTGACTCACCGGATGGCTTCAGTCTCGGCGAACCCATGGCGCCTCGTGGGTCAGGGTCGATGATGCCAGCCCGAAGCTCAAGTCAGATAACGTACGGCGCAGATGCCATGGACCCATCCGAGCCCTCCACTGGTCTATGGCGAAGAGGTAGTCGTTACTCGAGAGACGAGACGGCAGACTCGAGCGAGGCAGGTGCGACACCTAGTGCGTGCAGCGGAACGAGGTCAGACAGTATCCAGGAGGAGTTTCCGTCAGTAGAAGTGAACGGAGCACAAGTTCATTCTGATACTGTGGGCAGTGAGCAAAGATCAGGCTCTCATCTACTACCCGTTCGTAGTGCGAGCCAGAGAGGTCTTTGGGGCGGTGAGTCGTCTATCAGAAGGGACAGGAGTCCTGGAAAGCGCCGTTGGACTGCTGTTGACAGGTCCCCTTGAAGTCCTATTGGGGTGCTGGGGCACGCCGCATTTCGTCAAGGTGAGAGTGAACACCTCAAAATGCCTCGACGAGGGCATTTACAATGCCCCGGTCTTGACTCTATTCTTGACTACTTGCTCACTTCACTTTTGGTTTTCTACCATTACTCCATCACTTCTTCCTCTCACTTGTCGGTCATTGTACTCCCACCACGAAGTCCCCGCCTCTTCTCAGACCTTCTCACTCTCGTCTTGCTTCGTATCGTTCCGTCATACACCAGACTTGCTTGTCCCCCAGTACGTTCTACTCACTGTCGCAAATGACCAGCGCCACATCGGCCCACCCCGATTTGGCAAAAATGGCAGGCTCGACAGGCTTTGCTCCTTGGTCGCCACCAGTTGTCCCACTCGGGACAGAAATCGTGACGGTGATCGTGGGTCCTGAAGAACACAGGTTCGGCGTCCATAAAGACTTGATCTGCGCGTCGTCGAAGTTCTTTAACAGCGCCTTCAACGGGGGTTACAAGGAGACCACTTCGGGAGAAATCGAGCTTCACGGCTTGGATGCAAAGCTCTTTGGCTTTTTCTATCGGTGGCTGTACTCCCCTGTGCGGAGAGTGGGCGAGGTAACCTATCAGCGAGCACAAGACGTTCAAGTCCAACCCGATGAACTACTCCTCCATATCTACCGTCTCGCAGAATACCTTATTGTGCCCGGCCTCCAACTCCTGGCTATCGAGCAACTCAAAGAGACGTTCTCCGCATGTGAACCCACGATCCCAAGCCGTGAGTTTATTTATCTCGTTTTTGAAGATGATCAACAAAAATTCATGCAATCCTACCTGGTCAAGCACATTGTCTTTTGGATATCGAAATCGGAAGACAAGGACGCCTGGGTCGAGCTCTTCGCAGTTCATCAAAAGATGGCGATGGGAATGGCTGTTGAATTTGCAACACTGGAGACTACACACGTCGATGCCCTCAAAGTCGTCCATCCTTCAAAAATACCTGACTTCGAATCCCATTTATTCCTGGATCTCCCAGCCCTACAAGCTGAAGCTCGCGGAAACGATGTTGTGTCGGTGGAATTTCCAGGTGGAAAAGTTTTGGGCAAGTCCCTACTGATCGCTGAAGGCGTACACTCACTAACATTGGCCAGCCCGGGCGAAGATCCTCGACCGTTTCAGACACCTCCTGCACGGCCCAGGATCGCCTGCTAGTGAGGATGAGTCAATGATAGGAGACCTAGCAACGTCACCGACAAGACGGATTTCATTGCGACTTCGTCACGATCGCAACCGCCACAGACGACGAACATGATCATCACAGATGATGACACACGCGAGAATGCTGGTCTATAAGGACTGAAGGAGCGACTAGCACCGGCCAAAAGTTGCAGCATGTGTGGAGATTGGATTGACAAAGAGCTGTCGGCAACAGGAATTGCTCGGAGTATCTTGACTTGGATATGTGCTTAGGGTTGTTGGCAAACCACGGTTGGAAGAGCCCAACATCAGGTCGAGCGTACCGAAAGAGTACCTGAAGGATCGATTGGCAACCGATGCAGAGCACGTTATCAGACATATAAGCAAGAGGTGAGCTGAACATCGAGAGCTGAACCGGAATTTTAGCTTGAGGCCGGACGGTGCAGGAGCAACGGGACTCAGTTGAAAACACAGTTCGCGAGGAGTTGTGACATGACTGTGAGGCGAGAGTGACCTGAAAAGCATATTGCTGAATACGAGTCTCACCAAGAGACGAAACTTGCACAGGGACTTTCACTTGTTCGGAAGCACTGACAAAATTCCGACCTCGCCCTTTACCTACTGGAGTAGATTCATTAGCACAATTAGCAGCCATCAGGAGGCGGGCGAGTCAGTGCCGCTCATGACAGTCGCCATCTATAGACCGGTCACCCTGCTTCAATCGGCGCGCGCATTTAAGTGACCTTGTTTATGAACTCCTCAATCTTGGGCACCACAATATCATAGGCCTCTTCAGGCAGATAGTGTCCATAACCCTCTCCCACGCCAACCCCCTCGTACTGAGACCCTTCACTGACCCACGCCTTCCAAACCCCCGCGACATCGATCCTCGCGCCGAGCTTGGCTTTGCTGAAGAAGACCAGCAGCGGCACGCCGACTTTCCGTCCCGCTTGCTGGTCCTCTTCCTGCTCGCTCGCCTCGGGTGCCGCTCCGGCAGCGTAGTCGAGCGCTGTATAATACAGCGTCTCCTTATTATCGAACAGCTCGGCATAAAGATCCACTGCGCCGTCCTTGCAGATCCGTTCCAGCGATTTCGGATTCGGGCCTGCGATTCGCGTATGCGCACTCCTCGCCCAATTGGCGCCACCATATGCAGAGATCATATCCGTGGCGAGCTGAGCGTTGGCGAGCAGGGGCCAGTGGAAATAACCTTGGGCGATGGCTGGGTCGGAGAACGCCGTCCATTGTTCCTTTGTGGGGACTATGTCGAGCAGGATCGTGCCGATGACAGTGAGGTTCAAGTCCTTGTACAGGTCGGGGGACTGTTGAGGTGGGTGGGAGAAGTCAACTGAGAGACGATGAGAAATCCTCGCGCCGCGGTCGTGGCCTCCTAGGATTACCTTGCGTGGTGCTGACGACGATTTTGTGCCGAAGACGGAAGCGAGAGATTCGAGCAGCGCGGTGCCAACCGAGCGTTTGGTATTGACCGTAGCGTCGCCGACAATGGGCGAGGAGATGCCGTACCCCGGGAGTTCCGGAACGAAGAGGGAGGCTTTGCCGTACAATAGAGGGACGACCTTTTCCATGTAAGTCTTGCAGCCTTCCAGCCGGGCCGATACTCAAGCAAAGGCTCTAAAGACGGAAGGGACTGACATATCGCCACTCATAAGCAGACTGAGGGTACCCATGGATCAGGGTCAAGATGGGCTTGTCAGGGCCGAGGTCGGATATGTAGCTGTAGACTTCTGAGCCAGATGATGTCTTTGTGACTTTGTGCTGCAGGTTCAGCGAAGAGAATAGAGATTGAGTCTTTGCTGCCGCCATGATTGCCGCCTGCCTTATGTCTGCTATGTGTTTGAGCTGGTTTGTTATGAAGAGGACAGCACTAGATCCGATGTGTCGGTGTGAATGATATACAGATTCTTACCTTGTCGCCCAGACGATAGAAAGTCCAAAGCGTCGGAAGGGCCTAATTATCACAATTACTAAACTACATCCATTGGTGAGCCTTACACGTAAATAGAACAAATCAACTGCCCCTCGGTAACTGTGCGGGACAAGTGAAGGTCAGTTCGAGGTCAGAAAGCAACAGCCACGGGTTGGTCACACGGTTACGGAGGACCAGCGGAAGGGACGGAAAGGGGGTCCGACCGTGTTTACGGTTACTCCGTACGGATCTGAAGAACTGTGTGGGGGGCTGAACGGCGGCAACAGAAGTGCAGGTGAGTTATGGGTGCCAGTTTCAGGGCGCGGGCAAGGCTGGCGCGTCGGGCCAGGGGCACCAAGCGAGCCAAACGCTGTCACTGCAGCCACACATCACCTGCACCTCACCGCGCATGCATCACGAACCATCCGATATTCATGTCGTGGTGCCAACAGAAGTACTTGCACCATCCTCGCGACATTTGAGCAAAAGTGTCGCACGTAGTCCTTGTCTCTAACATCGTATCGTCGTCGCGTCAACAACAATCCGCGATCCTGGTTGTTGTCCTTTCGACGACCCGCGCAGTCGGGCTGCTGCTACGCACAAGACTTGATGCTGTCACGTTGGCCCGATTGACAACGTCAAGTGTGCTTTGAACATGGCGTACGTTTTAACGGTCCATTGTCGCTGGGAGACGCGCTGATAATGGGATTCCAGCACATCTTCGTCGAGAGAGGGAGGGGGCAACAACATCAAAGGTTCGCGATCATGATCCATGCATATTTCGTTTTCTTGCCTGTTACTGACCTGGTCTCTCAGTTGTTGCCCGTTTCCGACCTCAGAACAAAGTCGAGAATGCCAATGGCGGTCAGCCCATCGTCCAGTTCACCGGCGACGACACGGTCCAGCTGCAGTCGTCCGAGACGAATGCGCCCTTTACCTTTGATCGAGTCTTTGACATGTCCTCCCAGCAAGCCGATATATTCGATTTCTCTATACGATCGACTGTGGAGGATGTCATGAACGGCTATAATGGAACCGTGTTCGCCTATGGGCAGACCGGCGCGGGAAAGTCATATACCATGATGGGAGACATGGATGATCCGGACAAGAAGGGCATCATTCCTCGCATAACAGAACAAATCTTCGACGCCATCCTCGTCCATGGCTCCGCGCAGGTCGAGTACACGGTCGGCATCTCGTACCTCGAAATCTACATGGAGCGAATACGCGATCTCCTAAACCCCGCCTTTGACAATTTGCCCATCAACGAAGGACCCAAGGGACCATATGTGAAAGGGTTGCGGGAAATCTACGTCAACACCGTCGAAGAGGTCTACACGGCTATGCACTTGGGCCAGCGATCAAGAGTTACAGCGTCCACAAATATGAACTTGGAGTCTTCACGGTCACACTCGATTTTCCTGGTCACGATCAACCAAAAAGACGTCAATACCGGCTCGCAGAAGAGCGGCATGCTGTACCTGGTCGACCTGGCAGGTTCAGAAAAGGTTGGCAAAACTGGCGCAAGTGGTCAGACGCTGGAAGAAGCAAAGAAGATCAATAAAAGTTTGAGCGCGCTCGGCATGGTCATCAACGCTCTTACAGACGGCAAATCGACTCACGTGCCATACCGAGATTCGAAATTGACAAGAATTCTGCAAGAAAGTTTGGGTGGTAACTCGAGAACAACACTCATCATAAATTGTTCGCCCAGCAGCTACAACGATGCGGAAACAGTCAGCACCTTGCGGTTCGGTATGCGTGCGAAGACCATCAAGAACAAGGCCAAGATCAATGCCGAATTGAGTCCCGCGGAGCTGAAGCGTCACCTCAAGATTGCTCAGAACCAGGCTATGACCTTTGAGAAGTACATTGCATCGCTCGATGCGGAAGTGCAGATGTGGAGAAAGGGCGAGACCGTGCCGAAAGAGAAATGGGTACCTCCTCTGAGTGGTGCAAGCCAGAAGACTGAAGCCAGGGCAAGGCCAGATACGCCTTCAAGAGCACCCTCAGACCTTCTCAGATCAGAGACACCCAGCAGACCAGACTCTCGGGCAGGAGAGAGGTCGAGTACGCCTAGTATCATACTCGAGAAGGACGAGCGCGAAGAATTTCTGCGGCGAGAAAATGAACTCCAAGACCAACTTACAGAGAAGGAAACACAGGCAGCCAACGCAGAGCGAAGTCTCCAAGAAGCAAGAGAAGAGCTCAAGTCATACAAGGAAGGCGCCATGCGAACGGCGAAGGAGAACGAGATCATGGCTGACAAGCTCAACAAGACACAACTCGAACTGCAGAAACTATCGTACCAGGGCAAAGAAGACGCCATCTCTATGGAAGGCCTAAAAGATGCGAACTCAGAGCTCGAGACAGAGTTGATCTCTGTCAAGCAACAACTTCTCGAGCTCAAGATGAGTGCCAGGGAAACAACGGCCGTTTTAGACGAGAAGGACCGCAAGAAGAAGGAAAAGATGGCCAGAATGATGGCAGGCTTTGACCTAGGTGACAACGCTTTTTCCGAGAACGAGAACCGTATGCGGGAGATGCTCGATCAAGTGGATGCGCTCCATGCCGCCAGCCTCAATGGCGAGAGCGTACCCAGCCACGTCTTGGAAGATCTGAGAGCCAAGTTGCTCGACTCGCAGACACTGGTCCGACAAGCCGAGAAGTCACTGACTGAACGAGCTGAAGACGACCGTGAGGATCGAACGATAGCACTTGAGGAGAAGCTGGCAGCCGTGCAACAAGACTATGAAGACTTGCTATCTGGCAAGCTGGGCGCCGATGACGTGGAGAGCGTCAAGGGACGACTAGAGCAGTTGTACTCCGATCGCAGGGACACTCAGAACGAACTCGTCCATGATCTCCGAGATCAGCTGACGCACAAATCGCAAGAGATGGAAAAGCTTCAGAAGACCATCACAGACCTCCAATCTCGAGCAGGAGCCAACGGAGCTGTGGCGAATGGGATTTCGGGCAAAACACTACAGCAACAGATCAGCGACTTTGAGTCGATGAAGAAGAATCTCATGCGTGACCTGCAGAATCGATGCGAGCGAGTGGTTGAGCTCGAAATCTCGCTCGACGAAACCCGAGAACAATACAACAACGTCCTCCGATCGAGTAACAACCGCCAGCAACAAAAGAAGATGGCGTTCTTGGAACGCAACCTCGAACAGCTTACCGTGGTGCAGCGGCAACTCGTGGATCAAAACACCAGTCTGAAGAAAGAAGTCGCCATCGCGGAGCGGAAGCTGATCGCACGAAATGAACGCATTTTGAGTCTTGAGAGCCTGTTGGCCGACAGCCAGGACAAACTGACAGCAGCAAACCACAGGTATGTCTCAGCCACATCGAGCGAGGCCAATCGCAAAACTAACTCTGGCGATAGATTCGAGGCACAGCTCGCGGCCGTCAGAGAACGTCTCGAGGCAGCCAAAGTTTCGTCCAGGAACATGGCAACAGGCGGTGCAGGCGCGACTGGTGGATTGAACAGCTTAATGAACGCAGGTGCTCGAATTGCCAAACCTCTGCGTGGCGGCGGTGGCGCGCCTGCCAACAGTGAAACCGCCAACGGAGGCCCGGGCCTACCGATTATCTCGAATCTCAGCGGATCAGACGGTGGCAGCAAAAGAGGCAGCTGGTTCTTCAACAACAGGTGACGCTCCGACACGTCCGAGCAGCGACTACTTTCTCGAGGGAACTGCACATTGGAATCCAGGCTTGGTTGGGGTAGGATGGCGCAGCACAGGACCCCGGTACTCACAGGCTCAGTGCGGATGTGGATGCGAATGCTTTGATTTGGCTGGATTGACTGACTGACGTTTATGCATCATGAGCGACGGCGACTTTCACTTCACTTCAACAAGGGTGCTCTTACAATTCGAGAATTTACAATGAGACACGCGTGGTAGACCAGACCAGGAAGATTCCCAGATTCCCCCTTTCTTCGACCCGAACCAAGAATGTACATTTACCGAAGAGCTGAGATACTGTTGTTTGCAGAAACTTGAGGCTCTTAATAGACTGAGATGCCATCTTCCTTGTATCATGGTACTGTATATTGGGTCCATTATCATCGAGTCAACGGCGGATCTAGGCCTGCGGCGTGATGGCGAAGAGCTTGTTAAAGACATTGCCTGGATCGTATTGCGCCTTTAGATGCTGTAGGCGCGGATAGTTCTCGCCGAAGATGTCTCGGGACTTTTCGTCGTATTCTGCAGGGGACGGACAGGTTAGCGAATGAATGCACAAGAACAGAACTCAGCACTCAGTACGAGGAGTAGTGCCGAGCCACAAGAACACCTGCAGGATACTTTGAGGATTGCACTCACGATCGTAATTCCCGTAAAGCATCGTCGCGCCTTTCTTGCCCCTGAGGCCAACCCCTCCATCAACACCCTTACCCGTCGCTTTGGCCTGATTCTCCAACTCGGTCTTGAACAGGCCAGTCATATCCCTGGCCCACTGGCGACATTGTTGGTCGTTCTCCTCCTTGGTCCACATCGGACAGACCATGCCGTTGAGATGCCATCCGCGGTTGGCGAAACTGCCGGCATCATGCGCGACGACCTGGCTGGGGTCGTACACTTCGAACAAGACCAGACTGACGCCCGTGTCGTCGTTGCCGTCGGTAAACTTGGCATACTCGGCCAGCACTTGCTCCACAAAGCCCGCGCGGATGGGCATCGTGTACGCCGTGCCCTTCATGCTGGCGCGAAGCCCGATCGGCGGCGCCAACAGCGTGTTGGTCACCGGGTAGGGCACCATGGCTGTGGTGTCGACCACGGGCCCGGCCTCGTACAGCGGCTTGTACAGCTCCTTGGCCTCCTGCTCCGTGCCAAAGTAGATGATCACGGCCATGAGCATGACTTTGCCCTCTGCAGGGGGCGGGCGGCCAAAAGCCACGCCGCCGGCACCCCGACCCGCGACCTTCGTCCGCCCCTCGCTGTTGGGCGTGTACAGGTCGTTCGTGGCGGCGACGACCTTCTCAATCACGTCCGGCGTGGGAGGGTAGATGAGCATCCCCGCGAAGACGTCGCCCTGGTCGTACGCCTTGAGGACAAACTCGGTGACGACGCCAAAGTTCTGCCCGGCGCCTTGGATGGCCCAGAACAGATCGGGGTCTGATTGCGGGCTGACTTTCTTGATCTCGCCACTAGCCAGCACGATGGTGCCTTCCACCCAGTTGTCGATGACGAGGCCCCGCTGGCCGGACAGCCACCCGTAACCGCCTCCCAGCGTCAGCCCGCCCACGCCCGTGTCTGCGACGGTGCCGCCGGGCGTGGCGAGCTTGTGCTGCGCCCCGACTTGGTCGACGTCCCCCCACGCGGCGCCGCCTTGGACGAAGAACAGTTTCTTGTCCGTGTCGACCGTCACGTTCCGCATCTTGGCGTTCAGGTCGATCAGGAGGCCGCCGTCCGTGCTGCTGACGCCGGCGGTGGAGTGCCCGCCACCCTTGACCGCGAGGTCGATGCCCTGGTCCGAGGCATATTTGACGACGATGGCGACTTCGTCCGCGGTGGTCGGCACGACGACCACGCCGGCTGGCTTCCGCGCCGCGCTGGACCAACGCGCGATCGACGCGGAGTACTCCGCGGAATTGTCGGGGGTGAGGACCGTGGCGTTTGTCGAGGACAGCAAGGACTTGAGAGTGGAGATGTCGTCGCTCGTGACGGTCCGTTTGGAGGATGGCGTGGTGATCGAGCCCATGGTTGCGAATGCCCTTGGAGACGTACAGTGCTGTACTATTTGGGCAATCTGGGACCGATGGTTCCAAGGGAGGATTAACCGGTAGACCGACCGGTCAGTCGAACTTGCTTGATAAGACTGTGTGAGCGCAGCAGGATCCTCTTTTGTCTATGGGGACTCTGGGTTTTGGCCTAGGGCGGAAGGACAACGACAACGACAACGAATGAGGCTCCCCGTCTATATACTTGTCAGCTCATTCTGTGCTCGGGCCGCGGTCGTATAGCCTTCTGACTCGGGAGTGGGGCAGGCAGTGGACACAGGGCAGGGTTGGACGAGATCCAACACGTACTCGGCACCGAGAGTAGCGAATGCGAGAAACGAGAGACACTGGAGGGAGAGTTCCCCAATACTGGCCAGCACCCCTCCTCTAGCATATCAGGCTAGAGCCATACTTACTTCACCTAAAGGCCCCAGGCCGCCCGGTGCCCAGCAATCCACAGCTGCGGCATCAGAATCTGAAGCCTTAAATCGAGGGCTACGATGGTCGCCTGTACGCTTAGGAACGACCGGACACGGCGTTGAATCTCACATGGGGGGATGATCAAGGCACATCATTGGGTGGGGATACAATCGTGTAATGCGTGTCTAGAGAGCTGACACGACAGTATGTTGGACCGCTGTAGCTGACATGTCTGGGGAGTTATGAATGAGTGACCGCTGAAACGAGGGTGAAGAGCCCGGAGATTCCCCACCTTGTCCACCTTGTCCACCCGCCTACAAGCACCTCCCCTCATGCTCACTCCACATTGCGATTTGACTTCGAGTTGATGGAGCCGCGTAAAGAGAAGGGCACTTGCTTATCGGATTCCTCGAGCTGGAATAATTTGATGCCTGAGTGCCAAGTACCAAGGCACTCTGGTATGAGGCCAAGGAATTGAGATCCTTCGAGTTCAGACTCGACAGCTAGGCTGCGGGGACTAGGCCTGGATCCGAATACGATTTTGAGTCGGCTTCGTCTCTTCGGCGGTACAAAGACTGTGAAATCGGGTAGGGCACGATATCTGTATGAAGCTTGAGCGAGAACGAGCTCCAAGATTCTTGAGCCCGGAACGTAACGCGGCCCAGATTCGAGAGAACCTCTGACCGTGTGAAGACGAGCTGTATCGGTGGCTCCCGACTTATGCCTGTGACTGACTGATGAGCCTGGCAGCAAAGCCAGGTTGTCTGTTGCTAGATCCTCTGAGCATTGATCGGGCCAGTTTCATGTGACCCCGCAGATGGCGAACTGATTCTCGACAAGGGTTTGAGGCCAGACTGTGCGGGAGGGCTTGGAGGGTTCATCGGGGATCGTGTCCTCGACTGGTGTAGCATGCATGCGCATCCAGCCCCATCCTCGCCTTCATCTTCGTCTCCATATTCCTCCTCGTCCTCTGCCAGTCATCCGCTTGGGACCAAAGACGTCGACCACGGAGCTAATTGCTGGTATCACGTTTGTGCAGTCAGGTATGCTGGCGCCCAAACAAGATGAGAGTCCAGGCGTCTAAAACAAGGAGACAGATGACCCAACGGTTTGCTAGAAGGTGATAAGAGAAGCCTGGTAGTTGTGGGAAATATGAAGCCTCAGCTGGAAACTATGCTGACTGCTGTCTCGTTACCTCTAGGACCTCGGACAAGAGGTACTATATTCCTCCGTCCTTGTGTCCGTTTCAGTCTCAATTGTAGTTATGCTTCATGGTGGCCAACAGACTCTTCTCATTGCCGCCTTGACTATCCTCCAGTTGAGGAATCCTTCCTTCTCGTTCAGCTCGGTCCACTGCCTCCGGGTCGTCCACATTTACGCCAGCAACTTCGGCTTCCACTTGTCGAATCGGACCTTTGAACCATTTCCTTGCCCACAGCGCCCAGCTGGCAAGGCACCAGAATGCGATGATGCCCACGGCGACAGGAGTGTAATTCAGCGTCTGTGAATTGACGGGGTTGAGCTCCGGCAGACAGAAAATGATGGTGATGAAGCCAATCCACAGACATGCGATGATTGCGACCGGTCTGGAGAACCATTTCAGGTTGAAAGGTCCATGAATGAAGCCTCCCGGGTTTATCAGGCCGATCAGGATGGGGAGACCATAAGACAGGTAGAGTCCAATAGTCGCGATCGAGGTGGCCGCCGAGAAAGCCACGGAGGATCCCAGACTGGGGACGGCCAGTAGGAACGATAGGAATGCAGCCAGCCAGATTGTCCGAATTGGGCTGCGGAAGCGGGCATCGACGCTGTGGAAGAAATGTGGGATGCCGCCGTCTCGTGCGAAACTGAACATCATGCGTGAATTCGAGGTCAGGCTGAAAAGGCCGCAGTGCCACACGCAGACAATAACCAGCACGAAGAGCACGATAGCGCCGGTCTTGCCAAACACGTCGACCAGGATTTGTAGCACTGGATTGCCATACTCGGGGGCAGCGGTGGCATCGAAATCCTGAATGCTGAAAAGAAGGCAGAGGATGAGGAACCAGCCAAAAACAGCAGAGCAGCCAATGGACATCAGTACACCCAAAGGCGCTGACCAGGATGCATTTTGTGTTTCTTCCGAGAGGTGAGCGCTGGGATCAGGTTAGTATAAGTCTGGAAGTTTCAGTTTGACGAGGCCACACAGACCTTGCGTCGAAGCCAGTGATGGTGTATTGCGACATCAGGATACCAATACAAGCAACATAGGCTGAAGAAGCTCGGACTGACCACCCTGGGTCACCAGTTCCGTCATAGAAGGTAGCGAATACGAATTTTGCCGACTGATGAGTGGGAGCCTTGGCCACTACCGCCACTGCGAAGGAGAAGACACCCAGGGAATGCAGGGTGATCGATGCGTTGTTCAGATAGCGCAAGATGTGTACGCCGAACGAGTTCACCATGCCGTGTGAGAATAGAAGTGCCGCGTAGATTCCTAATGTCTTGCCCGCTGTTGGCACGTAGCCATTGACAGTTGCCAGAGTAGAAATGAGCCCAGCACAACCGAAGGTGATGCCTGTCGTGACTGCTACTTGACCGAGCAGATTGTACCACCCTGTCACCCAGCTCGCGAACGGCGCCCATTTCTTCGGCGCCAGGATAGCAGCCCAGAAGTAGGGACCTCCTGCACTGGGGATGGCACTGACAATCTCTGCCATACCCAAACCGACAAACATGGTAAAGAACGAAACGACCAGCCAGCCGCAAGACATGACACCTGGGCCCCCAGTGTTGAGTCCATAGCTGAAGAGGGTGGTGATGCCAGTAATGACCGAGATGATACTGAACGAGACCCCGAAATTGTGAATCAAAGACCAATCGCGCTTCAATTCCTGTTTGTAGCCCAACTCTCGTAAACGCCCTTCATCCTTGGACATGCTGCGCGTAGCATTGCCGATGTGTTCGCGGTCAGCCATAGCTGCTTGTGTTGCTGAGACTCCGTGTCGACTCTCGTACAGCCTCACCAGCCTCAGGCAGCTAATGACGATGATGTAGTTTCGTGGGGAATGCGGGGTGAGCAGCTATGCCTTGCGTGGACGGTAGTGCCACGGACGAGCTCTCACAGATGATGAAGCTAGCTGCTGCAAGAGGGGAAAGCGTGCATCTTTATATCACCAGCCGAGAAGATAGCTACTGATATTAGCGTTACAGCAGGGAGTCGCCTGCTCGATAACAGACACACAAGGAAGAGCTCGATAGGCGAAAGATAATGACTAGACACCCTTGTCAAGCCCTGCCAAGCTCAAATAAGCGTTACCTGTTCCAGGCAGACCACCCGAGCCTTCAGGGAAGGTATCTCACAGGGCAGTCCCGTCATTCAACTTTACCAGAGGAAGAGATATCTTCTGGTCACGAGCCTCCTGTTTAACGTGCAGGAGCGCCACGTGTGCTTTCGATATACTTCCATGCTGGCGCCAACTGACTAAAGTGGGAAAACTTGTTTGGTCTGGAATGCAATGCTTCCTCCACGTCGGAGCGTGGGGCGTGCATTTAGCTTCACGAGCTTGTCTCAACTTGGCGATGGCCGGACTTCCCAAGCCTCGGTCACCACCAGAAGCTTACGCTGATGCCCACAGAGCAGCTCCGTACATAATGCCACCATCCGATCGGTATATATAGAGCTTGGCCAGCCTCGAGGACGCATTCCACGTAGGGTACTCGACTAATGCCAGGATACACATCGTCCCAATCTTCCAACGGCGACAGTTCCATGGCGGCCACGTCAATCTGTGACGTGTTAGACATGTCAATCGTGTCTTGTTCCTGTCCATCTGGATATAGGACGTCGCTCAGCTCTCCTAGGTCTTCTGGCGGCCGACTATGAGGAGCGGGCTCATCTCCCCGCTTCGGTAGTAGTGCCTTGCTGTGGTCTGGTGAGTACAATCTCACGTATTTCTTCCCGGCTACCTGGCACAGGATGTTGTGGTAAGGGTCATGGTGAAGTGGGGATATTGTCCATGCCGGTCCGAACCAGATGTGCATTTGTGGCTCAGCCTCGAGATCTGCTTCGTCGGCCGTGTCCCCCTCGCTTGAAGAGGAGCACGCCATGGAAGGAGTAGCGATAGGTTTGGTCGTCCGTTTTGCACTTTCCTTGGCCTTCGCCAAAGCAACCGGGGAACCAGCTTCAGCAGGAGGGGCGTCCAGGTAGCAATAGTCAGGGACTGCGATATCGTTCCGAAGGGCAGGAATTTGCTTGAATAGGTCGTGCTGTGCCAAGTAGCCCGTTTGTCCGCCATTTGCAGATTCGCTGTTAGGACCATGGTCGAATTGTCTTTGGATGTAATGGGTCAGAAATTCTCGAAACGGGACTACTTTCTGGCCCCAATCATCGTCAGTGTAGCTTCGGCCTACTTCGATTGGCACTAGGCGACGACCGCCTAAGGTGATCTCTAGCCAGAACGAAATACTTTTCCATTTATCCAGCGCTGGCCAGTGGCCCAGCACGTTCGTCAGAACAGCAGGTTCTCGTCTTTGCTGAATGTGCTTTGCAAACTCTGTAAGGGAAGGATGATCAAGTGTCTCAACGGGAAAGCCGAGGGATGGCACAGAGACGCTGTCGACAACAAAAGCGTCATTGGTTTCCTCGGCCAGGAAGCTTTTGTCGAGTCGCCGTCTCTTTGGCGGGCGCTCGTCGACATCAGCCGCACCTCGGACGATAGTCTGGAGTTCGGCTAGAATACCATGAATCAAGTCTTGGCGGCCGAGTCCTCCAGCCATGATGAGGGCCATGTCTAGAATAGAAACGATCTCGTCAAGGTGACCATCCAGACGATAGCCACCTACAGGATCATCCTCCGGAGAAGAATCGAGCCCAACCAACTTCAGCACTTTAGCAACGCTGGCATCAGTATACAGCCGGAACCAACATGTCTTTACGTCCTTGAAGGGGAAGATATGCAGCTTTTTGTCCGCCAAGTCGAGGAAGTGATCTGGCTTATCGAGGATTTTACACGCATCGACGCCATCGGGAAAACACTGGTGGATGGCATCGTGAAAAGGCACTTCCTCCAAGTCGGCTCTTACGGACTGCCAGTAGGCAATACCACGCTCTTGAAGCATCAGAAGCAAGATGTGTGGGTGATTACGAAATGAGAAATGGCTGAGATCGTTCTCAGTTTGAAGTGAGCGATGCGGACAAATGCAGTGATTGGCTGGGTCGATCGCGGATGGAGGTCTGATGTGGATGGCTGGGCTTGGCAAGTTGTGAAAGTGAGGCAAGAGTCCAACTCGCCCGTCTGTATCGTTCTTTCCTCGCCTGCGCTTTTCACACTGTGTCTCAGACACAGCTCGGCCTTTTTCTTTTTCTCGATCTGATCTCAGTCGGCAAATTGATCTGCGCTCGTGTGAGGGTACCGCTCGTCCTGCGCGTAATCGTGCCTTGGATCCAGTCCTTTACAAGGTCAAGAATCCACCTGCGACCAGCCTCCGGTCTTGGGGTTGAGGCTTCGAATTGGACTGTCTGGCTGCGCTTGTCCCCGATATACCTTTGCGAACTTAGCTGGATCCTCATCTGGACTCCTTCCGAGACAGCAGTCAACCATGGCTGATGTATCTTCTACCCGGCTCTACCTGGGCAATCTACCGCGCAACAGTATGCATACCTTGCTCTGACATCCTTCTTTTGGTCTCCCTGGACAATGTTGCACTCTTGGAGGATACTCAAACACTGCTTCCGGGATTCACTTGCTGCTCTCTGGGGACGCGCCGCCAGCTGACTCGCACCTTTCTTCACCTCCAGTCACGAAACAGGACATCGAGGAGCACTTTGGCACCCATGGCGCCGGCACCATCAAGGAAATCAAGCTCATGAATGGCTTCGGTTTCATTGAATATGAGGATGCCATGGACGCTCGGGACGTTGTTCCAGGCAAGTTCTTGACTCTCCAACACCATTCTCTATGCTAACGCTTTCCCAGCCTTCCGTATGATCATCCTACCGCCCTTACCCCTCCGTGCGGTCCTCCCTGACAAGCTCAATAGATGGAACCGAGTTCAAAGGCGAACGATTGACTGTTCAGTTCGCTCGAGGACCGCGCCGAAAGGATGATTTTGCAGGTCCCTCCGACCGCAACATCCCTCGGCCTCGTCGCACAATCTACCGCATGCAAATCACTGGTCTTCAGCCGGATACTAGTTGGCAGGTCAGCGAACCCCTTGTGCCATACCCATGATACGTTCTGGATAGAGACGTCCCCAGACGAAGCGGGCTCTGTCTGCGGCCTGTGGTTTTGTTGTCCCGGGTTCTGGATTTCCTTCGTACTCGTACCAGGCCAGTGGAGCGGACGCCTGTTCCCGAGGCGCCAGCGTTGCGAAAAGCTTCGCCGCGATCCATCTCGTCTCCCCACCCGCTGTTCTCCCTGCTGTAACGGGCTTTGGACTGTGCTCACCAGATACCAGGATCTCAAAGATTTCGCCCGAAACTCTGGTCAACTGGATGTCGTCTATTCCGAAACTGGCCGTGACCGCGATGGCAAAGGGTAACTACTACTCTCTTCCCCGGTTTATTGACCTGTACTCACATTTGCCAAGGTTTGTGGAATTTGAAACCGCAGCCGACCTCAAAACCGCGGTGGAGAAGCTAGATGGACAAACTTTCAAAGGAGCGACTGTCCATTGCTCTGCCGATGTAAGTTTCCACCGTTGGCATTATCTGGTACTTTCTAAGTTATCTGCAGATTCAGGATGAGAAACCTGATGCACGGAGCTACCGCCAGCGATCCCCGCCAAGAGGCCGCTACGGACCACCAGATGACGATCGTCGGCCTCCTCCTCGCGGATGGAGCCCTCGAGGTTATGGGCGAGAACGCTCGCCTGGACGTCGCCCTCCGGTTGATGACTATTATGATCGAGGTTACGGCAGACGCAGCCCACCTCCCCGTGACTATGGACCGCCACCACCACGAAGGTATGATGCCGACCCATATGATCCTCGAGGACCACCCCCACCACCGGTTCGAGGCTACGGAGACCCATACGCTCGAGGTGACCCCTACGGTCGACCGAGAAGCCCACCTCGCTACGGTTATGCTGGCGGCTATGGTTACGATGATCGGCGATACTAGAATGGTTACTACCGTCCACTGGCCGCCGACACCCACCCAGGCTCGACTGACTGGACATTCTGTCGACTACTTGAAGCGCTGGAGCTGCGCTGGCGATGCCGAGACTGAGGAGGACCCCCATGGCATTGCTGAACACAAACTTGCTCTTGATCTTACTTGGAGCCCTCTTCGCGACTACCGCGCACAAAATTGTCATAACAATGTTTCTTCGGTGTAATGCATGCTGCAACTCCACAGGGTGTACTATGGAAGGGATTCCAAAGCTGGTTTGGTTCGATTCTAGGAGGACGGCTACTGCAGTTGGCAGAGAGACCCCATTGTTCAAATCCGGGATGACGGAGCGACGACGTACTAAAGTGCTTACAACCAAATATGCGAGTGCAACCGTTACTTTGGACCTTCTGTTCTCTGGCCCTCATGTTCTCTGGCCCTCACAGATTGGAAGCATATTCCCGTGCCAAAACAAACTTGTGGCCTTTAGAACTGGAGCTGGCCCGGGACTACCTCACCCTCTAACATGACACCCCCAAATGTCAGAGCGAACCGGCACTGGTAGGATGATCCGGTGTCGCAGTGGTAAGGTTGACAGTTTCATTTGATCTAACTCCGAGCTTGAGACGGTTGATTGTAGACCAGCACGGAAGTAGTCTCGCTAGACGCTTTTGGTGGGAGGGCGCTGGGGACCTACTGCTCTGACGACCGCTCCCGAACTCGGTCCGCTTCAAAAAGTGGGGGCCATGAACAGTAGGTTGGCTCGCATAGCCAGTGTCGAGATCGGTTGAACCCACGCTTCCCTGTGAAGGTTATCGAAGTCGCCGTGAGTCATTATAAGACGGTGCCACCAAGTCCAGTACCACACCTCAGCAACGAGGAACTGCTCCTGGTGCGCTTCACCACACACTGGCGCCGGCGAACACCATATATGTGCCACGTCAGCCTCGCTCGAGGTTCAGATGGCCGCTTGACGTAGCAAAGGATGCCTTTGATGTTGCAGGCATCCGAGGATATAGAATGTCTGTGGGTCATCCCCGACCATCAGCATAGCCTACTCTTGGCCAATTCCTCTCTGAGATCCTCAGCAGCTAAGTCGAGCCTGCACGTACAGCGTTGTCTGTTCCATATTTGAGAGCAAGCTGTAGCATTGGAAGGGGCGTAATGAACTCATTGAGCCCTATCAACGTGGTTCGGCGTACTTCCTGGAGCTGAGATATTCTAATATATATTCTGCATTCCACATACATACACACGTTCATGTTCATGTTCGCATTCACGTCATAGCACGTTAGTTGGTCGTTTCACACCACTTTTCGCTACTGGGTTTAGTGGCGTATTCATTCAGGTCCGGCGGCCGAAGAATTTCTTGCGCAAGCCCTGAGATCTGCTGATCTCTTTCAACTTGGCCGGGTCTGTAGGGACGTCTCGTTCGCGGTCTTTCTGCTTGCCCTTGGTTTCGGGGGTAGAGGCGGCAGTGTTGGGCCGTGACCGACTCGCTTGTGCTGCTGGTAACGATGCTTGCTCCAAAGTTGGACCTGATACCAGGGGAGGCGACGGTCGCACGGGCAGGGCGGTCAGCCCTGGGGAGCTTAACTGGCGCTGGCGTTGGGGCTGCTGTTGCTGTGGTTGTTGTTGCCGTGCGTGATTGCGCTGTGGTGAGGCTATGTGTTGGTGGACCTGTACGGCGGGTGTGGATATAGGATATGTTCCCATTCCCGTGAAAGAAGTGGGGATCGGGGCGTTCTCGCTGCCTGTGGGACGATGACCTCTCGCTGCTGCGGAGGACTCAGCGCTCCTGACGGTAGCAGGACTCACTGGGGTCGCTACCGCTCTTCTTGGGCCACCTCGATCGGGGTTCTGTGGCTGCTGCTGCTGCTGCTTGAAGCCCCGGACATCCTCCACCTCCACCTCTTCGTCTTCAGACTCGTAATCATATTCGTACTCGCACTCGTCCCCGTCCTCGTCCTCGTCCTCGTCGTCCACCTCCTCAACGAACCGCTCCGGATCCCCGTTGTACACCACCCACCATCCGATCTTCTCACCCTCGGCTATCTTGTCGCGCAGGTCGGCGAGCGCTTCCCAGGCTTTATTCGTCAGCCCGGGCCCATCGGCAAGGACTTCTTCCACGTTGACGCTCAAGGCCGTGATATCCGCAGGCGAGTTGAACGGCGCGGACTTGGACATGGGCTGCGTTACCGAGCGGCCGGGGGTTCTGCCACGTGGCAGGCCAGGCGAGTCTGGCTGCTGCGCGGTTCCCGGTCCGCCGTTCATCCCATCACGCATGCCCGCCGGACTGGCCGCGGCGATGACGACGACCTTGTCCCCCACGTACGCGTACGGCTGGCTGACAGCGTACGGCCCGTCCACGTCCTCCGGGTTATACTGTTCGATGAACTCTAATCTTCTGCCGCCTTTGGTGCCTGCCATCCCAGGCTGCATGTATACTTCGCTGTCCGGGTCCGAGTGGTCCAGCTCTTTCATGATCTCCGGGTACGCCGTGCGGAAGGAGCGCAGCAGGTCACGCCGCGAGTTGGCGTTCTGGATGTACTCGACGCTGACGTCGTCGAGGTTGTTGATCACGGCGTGGACGCGGATGCCCGTGAAGCCTTCGCGCGGCCAGCGGAAGCCGTGGACCAAGTAGACGGGCATGGCGGGCGCGGGACGGGGATCGTGCGAATGCGAAGGTGAAGGCACCGCAGATCGGTCACTGCAATGCCAACGCAATGCAACGCGATCGTCCCTCGTGGGTAGAGGATGTGGCCACAGATATGGATATGGATAGGTATGTATATCGGTACTCGTATGTGAATATGGTCTTCAGCTCGGCGCCGCGGTTAGCAAGCTAGCTAGCTGTTCACGAACACGTCCGCACGCCGCGATATACCAGTACCAAGATATGGATATGAAACCGCTTGTGGTAGAAGCATGTTCGAGGGCGCTCAAGAAGACAGCAGGAGAGCACACGTTTGGGATCTTTTCTTCTCCCTTGGAGGTCCGTGAGGGAAAATTTCCCCCCGGAAGCGCCCAGCTACGTCCTGGAGGCGGCTCTTTGTGCAACCACAGGGCAGACGGGTACGCGTGCTCCGTATGGACTGGACCTGTCTAATTATGGCACGTTTTCTAGAACTGACATCAATTAAGCGAAAGGCGAGCGAGCGAGCAAGCGAGCAAGCTGCAGCTGCAGCTGCTGTTGGGGAAAAGGCCTGCGGGCTGCGGGGCTTTTTCCCACGTGGTGCATAAGCAAAATTCCCGATCAAATGAATTGCTCGCTCGCTTCTGCGCTCTAGCATATGGTGTACAGTACTGTGGAATCACGGCCTGCGGTTGGTTACGAGGTATCGAAGTAGCAGGTAGGCTTGCCAGGTTGCATATCTGGTGTACTCTACTCGTCCTATCCGCATGCATGGCCAAGGCTGCTAGATGTTGCTAACTGTTTACAATATTGGGATGGGGTGGGCTTGAGAGTCATCGATTCTAATGATATTGATCTGCGGGACGTCTTACGGGTACAGAGTAGGACGAGCGCAAGCAGGGCTGGAGAAGAGGTGGGAAACCGCAGCCTGAATATCTTGTGCCAGCCGGTTTCCTCTCACATATATTCATGCCCCTGCAATGCACTCCCAAATTGAACCCCTCGCGAGACCCTAGCAACCCAATCTACTGTGCCCCGTACTGAAAGCGTGCGACCCCTCACTGGAGGCGAGGATATCGACCTGAGACTCAAGAGGGATAGTCCAGCTGGCTTGCTGGTGGTGGTAACCACTATTCCACTCATTCGATCTCAGGAAGGTTGAATGCAGCTACCTTTTCAGGTTCAGAGGCCGAAGGGACTGTAATTACCGACTCCTCTCGTGGTATTTGTCCCAGCTCTCCTCAAACGTGTCCTCATTCACGGCAAACTTCTTGATGTAATCCTTCTCCAGCTCGTGCGCTCTCTTACCAAGCAGCACGAGGCTATGCAGTGGAGGGCCTAGGTCAACGTCACATAGCTCCTTTAGAGTTCCACAGGCAAATTTTTGATCATCTGCTCCGACTCTGGCGCATCCAATGGCCAGGCTGTTTTCCGAGTATACGTTCTCTTGCTTCTCTTGTTCAATCTCCAGCATTTGCTGCGCGCATTGCGAGACCGTCATGTATCGAGGCGGCTCGTAGATCTTCCTTCCTCGCGCCATGTTCTCGAGTGATTGTTCTTTGACCTTGATGTCGAGGAGTAATAGTGTGTGTAGGCCAATCGAGCTGTTCTCGCGGATCCGGTCATAGAAACTGGCTGGTTTCCAGGTGTCGGTGAAGAAGACCATCGACACGGTTTGCCCAAAGTTGTACAGTTGCAGGCCTGTGGCACCAATGGCGTTGAGGATAGAGGCGTTGGGGATGGATTTGGTGGGTATCGACAGTTCTTGGGCGCGGAGGACGAGATCTGTGTGAGTGGTCGCACTGCAACACCGGTCAGAGACAAGGCAGGTTGTAGGGCCGGATATCAACGTACCCAAAAGGGTCACCGACGACCAGGAATGCAATGTCATCTTTGTCGGCGCCGTCCAGGATCTCGTCGCTGGCGGACTCGACCATTTCACGGTCCGCTACGATCACGGGTCGTCCATAGAATGACTCCTACCTTGACTGTCAGATGATGATCATGTCAGCAAGATATGCGGTGAAGGGCAAGAATGTCTCGTCATACCAGTCTCTCTCTGCCGACATGTAGAATGCTGGTGTACGCTTCGAGATAGACTCTCTCGGCGCGCTTCACCACCTCGAGGCCTTTCACAGTGATGTCGGTCTCATCGGCGAGACCGAGTCCCACGAGGTAGAGCATCTTTACCGGTTGCCGTGAAGATAGACCCAGAAGTGACAGCAACAGTCGACGGCGGGGGTTTTGAGGTGAAAGAAGCATTCAACGGGGACGAATATTTGGTGGGTCGACGGTCATTCATTCGGGTAAACGTCGCGAGAGTCGGTCATCTCTGACAAACGGCGACTGCCTCAGCTGGACTGATCGCGTTCCATCAACCACTGTGCGAGTCTATCTGTATATTATCGTCATTGTTGGGTGTTGGCTTGCAACGTTCCCATATCCATATCCAGGGGTTGAAGAAAGTCACAGCCACCAGACGGCCGCTAGTCGGTGGAACTGTCAAGATGGCAGCAGAGAGGCCGGCAAAGTACAGGCAGGAGATCCAGCAGGTGAGAGCACCTTTCATTGCTATCGCTTTCCACTGTGATTTGTATGGTTTCTGGCGTTTATGAAGGCCGACAAGCCCTGGTATTGGAATCTTATGTCCGGCCCAAACGCAATCAGAGCCACCTTAGTACCACCCTTTGGCTGCTTCAGAAGCACCCAGGCATGACACCACAAGCGAATTGGAATGACATCTGGATCGTGTCTCGTAGATGGAACAGACACTGTACCGATTATCTGTCTGCCGGATATTGGAGACCAATTCAGTTCGCTCTTTTGCGGATACTGTATGCCTTTCACAAACCGCTGGCAATATCCCATCTGCCAGACCCGCACCCGCGAGACAGCAGACCGCAGACCGCTTTGTATATACCAAAATGGCATCAACGGGCTTCAGGGCTGAAATCCCAGAACCCAACTCATGCGACATACCACTTTTGGATACCGAACACCAACATGGACAATCACAGTACTGGAGACCACCGAAGCCAAATTGCCAGGGCCTTGATTCTTGGTGGCAGCATACAAGAGTCTGCATCTGCTACAGCAACCGCATTCCGTGCCTACAGTCACGATGACGAAACCACAGACGATTTCAAGCAGAGACTAATCTACCTCCTCGAACAGATGATGTTCGTCAGCGGCGAAACAGCCGAACCCAGCCCCGAGACGACGTGGATGATCGAGGAGATCGTGCGAGAGCAGGTGATAGAAATGGTAAGCCCGTCAAGCACCTTGCATCCTGCGCAGCGACAGCGACTAACCCACGCAATCCCAGCTGACCCGAGCGACCATGCTCGCCAACCGGCGTGGCTCCCGGTCCATCTCCATAGGCGACCTGATCTTCCAGATCCGGCACGACCGGGCCAAAGTGTCGCGGCTCAAGACGTTCCTCTCGTGGAAGGACGTGCGCAAGAACGTCAAGGACTCGGACGACAAAGGCGGCGGAGATGCCGGCGACGTCGGCGACTTCGAAGAGGTAAGACAAGAAGTGCCCCTGCCTGGTCAGTGTCCATCGCTAACTCGACAAAAGGCCTCCGGCGGCGTCAACCCGGCAGCTCCACCAAAAACCAGCGCCGCGAAGAAAGCCAAGCTCGTGCTCCCGTGGGAGATCCACTCGTTCTACGCCGAGCAGGTCCCCGAGCGGGACGACGAAGAGGACGAAGAAGAAGAGGAACAGAATGAAGCCACGCTAGCCCGCCTGGCCTCCGCGGACGAACGCACCAAGAACATGACGAGGGAGGAGTACGTCTACTGGAGCGACTGCCGGCAAGCGAGCTTCACGTTCCGCAAGAGCAAGCGGTTCCGCGAGTGGGCCGGCTTCGCGACCATCCTGGACAGCAAACCCAACGACGACGTCGTCGACATTTTGGGGTTTCTGACGTTTGAGATAGTCCAGACGCTCACGGAGGAGGCCCTCAAGGTGAAAGCCGCAGAGGATGCGGCCAACCGCAAACTCAACGGTGGCAGGCCCGGCGAGGAGGCGAGCAAGAAACGCAAGCGCGAAGGGTGCAGTCTGTTTGAGATGCCCGAGGAGGGGCGCACGCCCGTCGAGCCCAAACATGTGAGAGAGGCGTTTCGGCGGCTGCAGGTCGTGCCGACAAGGTATAAGTTCATGAGGCAGGGGTTTGCGGGTATGAGGACGCCGTTGAGGTTGATCTAGAGCGAGCGAGAGCGCGCGCGAGAGAGGGAGGGAGGGAGGGAGGGAGAGAGATATTGTCCGCAGCGGAGGCGGGGCGAAAACGGAGTTTTGTTTCGATATGTTTGGAACGGTCTCGGGATATGAACGATGATATGGCGCGAGCGATAGGTGTTTGGTGTTCAGGCGTCACCTCGAGCATGATATGATACCCTTGTTGGCAGAAAATCAGTCTGCAGATGACGTGACTGGGCGGATAGGGTTTCTGGTAGGGTATGATACCCCTGTTGGCAAGAAATCAATCTGCAGATGACTTGACTGGGCGCATAGGGTGTTCGTTAAGACTACTATGCTATGTACGACGTATGGCTATTTCGATGTTGGAGACAATGCTTACGGTTTATGGGATTGCTGCTATATTTACGAACTCGCTTGGATCGCTCGATACGCGAACCGTAGATGCGCAGCCGTGCAGGGATCTGATTGTAGAACTGGTCAAGTGTTGAGATGGCGGACGTGGTGAAAGGGACATGCAGGTTGTAGTACGACGGAGCGGGATCAGAATTGTTGGGTCACGACATAGCCGTACAGGATTACGAAGGTCTTGTATCTCTTCCACGAGACGTTTGCATATCCCCGGACTCCTGGGCCTGAGCCAGACTTGCTGAGGTTGAAGCACAGGCATTCCCATCGGCGTCTCCGAGTTGACTATCGTGGGAGACAAAACAGCGCATATGCGCACACGCCGTCCTATGGGGATCCGCAATGGGCAGGGATATGACCTACTATGGGCGGGAACTTCAAGAAGCCAGGTTGATGAATTTATATAGCTGGCAAGGTAAACTAACAAGACGGTACTCGTACCAGAGCTCTGGTCAACGGCTTGAAGTAGAAGTTTCCCACCTCCTGCTTGCGCATAGTCGAGCCCTACGAGGAAGTAATTAACCCAGCAACAGCTTAACATTTCGAGAAGCCAACCTCCGAGCTAATACCTACACTCGGACCTCGCCTAAAGAGAATGAAAATCTTGAAGCCTCAAGACTCCCTTCCGTTGTAGCATTGCATTGCCCAGGTGAATTATCACGCCGTAGCTACCAGTCTCGTACTGGCATTCCCGAACACCGAGCTCTACCCCGGCTTCCTGATGATCGCCTAGCTCTCGGAGTGTCAAAATTCCGCGTTGATTTGAGCCCTCCGTATCCCAGAAGCCGCTCTCTTTCTTGGTATCGGAGGTGGATATGCCCGAAATGCCAGCAGCGAAACCGAACGACTTTGTGAAAATGGAAAGGATGTAAAAGCCGTCGCTGAAAAGGTACAGGGAGATCGTCTCGTGGCGCGAGACCCGCGCGTAGGTGCTGGTGGAGCTCTCTGACCCGGACTTGGAATAGAACCCGACGAGTGCATGCGACGCAACGTTGGTTGTGTCAAGCGGGAGGAAGCGGATACTGCGTGCGATTGAGTTGACCGTGGCTCGCATCGCGTTTGCGTCTGCACCGGGACTGTTGCCACAGAGATAGACGCCATTGTTGTGGGCGCTGGAATTGAGGATAACTGAGTATATAGTGTTAAAGTTCTCGCTCCTGTGGCAGCTGCTTGTCGCTGTGATGCCCGGCGACGAAAGTGCCAGAGGCTGTGCACTTGACACCAGGGTCAAGGTCATGCCACCATTGTTTACCCAGGTCTGGCTCTGTCGTGCCCGATGCTCGTTGACCCCGGCGTGGGAGTATATCACGTTGATAGAGATGTGGAATGACAAATTGGCCCGACCGGAGGGGACAGTCATTACCCTGTTGGCTGGTCCGGAAACTCCAGCCACAATGGTGTGATTGGCAGGCAAGGATGCTGTCACTCCTATTATGGGAAAGTTGTACGATCTCCATCCAGCAGGAGTGGACGTCCTTGCTATGCCAGACATTGTAGTGTCCATCCGAGGCGAGGGGCTCGGTGTTGATGTAGCACGGTATGTCGCAGGGTCGAGTATTCTGAGCAACGTGGCAGCCATTTCTGCGGCTTCTTCTTCCGAAGGTCGATCAGTGGTATTTGTGAACCGCGAAGAATCATCTGACTGCGAAGTTCGTGCGGCAGCGCTTTGTGCCTCAAGCCGTTCAGTCTGTAACCTTACTTCTTCAGCCACGGATGCGGCTCTTCTTTGTGACTCTGCAAGTGTGGCTCTTTCGTCTGCCTTCTCTGCCGCCTGCCTCAACGCTTCACCAACGAGAAACCCCAATCCTTTGAAGAGCGATGAAGTTCGCGAATGCGGCGCTGAGCTTGGACTGGCACCGGAAGCTGACGGATTCATTGTTCCGGTATTCAACGTGTGTAATGGCAGGCGAACGTGGAAATGTCGTACGCTGGTATCACGTCTTGTATAGACAAGAGAATGGGAATGATCGCTAGGTGGGCAAACTTACATGCCTGAATTGCCCCTAGACAGCTGAGAGGATACGCGGGTGATATAGTTTCGTAGACAGGGACATAGTCGCAGGCTCTTCATTAAATAAGGCACCATGACTGGCCTCCCAATGCGATGTCCAACGGGGCGATATACAAGTGTGCGATGCTCAGTAGAACCAGTAACGGGCAGGTCAGCTGAATAGAAAGACGGGGACCAAGCAGAGCTAGATGGAAAATGCCAGTGGGCAGGGCTATGTCAGTTCAACTTCCCGATTCCAAGAAGAGGCTGTGGTGCATCTGGCCCTACCAGCAAGCGAGGAGCCTCGTATTCTGCCGAAGTAGCTCATTGCCCAGAGTTGCTGAGTTCGTGTTCACTCTTGGTCTACAGGCACTTCCCACCTAGCACGGGAACTTCGGTCACCCAAGACAAGGTTGTTTGGGATATCGACGCTGCCTTACCACTGACATAGGTGATAATTAGGGGTCGACCGTGGCTGGTGGTTAAGGTTTCCTGAGGAAGAAAGGGAGCTAAGGTATCGGCAAGTAGTCAGTTCCAGGTTGATTCATCGACAGCATGGCGCATACTAGCCGCTACTTGTACACACGAGTATGGCGATACTGGGCGTATCGCAGGGCTGTCGCCATGAAGGATCAGGGGATGGAGCGGCGCTCGAGTAGGTGTCGAGACGGGAGCAAACCCACTACGTCATCGCCCACCACAAGGCTGCGTCGTAGCCTTGAGCCGCCCGCATGCAAAGAACGAGGCGAGGAGGCATCCGCCATCGGAGTCATATGGTTTCACGCGCAGCACCCAGACTGACTAAAACGATTATATGCCTCACAACCCCTTCATCTTTTCCCCCACGCAATTCATTCGCATTTTTGTGATCGTCAACATCACGACCTACATCACCGCCAAAGCCTACCTGAACGCTCAGTCGGCAGCCACTCAACCCCACTCCGCCACCGAGAACACCGCCTTTCAGAAGCCCGTCCCCTCGTCCTCGCCCACGACAATGGCGCCCAAGAACAAAGGCGAAAACACCAAGAAAGCCGCGGGCAACGCGCGAAAAGCCGAAGCCGCGGCCTCGAAACAAGCACAAGCCGACCGTGCCACCGAAGAGCGCGAATCCGAGAAATGGAACCAAGGCGCCAAAGACTCCTCCAAGAAGCAAGCCGCCGCAGCGAAGGCGGCGGAACAGGCGGCCAAAAAGGCCGAGCGGGACGCCATGTTGGCCGAGGAGGAGAAGAACCAGCCCAGCAAACCGAAGGGCGCGGGCAAGAAGACGGCCGAGAAGAAGAACGTGGGCCGGCCGCTGGATTTGGGACAGCTGGATGATGGTGGACCCTCGAGCGCGGAGGGGAAGATGAAGGCCATCAGCGCCACGGGGATTGATAATGCTCTGGACGCGCTGAGTCTGGCGACGGGTTCGGCGAACGACATGAAGCTGGATCGTCATCCGGAGAGGAGGTATGCGGCGGCGTACAAAGCGTACGAGGAGAGACGGTTACCCGAGGTGAAGACGGAGAATCCAGGCCTGAGGAGAAACCAGCAGATCGAGTTGATTAGGAAGGAGTTTGAGAGGTCGGAGGAGAATCCGTTCAACCAGCAGGGCAATGTGCGGTACGATGCCTCTAAAGAGGAGTTGGCCGATGCGAGGAGACAGCACAGAGAGGGCATCGAGAAGAGGCTCGGGGAGAAATGAGGGTAATATTCGTTCATGACTATGTGATGCTGAGCATCTGGAGCTTGGGGTGGCCGTGATCTTGGGCTAGAACCCTAGCGCTGCCACAAAGATAAAGAGCCACCTGTTGCTGCCGGATCGACACTGTGTGAGGGTCATGTACGGCTGTAAGGGTGCCATGTGCACCATCTCCAGCATTACAACGAGGCTATGAAGTACGAAAGAACATGACCATGAGGACTGGAATCGGGTTAATGGTCGGTGATGGAGCACCGGCCGTTGAGCTGGCGAGAGTAGATAATGAACCAGAGAGGATGGCCGGTACGCCTCCGTAGACCCAACGGTGATAGCATGTGCATCTAGAATGGCTGAGTATGAAATATATAGAATCGTCTCGTCTCATAATTTGACATAGACATTGGAGCCGAGAAGAAGACTGCTCGGCCTCGAGAGCTTATCACGACCAGTCCGACCCTTTTCCCATAACAGCAAACCCACAACAATAATGAGTCAGGTCCAGGCTTCTCAAGGGTTGGCACCAGCACATGCCACAAAATCATCCCCGCTCGCTCCATTATGCGTTATGACACCGGCGTAGGCACCATCCTCGTTGAAAATTACCCGATCAGCCCCTGGACTACCCCCAGAATAGACCTCGAAGTTGCTCAAGATCGGGAACTCATACCACGGGCCGCTGACGGGGAAATCAAAACCCTCATAGTTGTTATACTCATGAGGGTAGTCGCCAGAGCCCAATGTTTGGCCGGATTCGAGGAGACTGAAGCCCTTTGAGACGGCTTCGTCAATGTCTTCCTGCCAGTAACAGACGTTCGCGCAGGTCTCGACGCAGGATTGGCGCTTTGAGAAGGGACTGAGTTCACGAGGCCACAAGGATGGCGACGCTAGAGCCTTGCTTGAGGAGAAGCCCGGTGGGAGGGCTATGACGGGAGTCAGGACGATGAAGACACCAGCCAAAAACTGAAGTATGTTAGGCACCGAGACAGATATTGAGTATTGGCATTGACATACTTGTGAGAGCAGCATGATGGCTGAGTTGACTTGGACACAGGTCGACGGGGAACAAACACTCGAGGCTGATCCAGATTCACGGCAGAGTTCTTGCTCTGAACCCCTCTTCACAGATGCCTCTGGCTTGCTGCGTGCTGTGCAGCGACCATCGACTCGACCTCGTCCCATTTTATATTCGTCCAGAGTCCTCGGTGCCAACTCATGGTAGGGTACCCCACCTACTCACCTGCACACGTTGTAACACAAACACAATCCACACTGATCCCTGTAATCATGATTCCACATCGGCGCCGGCCGCCCACAGAGATGTAACATGGTTCTGCGCATACATCCAAAACACAGCATCCAGTCCTTCCTTGTCACGCTCGCCCGACTAGGATACCAGCAGGGAATGATCAATCCAGATCAACGTGCAACTCCGCAGATGGCAGAAGCAGGTACCCACGACTTCAAGATAGGCGAGATATGAATGGCTCATCCTGAGAGCTCATCCCGGACAGGCGGCTGCGGGAGCAGTAGAGCGTCCAAAACGAGACTGAACAGAGGTGTGATAGGGTGTACTGTGTAAACAAGCAATGCGCAAGCATCAAGCCAGCAACCTCCTGCCACAAAAAGTACTATTCTGCTGCACCTATCACGGCCCCGATGCTGAGCACGAAAGCCAAAGTCAGAGTCGAAAGTCTCTAAAGGCGCTGGGGGATCGACACATAGGCCCACGGTTTCCGGATGGTCTTGGCATGGTGATTGGTTGAAATGCCATCGGCCAGCAATAAGAAACGAGATTAGACGACCGAGGCTCACAGCTGCGTATGCATCAGTCACCGGTCTCCTTCCTATTCCGCCGCTGGCCGACAAACAACGACTCTGAACTTGAAGCCTTGTTCATGTTTCGTACTCCGTAGATGTAACATAAGCCGGTGAACAGCCTTCTCTTCGGGCCGGATCTGCCCTCGTGCATAAGAGTGTCCGAGTATGCTATCTGGCGTGTCGACTTCCGTGGCACGTAGACCGTGATAAGAGTGGTGCTTTGTTGTTTCCTTTTGTCAGCATGGAGGATTTCCCGTTACCTACTCTGCGGAGTCGGCGACAGATCCATCCAATACTGATGCTGAAGTCGAGCACGCAGAGCACGTTCGCTCGCCGTGTCTTGTCACGAACGCATGACTGTTCGCACATCCCAAACGCAGAGACGTTCGTCCCAACCACAACTGGCAGCCCACCCTTCGGACCCGAACAAGCACCAGTCGACCCCAGTCACAAACTCGGTATGTCTTCCCATACTGCCGAGTTCTCTGGCGGGGCCTCCTTGCTCGCCGCCGTCCGTCCAGACTCGACAGGTCATGTCGTAGCTGGCGCTGAGTAGCAGATCCGGGAGGTGTGGGCTCCATGCAACCTTCCGTACCGCGTAACCGTGACCTTGCAACAGCTGCAGCGGGCCCTTGGGCTGACGAATGTCGAACGTTCGAATGATTCTGTCAACACCACCCGTCGCGACGACTGTACCTCGATACTTGTTCCAATCATGAGTCAAGGCTTCCGCAGGTGGGAAGGTTGGTTGAATTTTCCCCATGCCAGCGCCGGCCGACAGCGGAGCGGCGTGTATCGGGATCTGCAATACAAGATGATTGCTTGCACTTGCGGGTGTCCTCAAATCCCACACCCGCAGATGGCTGTCTGAACATACAGCACTGAGCATGCCATCGTTGTGAGGATTCCATTGGACACTGTATGTGCACGAATGGGTAGGCAGTGTCAGCAGACTCTGCTGTCGTTCCGGATTCCATATCTTGACGGTGCCATCCCACGAAGAAGAGGCAAAGGTTGCCTTTGATGTGAGATTCCAGCTGCATGAAAAGGCTTCTCGAGAATGCTCTTCGAACTTTGCAATGGGGAACTCGGGAGCCAAGGACGTGTCATAGAGACGCAGCGCACCGTCACCAGAGGAGGTCAGGAGATGAAAGGAGTGTGCTTCAGAATGGGTTACGTCGTAAAGGGCGTCTTGTGTAGGGTAACTGGTGAATAGGTACAAGCAGTTAGCACAAGCTTCTTGCTGTGAAAGACCGGGTGAAATGTGAATATGAGCCAGTACACTTTGAGAGGTACAATGCCGTGCGAGGTCAGCTCCAGGACGAAGAGCCGCCCGTTGCCAACCAAGCCATAGTTTGCAGCTGCGGCGACGGCTATCCGATTGTCAAAGAATGGAGAATACTTGACTGAATAGCCTTGAAAGCCTTGGGTCCGGAACTCGAGCATGGCTGGTCCCGATCTTCACTCATTGCGCGGCGCTACCAAGGAGAGAGATCTCATCTATCCAAGCTCCTCAAGAAGACTCCGTACTGTGTATATGGTCGTGCCGACTATGTTGAAGCTGCAAAGGAGAGCAGAATGAGTACTGTACTCCGCAGGGCACTTTGTACTTTACGTTCTGCACTTTGGACTGGCGGGCCGAGGTTTCTTCCCCCGCCACCGTCACTTGGCTTCCTGCGCGTAAGTGACAGCGTGCAGACTCGCACCGCTGAGAAAGACCCTCTCCCTCATCCTAGGAATGTGCCCTACAGTGTCCAGACGCGATCCCGCAGCTACTGTGACGGTAGCATACGTCAAAACACAGATTATGGCTCCGAGTCGAGGCGAAACTCACCATGGACGCGTTCATCTCGAGGAAGAGGCGCCGCGAGTCGCCGCACCCGCCACCGCAGGCTGAATGCCCTGCACCACCAGCCGAGCAGGAAGAGGAGTCGACAGACATCAAGCTGGCGATGCTGTCATCGCTCCATCCAGGAAGATCGCAGGACGACTTGCTGGAGGTTCTACTGAGCTGCGATGGCTCAGTGGATGCCGCAATCGAAGCACTTTCCGCAGGTCACAAAGATGTTCCACCACCACCACTAAAGCGTCGACTCACCGCCACACCGGGCATGCAGAGCGCCTTGCCTTTCAAGTCCGGTAGCAAGAGTCCCTCAAAGACAGCAGCGGTGCAGCCGCTGACCCGCAAAGGCAAAACACTGCACCTGTACACGCCGGAAGATATCGCAAATCACACGCCCTGTTCGACCATTCACAACTTCCTGCCTCCGTACCTCGCCAATGCCCTTCTGGAAGAACTGCTTGCCGAGGTCCCGACCTACGAGTCCATCGAGTTCAGGATTTTTGAGAATGTGGTCAAGTCTCCTCACACGGCATGTTTCTACGTCGACAGCCTGGCGGACGTCCAGCGGCAGCGAAGCGAATACTACTACAACGGCAATGACCTTGGCGATATTCGACAGCTCCTGCCCGTCATGAGGCAAGTCAGCGACCTGGTGCGTGACGCAGTGAACAAAGAGATCGACATCCGCATCCGTGACTTCTACCCGGACGGCAAGAAGTTAAAGTATCAATCACCCGAGCCATGGCAGCCGAACGCTGCCTTCGTCAACTGTTACGATGGCGGAGCTCAACATGTGGGCTACCACTCCGATCAGCTCTCCTACCTCGGTCCCCGACCCATCATCGGGAGTCTCAGCCTGGGCGTGGCGAGAGAATTCCGCGTCCGAAAGATCGTGCCCAAGGATGACCCGACCGAGGCCGACAGTACGAGCACGACCCCCGCAGCCGATATTTCTGGACAGATCGCCATCCATCTCCCGCATAATTCTCTCCTCGTGATGCACGCCGAGATGCAAGAAGAATGGAAACACAGCATCGCCCCAGCCCTGAACATTACACCCCACCCGGTTGCGGGCAACAAACGCGTCAACATCACGTACCGCTGGTACCGCGAGGAGTTCCGCCCCAAATACACGCCAAAATGCAAATGTGGTCTCCCCGCCGTGCTAAAGACGGTACAGAAGCAGAAGGTCAACAGAGGCCGCTACATGTGGATGTGTCAGGTGGGGAGTAAACCCGGGGGAGGTGCAGGATGCGGCCATTTCGAGTGGGCGCAGTTTACCGACGACGGTGTGCCTGCAGGGTGGAAGGCCGTGGCGGACAAGGATAATCTTCAGGCAGAGACGGCACAGGCTAGGAAGGCCGTGGCGGACGAGATCAAGCTTTAGACGGAGATGGGACTGTTCCAGGATCGGAACTCGGGCTAACACGTCGAGAAGACAGGACCTTAAGAATGGACAGTGAGTGTCGAAGAGACGTTGCGGCTTCGGAAAGGCAGGACCTCAAGACATACAGTGAGTCTCGAAGACGCGTTGCGCCTGTTGAGAGCGTCAAGTCCGGTCGAGCCACGCGTCTATTAAGAACCATGTCCACGGTGGCCCTGAAAATGATACGCACAGGGCCTGGCCTGCCTCAGTTGTTGGTCCTGTATCTAGTGGAGTAGGAATTAGTACCAGCACCACCACCGGCACCACCAACGTAGTGGCATCTGAGAGCGACGAGGGCGATTAACAGAGCTACTGTACGGAGTATCCTCTATCCAAGCCCATGTCCCGCGAGGCGCTGAAAATGCTACGTACTGTACAGGGCCTGCGCCAGTCGTCGGTAGTGGGATGGAGAAGTAGAGGGCCAAGACCAGAAACACGGTACTGTACTGTTCAGATTAATTACAGTTGTGTACGGAGTATGTGAAAGATCAGTCCTGTCCCGGTGTTTTTCCTCATTGGCGGCGCCGTAGCGATGAGTGACCTAGTACTATGGCCCAGTGGTTTGAAAGAGAAACGGCAGGGGTAGTAGAAATGAGGTTATTACCAGCGACTCCATCCTCGTCAAATCACAGTCCCTGCGTATGTAAGTTCAGTCCAGCCCAGTGGCCCCAGTCCTCATTTGGGGCGGTCTAGCGATGAATGACCGACCGAGTACGAATGGATCAGCGATTGAAAGAGACACGGCAGGAGGCCAGGTTTTCCTTTGCCCACTATCCACCGGGTTATGTCGTAGGGTCCGCACGCTAGACAACGAGGCAGACATAAACCAAAAGCGACGACAGGCAGTGCATTTGGAATATCAATCAACCGAACTGAGTCGGGCTAATCACACCCAATCATCAGAAATATCCAAGCCAGGACAAGTCGCATCTCCGTTTGTTGCTTGGCTGTGGCGGCAACTCATGTTCCAATGGTACGTGAAGGAGATACACAACAGGACGGGTTTATTCTTCATTACGGCCACTCATAGCCAAGGCGGCCCCATCATTCCAGTCTCATCATATAGGCTGTTGGCCTCGTCATTTAGCCCAGAGTTTTCTCTCATGTGCCGCCATACCAAAGCGGCCTTGTCAATACTGTGTACGCTTCCCGGTTCTTCGTCGGCAATTCTCATATCCACTTCTCCGCCAGCAATAAGCCCCATTTCTGTGTTTTGCTATTCCACATTCTTCTTCTTCAACGACATCTTGCTGACCACTGCTCTCGCGCGGTGTAGGGACTTTCGGAATGTAGACGGCTTCTTTGGTGTTGACTGACTGTTTTGGGCGTGGTAGTAATGAGCATCGAGGTTAGCGAGGTCGATCTGCACGGAGCGAGGAATGGCGTCGCCAAAGACAAGCCGGAAGTCCTTGATTATTGTCATTGCCTCGTCGGCAGGAAAGTCGAAGTAGAGCCGACATGTTGGTTCTGTGATCGAGGTGAGGTGAAGGTAGCTGCCCGGGCCAGGGTTAAGTGCATGGATGATGGAGGTCGAGAGTGTCTTGGTAAGGGCGGTGATGGCGGAGGTGATCACCAGTGAGCCAACCTGGCAAGCAGCACGAGTTTCCAGCGTGGTGTTTTCAGGCAAGAAAGCGTGTCGGTATCTGACGATTGCGTGAACAAAGACAGGTTCGCTTTTCTTGCTGTCGATCTCGAGTGTCTGTAGGAATTGGTCGATCATTGCAAGCGAAGACCGCACGGAGCTGGACATTCTTGCCGCCAAATTGTTCTCTTTGAGGCTGATTTTGATCATCACGACCCAGCGGTCGTTGATTCGGAGGGTTTGGCAATGAGGAGCCCCGAATTCCCAAACCACGGTGGCGGGGCCTTCGATGTCAAAGGCGATGTGGAGGCCGTCCAGGTAGCCGGGGTCGTTGTCCAGTTGGTTGGCAAGAGGGCCGCGTTGCGAGAGGCGCTGTTGCTCTTGAAGGGCATTTTGAAGCCCACAAGTCACGTCGACGATGACATAGGCATAGGGCGCAAGCCCTATGTCCTCTCCGACCACAAACGCACTCATTGTCACCACTGGCACCGCGATCGCCGGCAGCCGCAATGGCGGCGGTTGCAGTGGATTAGGACGTTGATTGCCGCCAGCATCAACAGCGGCCATGTCGTGCTCTTGGTTAACCGATACCCGCCTGTAGTAATGAGATGAAGGGGGTGATGGCGGCGATGAAGTGAATGACGGAGGTCCGAATGACAAGCAACCTGAGGTGCTATTGCTGCTGCTGTGTCTGTGCCAAAGTGAAGAGAACGATCCTGAGAATGATCTAAAGGAAAATGTTTTGCTCTTCTCAGAAGCCACCCGCGACGAAATACTGCCGCTCTCTTTCAGGTTCGGATTCGTCAGCCTCAGCACCTTCGGTGTGACATCGACCTCTTCTTCCTCCATCATGGCTGCCGTGTTGGATGTTCTAATGGTGCCCGTGTATGAAGAAGACTGGCAAGTTTGTTGACCCTCTGAATTGTCCAATGCTGCTGCTAACGATGACCAAGCGTTGACAGCGTGATCGTAAGATGGTCGTCTCCAATATCTGTTGGCACAGCCAGGTCTCGCTGCAGATATCTTACTCGAGTACCAGTCTTTTTTCAATGAGTACCGACAGCTGCTCCATTGAGACGCCTGATATCGCAGCCCACGGTGTGCTTGATGCTTGTGTCCGCGAAGAACTTCTCAAGTGCCAAGTCAACCGGATCCGGGAAAAGAGGACCACAAGTAACCAAGAGAACTCCCACTACGAGGTCAATAATATTGAGGCGGACAAGAAGGAGCAGGACTGGAGGTACAAGCAGCCGTGGACTGTGCCTGATTTCAGTATATTCGGATCTGCTGGCTCAGGATCCTTGGGGTGATCATGCAGAACCCGCAGGGATCTCACTGAAAGGAGACCGTAGGTGGTCGCCCAGAAAGACGATGCCCTCGGGCCAGCAGGCGCGAAACCTGGAATATGAGGAACACTCGGTGTGTGGCTTGGTCTGAAGGTAGTACTCTTCCAGTTACCGGCTGTGGATTGTGCAGCACGGCCGAAGAGATTGAAACAGTCCAGCTAAAGACGATGACAGGGATATTCTTCTCGACAAGGTGGGTCCTTCTTCGAGGTGCACGGCTCAGTGATAAGAAAACCATAAGATTGTACAGGATGAGGCCTTTGTCTGGAAGCCAAAGCGTGCGGAGTATCCGGTGCAGTTACTAGGGTACAGAGAAGCCGAAGGACAGTCTGCGTCCGGAATCGATGATAAAGATCCTCAGGATTGTATATGGCAAGGCCGTCCTTGGGCTCTTGCTATGGATAGCAGCACGGGACGGAAGCCATGGCCATCGACGCCTAGGTGTTGGTGAACGGCAGGAGCGAGGACAAGGTGACCAGGAGGCCTTAGAGGCGGTTGCAGCCGGTGGCAAACATCGACTCTTCCGTGCAGTTCCAAATGCCATCATGGAGCAGGTATCGTGGTGTCCGAGATGCGTATTTGGCCGATCAGCTCGTCGAGCCGCTCCTCGCTCAACTTCGAGAAGCGAATTTGTCGGTCGGCAGCGGCAAGCATTCTCTCACGTGGGTCCATGGTCGTAGACTCCATAGGACTCGAGCCAAATCGAGTGTTGCTGATGGTGTTGCCGAAAAGGGCGGCCTCACTAATACTGGCTTCGATACCGTGCCTTACTCGAGATTCCCATACGCCATCCCATTTCCATTCACCGGGATGCTTGGGGGATGAGGGAGATGCATCTTGCCCGTTCTGGTCGGATCCTCGCTGCTCTCTCTGTCGCCGGGCGAGTCCCCGGTGGGCGCGCCAGGCATGCCATGCGCTTGGGTCACCGACAACTTCAAGTGGAATCTCGTCCAGCAAATCTGCATTTTCGAAGGCGTCTTGAATATGTTGCAATATGGGCAGGGTCGGAGCCGTGCGGTCAGATGGCGCTGGGCTCGTTTTATTGTCCTCAGTTGCGTCGCTGGACCACGTGTCCGCGTCGCTGGGAGTTACGGGTCGACCAGCAGCCGGCGCGACCGCAATCGAGGCGTCGTGCTTCTGGTCTGTCGAGGATGTTGATGAGAACCACTGGGGAAATCCATGCCGTAGGCTCAAGGCGCCGGGTGGTAATCGATCTTTGTCGGAAGCACTGACAGTGCCAGAGGCGTCGACGGTGCTGACAGTAAAGGTGTAAGTGGTCAACGGCACAACCAGTGGGTGAAAGATGTCGCTGGAGAAAATGATGAGAGGGGGAACGGCTGGATATGCGTCTGGAAACGATATCTGAAAGCGAAGGATCGCCCCTTCGTATGGTCCTGCAAGTCGACGTGAGTTCCATTGTCTCATCGTAAGTAATGCCCTTGTTAAGGCCAGGAGATGTCGTACCCTCGCGTACAAACAGTACGGCGACCCAGAGCGATGGGTCGCCAGGAGTGAGGGAGAGATAAAGCCCCTCTGGACAGCGATCTCTGAGAGATGAGCTTCATGACACGTCAGCTTGACAGTTTTCACCTCCCATCAGCAACTTACAACTCCAAGACAAAAAGTTGTCGGCGAAAGGAAGGGAGGGAAGAAAGGGACATTGTTGGCATGGTTGAAGTTCACTCTGGAGGGATAAAGTTCGAACTGACGGAGATCATGTCCCGCCGCCCCACGCCCAGACCAAGCATCGCTAGGCTCGCTTCAACCCACGACGCACGACAGAGTGCGAGCGACGCGGGGGCTCTGAACGTCGCACAAACAACAGGGTCGAGGGGCGACGACGGCGGAGCCGTTGAGTTCAGACGCCAGCGTGAGGAGTCTCGCAAAAAAGTAGCAGAAGTGTATGGTCAACTTTATCATTCATGGTCTGCATCAAATGGGTATCTTGCGGTAATATGCACTATAATCATGGGGGAGAAAGCCACCCACAATGTGCGACTGTCTCGCTTACGACGCTGTTCTCCTCTGAGCGACGGCGTCAAGGCCGTCATTGACTCCGCCGACTACGCCCTCAACGAACCATGATCCCAATTCAAAGCAAGCGCCGCCTACCCGACCGTCCTTGAAACGAATGATTGCTTGATGCAGCTCAATACCACGTTCACCCAGGGCAGATGTAACTTGAACACCATTTGAGATGACCCGTTCGGTGACCTGGTGCTGGCGCTCAAATTGGAGGAGTCGGTTGAGCAACGTCATAATCACTGGGAGGACCAGAAGCAGTCCGGCAATGAGCCAACAAACAGCCTGCGCAATGCTTTGCCTCAGAATGTTGGGATGTCGTGGAAAGTGAAGACCCCCAGGCTCGGCTGCTTGAGAGATGAGCTGAGGGGCCATGCTGGCGCGTAAAGATTGGATCTCAAGCGGCGTCAAGTCTTGGGGAAGTGCCATATGCATATACCGCAATGCATCGACGTGCATGCTCCTCAACGCGAGCGAGTCTCCGCCCTGCTCAGCTTGCGCTTTCGCTGATGTCCACAATCTGACTCCCGTCAATGCAACATCCCAGTCCACACCTAATCTCGTTTCCGGCCGAGGGGAATTTGTCAAGCTCAAATCTTGCGACGGGATACTCCCTTCCGGACTCTCTGGTCGTGTCGTGGGCGTGGTGGCTCGGCTCGAGTCTGTGGTCGAGGAGATGCTATAGCTTCCCTTTTCTTTTGTGGTTTCCAGGCATGATAAGGCATAACCTTCCCCTCCTCTTCGTAGAACGACCGTTCTCGCGGTATGCCGAAGTGAGGTCAATACTGGTATCCTCGACCGGACCATGGACGGGATCATCGTGTAGATAGTTGACTTGGAGACGTTTCGCGTAGGTAGAGTATCCGTTCGCATCCCTCCCAGATCAATGTGAGGCACCGTCGATGTCATCTTAACGGGCGTGTTGCGGGCCAGAGATTCCCTCCGGCGTCCGCCCGTTTACCGTGACGAGGTAGAACTGTCAGACAGACAGCCGATGAAAGGACCGCTCAAAATCGCAAGACGAGGAAGTAGAGGCAAATATAAATCATGTCAGCAAACGAGTGGGTAGTAAAATGCTACCAGATCTCTCCGCAGGTTGTGAGGATGTTTCACATGCACATAATCTCATGCACGACATACCAAGAGACCGAACGAAAAAGACAAGGGAAAGACCCGGAAAGGTATGCAGGTCCAAGGATGGCGAGCATGTGGTCGGTGGCTAACGGCTCAGATGGTATGCGAGAGAGTACGTAGGAGAGTTAGTGTTGTGCCATTTTACTTCTTACGGTTTTGTTGAGGCAGGAGAAGCAGTTTCCACAGTCCTTGGGATTCCACGAGACGAGCGCATGTGAAAACGTGGTTCAGCTGTTCTTGCGGTGATTGATCGGCCAATCTAGCCAGGATTCCAGATCTGGTTGCTCTTCGGCTGTTCGTAGTGTCGGATAAGCTTCTCGAGCGACTGATTTCGCTCACAAGGTCATTCAAACGACTCGCGATTAATCGAGAAGCGGATTGAGGGCCTCGAAAGTTCGAAAACTGTTCGAGCCTCGGGGGCGGATTTTCTGCTACGCCGTGGCTGACTCAGCCTCGTCAGTGTCCTTGGTGCCTTTGGAGCCTCGTGAGCCTCAAGGCTTGACAATCATAAGGCGCGATGCAGCTCCTGCCATGCCATCACCAGGGCGTGATCAGATCAGGTTGGACAGTGCCACAATGACAGGAGGCATTTGATTGCCGTTACAGTGTTGCACTTAATGTGGTCCAATTATGTATATTCATTATGAATGTTGACTCTTGTTTTACTCGATTGCACCAGCCACGACTCCAATCACGCACCTCGATGACTCCGTCTCCCCTTTCATCCTTCCTCAAGGACACCCTGCGCCTTCCGGCTGACTCTGTCGAACTTTTCACGGCAAGCACGCCTTTCCTCCCGTTGACGAGTCGAGTGCCAACTCATATATATCTCGAGCGTCGAAGTCTCCGTCCTCTTTTTTGACCTTCCCAAACTCACCAAGGCGTTCAATTAAAACCCGCCATGTATCCAGTGAGCTGGCTCAGATCTTGCTCACTCATCAGCTGGTGGCTGTTGTTCTGCGCCTTGGTCTGCGGCAAGGGCATACCTGCGTTCATACCCATGCCCATATTCATCGCTGGACTCACACCGTACGAGCCGAACAGTGTGTCGCCCGGCATGCTGGAGGAGAAGGGTGTGGTCGAGACAGACATGCCGCTCACCGCACCACCTCCTTGATTGTTGTCAAACTCCAAATCAAAATTCATCTCATCTACTATGCCGAGGTCAAGATTGCTGAAGTCGATGCTGTCAAAGTCAAGTTCCATGCCATTATCAAAAGTGGCCGCTGTGGCCGAATTTGGCATGCTACCACAGTCCGGAGTCGCCTGGAAAGAATCACAAGTAGAGTCAGTGGATAGATTCCTTCGCGTATGGCTTTGCGAAGTCGCGGGTTTGGACTTCAGCCCTCCCTTGATCACATAGGGAGCCAGGATAGGCACTTCGGCGAGATCCTTCGAGGCTGTCATCGCACCTGTGGTGCTACCGATGCCTTGTTGGTACTTGAAAGTGTCAAGCCACTGCTGGTTGTCTGCGCAGGTCCAGTTCCACGGGTCGTTGTCCTCGTAGATTATCATACGAGCTTGGTCCTGGAGGTCCTTGTCCGAAGGTATTTGACCCAAAGTTCTCTGTTGTGAGACGAATTTGCTCAACTCTTGTTCAAGTCTCCCCCAGCAGTTGGAATCCTTCGTCATCTGGTCAGGCTCAGTGCTTTCCGCAGAAGTACCGGTAGTCAAGCCTCCTTCAGCCGACGAAGGTGTTGCCATGGCTCTGGCCACGTATGGCTCCATTGTATTCCTTTCGTGGCCGATGAGGTACGGTGGAATGGCGTTCTCTACCAGCCTTTCGACGTACGGTTCGAATCCCCAGTCCCCAGCCCAGTGTGACATGTCGGCACCGTTTCTGAAATGAGCGGCCAAATGATCAGCTCGTTGTTGCCAAGTAGTGAACTTGGATGGACAGAAGCCACAACCGGATTTGAGTTCGTTGGTGGTGCTCTTCCAGGTGTCCATATGAGATTGCACCTTCGCATTGTGCATCAGCTTCAGGTGCTGGCTAAGGTGATCCTTCCGGTAAAAGGTCCGCTCCTGCACCGTCTTCTCTTGACAGGCGTTGAAATTGTGTGACTCGAGATGAGCCGCAGAGGGATTTGGCTCACGGCAGAAAACACAGAGCTCCAAACCTGTCAGAACATCCGTCATTGTGCCTCCGTTGGGACAGCAGCTCCAGCGCTCGAGTGCCAGATGGAGTGACTTTTCGTGCCTTTGCCAGTCATACTTGGCGGGAAACGAGTCTGTGCAGAACGTGCACTGAAATATCCTCGCAGCTCGAGATTTGGCTTGCTGTGCAGCGGCGCGCTGCGCTACCGGTGCTCGCCTGCGCCTCCGCCGATCTTGGGAGGAAGCGAAGGACCCTTTTGACCGATTCGATCGGGAGGAGGCAAACGTGAGATCAGAGTTACTGGACTCTCTGGTTTCGAAACTGCTAACGGAGGGAGCGCGGAACATTGAAAAGGACGAGTCATCCTCGCTCGAAGCCCGGCGAGAGCTGGGTCGCGAGTTGGGTCGCGAGCCTTGAAGACTCGAAACAGATGGATTCCGGACCGGGAGCGGCGTGGAGGTGACGGCTCTGGCAATGGCGGTCATGGACGCCGGTTCGTGTTCGGGCGGCGATGCTTTCCATCGGTCTAGAGGGTTAAGATCCGCAATACCCGAGCCATCTTGGTTCTGAGGGATGTCGATTGCTCCGAGCATGGGAGAGGATGGACCCGACTCAGCAGGCCTGACTTTGCCTCGCCTCCGGGCATTGGCAAGCCAATTCGAGATCTGGCTTCGCTTCAACCCGGTGAGTTGCTTCAGCTCGTCCTTTTCCCGCTCATTGGGATATGGATGATCGGCATGTTCAGCAAGCCATTGCTTCAAGATCTTGACTGCATCTCGTGGGAACCGCGCGCCAGTCTTGCGGCCACGTCCTTCCTCCATCGACTTCATCGCCCTTCGGCGTTCGGTCAATGCATTTTCGGGAATCTGTTGGTCCTCGGCGATCCCAGGAAAGGTGTTGACGAAGCCTCGGGGGATCTTTGGGTGCACAAAGCTACATTCTCGGTATAGAGAAATGCAGCAAGTGCAGCCTGTGACCATTGCTCCTCTCGTAGCCAAGAAGCAATCCAAGCCCATCTTCGCGCAGAGGTCACATGGTTCTTTGGCACGAAACATTGGGAAGTCGGCCGAGAGGTCAGAGGTGTGTGGAATTGCCTCGATTTCGATGTTGTTGATCAATTTCAGCATGACGGTGGTGGGTGGTGCTGGTCGGCTTGCGGGGAGAAAAGCAGATTTGTCGAAGAAGAGCGAATCGAAGCAATCAGTGGCATCACGCTCACATGCCTCGCCCGTCAACGATGAGAGCTCGTCAAGGTCTAATTGGGGAATCGCATGGGAAGCGTCCTCGAAGTCGAAGTACTCCATGTTTTGACGCCGCTGAGCCCCTCAGCGCTAGGATCGGTATGAGTTTTCACAGTAATGAAGGAGAGATGTGGAGGAGAAGGAGGACGAAGAGTACTCCTGCCGAGTATATTCGCAGCCTTCCCCCCTCGGAGAGCCAATACGAATCTCCGAAGATCGGTGTGTAAAGCTTCCAGTATGACTCCCCAGGTCTGGGAGCGGGTTGTCAATCGCACGCCCTTCCCACGACATTTTGACAGGGATCCTCTCCCGCGTAGGCCTATTCAGGCATGGTAGTCCCCACGGTGCCAGAGGTTGTTGGGCAATGGCGGACAATTCCGAGCCCGTTAAGCTGCGCAACGACGCCGTAAGTGGCTGCTTACCGTGCATTCTAGAAGCCCTAGAAGCCCTGGAAGCCAATTGCTGGCCTTTGTTCACTGAGAGCGGGGTTTATATCGCTCAAATGTTTAACGTTCGACCCGAGATGCACAAGGTACGCAATGTGATGTTGCATTGGTCATGGCGTACGGGGCCTTGCAGCTACAGTGTACTGTGTACTGTGGTAGATATCGACTCGGTTGTTCATCCCACTCCTGGATCTCGTTAGTCATGGCCGCACTCCTACTGTTACGAAGTCCGAGTCACCGCGGGGCCACCATCGCAATCCCGCTGACTAAAGCGTTCGATTCTGGCGAGTTGGGTTCTCTCTTCCGCAATCTCGAGCTTAGGGCAGGACACATGCGGCACGAGACACAGATAATTAAGGGAAAGGTCTCTTGTTGGGCACCTGTGTCGCTGCCCGTATTCCCCAGAAACGGGAGCACTTGTGCAGTACTAGTGCTCGTACTCGTACTGCGCTGGGCGTGAGTAAGAGGCATCTCCGGTACTCGGAATCGGTCACGCGGTGCTTGACCGGGTGTCTCTCTGGACTGTCTACCGTATCTTCTATGTATCTACACGCTTACAGCAGGTCAACATTAAACCACCTTTGTGACATCAGTGACATATTAAAAAAGACGGGGGACGACTCGTTGCCAGATCTTTGTCTCGATTTCATGATCATTAACCATAGAGTTCGCCATCGAGCCTGTGCATGAGGGGGATATTCAGTGACCCGGAGAGTGAGGGGCACGTCCGTTGGAAGGTTCAGGCGGCTCGTTCCAAGTCATTGTTGCCTGGGCACACACCTATGTGGCTGGTGCTGCACAAGGCTGAACCTTCTGAAATGATCCCTACCTAATGCTTGTCCACGGTTTCCAACTCGACATCACGGAACTGATCATACGAGGTACTGGCTCGGGTAGGGTGCAACTGACATTGCTGCGGCGGGATTGTGCACTCAAGCATTTGCTCTGCACCACCTAGAGTACTTACATGTCACTTACCAGCTAGAATGCTGATGAAGTTGGGATTTCTCGACAATGAATGGCAGGCAGGAATGTCACGTAGGAATGATCCTCAAGGGAATGTCAGGATGTACAACTCGTATGGACTGTATGTTAGTCCTATGGGTTCGCTCGGTACGTCATGCCGCGTTGGTGGAAATGTCGATGTCGATGTCGAGATCGTGGGCCGGAGAAATAGGCCAGAAGTGATGGCGTCGCGTTCTTGCAGTACCATCCGCTTCCGAGAGCATCGTCGACAGGCAAACAAGAGGGAATGGGACTTCAATGACACAACGTGCGCTCCTCGAATTGGGCATGGGACATCTATCTTCCTAGGAAGTAGGTAGTAGGTAGGAGGGTACTGGGCGGCCAGGACCGAAGAACACTATCACAGTCGTGGGAACAACGATTCCTCCCTCCGGACTCGTGTTGGTCTCATCGAAGTTAGAGCACATCTGGCTCAAGATGCGTCGCCAGCAGGGCTGATATCCATAAACCGCTGCATTTATCCACACAAAGCCTGGCGGGTAATGCAAAAAGGAAGAACACAGTGTGCAGGCACGTGGCAGGATAGAACGCACACCTTACTCTGTACTCCGTACTCGGTACCGAAACTCAGCTCAGCGCGTCGTTAGATACACAGTCTTGAGGCTCAAACAAGAGACCAAAAAGCAAAAAATATCTCAACATTCCGAACCGGGGAATCGAACCCCGGGCGTGTCGGCGCCTTCATTACTAGGATGAGAGCGACAAATGTTACCTGGGAGGACATGTTAAAGATGGTTATCTTGAGTAGGTCGTGGATTAAACTAACCTCTACACCCTATCAAACAGTTAGCTTTAACTTTTTCGATGAGATCACCTTAAAGACTCACAGTTCGGAGGGCTGATTGTTAGGCAGAGATCAGAGAACATATATTATATCCTGAAATTCTTGGGTGTAGCTAACTGGAATTGGCCACTCCCCTTGAAAACATCCCCGGAATCTTGCACAGTACCTCGTATACACATAGGTAGGTCTTCCCCAGCATCATGCTTCAAGCGTGGCGCTGATGAAAACATTGTAATACTGTACACATACTGCACTTGCCCATTAATCTCTTGAACTGCAGCCTCTTCCCATGCCTATTCGAGGAATCTCCCGAGACATAGAGAAAAACCACAAACAAAAAAGCAAAATAAAAAACAAATCCTCTTGATATCGGTACATCCGAAGATATGGCATCTACTGGCATTTTCAGCCAGTTCTTCAGGAATCTGATTCAGATCAATCTACAACCTTCGTGACAGGCAATAACTATGACACCACTGCCTGCTTCCTGCGATCTGTGTTCAGTCGCTTGCGAAGCGCATCAATGTTGATATAACTTTCCTCTGGCTCACCGAGGACTCGTTTGGGTATGAAGTTATGATCCCGCTTACCGTCACACGAACACGCACCAGCACGAACACGCACCAGCACGAACCAAGGCGAGGTATTTCAACCCATCAGTATCTTGATAAAAGAGCGGCTTGGTATCAGTGAATTCGGTCCTCTTACAAGTCTGGCAAATCGTGACCTTGTGCTTGACGTCAGGCTTCTTCTGGCACATCGCTTTGATGTCGCCGTAACTATAACCTGTCGAATTCTTTGGTGGAGGCACCATCACGCCAGCTTCTACCTTGGCCGCTTTGTTGATCCCATTGACCTCGTGCTCGGCTCTCTTCATAGGCATCCAGGGTATTTTGTCAGCCTGTCGAGTACCGGGCGAATGGTAGGGGATAAACACGTTTCCTCGACTTCCAGACTTGCAGCCACTTTCTTTGCAAACGAAATGCCTCGCCAAGTACTTGCCATTCTCAACATGGAACAGTGGTGCCTTATCCATCGTACGTGTCTTCACGCAACGTTGGCAGATGACCTCGATCTGCTTGGGGTCGTTCCCTCGCGGGCCACGACGAAGATCATTAATACCTTTGGTGCCCTTGATGTCAAGAATCCTGGCATCAGTATCATCATTCCGCAAAGACTCGGACTTTACGCTCTGCGCTATACGCGCGATGTCATCGGTATTGGAAGACATAAGACCGGATTTCTGCAATACTGCATTTATCCGACGCGTGATAGTCCACAGCTTGATTGTTTGCATATCAGTGTCGATGGCACGCATTGCCCCGTGCCCACTACTACATTGCACAGATAGGATGTACCTGTTTGAATCAACCAAATACTGGGGCTTGCGGTCTGTCGCTTTTCGTTTGCAGACTCCGCACTCAAGCAGGACCAAGCGTGGCTCAGGTGGCAGGGGATCCCTTGAGATTGCGGTTATGACACCCTTTCTCAGCATCTGAACACGGGTTGTTTGTTGCAAAGACTCGTGGGCATGCCGTTGCTGGGCAGTCTTTTGAGGGTCAACAACAGCCAATATCGCGCGGACAGGCGTGTAACCTTTTGATTTGCAAAAGAGATATTGCTTTTGTCTCTCGTCTGACTCAAGTAGATGTGCAAGGAAGCTTGCCGGGAGCAGTTCTAAAGGAACGACTTCATGGCACATGTCCTCCTTGAGGGCCTCGTATATGACGGCTTTCTGGAGGCGCCAAAGGGTATCAGAAACAGGGATACTCACATGACTCTGAGATGCAGTCTGTTCCTTTCGAGCAAGCTCGGCAGGTTTGGGCTGAGGCGTAAAGAATGAAGCGATAGAACGCTGCTTTGGTTTTGAAACCGGGATGGAAGGAGTTGCAGGTTGTGAAACCTGAATGGGTACTATCGACTTGGGCATGTGTATCCTCTCAGGCGAACTAGTCCAGCCATTGAGGTTGGTAAACTTTGGCATGATCTCAAGTGCCTGTGTCTCAGTGCGAGCAGAGATCTCCTTCTCCACCGCAAGGCATCCCTTGGCGTCAAGGTCGGGAAATTCCTCTTCTTCCTCGGATGCCGGTGAAGGAGGAGAAGGCTCCGATGCAGAGAACTTCTGAGTAACAACAGTCGCTGGCGCATTTGTAGATGTCGTCCAGAGCTGGATGGCCCCCTGGCTCCGGTTAGCCTTGGGTCCCGACTTACAAGCGGCTGGGTCTTGACGTTTCTCAGTCATCAAGGAAGCCTGAAAATAGTCTCGCCTAATAGGCAGCTTGACTAGGTCGCAGGCGAAATTTACGAATGCGTCATACGCACGCGAAACCTTCAGCCTTCGAGATCTGATAATATATTCTGGGTGCCAGATAAAAATGGCTATTTTTCCAATCTCGCCGTTGCATTTACGCCAAATAGCGGCATCAACACTATAGAGCTGATCTATCTTGACCTTGCGTAGTGTCAAATTCATCATGGGAACCATCAGGTCCCGATTCTCGCCTCCACAAACAAGACTGACCTTGAATGGAAGCTTCTCCCATATCCATTTCACGTAATCGTAATGGACCTGCTGATGTGCCTTTGTCCAGAACTTTGGCTCAGTCTCCCTTGTGCGGCGAAGTTACTGCCCTGCTTCACTCGGCGGATTCTTGCTCGCCGGTTGATCGTGTCATAGGTGAACGAAGAGATTCTATCAACTCCCTTCTTCATCATCAGCCGGGTCGTAGGACTCTTATCATCGAGAGTCTCGCCAGGTTTCTCGCTGCATAGCTCCGTAGGATGGTTCAGCTGCCACCCTATCCGCGCAAGCGAGGGATCTCCTGATGGTCGAGGAATATCCTCCTCAGGCATTCTGCTTACAGCAACTTCCTCCATCCTGAACGCCTCGTGGCGCTCGGAATGGAGAACTGCTGGCATCAAATCGTCTTCGTCGATATCTCGATCAAAGAACTCACGAATTTCGGCCTCCTCGCGAGGGAAGCTTCTACAAAGTGCATTTACAGCATCTATAAAAGTCTCCTGGGACACCGCCGTGGTTCCATCGGCTTCACCAGCAAATCCATTTGATATATCGCCGAAACTATCGTCCTTGGGAACGGAAAGGATGACTGCTTCAGTTTCAAACCCTGCGGCTGGTGAGCCGTCTCCAGCACCCTCGTCTTGATCACCCTCAATGATTTCCTCGAGGTCGCCAAAGTCCGAACAGTCGGACCAATCGTCACCGTCATCATGCTCAAGCGCCTGCGTCAGTGTAGCCCTCAGATCATCCTGGTATCGACCAGTCGTGGATGGTGACCGAGGCAAACCCGGAGTCAGCCGCGAACGCTTTGACTCCGGCTTAGCAACTGGGTCATCCAAAGAGCCCAATGGACGCTTCGTCCGCGATATCATGTTCGGGTCTAATTGACCCAGTGGAGAGCGAAGCTGATGAGACGCCCCACTAGTAGTGGACGTCTGTCCTGGAGTCATCGCCTCTGAGGCGGCTGCATCAGGAGGGGCAGTTGTCGCCTTCCTGGCGTCTGCACAAACAATCCGCGGAGTCTTCACCTTAGAGGCGGCTGCATCGCGATGGACAGTCTCAGCCTTCGAGGCTTCTGTCCCAAAAAACCCCTGTGTCTTCAACTCTATCTCGGCGGCATCGGGATCAGGAGTCTTTGCCCTCGAAGCAGCTAATCTCGAGGCTTTGCTAGCAGGGGGAGCCTTGCCTGGCCCTGGCATCTTCGCTCAACAACGAGCAGCAAACAATATCAACCAGATGTCTGTCCAATGTTTCTTGTCCGAATCTCTTGCCTCTGATGCCTTAACGCCGGGAAATGGGCTGGTATACCTAAGGGGATTGTCCAAAGAGAGTCTGGTTGTAGCTGACAAGACTTGAGGAAGTGATGGGATCGAGCGTCCGCTGAGAAGACCCCGGGAGGAGGGGCGGGGGATCGGGTCAGAGAAATGGTCCGAGAGAAGCGGTCGAATTCAAGTAAAATCAACGTGACACGGATTGGCTATCTTGCAGCCTTGAATGCTCTATGGCGTCTGAAGTCGCAGTGTTGCTTGGTTGTGTATCCATGCGTATTCTAGAGCGATCATGAAAACGCAACAGATCGTTCGAACCAGGAGTATGCGGTCACTGCAGCGCCAGCTGCACGTTGCAACCACGACCCAGTTGACTCAACTATACTCCTTTTGGGCCTGTCAATCAAGACTATAACCTACATTACCATCGCGTCCGACCCGGAATAGACGAAGTGAAGACGTCAGCATAAAGGCCTCATTGTCATTGGGCATTGAAACTCCCTTTGTACCAGAAGCATTGGATAACTCACCAAACACGATAACAATAACAAGGATTTGGTGCCCTTCCTACATGGAAATTGGCCTGGAGGCATTCTCAGCGCACAGCTTTCTGAGATGTCGTTCTCCCTCCTGAGATCCAGGTTACCATATCTTTCGTGAGCAAGACTCCCGATTCTACAATCGCTCAGCGAAGTAGAAGATTGCAGTGACCTAGGGTGGGGTGAGAGCGGCTGTGGTAACAGCAGAGCAAGAAGTGTTGAAGCACGAAACCCCAGGTGTGCAAGAGAAGTGATTGGTACACAAGTTGAGCCAGTGAGGGAATGGTCTAAACTGTTATCCGGATGCCATAAACGCACGATCCTACTACAAGCCCTACAGACGCAAGACCAAACTGACAATGGGATCACCCTGTGCCCCTCCTGAGTGTTCTGCAGTACAAAATCTAGGCGTTGGTGGTGTTTGTGCTTTGCAGGATTCTTGAGAGGTGCCAGCATAAAGCCTTGTTGTGTTGCATGGTACATTGATATGCAAGGCGGAGAGTTGTCCACAGTACCAAGCAGCGTAAATGAGAGGGTTCAAAGCGCTGAGCGACTGAAGTCCAGAACTTGCCACGGATTTCTATGGGACTCCGGAACCGTAATTTGCGGATTGTTCTGTGATGTTTTATATCTGGCTTGTGTTGATTCCTTCTCAATTGCCTGCACCACGATGGCAAGCCAAAATATCATGCATCCAATTTATGGCAGGTCCATGCTTGTGAAGGAGACTACAGCCGACCATGCCATACTCTTTTCGAAAGCCCAGACAAAGACGTAGGGCACATACATAGGATAACGACGAGGGGTGCGGATAGCTTGTTGTGAGATGTGGAGTTCGCATGTATTCGGATGACCGGAGCGATTTTGGTGAGGGCTCCCATTGCTCCAGACTGGAAAAACAGATCAGGGTTTGAATACTGGGCGCTCGCGCATTGGGAGAGTTGCCTGTGACTGCAGGCTGAAGTTGTCTGCATATCGTAGGAGTCTTGCGGTATTGCATTCGACATGGACGCTTGGTAAACTGTTCATGGGTTCCACTCTGAGTGTTGACTCAAGGTCACTAGCATGTATGTGCCTTAGACACGAAGTGGCCCACCAGAGTCATTTCGGCTGGGGCGGTTGAAAATTTTCCACCACAAACCGACATCATTATTACCACTGTGGAACATAGTTCAACAATAGCCTCAATTCTGGTCTCCGACTTTCTGATTCCTCGTCTAGTTGGGGCTTTCAACAAAGATGGATTCTATGTTTCAAACCATGGATGAGCAAGCCCGGTGGTGGGACATTAACGATGACAGGTATCATCTTCGAAGCATACCCCAAGTGTCAAGCCACCGGGGGAGGGTTTTCTTCATGTACAGCGCCGGACAGATGTACCTCCTGGCTATGGCTACAAACCGGAGTCGCTCCTGAGCAAGGTAAGTCCATGATGGTAGGTGCAAAGATGCAACACGAAACACTTGGGAAGGATGCCATGGCCTCGCCTTGCTGCAGGTGATCATTTCTCTATACCCAGCTCTTTTCCCCTTTCCTCTTCTCTTTTTGGCCAGCATCAACGACACCGTCTGTGTAGGTACCACATGTCCTATGCATTGCGCATTTTCCCGCACATACTATTGCACGTCCCTTTGCACATCCCTTTACCCATCTCTCTGCCCGTTCGGTCCTTGTGAAGCCCAAACGATACCGACGTCCATCTGACCCCTTGGAACTTCTACCGTTTACCCTATTTCCTGCGGCAAAGCAGCTACAGCACTCATGCTCCGACATCCGAGCACAATACTGACCATGATAACATTCTTCTCTGTGGCACTGGACTATTCAGGGCTGCATGGCTTGGACCCTCGGACATGCAGCATTATCCGTTCCTTCGGAATCTAAGAGCCAGCTCGACTGTACCAATGAACAATCACCGCTCAGCAACGTCTTGCGCAATCAATCGATTCTTGTCTCACCCTTACCCTTCTTCATACCTTGAATATCCGACCACCGACCTTTTCCTTCCAAGCAGATTACCTCCATGCCTTATGGATGTAACAGCTTCAACCGGCACCCAACCGCCCTACTCTACTCTACCCTCGGCTCTCTGAAAGAAAAAAGATCAGTCACATACACAGTGGTTTCACTAAATTGATGTCTCACTTCAGCATGCTTTGGACTCGTGGCCCTTGCTCCTACCATCGCTGCACCGAAGGCAGTTCGATTCACGCCCACAGAACCGCCCATACGATGGCATCTCAGCAGTTATCGATTCTAGGCTCTCTTCCCATATCCATACTCGAAGGCTATTGCCAGTCAATCACGGTGTTGACATCCAGCAGAAGTCATCTTATCTGGATGTGTCGTTTGGTTTGACAGTACTCTCAGAATGCCGGATTCAACGACAAGCTGCAGCTCTGCTTTTCAAGTGGGCAAGGAACTGTGGCAATCTGGCGGAAGCTCTCGAGCCTGTCCTACCTTGCACAAATGTTTACTTCGTCGCTTTGTCCATACATCTTCGCGCTTATGCCTTCTACTATCGTCACAAGTCGTGGTAGTGGCTGTACTCGAGCTGACTATTTAATTACAGTTTCTACCCACTCTGCTCTGGGTCTCCGTAAGTCATCTAATTCGGTTGCTTTTATGCCTTCATCACTAACAGTCTTCGCAGCAAGTTAATTCACAACTGTACGTTCCAGCTATTGACAATTCCGCTCCTGTCCCTTGTTCCCATAATGCGTCCTTTTTGTTACACTCTTACTAAATCTTCCCACTTACGTCGACAGCAACAGCATTCTCACAACTGTATGTGCATCTTTGCTCCTTTTATCCTATTAATTATTCTCTCAATGCTAACCACTTGGCTGTAGCAGACACAGAAATCACAGTTAGTGCTGTCTCACCCTCTGCAACCTCTTCTTTCCCCAGAATATCTGCACTTTCTCTCCATGCAGAACAAATCCTTATTGACCTACAGATGGCGACTTTGGGTGGCGGCATGGGCGGCGGCAGGGGCGGCGGCAGGGGCGGCGGCAGATGGGGCGGCGGCGGCATGGGAGGCGGCAAACGCGGCAGTAGGCGCAATGGTGGCGGCGTCGGCAAGGCGAGAGGCGGGGGCGCTACCTCGCAAATTGCGCGTTTGCGCCAGCGAGCGGTAAGTCTCTACTTCGTGCCGTTTGTTACTTCCTATCCTGTCTTTCTAAGATGTATTAACATTAAAGCTTAGAATCTCTTGTCTGATATTGCAGCCGCAGAGGCTGCTATTCAGGTCAGACTCGAAAGCTCGAGAGTCCGTTCATGTCTTGGCTTGAATGCTTACTTTATTTAGGAAGCGCGTGCTCGGATCGCCGAGCTTGGTATGGTTTCTTTTACACCTTTTCTCTGACGAAGTTACTCATATCATATAGATCAAATCGAGCAGCAGTTGGCGGCGGCAGCGGCTCGCGGCAACGGCGGCAACGGCGGCAACGGCGGCAATGGTGCGGCTAGCGGCCTTAGGGGCAATGTGGCTGGTGGCGACGACCTTGAGGTGAGAGTGGCGGCGGCTGTGCGTGCGGCATTAGCGGCAGACTTTGGCGGCGGCAATTGGGCGGACAATGTTGGCGGCGATTTTAGCGGCGATGCTTGGCCTTCGGGCGAGAATGGCGGCGATGGCGGCGATGGCGGCGACGGCGGCGACGGCGACTGCCGCGGCAACGGCGATATGCAAGTCGAGTAAGGTGTAACCACGGTATAGTTAATTTTGGCAGTTTCAAGCTTTTTGCAACAGAGGTTATATGAAGAGGTCTGAATTAGGTCTGACTCATTTACACTAGCCTTGTCGTCCTTGCCCATGCAAGGCAAATAATATGGAATAGTTCCAATGCACAAGATGGCCGCCCAGGTTGAGTCGAGTCATTTGAGTATGCCGAACACAACTGTCATCTTGCGCCGATAATAAGGTCTAACAAGGCCGGTGTTCATTATAGCTGTCTCGCCCGGAGCTAGATTGTCGATATCGACATCGGCAGCGAGCTCTGGTGATAATAGTGCTGCCACAATGACTTGGCGGCATTCGAATTGTTTATCTTAGTGGTCGCTTCAACATTTTACATCTTCATCTTCCAGCCCATCTCCGTAGTACGCACTAATCCCGTGCACTTTGTTAATTAGCCCATGTTGAACTGGGACGAGGCTTCATTGCTAGTCGGTATGACTCGTGTGATGGCAGGCATTGCCTCTACCAGAACCAAACCACTACATCTTGACAAATTAATGTAGAGTTGTTCGATTGTCTGCCTGTCTACGTGCCTGCGCGCAACGGAAAGAAAAGTGAAGAAGTACAGCCTTGTTCCAAAACGTCAATCAATAGGACCGCAGAGTTGCATGCTTGCACAAGGTACAGCCACATTTCAGCCTCGCCATTTGGCAGGACCCGTCAGCCCGATCACAATGTCCGAACAGATGAAAGTGGGATTGACAATAGATCTTTGTAACCCAGTCTGGTGCCTCATGATCGTAGTGGTCGTCACGTTTCCCTGACCCTAAATACCTATACCGCGAAGTACGCTCGTTATCAGAGCATACAGACAATGGGTGTTTTGATTGATGAGTTCCGTATTGACCATGCTACTTAAACTCCGTCAGTCATCTCGTGTCTAGCAATACCATTGATATGCTTCGGAAGACGCCCGCATGAAGCGTGAGATGCAAGCTGAAGATGCTGCGGGTATGTTGATACGGTTCCAACTAAGCCAACCTCGCCTGCCGGTACACTGTCGGGCTTTACAAGGGATTTCAGGGATCAAGGCATTGAAGGCCCGCTAGAGCGCCTCCCAGCAATGATTGACATCTTCCCAAGAGCCCTTGCGAAGATGTATGGGAGCTCGTACCTTGCACGCGAAATAGTGGCACCCACCAAATCCATTCTAGGCTCGTGGTCACGCGCCCCCTTTCAATTCCACATATAACAAAATGCAACAATCCGGCCGAAGAGGGTAGAAGTTAATGGACTGGCTATCTGCCTCGACCAGTCGATATATCCATCAGTATCACATCAGTTCAAAGTGGCAGAAGAGGAGGCTATGGCCGTCATGCAGGGGACTATAATATCTTGCCACCATAAACGAGAGCACTCCCAATTGATTTGTCGATGTCGCTCAGAGGAGAATATACCTAGGTCTCGGAGCAAGAACGCTACTTTCCCAAGTAATAAATAATTGCTCCTCAGGTGAACAATGCAGATTCTAGAGAGAGGGGAGGGGATGGACTCGTTGCAGTCACCCAAAAGCATTCAAAAACCAAGCCCTCCAGATAACATCGAAAGGTCTTGAAACCGGGAGTGCATGCAGGCTTGAGCAGCGAGAGGCGGCGTGCAGAGAACTTGTGACTCCATACACTTTGATTCGACATCGACACTGCTCGAACAGTTGATGTAGCAACCTCTAGATACTTTTCGTTTAGTGGCAATGCACATGACTCATGAGAGATGTCATTCTAAAGCACGTATTACACTATTCTCAAAGAACTCGAAGTTGGACGTGTGAATTGATTTGTTCGAGGTCCGTCAAGCCTAGTGCATCTTGCCAAGCATTGTTGATTTCCTCAATACACATGCGCTAAAACCACCAAACGTTGTAGCAGCCAATCAGCGTGCAAGCTTGCGATCCTGCGCTCAGATCGCGCTGTTGAATGAAAAATATTAAGACCCTTCAACCCAATATTCTTAATGATGAGCAAAAAATAGCTTTATATTTGCAAATGGCGGAATTTGGGCCAACAATCATCCAGCTTGTCTTGCAGTTCCTGTGCAGGGTAGAGCTAATAGCTATAGGTGTTCTTTTAACGAGGCTGGGTTGGCCTGCAATAACCCATTTTGGCAATTAGGTTATGAGCCCGGGCGGCATAGGCGGCAAGGGAGAGTGGGGCGATAGGGAGTTCAACTCCCCCTAGGGCTACCTTCGTGTTAGGAACAGCCTATAGCGATAGGCAGAGAGTAATAGTGGTGGGATTCAATGATATTAGGTGTCCCTAGACCTCTAGGTTAAACAGGACTCAAAGCATGAAAGGAGGGTAAGACTCTCATGCGAGCTGCATGAGAGATGAAGGCGTCCTCTTGGCAGGCTTAGTAAGCTCTGGTCGCCATTCCTGACATTATCCCCCTCCCTAGGCTTCTCGTCCTCGAGAAGCAGGCTAGTCGTATGCGACACGTGCTCGATAAGTCTTTCCGTGAGTATAGGTGTGCCTGTGCGTATATAGTAGATGTTGATATATAGCACTTCCGTTATAGTGCTACTTCGCTATGTGACTATTAGGGCCTTACCGTAAATGCGTAGCCTTACCGTAAATACGCAGCCTTACCGTAAATACGTAGCCTTACCGTGAATGCGCGGCCTTACCGTGAATACGCAGCCTTACTATTTATATCGTTGCTTACGGCGGTGAGCTCGCTGCCGCACCCTATAAATAGTTACGCGCTTACGGCTAAAACTTCTTTACCTTTATCTTCTTCTTCTCTCCTCTCTTCTCTCTCTTCGTAATAGTAATAATAATAATAATATACGTGCTCTGTATCTTTTACGGTATGCCCTATATCTTATAATACGCTAATACTCTTATAGATCGCCTTCTATCCTGCTGCTGCCTTTACCTATAAGTTTACACTATATTATAGTTTAATTTTAAGTACTAATGCTGACTTATATATATATAGTAGACTTTAAAAACCTTAATAGTAAGTTAAGATATTAGTTATACTTAATTTATATACTAATTACGTAATAATTATAGTTAATATTACTATTATAATACCTCTCTTTAGCGGTCCGCCTTATAAGCTACTAAATAGTTAAAAGAGGAGTATATATATATATATACGGCTTATATAGGACTCGTATTGAATATATATATAGATTTACTAAATAACGCCCTCTCCCCTCCGCGCTTAAGCTATAAGCGAGCTAAGCGCGGCGGCGACCCCTTATCTTACTAGCGCTATATCCGTACGCTACGCGCGATGAGTAAGGGCGCTAAGGAGCTCGTTTTATATAAGACCTTAGCGGGTTATTACTGTTACCGCCGCTATAGCTTAAGTAAGCGGATAATTTCGGCTTATATTTCGGTAAGGTCGCGCCTAGTTATATCTAAGCCGTATGCTAATCGTAGTAAATCCCGGAGCACCTCGAGGACGACGCCCGCGAGTTACTCGGTAAGAATCGGCGTCTAGCGCGCGCGGGGTCCGGGGTAACTAAGGCCGAGGTAGAGTCGCTAGCGGAGCGGCTGCACCTCGATATAATGTTATATATACGTGTAGTTAATAAGTAAGCGCGTATAGCGGGTGCGGTTACTACTAACCTAACTACGACTCGGTCCTTAGTTGCCTCGCCTCTTAATTCCCTGGCTTCGCGTCGCCTTCTCGCTATCGACTTAGTTATAATTATTCTTATTCTTATCTCTCTCTCGGCCTTTACGGCGCCCGCCTACCCGAATATAAATACCTTTTTATAATTTATATAAGCGTTATAAAGAGCTATTAACACTTTAATAGTAAGTACGAGTTCTATATAATTAAATACGAGTTATTAACGAGTTATAGGCGACTATAACTACCCGCTTTAATAATTTAGAGTAGCGGCTTAATTATATAAAGGAGGTAATTATCTTAGCCGTATTTAGTAATAAGGAGGATAAGGAGGATAACGAGGATAAGGAGGATAAGGAGGAGGAGGAAGATAAGGAGGATCCGTTTAACTCGCCTTTTACCCCCGACTTATTTACCTTTAGGGATTTCGATAGGTAGAATAATTAAGTTCCGTAGCGTACTCAGCTACGACTCCCTTATAAAGTCCAGCGCGAGAGGGTATTAAGTCGGCGTTAATAGAGTTTATAAGAGCGAAGGGCTAGGAGTAGAGGCCGCGCTTACTGTAGCTAACTCTCTCGCGACCCTTACTACGGGTCCGGTATAAGTAGTTATAAGCCGGCTTTCGAATAAAGGATTTTCACCCTTATCTTCCCGTATCTCGCCTATAGCTCGTAATCTTCTCGCGTATATTTATAAGGTTCTCCTTTAGCTCTTAGGAGTTATCCGCCTCCCTAAAGCCCTTTTATCTTATTGTTAAGAATTACCTCCGCGCAGCGTGTATAAAGACACGTAAGTATATAGGTAACCCTCGGGGTTCTTGAGTATCGGGGGTAGAGTAGAGGTTAATGTCGAATAGATCGTTAGACGGGACACAGCACTTATACTGTATCTCCTTAAGCGTAATATTAACTAAAGTTAACTATACCTTCTATAGAAGTGTATCTAGCTGTGACTATATACACAGGTAGTTTTCCTATCTAGGAAAGTCTGGGCGTTGTATGGTTGCCTCCGTTGCGGCCCCATACCCTGCAACGATGCAATATATGCAACAGCTTATTTCCTTTTTTAGGGTATTACGTGACCCGAGTCAGCCTTGCTAACGAGGCTGACTTCCTCGCTTGACCTTCCCTTCTATGCCAGGCCCGGCAGGCCGTATAAAGGTCGGTTCGTAACACTTTCCCCTCCTTAGCCTGTTCGTTGTCCGCAACGTACTTAAGGTAGGCTACAGCCCTTCTCTGTCATTGTCTGTTATCTCCTCTTCTCTCATAGCTAACTATGCAGGCCTTTAGGGTGCATAAGTCAAACCCTAAATCTCCTAAGTCTTCTAAACCTATCGTTCCCTGGCAGTAGTGTTAAAACGAGATCGCTAATTATATTGA